CGGCCGAACCTGTTCGGGAGCGAAGATCTTCCTTCGGAGCTCCTATCGCCGATCTCCAAGGTCCTGTCGGCCCCGGATTCAGTCGTCCCAAACACAAGCGCACATTCACTGGCCTTGGGCCTGCTGAGATTAAGCATGTTGAAGCTAGCATTCCCGAGCCACTGCGAGAGGCGTGAGTACCTTCCTTCCCTAGTACTTGTGTACTGATAGTTGGACTAACCATATTATCCCGCAGCTGGAGGAAACATGTATGTTGAGACAAACCCAGGAATTTGGGTCTGGACTAATATTTCGAGTCAATTTAGTCGGCTGCGGAATTCAACACTAAAGAAGAATTCGAGGTGAGTCGGACTTGTATTAGTACTTGATACTTCGGGTCTAACGCCTCTCATAGAAAGATCTCGTGCGCCATATCGAAACAACCCTCGCTCGGTCAATGTATAATTGCGATGAGTTGTATGTGCTTTGTGTCCTTGCTTTGAGTGGCTCTTGCTGACTTGGGTTTCTCATAGGGCCGCATACTCAGGAACCGCGCTTGCTTTCAGAGACCGATTGATCATCGAGTGGAACAAGACTCAGCAGCGTCAGACCTTCAAAGATCAGAAGCGAATCTACTGTATGTATCCAGTCTGATAGCAGAAGACAATGGCTTATCGTTATAGATTTGTCGCTCGAGTTCCTCATGGGACGTACCTTGGACAATGCTATGCTGAATGTTGGCTTGAAGGAGACTGCTCGAGGTAAGTGTTAAGATCTCTGACCTGGACTATTGCTGATGATTCTAGATGGATTGAGCGATCTCGGATTCCGCATCGAGGACGTCATCAACCAGGAGCACGATGCAGCATTGGGCAACGGTGGTTTGGGCCGTCTGGCGGCGTGCTTCTTGGACAGTATGGCGACACTGAACTACCCAGCCTGGGGATACGGCTTGCGTTACCGCTATGGTATCTTCAAACAGGAGATTGTCAATGGATACCAGGTGGAGGTTCCAGACTACTGGCTGGACAACAACCCCTGGGAGTTCCCGCGTCACGAGATCACAGTCGACATCCAGTTCTACGGCAACGTCAAGAAATACCAGGATGAGAGTGGCAAGATCGCGCACTCGTGGGAGGATGGTGAGATTGTTCGAGCTATCGCATACGATGTCCCCATTCCCGGGTACGGCACGAAGACTACCAACAACCTTCGTCTGTGGTCTAGCAAAGCTAGCAGCGGAGAGTTTGACTTCCAGAAGTTCAATGCTGGAGACTATGAAAGCGCAGTGGCGGACCAGCAGAGGGCGGAAACAATCTCTGCTGTTCTCTACCCCAATGATAACCTCGAGCGAGGTAAAGAACTGCGTCTGAAGCAGCAGTATTTCTGGTGCGCTGCCTCGCTGTTTGACATCATTCGGCGGTTCAAGAAGACGAAGCGGGCCTGGGGCGAGTTCCCTGACCAGGTCGCCATCCAGCTTAATGACACCCACCCAGCCCTTGCTATTGTTGAGTTGCAGCGCATCTTGATTGACAAGGAGGGCTTGGAATGGGATGAGGCATGGCAGATCGTGACCAAGACCTTCGGATATACCAATCACACTGTTCTTCCCGAAGCGTTAGAGAAATGGTCTGTCCCGCTGATGCAGAACCTGCTTCCGCGACACTTGCAGATTATCTACGAGATCAATCTGTTCTTCCTGCAATCCGTCGAGAAGCGATTCCCCAATGATCGGGAAATCCTTTCGCGTGTCTCCATCATTGAAGAGTCGCATCCCAAGATGGTGCGCATGGCCTACCTGGCCATCATTGGCTCTCACAAGGTTAACGGTGTGGCTGAACTGCACTCAGACCTGCTCAAGACCACTCTCTTCAAAGACTTTGTGAAGATCTACGGACCAGACCGTTTCACCAATGTTACCAACGGTATCACCCCGAGACGTTGGCTCCACCAGGCCAACCCCAGATTGTCTGCGTTGATCGCAGAGAAGCTTGGAAGCTATGACTTCCTGAAGGATCTCACTCTTTTGGACAAGATCGAGGCCTTTGTCGACGACAAGGCCTTCCGCGAGGAGTGGGCAGTCATCAAGCGGGAGAATAAGCTGCGTTTGGCTGAACACATTAAGGCCACCACGGGATACGATGTCAACCCCAATGCCCTCTTCGACGTGCAGGTGAAGCGTATCCACGAGTACAAGCGTCAGCAGCTCAACATATTCGGAGTCATCCACCGCTACTTGAGTATCAAAGCCATGTCAGCCGAAGAGAAGAAGAAGGTGGTGCCTCGAGTTTCCATCTTCGGAGGCAAGGCAGCCCCTGGCTACTGGATGGCGAAGACCATTATTCACCTCATCAACAAGGTGGCCGATGTCGTGAACAAGGACCCGGAAATCGGCGACCTTTTGAAGGTTATCTTCATCGCCGATTACAACGTCAGCAAGGCGGAGATTATCTGCCCTGCTTCAGATCTCAGCGAGCACATCTCAACTGCTGGTACCGAGGGCAGTGGCACGAGCAACATGAAGTTTGTCCTGAACGGCGGTTTGATCATCGGCACCTGCGACGGAGCCAACGTAAGTTTTCTTTCACCTATATCCAGCTTCCGTCCCAATAATACAATACTGACCCAACACACAGATCGAGATCACCCGCGAAATCGGTGAGCAAAACATCTTCCTCTTCGGCAATCTGGCCGAAGACGTCGAGGACCTGCGTCACAAACATTTCTACGGCGACTTCAAGCTAGACCCACAGCTAGAGCGCGTCTTCGACGCAATCAAAGACAACATGTTCGGCGACAAAGCTGATTTCACTGCTCTCACAAGCTCCATCGAAGAGCACGGCGATTACTACCTCGTCTCGGACGATTTCAACTCCTACATCACCACCCACGAGATGGTCGACGAAGCCTTCCAGAATCAGGAGGAGTGGCTTGCCAAGTCAATTACCTCTGTCGCGCGCATGGGATTCTTCTCTATGGATCGCGTTACTAACGAGTACGCTGATAGTATCTGGAACGTCGAGCCTCTGGATGTTACAGAAGAAACAGATTAGGCTGACATGGGCAGCGTCTTTCTTTTTTGATTTGATGATTCACGTGCGTTTTTTTCATTGGTTCGACGAACTCATTAGCATTAATAGTATATCAATTATATCATTCTTCCCTAAGTTTATGTCTACAGGTCACCCACGTATGGTATCTAGGTCATTTATAATAAGAATTTATATGCAATTGGTCTATGCAGAATTAGGTATCTATACAACCCAATCTCGATATACAGCACTCTGTACAAACCCAGAAGAGAATCCTACCTCGAGGCAGTAATGACTGAATCAAACCAACACTTACTCCATGCCAAAGCAAAAAACCAAACCCAAAACATAACATCAAACCATGAAATACGTCGAAACACCCCCTACCTCACTCCTTGATAGTCTCCGGGTGAGGCTTCTTAGGCTCAGAGAAATAATCCGGCCAAAGCGCCATCTTCTCATCCTGCGAAGGCGTAGCCGTAGCCATAAGCGTCGGAACCTATAACCACCATTAGCAAAAGTTCCCACTCAACAATTTCCTTTTTTGTAAAGGAATAGGGAAGAAAAAACATACAGCCTCCTTACTAGAAATCCTCCTCCACATATTCGCACGCGGGTTATACCGCACCGGTTTACCCACACCACCCGTCTTCCTCTGATCCTCAAGACTAATCGCCTCAACCTCCTTCTTGATCTGCGAGAAATCGTCGAAGGGAGTATACTCGATACCGTGTTCGATACAGTATTCCTCGAGTCGCAGACCCCGTCGGGCAAAGAGGACATCTGCTTCGCGGGCAGCGGCGAGATCGGAGACGCCGTCGCCGATGAAGACGATTAAAGGGATTTCATCGGGTTCGCATTCGGATTGAGCTTTTACTCGCGCTTCGTTTACGCTCGCGCCCTTGTCGTGGCCTGAGTCGGTGTTGTCGCGCCAGACGGGTTTCCAGGGGATGCCGCCTGGGGCTTTTAGGTCGTTTGCGACGATTTGGATTGAGGAGGCCTTTGGAGATTGTTGTTAGTTGGCGGGTTTGGTTTGTGGGGGGTGGATTTAGGGATGATGTATGTATAGGTGATAGGAGGGGGAGGGGGGATGGCATACCTGTTCCTCGCCTAGGAATAGATCCAGCGTGCGCTGCAAGACAGGCTTTAAGCCTGCGCTGATCACGTTGAAGGGGAAACCCTCGGCGACGCAGTATTGGTGGAATTCCCGGAAGCCGGAGTCTAGTTCGAGGTTCTTTTCCATTATGTCGAAGCCGTCGCCGAAGGGGATGGAGAGGGATCCCCACATATCATCTGAGATATCGCGGAAGGTTCGTTCCCCAGTTTTGAATTGTTCTTCGAGTTTGTTGCGGTAGGCGGCGCCGCAGCCGAGGTTGTCTACTAGGACATGGCCGGTGTCTTGGAGGAAGATTGTGCCGTCGAAGTCTGGGGGCTGTTAGTTTGTGTTCTTTGGGTTTGTTATGTGGATTTAGGGCTTTGTGGTTGGGATTGGAGGGTATATTAAAAGGGTTGCATACCGGAGAAGATGATGATCTTTCTCTTTTGGTGGGGTTGTATCTGTGAGATGGCCATTTTGGTATATAGAAGGGTTTGGTTTTAAGCGTGTAAGTGTGTATGGGGGAATGGTTTATATAGACAAGTACAAAAAAAAGAAATTGAAGCGAAGCAGCCAAGTCACGATCCTAAGTACGATTTTTGAAGAACTTGGTATTCCGTGGCAAACAAGATAGACATGAAAAATGACGTAGGGATCTTTAACGACATCAGTGTGGGCCGAAGGGGGCTCATCTGAACATCGTGAGAATTTTTGCCATAACAGACGGTGATTGGCTATCATCAGGGGTCACGGACAAAAAAAAGTCAAGAAAGCCGAATAGTGGAAGGCCGAGGCTGAGTCTTTGATCGAATTGGTCAATATCATTGGAAGTGGATGCATAATACATCATACATTTCAAACATGCGCTAAAAGATGGTCGAATGAATAGAAACTTAAGTCGTTAACTCGGCAACCCGACGTTGCAATTCGGGTACAGCCCGTAACTGTAAGTCCAACTCTTCCTTCTCACTGTGAAATAGTTAGATGATCGGGTAAATCGGAATCGGAATCGGAGAAACTTACTCTTCCAGTTTTAAGCGCCGTTCCCAATCTAGACCAGTGAAAATATATCCGCCCTGTCCATCGAACTGCAAGATCTTCTGGTGATACTTCCAAAGACTGCGTCGGTGCGAGACAGTCATGAGTGTGGTGCCAAGCTTCTTGGCCGTCTCATACATAACTTTCTCAATTTCTAGCGTCACCGAGGATGTGCACTCGTCCAAAATGGCAAACTTGGGTCGATGATAGAACAACCGAGCCATAGCAATGCGCTGCTGCAGACCACCGGATAACACATCGCGCCATTCTTCCTCTGCGTCCCAGCCTCCAGGACGGTCTACGACGGACGCAATCTCAACCACTGATAGGACATCGTAGAGATCGGCGTCAGTGACACCCTTGGCGCGCATCTCGCGCACTCCATCCGGGTAGATCACTTGTTGCCGCAGGGTTCCACGGGACAGATATGGTCGCTGGGGAATGTAGAAAATATCCTGGAAAGGGGGTTTCTTCACTGTGCCTCCATATACCGGCCAGAGCCCGCCCAGGATCCGGAAAAGAGACGATTTGCCGCAACCGTTGGGTCCGACGATCAGAAGGTGGTCGCCGGGGTTAACAGTGAAGGACAGTTTACGCACCAATACGTCACCGTTCGGGGATACGATCGGTACGTCTGTGAACTCAATCGCGTCGCTTTCTATCACTTTACCCCGACCAGACAGTACCGCCGCATTCACTTCCGTCGAAGCGGAAGATACCAGTTTCTTCTCGAACCTTCCAGCGAGGAGGTCGTCCATCACTTCCAGTAATGAGGAAACACGCGAAGTGTGACCAGCCAGCTCCGAGATCTCTTTGTAGGAGAACATCAGTCGGCCAAAAGCATCCGAGGAGGAAAGCAACATTCGACGATTCGTGACGAAACCTGGGAGTAATCAGAATGTAAAAATTTAACACAAAACCACATCAACTTACTTTCAGTGTGGTCTCCCATGCTATGTGTAGCCTGACCGGGAATCTTGAAGAAGACAGGCACACTACAGAGTACCAAGCCCATAGCTCCCCAGAAGTACTTGATCACAAAGTCCTCCATAAATCCATGGTAAAGTCTCCGGCGCAGAATGCGGTTCACATGCTTGATCAACGTAAAATAACCCTTGTCCAGGGTATCCTTCTCGGCCTCGTGGCCATGATAAAGCGCGACTTCTTCGTTGTAATCAATAAGCCGTGAATGGAGGAAACGGAACTCGCCCTCCAGCCGGGCCTCATCGGCAACATATTTGCCAAACGGTGGAGTCAGCATCCGCATAACGTTGGCGGACAACTGCACGAGCAGACTCATGATGAACAACCCTTCACCTCCCACATTCTTGGAGAGCGAGTAGTTGTAAATAGCCATATCGAGAATAGGCTTAGCTAAATTGGAATACAACTCTGCCAGACTGTCCGAGAAGCGAGACACATCGACCGTGACAAGCTGGTCGGGATTCTTTATTCGATCGTCCAAGGCGGAGATGGCATAGAAAGTCATGTTGGACAGATACTTCTCGTGGATATAGTCCGTGAGACGCTTTCGATAGCTGAGAGCAAGCTTGCACTGGTGGTAGGAGAGCTAACACAGCAAAGCATCAGTTAGCAAATGTATCGAACGGTCGCATGTCAACCAAAAACCCGGTTCCCATCACCGAGAGACTTACCATAGAATTAGTGAAAGTAGCAGGGACAGCCACAATCATCCACCAGAAAAGACCGAGCAAGAAATCCTTCCCTTTACCGCGCACCAAGTTGCTCACAAGCTTTCCGTCCAGCTCGGCAACATACAAACTAAGCATCGTCCGCAGCACCAGGAAGACACTGTGGCTCACCAGCAGTCGTAGCTCTTTGCTTCGCCATCCGGGAATGACGATCTTCAGTAAACGAAGCAAGTTCTTGAAGAATTCTCGGTTGATCTCCACGCGCTTCTTGCGGGGTTGTTCCTCATCGCCTAGACTGCTGGTGCCAGGCCGTCGGCGCAGCTCTACTTGCTGTGACGCGGCTTTCTGCTCGGAGATGGCATTGTGGATTCGTTTAGCGAGTGCGACGAAGAGGGCGAGATATACGGCGCGTGAGATTCGGGTGCGGTTTCGTAGGTAGAGGGTTGTTAGGCTGGAGAGGATCTGCTTGATGGACCGTTCGGGCGGTAGTAGTTTTGACTGAACGGCCATGGCGGAGTTAGATGCTTATCAGCCAGATTCGGGCGCATACATGTCCGCTGTTGAGTTGAAGGAGTTGAAGGAGTTGAGAGGAGAAATATGCCATTGCCATGACGGAGGTGACATGTGATACCCCAGGAAACTGGGGGATGTTCAGCCGAGGAACCCACTCCCAGATAACACGGCATCGGCGGTTTATTGTTTATTAAAGCTTTATTATTTAAATTACATGCATTCACATCATACAACTCAATCTTCTAATATATTCCGAAGGTGAGTATCATGTATCAAGGGTCAGAATAAATATTCTGGCCTAAGGCACCCACCATATTACTTGGACATCTAATAACATTTGGAGAAAACATAAATAGACGGGGGAATTCCTTAATTATAGAGACTGATACGGCCCTGAAACAATCATATGTAGATACATAGTCATGTAGAAACAAAGTAATGGCAACGACAGTGAAGATGCTATGATAACAGGATTCCGCTTTTCCCTCGTGCCCGCGACGTATATACAAAAGACCGGGCTGAGTAGATGATACTCAAAGAATGCGCGCATAGAATATGTACAGGTATTATAAAACGCAAAAGAATACATAATAGGCCAAGATCATAAATCGAGATGATAATAAATGAAAATGAGAAAACTTAAGATGGGGACTTGCTCTCTGATTCCTCGGAGCCAGTCCTGGCAGGAATACCACTGTTGATATGGGCAGCGATCTGGGACTGCTTGAAGCGCTCGAATCCTTCGGCGTCTTGCTGCTGAGAATCATACAGTTCATCGACGGTGGTCCCAAGATGGTTAAAGGCCATGTCGGCGTCAAAGTCATCGAATTGACACAGAGACTGCTCGTCATGCAGAAGGTCTAGTTTTTGCCGGAGAGCAGCAATGTGCGAGCTATCGTCGTCGTAGTCGAAATCTTCGTCGCCGTCACCAGGAACTAGAGACGGTTTGAGGAAGTCACGCCGGAGGTTCTGGCCGATGCGGTGGATGTGTCCTTCTTGGGATGTCATGGCCCGAGAGTGAAGGGAAGTCATAGAGCTGGTACGAGAAAGGCGGACGGCATATTGGTCGGTATCTTCCTCGTCGCCGCCAGTCTCGTCAAGCTGACTGCTGTTCAGATTACCGCCAGCGGCGATCGAGCCGCTTCCATCGTCATCACCAGAGTGCTGAGAAATGGTATCGGGGATTGGAAGAGCGGGTGGGAGTTGTGGAATGATACGAGTTTCTGGGTACTCATCCTCAAAGCGCTGGATCATCTTATGCAAGGTCATGTCCAAAAATTGCAGGCGGCGGTAATTCGCGTCATTACCAGCACGATCTTCGCGAATAAGAGCTGACTGAATCCGGACTCTGATATTGCGCGCGGATTCCAGCAAATTCTTCGACATGTCGCGAGGCCGCTTGGTGGGGACACCTCGAGACTTACGGCGACGGGGTGTTGTGGTACCGCTGGCTGGTAAAGAGTGCTCCCCGAGAACATCGAGACCATGCTGGTCCAAATTCCCGAGACAAACACCCAATGCTTTGACAACACCTGTGCCGCCAATAACATAATCCTCGTCGGGGGCGCCCTCATCTTCCTCGTCGTAAGGCTCTTCGGAAACAACAGAGTGTCCGACAATATGCTGTAGAATGTCTGGCACAGGGACATCCACAAGTGGGGAAGTAGAGCCAGAGAGCTCTTCTACAATGGCGCCGCCTTCAAGATTCCGCAGCGAGTAAGCCACAATCTGTGATCCTAGAGCCTTGACAACTTCGTTGTTTTCTGCGCTAGGAACGTCGATGTCAACTGCAATGATTGTCCTTGACACACGGACAGCTGCCATCATAGATGCATACACAGCACAGGCTTCTTCCTGAGCAACGGGGTCTGTGGTAGACGCTAGATCCACAATCTGTTGATTCTCCAGAATATTCAGATGACACAGACTGGGGCACTCCGGCAACACCTCGGCAAGACCAATGACATGATCCGGCGACAAGGTGACATCAGCGAGATGAAAACGCTTCAGAGAGGGCATTTTCGGCAGGAAGCGACGGAAAGCCCCCAACGCGTTAGGCTGCGACGAGAATAACTCGCGATTGTGAGAGAAATCGATGAACCGGAGATTATGAATCTGCGCAAGCGATTGGAGCAACGGATAAATCACCGACGGATTGAGGGAGCAATCGGCCAGACTCAGCGCATATAGCGGTGTTTCAGGTTCAATCGCGTCTGTGATAAGATCGAGATCATCCTTTATAGCGTTGCCACCTAGATCCAGTCCTTCGCACTGTCCGGCTTTGAGATATTCAACCACATGCTCCAGACCCTCTCTCGTCAGGCCATTGTTCGCGAAGCCAAGCCTTCGCAGACCCAATTTGGTGCTCGCCTGGCAGATTTGCTTTACAGCTTCGACTGAAGGAGAACACTCACTCATGAGCAGTTCTTCGAGATGATCCCCAGCAAAGCGCTCTGCCAGGGCACTTGCGAAGATAATGCTCACATCGGCCATAGGCGACTGGGGTTGGCCCGTTGTCCCAGAACCGTCGATCGCAACCTGGCCTTGAGGGAAAGGAATACCCGACAAATCGATAGCGTTCAAGGATTTCGAGAGGTGAATGAAAAGGCTGATGTGGCGCCATCCTTCCCGTCCGATCTTTAGATTGTCTTTTAGAGAAAGCTTTTCCACAACACCATATCGTTCATGGTCATTGGAGTCTGGAAATTCCGGTCTTCGCGACCGTCTTCGTCGATAGCGCATCTGTTCTACCGTCTTGGTAGCAAGTAGGGCTGAAAGGATGGCTCGCACGGAGATATCCGTCAATGCACAGTTTTCAAGTATGAGTTTACGAACTGGGACGACCGCGAGCCAATCGCTGAATGTTGTCAAGTCCTGTGAGGTCATCGGAAAATTACTCAGATCCAAAGCCGCTACTGTGCCGGGTGATTCGGCCAGTGTTGATGAAGGTTTGGAGATCTCATCAACCACTCTCTTGAGAACAGGCGTCTCACGTAGCTGGCAACAACGGCGATATATACGCACTGGATCGGTTGTTGGGTGACTTTGCGTTTTAGGCCGAGCGGCACCTGGTGTTGGTGCTGGACCTCGGGAATACTCTTCGTCATTCTCTGCGTCGAGTTGCAATGGAACCGAACCATTCGCCACTGCTTGTCTTCGCTTTCTCTCTTTCCGTTCTTTTCGCTCTGCCTCAGACCTTTTTTTCTTCTCTTGCTTCCTTGTTGGATCAGCCACTTCCCCGCTGGGAGCGGGGTCAGTAGATGGCTTGCTGCTGGTGCTTGTTGGGGGAGAGCTAGATTGGACCTTCGCAACACCACTGACCGGGGCAGGAACCGGAGCAGAAACGGGAGCGGGGGGCACAGACGCGCTATCCTTCTCAGCCAATGTAGCCTGGGGATGCTTCAAAGCTCCAGCTTCGTCTTGTTCCTTTAATTTGAGATCAGCCTTCTTATTAGACTCAGGTAGACGGTGCCGTAATTGATTCGTCGGAGGGGCCTCCTCGTCATCATCTCGATGCGAGATACCGGCGATTTCAACATCCACACAGAACGCGACACGGTTGAGTTTGGCCTGGTTCAAGTCCGCAATCTTGCATCGATGCCGATTTTGGTCGATGTTCATCACGCGACGTGGACAGATCGAGCCATTGGGATTTAACTTGGGCAACCCACCCGAGTTGGACGAGAACTTGCGTAGTGCATTGTGAATGAACGAAGGCCCCTTGGGCGATGACGAAGTAAAAGGATTGGAATCGTCTTTCTTCTCTTCCTCCTTGTCCTTCGGGGAATAGGCGGCGCCGAATGGGTTATGCCCATCGAGGGGCGAGGTTGCTTTTGGACTCGCGGGACTGGCCTTGAGGCTAGATTGCGACGGCGGGGTAGATCCAGAGGAAAACTTCGAGCTTAGACTACTAATCCACGAGTTTCGTCGGCCGATGGGCTTGGGGGATGGCGTAGATGGTTTTTGCTCCTCGATTTTCTCCACTGGTGTTGGTTTTGCTTGAACTGGGGGTGCGTCATTTTGGGGAGCTTGCTTCGGTTCTGTGGAGGGGGGCGGTGTTGGGCGTGCCGGGTTGCTGTTAGAACGGGATCTCCGATGCGACTTAGGTTGAGAGGTCGGTGGTTCTGACTCGGCGCCAGGCTTGTCACCGGGTTTATCGCTCGCTGATACTGACTTTGTACGAGATAAATGGTCTGAAGAGAGTGTTAGAAGCTGTCCCGATTTCGGACCAACAAGCCATAACCTGGGGTCGGAGAGGTGCTAGCATAGAAAGTGGAACTCACCTTTTTGTGAATGATGAAGCCAGCTCACGTCCACAGTCTGAACACCTTCCATTTTGAAAACCCTCAAAAGTCAAGAGACAAAAAAAAAAAGGAATGTAATTTCGCCGTGCCCAAGTAGTCGTTGAGAGTTTATCAGCGGTGTGGCGTCGTATAAAGAGCGCAATGACTGGATAGGACTAGATCGAACGACGCATAATTGGCTGGTCCCCCACTTTTCAGTGATGATCGCAAAAAGACAAAGGAGAATCAGGTGGACAATACTAGAGGCCCGATGACAATAAGGGAACAGAAATAGATTGACCGGGAAATGCTGGGAAATGCTGGGGAAATGCCGTATGATCTGCGACCGAGAACCAAAGTGAACCCTTACTGTAAATGATCCAATGTCATCGCTCGATTGAACATGAAATGCATAATGAAATGCAAGAAGTTACTGAAATGGATTGGAAGAGTCCGGATGCAATTAAGCATGGCCTGTGACATAATCGGGGGAGTTCGGGGGCACGTGAGCATGTTACCAATTTGCCTTACAGGCTAATAACTGTTCAAATGCGTATTTTTAATTGGGTGATTACAATGTATGTAATATAATTGTGGAATTGAGGTTGGAGATCATTTTAGGTCAAACCCGGAGAATGTTCGGTACTCCGGTGGCGGAATATGGACATTACTTTCCTACAGAGAACATACGTGGAGTTCATGGGTGGATATTAGGAGCCGGAATGGTGAAGAACTTTAGTTTGCACCTAAAAAAGGGAGTGTTGAACACACTCAAGAAATATACGGGTATCCGCGATAAAAAACACCTAAAAACGCCACACCATTTCCGAGAGAAAAGTGCCGACAAAACGAAAGAAAAAAACGCAAACGCCTCCAAGGGGTATGCGATGAAAAGAAAATAGTCATCACGGCGTCAAGCGGACATCGGAAATATGAGAGCGGATTCCGCCCTTCCCCACATAAACCCCTATTTATTCTAGACCAGGGATATTCTTGAGATATTCCCACCCATACTCCTCTTCGGGCTTCTCGGCTTCCATGCCAAGCGCAAAGCGGTAGGCTCGAACTTCGTTTTGCAGACCAGAGATGACGCGGGTGGGGACATCATCTTCTTCGCACTTAAGACGATAGGCGGTGCGGATCATTTCAGCACATTTCATGGTTTGTGCATGCCAGTAGTCGCGGTCGAGTCGACTTTCCAAGTGGGCGTCGCGCTCAGCCTGGAGGAGATTGTTATAGTGTTTCTTTTGGGCAAGGTAGTGCATGTTGTTGTTCTGGCAGTAGTTACGGATTTGCTCGACCATGACACCCACGGCAGTCTCAAACTCGTGGATCACCTTCATGTTTTCCTCGCGATGGTGCTTGTGATCGGCACTCAGAAGCTTTTCCTTGGCCAGTGCACGCTCGAGTTCGGCAATACGGGCGGCTGTTCGAGCCGTTAGTAAACAAATATGTGAATCAATATTGCCAATTAACATACTAAGGTTATCGCCCTGCTGGCCAGTTGAACCAGAGCTGTCCACAATGCCGTTCTTCTAAATGTGCGTTAGCTAAATGTCCAATTTGAATGAATGTTCTTGGGTTCCCACATACCACAATCTCTTCCGCATTCGCGACAATGTTCTTAGTCACATCTCGGTTGTTCTTCAACACATCGCTCAATTCCACAACCATCTCGTAGAGGTGGTGCAAGTCCATCTGGTGACCAGCGTTCATCGGAATTGCCGCGCCCATGCCCATTCCGCCATTGATCTGGGTGGCGACCGAAGAGTGGGAGGGAGCGGGAGACGGAGTCTGGCGGGGAGGAATGTTGGGTATGTTCATCGTGCCAGTGCTGTTTTCATAACCCGAAAAGTTTCCGGGGCCGGTACCGTTGCTAGCCATGGCGGTGTTGTTCATAGAGACGTCGGCGTCGGCGAAAGCTCGGTTGAGTTCCTCAAGTTGAGGATCGTCAGGGGTGAAGGATTGCGGAGTGCCGTCTTCGTCGAACCACGAGGCGTGATTTTCAACACCTAGGACCTCCGATTGAAACTTCTCAAGGTCACGGCGAGTAACGTGCGTGGAGCGACGGCGATGCCCACGCGTGAAAGCCTTGGAAGGGGAGGGGGAAGTTTCGCCCTCGATGATGGCGGGTGCACTCAAACCAGGGACAGTATCGTCACTATCACTGGAGTCTGAATCAATGGCAAATTCGTCCAGGGAGCTCTGATCAGGGTCACACTCTAGTAGGCAGTCAACAAGCGTGTTGTGCTGGGAGCTCAGGCTAGCAGGTGGGGCTAGCGCCGAGTCAGCACGTGATTGTAACTCACGTGATGGACCCATTCCAACAAGCTCCCTCATCCTCTTGAGGGCACTCATTCAGATAGAAAAATAACTAGGTGCAAAGAAAACATAAAAAGAAAACACTCTAGGGAAGTCGGTTTCCCAACATATCGGTGGGGCGAAGCCTATTTCTTTCCGACCGGCGGATGAGTGTGTAAGTGTAATCGATCAATGACGGTCGAGATTTGGAGATAAAACGGGCCTCGCCCAATACGAAATGTTCAATTATGCTTCGATGTAAGGGCACGTGCTCTATGAGGTCTATAATTGAATTTCTGCAATTGATACGTACTTGCCTTTCTCATGTTTGTTGACATGAAGCTATACTATGTACCCTGGTGGAAGGTACATAGATATCGGGATTGTGGCCAGGGCAACGTACTAGAAATTCAAGTAGAAACCTAAGGAAACTACCATCTATAAAATGAATCAGAGGAATTGGCAATATGTAATCTCGTATTGCAAGTAACTTCATTGTATGCACGTGTGGGCATGGGGTATTTGGGTTTCATCAAGGCATATCCAATAGGGCTTCCAATCTCTGATCAGAGCCTGGAAGTGAGTAATCATAATTTTCAAGAGCACCGCTGCTTCTTTTCTGTTGTGCAATCCGGCCTCCAGCTCTGGCTACGAGCATGCGCATTTTCACCAATTCTTGAACAAGTTCTCCATCCTTGGTGATAAGATTGGGTTGAATGTCCTTTTGGGGATCTTCGAGTGGCTCAAGTAATCGTCGAAGATGCTGCAACTGATCAAGGCGCCGTTGCCGTTGCTGCCGTTGACTGTCGAGAGTTGCAAGCTGCTCCCGGAGCTGCTGGTACCTGTACGACTAGTGTAAGGCAGGTGAAACTTCAATCGGAGAAAATCCGGATGTTTGTTTGTCAACTGACCTTGCATGCTCCTCTTCGCTTGCTTCCTGGCTTTCCAGGTTGACAGGCATCTTTGTGATGTTCCTAACCCATATAGTCAGTGCTGTCATACCTTGTATAGAAATGGATAAAATCTTACATTCCCCTTGACAAATCCGTGGTTCTTTCGATTCCCCGGGCAAAAGCATCTCGACTGCGTGCCTCTTGGCTGACCGATGACCAGTACAAGTTTGCAATCTGTTGGGCGACATGGTGTATCGCTTGGGAGGAATAAACAACGCGATTGTGCTGTTTAGCGGCTGCATTTACTATAGGACTATGAGTATGATATTCATCGCCATATATAGGCGCAAAGCAATAGAGAATTGTGCCGTTCAATTGCGATTCGTGTTCTGACCTTTGTGTAGAACATCTTCGATCACCTTGTCACTCAGGTCACCTTCTGTAGTTTCAGCAGCATAGTTTCGCCAGTCTTCGGGTAAATCGAGGCTCTCAGAGAAAATGCGGACTTGGCTCCAGATAAATGCAGATTTCAACTCGGTTATAGTTCGAGTTGAATCCATTTCGAACACTATCCAAATGGTGTTGGAGAAGTACCATTGTCGAGTCTCCAAAAGTCCCGCGATCTTCTGAGCCCGAGCTTATCGATAAGAAGTCACGTGCATCTCCGCAAATGCCATCTTGCGAGATGGCCAATAACGATTTGGGTAATAAACTACCATAAAATGAAGGAAAGAATTTAAATAGTACGGATTAAATGATAGCTTAATCGTATTAATTGTTCTAGTAGGGTAGCAATGAAGTTTCTTGGTGTGGAGTATACCCTCGGTTTAGAGACGTACCTCGGCAGTCTGACCGTCTTTTATGTCCAGATCGCTCAGAGTAATGCAATTCGTTGCGATTTCAAGGTCATCACAACTCATTTAAAAATAAATCGCGACATATCTTGCACCCTTACTATCGCTAGCCATATTATCATTCCAAGATGGCAGAGATCAAGCGGCCAGTGGGCTTACTGTTTGACATTGGAGGAGTGTGTGTAAGTCAGCCACTTGACCCGCAAATTGAAGATATATATATCTAACGAAACTCTAGGTTGTATCTCCGTTCCAGGCTATTCTTGACTATGAAATTGCCCAAAACATCCCACCGGGATGGGTCAATTTCAGCATCTCGCGAACGGCGCCGAACGGTAGCTGGCACAAGCTTGAGCGAGGCGACATCAAGATGGACGCCAACTTCTTTGCGGGGTTCAATGCGGACCTAAGAGACCCCGAGCTATGGAAACAATTCCACCAACAACTTCAAAAGAAACAAGGCACAAGTGGTTCCACTATTCCTCCACTACCGTCAGTGGACGCAGAATGGCTATTCTGGGAGATGATGCGGGTATCTCGCACACCAGACCGATACATGTACCCTGCTCTGAAGAAATTGAGAGAGTCGGGGAAATTCCTGATGGGCGCTCTGTCCAACACCGTTATATTCCCCGATGGACACGAATACAATAATGCATCCGAGGTTAAGAAGCAATTCGACTTCTTTATCTCATCTGCGCACACAGGCCTGCGTAAACCTGACCCAAAAATCTACCAGGTGGCGTTACAAGAGATGGACACTTTAGCTAAGAGGCGAGGACTGGCCGGATCTAATCCCGACGACATTGTGTTTTTCGATGACATTGGCGAAAACCTGAAGGGGGCAAAGAAGGCTGGCATGCGTACAGTCAAAGTCACACTTGGAAAGTCCCAAGATGCGGTCAAGGAGCTGGAGAAGCTCACAGGCCTTCAGTTGTTAGACGAGGACAAGGCACGATTGTGAGGCGTTATACATAGAAATTGGTGATTTCAAGAAGAATACCAGAGTTATTATGTAGAAGGGATGGAGAATAAGAATTCCAGAACGTTTTCATAATTTTCCCAAATTTCCTGGATTTATTATTGAATTTTCTTTTCTTTTCTATAGTAAAGAAAGTTGATGTTCCCACTCGTCGCCGACCTCATTTTCTGGCGGGGGATGCAGCCACGCTAAGCGAAATCCCGCACAAAGTCGACCCACGAAATTTCTTACTTTCTCTTCTTCGTCCATCTCCAGCGCCCTCGACACCCCGTCAAAATGGTGAGTTCGATCGCTGATGGCTGAAGAGCCATTATGCATTCCTGTTGCATTTTATTTCCTCTCCGATTTCTATCGGAGCCGGGTCCCTGCAAGTTGCTTCGGCGTAATTTCTGAAGCGTTAATTGCTGACTCGCGTTGCTCTACAGCCTTTCACCAAGACCGTCAAGTCCAACGCCTACTTCAGGTGAGTTAAAAAACATTCTATCTCTGATATTTTTGTGATCTTTACTGACTTTTCAATTATAGTCGCTTCCAGACTAAGTACCGTCGCCGCCGCGAGGGTAAGACCGATTACTATGCTCGCAAGCGCCTGATCACCCAGGCCAAGAACAAGTACAACGCCCCCAAGTACCGCATGGTCGTTCGCTTCACCAACCGCGACATCATCACCCAGATCGTCTACTCTGAGGTCACCGGTGACAAGGTTCTCGCTTCCGCTTACGCCCACGAGCTCCCCAAGTACGGTATCGACCAGGGTCTTACCAACTGGGCCGCTGCCTACGCCACCGGTCTGCTCCTTGCCCGTCGTGTCCTCAAGAAGCTCAACCTTGACGAGCAGTTCAAGGGTGTCGAGGAGGCTACCGGTGAGCACACTCTCACCGAGGCCATCGAGACCGATGATGGCGAGCGCCGCCCCTTCAAGGCCTTCCTCGATGTTGGTCTTGTCCGCACCTCCACCGGTAACCGTGTCTTCGCTGCCATGAAGGGTGCCTCCGACGGTGGTGTCTTCATCCCCCACTCCGACCGCCGTTTCCCCGGTTACGACATCGAGTCCGAGGAGCTTGACGCCGAGACCCTCAAGAACTACATCCACGGTAGCCACGTCTCCGAGTACATGGAGAACCTTGCCGATGAGGATGAGGAGCGCTACAAGTCCCAGTTCGTCAAGTACATCGAGAACGAGATTGAGGCTGGTGACCTTGAGGAGATCTACTCCGATGCCCACAAGGCCATCCGTGAGGACCCCTTCAAGGCCGATGAGGATGCTGGTGCCAAGAAGACCAAGGAGGAGTGGAAGGCCGAGTCCAAGAAGTACAAGGTCGACCGTCTCACTCACGCCCAGCGCAAGGCTCGCGTCGAGGAGAAGATCCGCAAGCTTGCTGCTTAAGCGTCTCGCTTCCTATCTTTTTGACCAAAAGTTCCTACCACTTGAGGGGATAAGCTACTGCCGGCGTTTTATTCATGTGACGTAGTTTTTGACGGATCATGGCACATACCACTTTTTATTTTTATTATCGGAAGGGGTCTTTTTTCCTGGGAGCAATTAGTTCGGTGTTCATTCAAGGCAATTTCTTTACTCAGTTCTAACTGCTCCCGAATGTCCATCTGTCTTGTTCCCTCATTTGCCTCCTTGCATCTGCCAGTAGATGGGATTTGTAAAGTAGCCCAAGTAATATAATCCAAGTAGCATAACCCAAGTAGTATACCCCAAGTAAGATTGTATGATTATTTTGCATCATGCCATTGTCTCCAATTTAGTCCAAGTAAAAAGTAGCCCACAATTATATTAAAATTAGATCAACGCCAATGCTCAAGCGCCAATACTTGTGACTAGTGGCTTCTTCCCCCCATGAATACATTGCCAGCACACATGGTGGCTGTTCAAACTAGCAGCAAGGATGCAAAAAGAAAAAAAAAGAGGCTAGATAGTTCCATCGTCATCAATCCCCGCTTTAAAAAGCTGTGTGGTCCCCGAAACATTGCAATTACTTTACCCCCTGTATATATATATATCCCTCAGCTCCATACAACATACCATGAAAAGATATCAACAACACACCCACGCAAGCTGGCACCACGCCTACGCAGATAAAGATTGCCCCTGGTGCAAAACCCCTCACCGGGCAGAAAGCACAACACCTCACCGAAACCGCAAACAATCCGCAAAGGGCTCAGACAATGGCAGAACCAGCAGAGCAATTGCTACATCGACACCAGTCGGACGTCGGATAGAGCAGGGCTCTCACGTCCCTATCGAAGATGAGGCCATCGGTACCCCGCTCCCACAGACTCCAGATTCAGCTCCGTACGCGAATGAAGATACACCAGGGCAGGAATCAGATTCAAATTACCCGCTGTATAAGGGCCGCACTTCCAGGCCGGATGGATTGAATAATGCGTTCGCGTCAGATACACCGCGTCCGCCGCTTCCCGAGGAGTGGACGAAGGAGATTGAGGATCGGGAACATGGGTAGGTGTTTCTAGTTGATGGATTTGGTTACAGCTGGGTTTGTCCTTGTGCTGACGGAGTGTTGTCAATAGTGCTGCGGAATGGACCCCGCCGGCTGCGGAAGATTGGCGCTCTGGGCTAGATACGTCTGGGGAGTTTCGAATGCCCGGTGCTGACAAGATTGAGTCTCCGGAGCTGAGTGTGAGGGAGTTGGAGAAGACTGATTGAAGTAGATCGAGTCAAATATTCACATTAAAACACAGATACAAGATCTTGCTCTGCTCAAGTTTCTATTATACATAATTTACTCTATTATAACCCCGTTCTAACTCTTCACTCTCCTTGGCGTATCGTCATCAGCGATGCATGATTGAGTCACTCTTCTGGCTGTACATCTTCGATCCTTCCCCCGGCGCGAATTGCAGCCCTGCATCTTTCAAGGTAGCGGTTCTTCTTGGCCTGCCTTTCCTTGAATTCCCTGCGGAGTCTCCTAGTTTCGCTATTATGCCTCGGTAGCTGAGCCAGTAGTGATCTGAACTTCTCTCCATTGGCTTTCGACTCGGCTTCTATAAGAAGCACTAATACCATTTGCGCTTCGGATGTCCATCCATTCTCCTGATCCTCAGTCTGTGCCATCAGTGAATTCGCAGACTCCTCAAGGTCATCGAGAAGCATTCTTTCGTTTTTTTAATGCTGCGAGGGCTTCTTTGCATTCCTCGCTCGATCCCTGGAGTAGGAGGGCCTTGGCCTTGCGGTTGCCAATACTGATCTCTGTCCGTGCCTTGTCTAAGAAGTCGAGTTCTTGGTTCATATCTGGTTGTTGGGATTGAGGTTGAGACTGAGATTGGGCTTGTATCCGCGTCCTTTCCAACACGCGAAGTCCTTCGGCGATATCCAGTCGCGGAGGCTGATCTAGACAGTAGGATTGAGGCTGGGCTCCTGTCTCTGATCCAAGACCAGGACGAGAATAGGTACCAGAATCAGATTCAGACTGACAACCAGATTGAAGTTGAAGCTCTATATTCCTAGCTCGAGCTGGGTGTGCATACCAAGTCTTGTCACGAGCACGGCGCAGATCTGCAGCCATCATCTGGAATATCTTGCAGAAATCATCGGGTTTTTCCCACAGAGAACCATTCTTCCTTTTGTAGGCACGAAGCAGCCCCTGATGATGACCGATCCTTCGTGGGTTGCCAGTCATTGCTGCATTCTCAAAATTGTGATCAAGCTCCACCTGCTCAAGGCGTGGATCGGGGTATTCCTTCTTAAGCTGCTCCAGCGCTTCCTCTGATTCAAGTATTTTCCAACATATCCGTGTTCGACTGTACTCCAATGCCAGGAGAAGGAAAGGGCCATCATTGCCGATGATGCGAGAGAGTATAGACTTGGCCGTTTGCCAATCATCCTTCAACTCGGCTTCCTTGGCTTGTTCTTCGAGTTCTTTGTTGGTTTGTATTTGAATGTCGCGAGCTACGTCCAATTCCTCAAGGAGTGGTTCAAGAACTGCGTCGTCCGAGATCTGAAGCAGCAGAGGAGACTTCGCGTTGTCAAAGTCATGCCGCTCTTTTGCTTCGTTACTCTTCGTTATCAGGTCTTGCATGGAGTCCCTCGTGGAGAGAGGTTGAGTATGTGTGCGCACAGTAGATCTAGCCGGGCCGGTATGTCGGGGCCGCGCGGCATAACGTACGGGCAAATCATCTACCATCGGGGATAACATGTTAGCATGTCTTAGTAACGCTCGAGCAATGATATAACATACCATCCGAACTGATCTCAACATCAAATCCAGTCTGTGTGAATGTTCGCTTTGCAGCTGCCTGCCCAGGAAGACTCCCTACCGGGCCTTCAAGTACTGGGGGCCTTGAATTCAACTGGGCCAAGTTGCTTTGAGACATACCACCTGAACTGATCCTATCATGGAATCCAGCCCGTGAGAATGTTATCGTTGCAGTGCCTTGACCAGGAATACTTGCTACCGGGCTTGGAAGTACTGGGGACCATGAACTCGACTGAGGCACGTCGTTTCCATCGGACGGATACCTGATGGAATGGATATGGGAACGAAGTTCATCCAAGAGTGGTACTATTTGAGATCCACGATCACTCACAGTCACATAACGCATCTTTGTCTGCGTAAACGTCCTGACTTGCTTCCAGTGCCAGCCTGCAACCTCCCAAAATTGGTCAGCAACACGGTGCCAAAAGTCGGTATTGCCTTGCAATTTTGCGTAACGGCTTTTGTGCACAAGACAGATTTGAAACAAGATTAGCTGTTGATCAAAGCTCAACGAGAGCAGTCCGGGGCGGTCCCACCGATACTCTCGGATCACCTGCCGTCTGGAGGTTAGCATACATGGGTCGCGAGGTATCGCAGGTAGTGGCGACGAAGATGGACCAGGGCCTGGACAATCACGGAGCTCTGCCTGCATACTTTCTGACGAAGGCGGTTGTTCAGCAATGTGAACTTTCCGAGCCTGGCTTCGATATGCAGTTAGAGATTGCACATCCAGAGCTGGGAGACCGTACCATGCCCTGTCACAGGCATCGCGCATATCTTCAGCCATCATCTCGAACACCTTGCGGAAATCATCGGGCTCCCTCCAGAGAACACCTGTTCCACACATCTTTTCTCCAACAAAAAGACTATGCAGGTCAGTGGCTCTCTTTGGGGGCCCATTCTGTTCCGCGTATTCAAAATATCGTGTGAATTTCACCTGTTCGAGGCGAGGATCGGGATAATCCTTCTGAAGCTGAACAAGTAATTCCATGTGCTCGTCCTTGTGACTTAACCGTCCCTCGCTATATGCTAATGCCGCGAGGAGGAACTTGCCGAAATCACTTTTGATACGAGATAGGAAAGATCTTGCCTTCTCCCAGTCACCGTTCATCTCCGCTTCCTTGGCTTGCCTTTCCAAATCCTATTCCATCTCATAGAATGTTGATCGGTCCGCTTCCAGTTTTCTGAGGAGTGGTCTGGAGACCGTTTTTTTTTCGGAATGCTGAGCAGCAAATCCCTGGCTTCATTCCAGTTACCGCGCAATGCTTCTTCTCCACTTCGCTTTTCTTGCCAATCGTAGAGATCAACTGATGGATTCTCAGGCTGAGCAGACAACAAGCTCACAGCTTCAATATGGCCATCGCACCTCTCTGCACTAACACCGGCTGATGAGTTCAAGAGGATGCTTTGAAATCTTTCGCGATTCAGTTCAAGAAGTGACGATAGAGAAGTAAACTTCTCTTGGTCATCATTGTGCAGGGCTTCTGCAAGCTCCACCATAGGCTCTAATGTCAGGTGGGCCGATGCAAGTTGCGGGTTCGAAAGTATTGACTTAGCCCTGCTAAAGTCCCCCTTAGCCAAAGCCTCGTTACACTTGAATAATGCCACTAATGCTCTGGGTCTCTTGCCTTTCATCTGAGACACCAGAGAACATGCCTTGGTCAAGTCACGATCAACGAATTGTGCACTACAATCTCCTCTTGGAGATCTTTGTTATATTTGTACTGTATTGCTTGTCTCCTCTCCAACGCCTTGAGAAGTCGGCCCGATCTCCATTTATTTTCCATTAGGAACAGCGACGATTTCACTTTTTCCCAATCGCCGTCACTCTCTGCATTTGCGCTTTCCATTTCGTGGTGCTTCTCCCTTTGGTCATGCAGTGCTGCACTGGAATCCAATTCCTTGAGGCATTGTGCGGCTTTCTCCTTATTATAGATGTGAAGTAGGAGCCACCTGGCCTGGTCAAAGTCATAGCACATTTCTGCTAACTTGCTTCGTTTTAATATGGCTTCTTCGATGTCTTGTTCAGACATACTTTCTTCAGGAATAGGCATCGTAGATCGGTATACGTGGCTGGGCCGTCTAGTCTGAGCCATACATTTGACCTGAGAAATTTGTTTCGCCATTTCCCATGAAAGTGCTTCGATCCGGTAACCATCAGGGTCGACAGGGCGAATGGTATGATCCGCCGTGCGGTATTTTGACATCCGATCTTGAAAAATAGACCTGAAATCTATTGTGTCCGAACCAGGGATATGCTTGGATTCCCTATGTACCGCATTCCAAAAGTTGATATTGCCGGACGTCTGTTTGTATAAATATCCGTACTTTACGCATATTCGAAGGAGAGCTACCGCTAGAGACGGGGAGTTCTGTGACTGAAAAGAGTACCGATTCGGAGGACTGGCCCATTCTGATCCTTCTATGCTCGAGATTGGGGAAACGATATCATGAATTACCGTTGTTTGTGGTAGTCTTGACATTGTTGAGGGGAATGGTACGTATTGGCGATGGAGATAGGATTCAGCCTAACCCGTTGAACATAATTAGCATGCATAGCATTGACAAGGATTAGTTTCTAATAATGGACAACCCACTTGCAGCTGTCTAGTCCGATATAAGGACAATGCGGTAGGGGTGTTAAGTGATGTTGAAATGTGGGGAGATATGCGGCACGACGCGACGCGACGAGTTTGAGTGATCGAACTCGGGAATATGACAGGTCCACCTCACTGAAATTGACCAAGAATGAAAGATAAGCGAATCTCCTTGATGAGGATATATTTTGAAAAATCGCAGTTTAAGTCCATGGGTCCCGGGGACTCACGGTTTACAGTGATTTGCCTAATGTCCCTCTATAGGTACCGATTACGAGTCGATCTGATCTGATACTGGAACTCTCAGTTGAATGTTAGATGTTGTCAATGCAGCCTTTACAAACGATTTTTGTCCCGGAGATGGGATTTGGAACTGATATCACTCCCATAGGAATATGGAAGGGATCTGATCTATCATGCCTCTGAATTTTTTAGTTTAGCACTAATTCCTAATGCCGTCCTATCTAGAAGGTGACTATTAGCTATAGACTTTTACCGGTTTTTTTAAAACGGCAATAACCGCCTACGTAGAAGAGAATTTATAATTCTTGACAACCTCTAAATATATATAGTTTCTACTCTTGGATTCCTTTGGGGTTTATGCCTAAGGGGTTGTGTTATACTCTACGATATATAGTTCGAGTTCGGGAGTTTACTCCCATAGGAATTCACCATCTCCTAGATCCTACATTCATAGAGTCCTAACAATAAGAGCGAAATCCTTAGTATTTACCACCGCAAATTTCATTTACTCCATTAAGACGTAAGCTATGGTGAGATTTAAATTCTCAGAATGGGCGTTGTGCCCAGACAACTCGTACAGCCGCGTATCCCCCCTTCTCTCTCAGCTCATCAGCTAAGCGAGGGATGTATGAGTCAAATCCAGTAGGGTTCATTCCGTCGATATCGTTGTTATGGCCTAGTCTGACCATTAGCAATCCATATGAATTACATAAGAGTTGCTTCAATAATCGACTGGGTTTAGTCCTGAGGTAAAACTTACGTTTGTAGGAATTTAGGAATTGAGAAGCAGTGTGACAATATGCTTTCACTGTTTGCTCACGCATGTTAGGCTCTGGGCATTCGGCGCCAAAAGAAACAGGGGCCACCATAGTTCCGACACGGTTGAACCCAGCTTCCCTTAACGCTGATTCGAGTCCTCCATTCTGGAATCCCAAGTCCGAGCCCGAGTTAATGGCAAAGATTTTGACCAAATTCGCGAACCGCTTCACTTGAGGACCATTCGGTTCAGAAGAGATGTCCTCCGGTTCCACTAGCTGGATCCAGCCACCTGGCTTGACCAAACCGAGAAGCGCAGAAACGCACTCTTTATAGTTTGGGATCCCGCTAAGGGTAAAGCGTTGGTGCACAAGATCGAAAGACTGAGCCCATGAGTCGGGAAAAGGGCCCACAGAGTTTTGCACAAATAGTTTCATCCCTTCAGGCTTTTCTGGGAACCTTTCACCCGTGATATCAGTCCCAATCAATTCACATGTTTGACGATGAAGCAAAGAAGGACCAATCTCCTTCAGCCAGTAGCCTTGAAAGTTTTAAATTAGCTCCAAAATCCCGACGAAGACATGAATAGTGTTTCTACCGTCTGAGGTACCGGCGTCAAGGATTCTGAGGCCTTCACGCGAGATGTCCATTGGAGCCAATACTAATTTTCCCATTCCAAGCTTGACAGCCTGGTGCTGCCCAGCTAGACGTTCATTCTCCTCGGGAACATCGAATTCGTACTTGTAACTTTCATCGGAAGTCATGTTCAACAGAGTAAACGTTTGTTCAGGCTGTCGTGAAAACGAAAAACAATGGAAGGGCCAAGTCCTCACAAATTGATTCACATGTGTCTTTGGCTAGAGTAACGATGATGCATGCATCATATAGCAGGTCAATTGGTGGGCAAGGACGAGTTTAAATAGTTCAAGTCGGGATGAGCTTTATTGCGCCTTTTTACTGGTACTAAAGGTCTAGAATTCTAGCATGCGTTATTTTGGGAGAAGAGTTTATCTCCATCAAAGGCATATACACGACATCATATCTCATCATCAAGTCCATAAAAATAATACTTCGGTGCATAACCTATCTATGATGCAATATAACCAGCCATCAAACTACGGGTTGCAACAAAGTAAACGGAACCAGAGCAAGGCCAGATGGTTTGATCATGAGGCCTTGTCTAGATGGTGGCTCCGAACCAGCGGGATCCCAAGACACCAAAAGAAATTGCAAGGTTAAGCAGGCGTCCTTCACAACCTCTTGAATAGTGACTTTTTTTTGAAGAACTTGGAATACAGTAGACTTTGGTTTTGGGATAGGTTCGTAGCTGGTATTCGTTTCCCTTGCGCCAATCAAAACGGACTGGAGTTACCGGATGCCATATGAATTCCTACAGGCTTGAATTAAAGTCTGGTTATAGGGGGAAATCAAAGATGTTCCAATCATATAGGTTTTTTATCATCCTTGCTTGATTACTGCCTTCCCAAAATTATAAATGGGACATATTATGCCCAATCCTGTAGCCTTGCCGCACTGCCTATGATTTCTCTTAACTCTCCTCCCATCGGTCACTTAATACCTTCACTTTAACTTGAGACTTAGTTCTAGCCGCAAATCGATCAAACGACTCTATACTGGACTCGTCGGTCTCGAACAAGGTCATCTCGAATCGTGAAAACAAGTATGCAATACTTGCGTACATCTCGAGATACGCCAAGCTGGGGTATTGACATTAGTTTTCTTTCATATGGTAAGTGGGGTTCCGCTGGTTGAGATGAGACATACTTCATACCGATGCATTGTCGGGGTCCTTTGCTGAACGCGATATTCCACTTTTCCAAAGCCAGGCCATCTTTACCTAGCCACCTCTCAGGGTTGAAGTCACCGGGATTAGGAAATATACTGTCGCTCATTTGTACAACTCGATGCGACAGCGAGACTGTAGTCTGCGAAAATGTTACCTCATAGGTCCCAGAAATGTGGTTTGGTCACTCACCCCTCCTGGTACATATATCTTTCCAATCTCCATGCCTTGGGCAGGGACTAGTCGTGGGAGACCTCCAGGGGCTGCAACACTCAGACGGAGAGCTTCCTTGATTACTGCAGTCTTTGGAAGATTAGAAGGAGTCTTTACACGATGCAAAACCAGATGCAAAAGCAAGATATATTTACCAGATAAGGCAATTGTTGAATTTTCCTCAAGTCCGTCGTTGTACGGATAAAGGGTGCAGCCTCGTCCAGTTCGGCGCGGAGTTTAGCCTTAACATCTTTCAGAGTCAGGATATAGTATGTCGCATAAGCGAGCGTATAGCTCGTTGTATCCATGCCCGCGATGATATAGTTAAGACTGTCGTCAACTAGTAAATCGCGATCAAATTTCAATTCATCCTCTTTCGATTGGGCATTCACAATTAGGTCATAGAATGTAGGTCGATTGCCGCTTGTTTCTCCCAGAGAACAGCGATTACTGGACTCTGCATACCAACTTCCAAGTTTCTATTGACAATTATTCTGTTAATATGACACAGCGAATGTTAGATGACGATCAAGATAGTGACATTACCTCTCGGTAGCCCAGCCACCCAGGAAGAATCATGTCGATGACAAAGCTAGGAAACGCTGCGACGACACTGTTTATGACAGGGAAATGCATTTCTTGATCATGTCAGTTACTGAGTTATCGCGTGGTTTGGACATGAAAATTCCATACTCAGCCATGTTATGGCGCTGAATCGATCAACACTTTGCATCAGGTCGTGGTACGCATCAGGGGTCTCAACCAAGTTGAGAGATTTTCCAAACATCAGCTCGCAGACCATATCGGCCTAAATCCCTCATGAAGGGGGAATAGTAAGCAGGAATATCGGCCGAAATATGGGAAGAATGCTGACCTACCGATACAGAACGAAAAACGCGCTGAATTATAATGGGCTTGTTTTCCTTCATTTGCTTGGACATATATTCAGCCACATTTTGTAACTCAAGGGCCATAATTGGGCCCAGCTCGTTGGTTGTTCTAGTTGAGAACAATGAATTGATGATATTGCGGTAAGCTCGATGTTGTTCCGGGTCCGTAATTGTTAAAATTGCTCCATCAAGGCCAAGGCGCTTGTAAAATGATGGATCTTTGTTGTATTGAGTTCCAGAGCAGTAAATCCTATATTATGTTAGGACACAAAGCGCCTTCATGGATCACCGGGAACACTGTACTCAGGATAAAGACTTTCATCCGCTACGTGCACATGATTGATGCCAATGCGGATGACCGGGGAATCTACCTCACGTTAGTCTAAATCTTTCTGCATTCCATGCTTTACTTACTATACTTCTTGTGCAGCTGTAGCCACTGGCTGGAGTAGGTACCATCATGGATGACATTATAGTAAAAGTCATACCACCTACTCACAGCAGCCAGGGGAGGACCGGGTATACCACTCAAGGGATGGAAGTAAAGGCGTGCAATAACTTTCGCGACAATATAAGTCAGACATACACATGACAAGAACAGAATAGAAGACCCAATCCCAGAATACCCAAGGCCATCTGGGATGGTGTGCTTCAATTCGCTAATGTAGTGGTATGCTGCCTTGACGATACGCATATTTGCAAGATGGGTGTCGAAATAGGTGCTTGGTAAACTCTAGTTTCAGACAAGGGGCTACCTCCCATATATGGGATCTATATTTGTTGCTCCTGTGTCAGGTAGTCATTGAATCATCACTACGCCTCGCATCCCTATTCAGAAGCCATGTTTTTATTGATAGGCTAGTCTGAATAATCTAGAACTTGTTATTATAACGAATTATCATAAATGCGCCATATGAGATATTAAATTTCGTTAGGTACACCGTCATTATCAGGAATAGAGGGTACTCTATACGCAAGTGATCTAAATATTGTTTTGTTTGAACTGATACTAAGAAAAGTCGTTGCCGTAAGCTTACATCACAAAGTAGCATGTCAAATGGAAAGTGTGTCCAGAACGCGCTGGACCAAATGTGTGGATCTTTCGGGCAACTGACTATCCATGGATAGGCTTAAGCTTATTTTTGACATTCGAGCCGAAGGGCCGAGCCGGAATTCCGACCGCCGATCCTACCCTTAAAGGGAGCTGTGTTTTTTTTTTGTTGAAATTCTACTTACTAGTCATTCCTCACTCCGCTTATCCCCAACTTATTTTGATAATTCTGGTAAGACCTTGCCTGCCGGGAATTTATATTTGCACATACCTTACTTAGAAAAGAGAAATGTCATACACAGTCCTACCGTTTGGTGCAACTAGCGCTTCCCAAAAGCGCGAGAACTACCCACTTCTCTTGTCAGACATTGTCCGCGATTGTACAGATGCCATCGATTCACTCACGCTATTTGAAGAACTTGTGTCTTCTCAAAATCACGAAAACAATGCGGCGGGATTTAAAGCTTTTGACGGTCATGTGGGAGAGACTGCATGCCATATACGTGCTGGAATACTACTGGAGATTTATTCCTTTTACCAAAAGGGACCTCATACTGAAGTTGAGCATCCAAGAAAAGATTCACAAATTTCTTCCTATATTGAACGACTGGAGGTCACACGAAAGAATGCCCAAACCATCTGCTCAAAACTCACTTCAGAAAACACATGTCCGAGCAGGCTCGGTTTCGGCTCAAAGTTCGACGCAATGGACAAGATTATTACATCACTGGGTTGGATAGAGCCCGGAGACCACCCAGCCTCCAACGATTCCGAGGTTCCAGAGTGGGATGTGGAAAATCACCACATTGTCATTCGATATTTGATTGGCATGTTCATATTGGGGAAGTACAGACAGTGCTGCAAATCACCTACCCAAAGCATCGTGATCCGTCTTCAGCCGAAAGATGCCGCTGCCTATGCCTCCCGGTTGATTTCGGCATTCTGGGATCAAAAGAATAGCCTATACAAGACAACAGGATCTAATCGGTTGGATGTCCGATTCAAAAACCTTCAAAAATGGATATCAGCTATCTCATGCTCTTGGGTCCGGATCTGGGCAGCCAGGCTTTCCTTCTCTGAAGTTGCACAGAGGTAAGTACATATCTACTTTGATCAAAACGTTGATATTGAAAGCAAAATTATAGGCTAGTCGACAATTCGATAAAGAAGTCCCCAAAAGGCCACCTTGTAATCGCCGCATACGTTGGATTTCTTGTCTGCCGCCGTGCTTGGGCAGCAAACAATTGGCCTGTGCTGTTAGTCGATCGGCACTTCTGTTCTGAAGGTATTTATTAACTCATCTTAAAACTCCTCGCGTGTTGATAGCTAATTTTCAGCTAGGCTATCACCTGAACGCATACATAGCAACGCTCCAGGGGTCAAGAACACAACAAGATCTGGGACACCACATTATCCCGGAACTTCACTGGGAGTTAACACCTGTGACGTTTGATGAGCTTCAGGATGCTACGCTGAGGAATGTTCCGATGATTTGCATCTTGGGTAACAGTATTCATGGTCCACACGAAGAATATATCGCCAGAATTTCCGATGGACCGCCAGAGGGCAGTTCCAAGCCCCCTGAACCACCGCCTACACACGGTTCTTGTGCAGAAAACACAGAGCACCAGAAAATCTTCATTGGAATGGATCATGATCGCCTGTCTCAAGCAATCCTTGCTGACCATCGAGCCTATCCTTTTCCATTGTCATCGCCCACATCGGGAGATGATGACGGACTATATTTGTTGGATATCATACGCTCCACTTTACCTAACGACCTCATTGATAAGTATTTTCTCAGGTCAAGGTCGGAAGTTAATAATATCGGAGGAGGAACAAAGGACATGGGTACCTTCCGCTGGGAGCATATATTTGCTGAACATCCAGGGCGACTTGCAGATATGTTGCAGAGCGGCATGGCTACCGGACTCTTTGCTTGAACTTTGCACTAAGGATGTCATATGGAATACTATATCAATGATGAAATCCAGAGGGGCGGTGGATCTGGGGGCAGTGTGTGGAGGAGGCTCACTATGGACGATCCGATTGTCGAATCTGATGTTTGAAGAATTCTGCTTATACGTGATGATCAGGGGCTAAAAAAAGAAAAAAGGTGTCGATATTACGAGATTATAAGAGAAGCAATTGGAGAAGTAGGTTAGAAATATTGTGGATTCAACTTTGTGGCCTGTTATAAAGCATGAAGTCCATAGGAACCCCGGGACTTGCGGAGAAGGCAAGCTGGAAAAGAAACCATGTTCTCGTATGACAAATGGATATTATATCAAATGGTATGTGCCAATTACCAATCCCATTTAGTCCAGGAAAGACAGCAGCACCTTGTAAAACGCCTTAGGGTCCTGGAGGAAGGGGGCATGGCCCAGACCTGGGAACATGTGGAGCGTGCAGTTGGGAATCATGGCTGCGGCAGCAGGACCAAGTTCGGCATAATGGCCCAGCTTCGAAGCGATGGCAGGGGGTGACCATGCCTTGCCAAGTGCCGAAACATCGTTATCTCCCACAAGGAGGTAGGTACGTGTCTTCAGGACAGGGAATTGGTGGATGACAGGCTGGCTGAGCAAGGCATCAGTGACGAGGGCCATAACGTACGAATAGTCGGAGCCATAGTCGCCGGCATAGATGTCGGCTAGCATGTGGACCCAGGTATCATACTCAGGCTTCCAGGGGGCATTGGCGAAGTAGCTGGCGTGCTCATACGCCTTGAGAGTGGTAAAGTTCTGCCCAAGTCCGCTCTGGTACGACGCGTCGACTGATAGGTAGGACACACCCTTGGCTACCCAGTCCTCCAGGCCGAGGGGATTGACGAGGAAAAGTTGTTGGACGCTGGCCGGGTACATGAGGCCGTAACGGGCGGCAATCATGCCACCCATCGAATGGCCGATCACAGTGACTTTATCAATGCCAAGCGCAGTCAGCAGACTGTGAATGTTCAACGCCTGCTGGTTTACGTTGTAAGAATAGCCTTGGGGCTTGCTCGACTTGCAGAAGCCGATGTCATCGGGCAGGATCACTCGGTAGCCGGCTGCCGACAGTTGGCGCGCGGTGTCGGACCATGTGACGCCGCAGAAGTTCCCACCGTGCAGCAGGACCGCTGTCTTATTATTCTTATGGTGCTTCTTTGCTGGGATGTCCATGAACGCCATCGAAAGCTTCTGGCGCTGATTGAAGAAGTTGAACTGCTTCACTGGCCAGGGGTAGGGGTAGCTGGAGCCGTATAGATCTGCTGGCACATGGCCATCGTAGATGGTACCAATTGGGTCGGGGTCAGACTGTGCGCAGACAACAGCCGTACACGACAGCACCGCTGTGAAGGCACTGACGACGGAGAAGAACTTCATCTTGTTGCTCGTAGAAGGAGCAGGTTCTCTTAGTGCCGTTTAAAGAGCACTGTTGCTCTCTATCAATTCTATAAGAGGAAAGTAGTCTGCAAACATATATATATGAAAAATATTTTAGTGCAAAATAAAGGATCTCAGTGTAGTCCAGGGGCACCGATTCCGTGTTGCTACCCTACGGTCCCTACCTATATGCAGTTAGTTGCTCCGCTAGTGGCCGACTATTCCGTACAGCCTTTCATGTTTCGCTATTCGACCCGGATAAGGAATTTTTAATCAAAAGAAATTTAACTAACACGAACTTGGTGCTTTTAATCAACTGCAATTTTACTAGCACGTATTTGGTGTAGTTAGGTTGAAGAAGTAAATACGATTGTTGGCCTTGACCAATGAAAATCGGCCACCAGCAACTCCCGAATTAGCGCCGTTAACGCCATGCATGAAAATTAATCAATACTCGCGACTTTAGTAAAAAAACCTCTGCAAGTTCTTTTTAACAAATGTCTCGGATAAACCGGGCGAAGGATCCGATTAGGCCATGCTATGTTAGTCGATGCCAAGAGGGAAAAAAAGGTCCAATAGAACCCTTGTCAGTATCGGTAACTCTGCTACAGAATACGCCATCCGCTATGCCGGTAATGGACGGAATACTTATGCAGGGAAGAGGGAGAAGGGAGGAAGACTCAATCGCTTTCACAAGATCATACCTACCTCCAGGCGACCTCTAGCAATTTGCTATGTCGGAAGACACTCCAGGTCCAAGCAGGGCTTTGCAGATCCAAGTGCCATGTATCGTATTTCTTGTCACTACGCCAGCCTTTGTGGCGATCCGACTGTGGTCCAGAGCCAAGTCCAAGTCAGGCCTGGGCTGGGATGACTGGACCATTTTGGCATCTTCTGTGAGATTTTCATGAGATTGAGCTGCCTCATACAGATCTAACAATTCTATCAACAGATATTTGCGGTAATCGTCATGGCCTTCATGCTGGGGTCCTGCGCCTATGGCTTTGGCCAACACATCGCGAATCTCACAGCACCGCATAAGATAATGACCCTGAAGGTACGTTAGGGATTTTGTCCTCGCTGCAGGCCTCCAGTTCTATCTCGTGGATATGGGTAGCTTTTTTTATTTTTATTTTTAGCTCCGTATTGGGTGCTAACTTCAGTCCTGCCAGCTCTTCTTCGTCAGTCAAGCTTTTTACAAGCTCACCATGAACATGACAAAGATGTCCATCTTGTTGCTATATTTGCGCATTTTTATCCAACGTTGGTTTCGCATCACCTGTTATGTGCTCTTGGTTATCATCACCTCCTACATGGTGGCCGCCTTCTTCGCCTCCGTATTTCAATGCACACCAGTGGCGCGAGCCTGGGATAAGACCATTTCAGGATCATGCATTCACATAACCACCAACTGGTATGCTAATGCCGGCTTCTCGATCGCTACCGATATCATCATATTGGCGCTGCCAATGCATCCGCTCTACAAATCGAAGATACAACCGAGGCGGAAAATCGCCCTGATGCTTGTGTTTGCCCTCGGCGCCTTGTGAGTCCTAAATATCTTGGTGCCGCAGCAGAAGGCGTTCTTAAGACTGACCCGGAGTTTCCAAGTGTCGCCGTTACAAGCATTCTCCGGATGCAGACCCTAGACTTCTCGTCCAGCAGTCCTGACACTACCTGTAAGTGTCCTCGTCGGTCCTTCCGGGTTGCTCTTAGCCGATGACTTACGAGATACCTCTATAGACGATCTTGCCTCCTCAGTATGGACGATAATCGAAGAAAACATGGCAATAACCTGTGCCTGCCTGCCGATGATGTGGGCGCCGCTTGCCAGGATCTTTCCCTCCTTCTTCTCCATCGATGACCGGGCCAACAGCTATGGAAGCTCGGCTGTCAGGACCTTGGAACCTAACGCCACATCGCGCTCTCGAAGCAACTGGTCCAATTTTAATGCGTATCCTGATACTAAGGGCAGCATCAGCATGAATCAAATCAGCGATTCTGAAAATCGAACCTCGGAGGATAGCATGGGCCAGATCCTACAGTCTGGCCAGGGCAGCCGATCACAGCATCAAAATAAATAGGGTATCAGGAGGGTCACCGAATATGATGTCTCTTATTCTAACGCGAAGTCGCCTTCGAGCTGAATAGACAGATGTGGCGTCCTAGATATCCGAAGAGTGAGTTCGTCATCTTACGCTTGATCCTACCTAGGTAGGTAAATTCATTTCATGGACCGGCCTTGGGGAATAATCGAGTGGAAAAGTAAAGGAAGGGGAGTTATGCCCCCAGTACATGCTCATCCACCTTCCCAGAATGAAAAGTTCCTGCTTTTCTACTTATAATAGAGATTCAAGTGGAAGTCGTCGTTTTTATTCCCATTTACAGTCACTTTTAGGGACAATTCCCTCCAAAACTCGACTTCGAGTAGATTTTGATCAATGGACATGGTTCTATTCCATGGCCAGTTAGTTAGTTGATGGCCTCGACCGAACGGTCCCTGAAATTTGAGGCACCATATATTTCCTAAAGGGGTTAGCCGAATTATGTCACTATCATCCTTTGTTGACCCTGAGCAATGTTTGCTTCTTTCCCCATATAGGCTCCCTCTTCATTTTCACTTTCTTCACCCAGACAGGCTTTTCCCTCTTCAACTTGATCATCTTATCTCGCAATGCAGCTATATCTAATCCGCCACGCCGAAACAGTGCATAATGTTGGAAAAGTCCTGTAGGAGCTCATATCTCTGAATTGGCGTTCCCACTTGTCTTTGACTGATTATCTATGATAGCGCGGGTACCACTGACTCCGCACTGACCAGCCATGGGATGGCACAGATTAATTGCCTTGCTCAGCATTTTGTCTCCACTTCAACCAAATTCACGACGGCGTTCTCTTCAGACTTGAGTCGAGCAAGAATCACAGCCGAGGGGGTCTGCCATGCACAAGTTTCAGCCGGTGAAACACCCTTGCAACCGATATTGACTCAGATGTTAAGAGAGAAGGATTATGGATCAATGGAGGGCCGCTTCTGGAAAGACTCTCCTCCTTCACCAAGGCCGCGGGACTGGGTCATCCCCGAGTCAAAAGAGTCGATGAGAAAAAGGGCTAAAGCTTTCTTCCACGAACACCTGCTCCCACTATTGATGCGTGACCCACATAGCCGACAAAACATCGCAGTCGTTGCCCACGGCATTATACTACAAGAACTATCGACATATTTATTTGAGATATTCGATTCAGCGGATACCAACATGACTACGCTTCATAGGAGGCCTGTCTGGTCAAATACCGGCTACATGACAATACAGATTACCCCAAACCCGACAGAAAGGACCGTGCTGCCTACTGTCATGACAGGCTTTGCATTTGTGGTGCTGGGTATTGATGACAAGAAACATCTCACCAATCTCCACCGCACTAGGGGTGGTGTTGGAACGGCCGCGCATGACGTGAAACAAAGAAAGATTGACCAATTCTTCCGATAATCGACCGTCTAATAGAGAATCTGTGGCTATGTACAAGTTCAACCGTATTCACAATGGTCGAATTATTTAGTCTGTGTGGAACACTTCCTCCAAAGGCTTCCACCACCCTGGGCCCTCGGCACTGCCCACGGCTCCGGGAATAGGGCTCTCCTAATGCCAAGTTCTTCGGATTAGCGTCTGTATCTCTCCATTTGTGTTAGATCGTCAACATACCTGCATTCCATCAGTCATACTCCACCACTCTTTCATCTTCGGGAGTGATGCCATGCTCTTCATATCAGCTTCATAGTCTGTGCCGACATACTTGAAGGTCGCGAAGAGAGTCCGATCATTATCGAAGTAGATTGAGTCTGCATCGTCGCAAATATCCCATGTCAGCATGCTTGAACATACAGTATGCTTATACATATCTTGACATTGAAACTTACAGTCTACGATGTTGCACTCCTTGATCTTTTGAAGGATTTCAGGCCAGACATTGGCGTGGCACTCCTTGTATGCGGCGACAGCGGAGGGTTTGAGGTGGACGATTTGGGCGAAGCGGCGGGCTTGAGGTTGAGCCATGATGATATGTTTAATATAGATCGAAGTGAGCTTCAAAGATTTGCAATTAGAGCAGAATTTAGAAAAAAAAACTAACAACTCATTTATGCCCCTCCTCGCCCCAGCTTCAACCCGCACTCGGAGTACGCTAACCCGAGAGCTTGGCATTGTATATCAGTGCCTTTGCAGCTGCTCCATGGCACGTGATGAAGCACTTATACTGCATAATTTGTGTATAAATCACAAGTTATACCTAACATATGTACGGAGTATAAAAGTCGCTTTTACAAATTATCTAGGTAAGCCTCTAGGGCCCGTAGGCTTGGCAACGATCCGATGCTTCTTACCCCCATTTGAGTTAGCTGTGTCTCTCAGGGTATGATCGCTTTACGCCACTCCTCCATTGCTAATGTTATACAACATGGCGAGATAGCGCCGCTTCTGGGGAGAGAAGGAATGGGAAGTGAATGTCGAGTCAGTTTCAGCCATCTCTTATATCCGTATTAGAATTTCAATCAACCAATTAATGTGAATTCCACCGCATTGCTGGCTGGCACAATAATGATAGATCTACCTCCATTGTCTTTAGGATGTTGAACCTTGGCCTGAAGACACCCAGACACCCAAACCACGGTATCTTATGATCTTCAAAAGTGCTCAAATCCCATCAGTCAAGCGTAGCTCTTTTAAATAAATACCGGCATTGATCACCTAGAGCTGCATCCTTCGGAAATTCATCTTACCTGCGGGTAAATGACCAGGATTCTCTAGGCTTCAAAGTCCAGAAGTGGTTCTCGTCATTACGACCAACCTTGAGTGGCGTACTTTCAGTGATCATGAAACCACGCTGATGTGTCCTCCATTTATACGGAGTCCAATCGTTATTTTTTCTTCTATATAGTCTGAAGCCTTCGTAGTGATTATCTGGTTGTTCGAAAATGAATGAATGGAATGTCAATGGTCTGCCACTGTGCGGAAGACCAGCTTCTGCGTCATATGAGACGGTGACGGTGAGAGGATATCGCGGATTCGAGGGGTTTTAATCTTTCATTGATAGGGTGGCAAGGCCAGAGATGCGGAGTCTGAAAATGGGGGCACCATTGACACGGAAAGATGGCGAAATAGCGCGTGGTGAAGGTGGAGGTGGATCCTCGAAATATTCAGGGTCACTTTCGTAGTTGAGCGTCTCAAACGTGTAGAATGATGGGCCGGGAACTACTACTGGAGGGTATTTCAACGACAGTGTTCGTCCACTATGTTCGGCCAGCGTTCCCCGGTCCCAAAGATGAATTTAACTCCCTGGCTAGAGGATTGAGTAAGAGACTGCTGGACCGGCATCTTCGAGATATACAGCTGGTAGAGACGAGCTCCAGGAGATGTTACTACCAGGGACAAGCTCCTTGAAGTAAGGATCGGACGCGGTCACTTTTCGCGGGGTGAGATGTCTGGGCAACTTTTCAGGGTCTGCCACGTTGTGTCTCAGGACATGTGGCTCATGGCAAAGTAGCATTGAACACGACTGACTAAAACCGTCCTCGATCGGATTCCAGTGAATGATGCATGGTCTAGTTTGCGGATCGTCTGCAGCCCGCGTGATTGTGAAAGGCACACTGTAGATCGGTTCATCGACCCACATGCTGAGAGTGAGGTGGGGTGTGTCTGGTCTGGTCTGATTCGTGATTCCTTTTGCTGGCTTAAAATAACCTGTTTCTTACTTTCTGTCTTTATCGGAATATTTCACGAATGGTAACAAGTGCTGATCCATGGTGTCTTTTCATGGGGAGATGGACATCGAAAGGTTGGTAAATATGTTATTCAGAGATGGAGGGGTTGAAATAGATCTCAACTTCTGGAAAAGGAGAAAAAGTGGCGATGAGCGCATAGTAAATATTGAGAAATCCAGCGTATCGTGGGTGACTTGCGCCGTTCAAATGTTGCTTCCGAGGGAACCGGAAACTGGCCAGTTAACCAGATGTCTCCAATTTTTTCTAAAACTCCTATTGTTACTAGCCCCGAATTAGTGCCCCGCGATGTAACCACATAATATAGAAAATTGGAGCACTTTTAGCTTAGTCGCTGAATTTGGGGGCCGTTCTTGGACGGTTATCTAACGTGTATGATTCGAACGGTGGGAAGACAAACGTACTTTCAGGGCTTATGGAAGATCGCTGTTGAGGCCAAAACCTCAACCCTCAGGTATCTTTCGCTCTTTGTCTCTCTTCATTTTTCCCCCTCAAACCACTGTGCCCAGTAAAAGCCGACAGTGGCAGGTCTTCGGAGGTTACTTCCTTTTCTTTTCCTTCGTTACTTTGATCTTGGCCTGGTACCAACGGCGAATTATCCGAGAAATAATTAGAGTATCCTCAAGCCTAGGCCGACAGCTCCGTACAATCACAGCAATTTTCCTTTTCCGAAAATGGCAACTCCCGAACCACCTACTTTCAATATTAGCCCGTCCACACTGCTAGATATTGCGACAGACTTGGTCAACCAAGTGCAACAAGTCACTAATGACCTAGTCAACCAAGTTTCGCCGCAAAACGCGACATTTGAGAATGCGCTTTGCCCGTTGGCAGATATCGACAATGAGGTCAAAGGAAAGGTCCAATACCTAGCCCTTTTCCAGGCAGTCTCGCCTTCGCCAGAACTGCGCAAGGCATCCTCAACGGCTGTAAATATGGTGGACAAAGCATACCTGGGGGTTTTCCGAATACGGTCTATCTTCGCCTTGGTCGACGCTGTCTACAAAAGGCACGCCGAGAAGAATGACAACCCTGAGCAAAACTCAAAGAGTGAAGATCAAAAGCTTCTCGAAAGGTTTCACGCAATGTTTATGGAAAATGGGCTTGAACTAGAAGGAGATAAACGGGACAGATTCCTTTGGATCTCAAATCGTCTAATTGAGCTACGAGTTGCGTTCATGGAGAATCTCAGCTCTGACCCTGGCTATGTGTGGAAAGACCCCCACGAGTTAGAAGGCATGGCAATAGAAAGCCTACGTTCTTCAACTAGCCAAAGGGGAATCAAGCTCAAGAAGCCGGATATCACTACCGTATTGACTCGGTGCCACATCGCTGAGACAAGAAAAGAGGTATTTCTCCGGAGTCAAAATATCTTCCCAGATAATCTTGAGATATTTAATGAGGCTGTCATCCTTCGGGATGAATCGTCCCGTTTGCTTGGATTTTCATCTTTTGCTGCCCAAAAATCGAGACCCAAGATGATCAAATCCCCCCACGATATTGACAAGTTACTGGATGGACTATACGGTCACTTGCAGCCCCTTGCCCAGAAGGAGTTGAAAAGGCTACAGCACCTTAAAATGAAGGATGGAGAAAATGGAGACCACTCTTCTCTTTATCTGTGGGACTTTGACTACTACCATGACCGTTTGCTACGAGAAAAGTACAATACGAATCACGAGCGGATTTCCGAGTACTTCCCCGCAGAAATTACAATTCAGCGAATGCTGAAGCTCTTTGAAACAATTTTCAGCCTCTCAATCGCACTCCTTGAAGTTACGGAGGACCAAGTTTGGCATTCCGACGTCCGAGTCTTCAGTGTGCGAGATGAAGAATCGGTCTTTCTGGGATTTCTTTACCTTGATATCTATCCCCGAGAGGGAAAGTACAACCATGCAGCCAATTTCAACATCTATCCCGTTCGTGCCTAGGTTAAATTCCATTACGGAGAAGTCTGTTTGCTAATACATTAGTTCAAGGCTTACTCTTCCGTGGGAAAACAGAAGCAGCCGGTTGCCACCGCATTAGTATGCAATGTCTCCCAGTCGTCGTCAGATAAACCGGCCCTTCTCCAACATCGAGAATTGATTACGATTTTCCATGAGCTGGGTCATGGTAAGTGGAATTAGCCCGAGAGATATTGAGCTTAAAAACTAAAGCTTGAAAAGGCATACATGATCTCCTCGGAAGATCCAAGTATGCGATCTTCCATGGACATCGAACAGTTGCAGATTTCGTTGAAGCTCCCAGCCAATTGCTCGAATATTGGTGTTGGGTCCCTGAATGTCTCCAGATGCTTAGTTGCCACTATTCCTACGTCTCTAATAAACAGTGGTCTTCTACCATTGCGCAGCCTCCTAAGGAGATTCCAGACAACTTGGTCCACAGCCTTATTGCAGCGAAAGGGGTTAACCAAGGTATTCTCACTCTCAGACAAATTGCATTCAGCAAATTCGACATGCAAGTCCACTGCCCTAATTCTCACTCTCTCATCGAGTCAATGCGTCCCGGCGAGGTTTATAACTCGCTGCTTCAGAAAATGACACTTCTGAAGGGCCCTAACAATAGGGTAGACTGGGGAAATGGACATGTTACTACTTCACACTATATGTGGGGACAAGAGGCAAACTATTATTCCTACCTCTAGTATGTATTATTGTGGTTCATAAAGAGAAAGATTCTAATTATTCATTTTCTAGCACCCGTATATTGGCGGCTGACATTTGGCTTTCCAATTTTCACTCGAATCCAATGAGCCGTGATGCCGGTCTCCGATACCGAAAAATGATACTAGCTCCCGGAGGAAGTCAAAATGAGATGATCGCCCTCGAGACGCTTTTGGGGAGGTCGCCCACACTTGACGCATATCTTCGAGATCTCGGCGCTCATGAATAGAGCATCATGTTGAGAAGCAGATGAAGTACATACTGCATTGAGCCGTTGTTGAGGTAGCCTCCATAAAAATTACTGCCTCTTTACACCTGTCACATAATTACGAATATAAAGCAATGTAATTAAAAATCAATCAAACAATCAGGTCCATAGACATGAACCGTTGGATATGGACGAGATGGTGCGATGGCAATAAACCAATGGAGCCAGGGGAAGGTTCTCGGCTCGGCTCGGCTCGCTTCCGCCTGATACAGTTTAGGGAGTTAATGCATTAGGAAGGCGGAAAAAGCAACAGTATCCACCCTATATTCCTTGGCATTATGAGCATTTCACCAAATGCTCGAATATCTGCATCCGCATTCTATACCTTACCACCTCACTACTACATATGTCCAACGAAACCAACGAAACCGAAACCGAAGATGCTACCCCCGGTATTGAATGGCCTTCTCCACCACCCCAAAGGACACACCCCCCGAGCGAGCTCCCTCCCCGCCACGAAAACACTAGCCTTCAGTCTCAATCAGGCTCAATACCCTCTGTGATTAGGGGCTGGTATGCCCCACCAGCCCCCTGGCAGGTGCAATCCAACTCTCCAGCAACCCCAGCAACCCCAAAGACCAGTCAAACTGCCGGTCAAGCCGCTGGTCAAACCGCTAATCTAACACCGAGTCAAATTGCCGGCCAAACTCCGATTCAAATTGCTGATCAAACGCCTCGTCAAACTGTTGCTCAGACGCCCAACAAAATCTCTAGAGCTTCACCTCTTTCAACTGAAGATGATCTCGAGTTACTACGCATTGCCATTTACTATAAAGATCGGTTTACTAACATGAAGGGTAATGCCGCTCTTTATGAGGCGATTGCAGAAATATGGAGGGCCAATACTGGGCGGAATATCAGTCACCAAACGGTTCATAAGCATGTCACTGACAGGCTAAAAGAGCATGCCGCTATACTTGCCATACCGGAAGCTGGTCGGGCTAGAATGAACGCTACCGAAACTGCTATTTTTGATTATGCCAATGAGATATACGAAGTGCTACAACACAACTTAGTAGCAGAAGAACGACGAAAGGAGCTCGCTAGTGCAGGTACTAAGCCTCAAACAAATACCGACTCTGTGCGGGATGATGTAGCCGATGAATTAGTGCAGCGAGCAAGAGATAAAAGGCCTAGAAATCCGGCAAATTCTAGCCAGGAAGGTATGTTAAAATTTGCAAATATATATGATCTTTTACTAATGATAATATAGAAAATGAGCGCCCAACAGCCCGGCCACGAACCAGGCCTCCCTCGCCACCGGCTGACTCGCCATCACTACATACAGAAATGGCCTTATTTCTTAGTATGATGAATAGTCGAGCAGCCAGCGAGGCCTCAACTGCGGCTAAAAGGTCAGATATCACTAGGCTAGAACGCCGAATTGATAGCATGGCTGCTACTATGGACGGGATGATGGGTTTGCTTAGAACCCTTGTGCAGAGACAACCAAGGTCCAATTAATTTTCATTCGTATATATATGCTGCATTACAACTAAGAAGAAACCCGGGTGTATCGCAATGTAGTAGTAGATTCAAATTGGTATCGTAAATATAAAAGCATGTGAATTCTCGATCAGGAAAGCATCTGACTCTTAGGAACAGGACGAATCCAGCAAACGGCCACATTAGCCACCAAAGATATGACACCGATGATCCACATCGATCGCCCGTAGCTTGACCCGTTGTATCTGAAGATAATAGCGAAGATGATTCCCCCAAGATTACCGAAACCACCAACAATCCCAGAAACAATACCTATTGACAAGATGTTAGCTTCAAAAATGCCATTGAGGGTGTAAGAACATGACCACATACCATTAGCAAAAGGATGCACATGAGGTACAAGAGCAAAGTTCGCTCCATTAGATGCCTCGAGGAAGAAAGCCAGCCCAGCGATAAGACCGAACATAGAGGCCTCCGTGGACGGGTTCGACAATCCGATCGCAAGTTGGAAAGCTCCCATCGCGACCCCTAAAAATGTGACCAGAAGCTTTTTAGACCAGACCTTGTCTGTATACCGGTAAACCAAATCTCCGAATAGACCACCTGCTGGTCTGAAGACGGCATTCAGCAGACCGAACATGGCAGCCCACTGGCCTGATTTTGTTTGACCCATGTGTGGGAAGGTCTTTGTGTAGTATGATCCGAGGATCGAATTGATTGCGAGCTCTGAGCCAAACGAGCAGGCGTAGGGGATTGCCAGAGCCATAGTTGATAGACTCAGGGCCACGTTCAGGGCTTCTTGGCGAGTGGGGGAGACAACTGTCTCTTGTTTGAAGATGTCCATCTGGCCCATTGCTGATGCATCGGCATCTAGGACTTGTGGTGACTGGGCACCTTTCTTTTCGATGTCGATTGTTGCGGAGTTATGGGGAGTCGTCATACCACTAGTAAAAGTGCCAGAGTTGATGTCGACGATGTTGCCGTCGGCAGTCACCGTGGTCTTGTTTGACTCTTTCGCCCAGAGATGTCTCTCAGACCACTTCCCTGTTGGCGTATCTTCGCAGAGGAACAGCATGCCCAAGGCGACGACGGTGATGATGATGAATGGAACGACATAGGCGATACGCCATGCTTTGTGAGCAGGGAAGCCGCGAGAGTGGACGAGAGAGTCGTAGATGGCGGGCATCAAAAAGCTGCATTGGTCTGTTAGTATGTTCATAATATTCAAAGGAGAAAAGGTAGACCCCTACTATGTGATTCCTCCGCCTGCATTACCCCAGCCTCCAGCGAGGGAATTGGCAGTGCCGACAATACTTTTGTCGAAGAAACCAGTGCACCAGACCTGGCATGGGACGAAAGTGCCACCCAAGATTCCAACGAAAAATCGTAGGGCTATCAAGCCCTTGGGGCCGGTGACGAGACCAGCCATGGCCGTAGGAATAGCTCCACATAGGAGTAGTCCCACGAAGACTAAGCGAGGGCCATAGCGATCACAGAGTGGCCCTGCGACAAATCGGACGAGCAGACTGTAGCGGTCAGAGAGGTGTTTCTTCAATTGATTTTATAGACTGGTACTCACGTTGCCAGGAGTGCGACGATGTTTGAGTTGGCGACATCATCTTGTGTCATATTCAAGTCTTTTTTGATGGTCACACTCAACTAGAAAGACGGATGCGATTAGGGACGTGTTCTTCTCTTCTATCAAACATGTTGCAATTATCTCATGAACTTACCAGTGGTGGAAACGCATACCATGACAGGAATGCTACCAAGAAGCCAAGCCACGAGAAAAAAATACCCGTCCATATTGATCGAAAGGGTTCAATATGGGAATAGATTTGGCTTTGCGATTACTTGGGTTAATTTCCGGTGATATAAAGAGCTGTTTAACAAAGCTTGTTGCCATTTTGGTGGGCTCTTTGTATTGTCGAGCAATGGTGTCGAGGTAGGCTCGGAAGCTGATATCTGATATTCTAATAAAAAAAAGCTCAGATGGCTCGATACAGACTTGGTGATTAGATGGAAGCAAGGGTTGCTTTGGAAGTTTAGGAGAAAGATGCAGATTAAAAAATCAAGAGATGTTCGCATCTATATAGATGTTTATGATGCTCTGTTTGCTGAAGTATATATCAAATGTATCGTATCTCGTCGTGACACATGCAACAATAATCAGTCTGAGTATCCTGCTGCATGTCAGGTTGCTAATTATCGTAGATAGCTAGGTGCTGTCAATCGAAAACAGTTAGTCAAGAGCTATCAACGAATATCCATATCTCAGATCGCTGATTTGATACAATCTAAGGACAAGGTTGCAGCATCCTTGAATGCTAAACTTACCTCTTGCCACTGACTTTATTCCTGAAATTTCCGCAATATCCTGCACTGAAATTCTGATAGAGATAAGGTATGTATTAGAATGACCTATCACAGTGTAGGATGGATACTGTGTCCAGTGCCACACTTGGAGGCAAACCCTGATGGTATGAATCAATCTACTTATTGTAACTCCGCGGAGGTTCAATTGACGATTTCAGGCTTACTTCATAAGATTATATCAAGTCTGGGGGTGGGCCCTTTTCTCCATGGCCAGGGGAATTCATATCATTGATAAACGCGAGCCTCCTTATTGGATGCCAAGCCAACCGCGATAGGGACTGAAGAAGCTCAGCCTAGCGGGTCTTTGCATTGTCGATCTGAGCTCCGCGGAAATACTTAAACCAAGCTGGAACTCTTGTTAATTGGCTGTGGAGACCTAGGGGAGTGAACCCTGAACTATGATCTATGTTGTATCATCCACGCATCCAAAATTAGGGCTTCTTTCTTCACAGTAAAGCAATAACTTCCGGCCAACAGTCTAGACAGGTCTTTTTGATTTTCCCTAAGAATTTTAGTATATTGGATGTGCGAAGCGCTATATTCACAAAACCAGATAAGGGGGCTAGGCGATATTGATATTGACTGCGCGAGAAATAATAGCCTGGCAATTTGCACATCCACCGAGTAACCAACATTGTTTGATAACTTCTCCACTTGGTATATCAGAAATATGGGAAATCTTCATAGGGGCAGTGCGAAGGATCTGTGGCCACTGTCGGTTAATCTCTCCAATGCGGTCGAAGTAAAAAGCGGGTTCCTTCGCCAGAGGATGGCTTTGAACCATCCAAGAAAGAGCAGTGAAATCAATTATAACATGAGGTCAAATATCATATCTAACCAAAGATTTCAATGTTTAATATCGCGCTAGATGATCAAGCTCCTATGCAAAACGTCGATAGCTTCCACGACTTGGTATGCCGACTTCCATTTGGGTCATGGTCTGTATGTATGTCTGTAGATGTGTATCTTAATCAACGTTCTTCATATTTTGAAGAACTAGAGCTTCGCTAGAATGACCGGGCATCTGGACAACCTTCTTATGCGGTTCAAGACGACAATATATACTGACTTTGGTAATATCTACATTGGATGTGATCTTCCATCGTTTCTAGAAAAGAGACAATGAAGAAAATTGATGTAATTCACATATAATCGCAAGTGTACTCCGTAATCATAAGGCCATTAACTATCTCGATGCTCCCATACGCCAACCTGATCCATCGCAAAATTTCAAACAAACCGACATGTCACACTGCAACTACCAATCTATTGACTTGGCTGGTTGCACAGTTGGTGCACGAGTCAAGAACCCATCAGTAATCTTCTTCCCCTTCATCCCCTTGAACTTCTTATCAACCTTATGGAATGGGTCCTCCGCCTCACCCTTCCGCACTTTCCACTTCTCCGTCCCCAAAATCGAATCCAACTCCTCAATCGGCGGAAGTTTGATATATACCCAGCCATCGTCCCTCTCCTCAACAGGGAAAGTAGCAATATTCATGCTCTCATCATTAGAGCACCGACCCGCCTGCTCACCGTTGAGCTCGAAGTTGCGCTTGTGATACGGACACGACACCCAATATTTCCCAGCATCATCATCGCCAACAAGACCATCGGAAAGAACAAAAGCTCGCTTGTGCGGACACATCTGCTGCGTCGCATAGAAATTGCCTTTGATCTTGAAGACAGCGAGTTGTGTGTCGCCGCGCTTGACATTCGCCGATGAGACCTGAGGTGGCTCGTCGGAGAAATGATCTGCTCGGACAACCGGCTGCCAGGAGACGCTTGACCACTTGTGGCCTTTGAAATCCTGTCGCTCGGCAGTCTCTTTTGGCCAGTATGTGGGTCGTTGCTGAGATCGCTCTTGGACAACTTCTACTGTCTCGACAGTTTCGTCTGTGTTTGCAAATTGTTGGAAGACCTTTCGGCGCTTGGGGTCTTTGACGGTCTCGGTCCACTCGCAGAAATAACTGTCGACTAGTTCGTGCATTTGCTTCTCCATGTCGGCGCAGATTCCGAGTTTATCATCCACGATCACTTCTTTGAGGTAGGCGATTCCGCCTGGGAGGTTCTCGATCCAGCGTGCTGTTCGCTGGAGTTTGTCGGCGGTGCGGATGTAGAAGATTAGGTAGCGGTCGATGATGGGCATCACCATCTCCGCCGGCACATCTGTAACAAGGAGCTCGGCGTGCCTGGGCTTTGCACCTCCGTTGCCTCCAACGAAGATGTTGAACCCATTTTCAGTGGCAATAAGTCCGAAGCTAGCAGCAATTAGGTTAGAGAGTGTTTTCGCCATCTTGGGATATCTTTGAACTCACTCTTTGTTTTGGGCCTCGGCACATTCTCGCACGCAGCCAGATACAGCTCCCTTGAACTTGTGAGGCGCACGAATACTTTTGTATCGCTCTTCCAGTCGAATGGCCATGCCGACACTGTCACCCACACCGAAACGACACCATGTGGTTCCGACGCAACTCTGAACGTTCATTGTCAGCTGACTCTTCTCTTGGAAGATGATTAGCTTAACATACCTTGATTGCTCGAAGCGCCTTTGCATATGCGTGTCCACTTTCCATACCCGCATCCACAAGTTCTGTCCAGATGTTCAGAAGATCCTGCTTCTTCGCACCGAACATGTCGATGCGCTGGGCACCGGTGATTTTGCAATACAGACCGTATTTCTTAGCCACGGATCCGATCGCAATGAGTTTATCGGCTGTTATCTCACCACCTGGAATTCGGGGTACCACAGAGAATGTGCCGTTTCTTTGGATGTTAGCGAGGAATTTATCGTTTGTCTCCTGCAAATCGTTGAAACCCTTATCCATGATATGCGGGTTGAACAGACTAGACAGAATCGATGCAATTGCAGGCTTGCAGAGTTCGCAACCGAGGGACTCTGGGTTCTTTCCGACATCTTTCATGATATCGACAAAGGTTTTTAGTTGCTTGATGGCCACGATGTTGTATAGATCAGCTCGGGAGTGTGGGATATGTGAGCACACTGAACGTGTTAGTGATAGGAGCTAATACTGGAGTAAGTTGATACTTACGGTTGTTTGATACTTCTTGTCCCATTTCGAGCATTGTTTTGTTGAAAATTGACTGAACAAGAGGCATGCAACCACCACAGCCTGTTCCTGCTTTCGTGCATGACTTGACCTGTGCAATGGTCTTGCATGTGCCGTTTTTCACATTTTCGACCACATCTCCTTTCGTGACATTGTGGCATGAACAGATCTGGGTGCTGTCATCACTGTAGAGATGAATTAGAATCTGTTCCAGATAGCAGAACTAACGATACTCACAGGTCATCTGCATTTTCTTCTCCTCCATTCTGGGCACCAAGAATGAATTGACTTGGAGGAACATCAAGTTCTTTCTGGAGCTTAACCATCTGATTCAACTTCAGATAGTCCTTGGTATCTCCAATCATCATGCCACCAAGCAAGAACTTGCCGTCCATGGTGAACAAATACTTCTTATACACCCCACTGAAAGGGTCTTTATATGTCAAGGCCTTGACAGGAGGCTCATCTCGCGAATTATCCTCTGCCAAGCCAGGAACAGTTGGAGGTCGACGGCCGGGAAGGAACTTCGGCCCATCCCTATCGGCAAAGAAGTCACCAAAACTTGCGACATCAACTCCGAGCAGCTTCAGCTTTGTGCTGAGATCCGGCCGCGTGAAACTCCGTTGCTGTTTATCTGGGTTGGTGAGATTGAAAGCGAGAACATCGGCCATCTCAATGCCTGGAGCAATGATTCCGAATGTCTGGTTCTCCCAGCTTGCGCATTCGCCAACGGCGTAGATATCTGGGATTGAGGTTTGCAGACTATGCACGTTAGTGAGATGACTGATTATCCGACTAGTGATCGACGAACCTTTCATCAATCACAAATCCTCCACGCTCACCACACTGGATTCCAACATCTCGACCTAGCTCATCTCGAGGTTGAACTCCAATCTAACCCCAAGTCAGCACAACAATCACCAGAATAATTCTAACAAACAAGAACACATACCGCGAAGCAAATGCAGCAACAATCAATCCTCTCGCCATCCTCGAAAGTAATTCCAATCACATTATTCCCCTCGTCGGTATGAACAATCTTCACCCGTTTCTGGTGGAGGACATCAAGTCCCAACTCCCGGATCTTGCGAGTGACCAACATCCCCGCATCTCCATCGAGCTGTCGCGCCAGTACCCATTTATTCCGATCAATCAATTTGACGTTTCCGAAGTCTTCCAGATCTGTCATTGCCTTCGCGGCCTCTAAGCCTAGAAGTCCGCCTCCAACTGTAACGGCAGTCTCGCCTTTATGTTGAGCCGCGAAGTCGATGAGACGTTCCAGATCTGAGATAGTTCGGTATACGAAGACACCTTTGGCATCATAGCCGGGTGTGTGTCTTGGGAGGGTGGCATCGGAGCCTGTTGCGAGGACGAGGATGTCATATGATAATGTGACACCGGTGGAGGTTTGGACGGTTTTTTCTTTGGGGTTGATTGCTGTTACTCTTGTGTTGAGGTGGTGATCGAAGGCTCGTTCTTTGAACGAGTCATACTAATAATCCATGTTTATCAGGTCATATGTTTCTTCGCTCTTGGACAATTGATGGCTCACCCATTCCGCTGGATTGAGGTATAGATCCTCAATCTTGCGATGTTCGAAAAATGATGAAAGACCGACACGGTTGTATGCTACGTGTGACTCTTCGCCAATGACGACAATGTCATAAATTCTTTCCGTATCCTGCTTGATAATTTTCTCGCTAGGCTGTTGTTAGAGGCATTTCTCATTGTCCGCTGACTGAATCCCTTACATGAGTGAAATTGCCACCATTCCCAGTCCAACTATTACAATTTTTTGTCGTTGGACATTATTGGCGGGACTGGGACTGCCATCAACTGGCTCCCCATATCGTAGTCCGTCCAGCACAGGCATGGCTGTGAGACTGAATGTGAGATGAATATAATACAACTAACTACAGAATTATGGCTATCATGCTAATTTTAAGAAAACCAAATGCCTCGTTCCACTAGGCCTGATACTACGATATGATCTGTGACACTACAGAGTGAGTCGTACGAATCAACAAATCGAGTCTAATCAGACTGCGAAGCCGGAGAAAACAGGAACGGCGCATTTTCCTTGAGGTTTTCATCTCCGCGGAGATGGGATGTTTTTATGTTAACTGTGATTGGTTGTTAGGGCTTGGGGCTTATCTTTTAAGATAAGAATGAAATCACTTGGCGTTATGAAATCCTTCAGGGCTGATCTTATACTCCGTAGAATGTAGAATGTGAATGAGAATGGGAATTTGCCATCCGCGGAGATATGAAAAGTCCTGTGAAATTGAAATGGGTCTGGGGGCTTAGGCTTGCATACTGCACACTGCATTCGCAGTAAAATGTGGATTCTTTTACGTTAGGACTGTTTCGCTTTATTCTACTCAGTTTTTACCAAGTTATTTATCTTATTTTGAGAGGACTTTCGACTGTGTCCACTATATTTCATCACTTTGATAGCATACAGCAGCGTAGAAGCCTCGCAGTACCATCATGGCCAGCATAACCACACAAACGATAACAGAATCCGAGACCATCTCTTTCAAAAATGGCCAGATCACAGTGGAGGACATCATTCCAAGTCCAGCAGAGCCTGACATCCCGCTCCCACCACCATCAAAGAACCCCATCGACATCTTAGATGTGGATAAAGGCACACCGGATAACCATGTGCCTCGGGATCCACGATTGATTCGGTTGACGGGAGTTCATCCATTCAATGTGGAGCCCCCATTGACAGCATTGTATAAAGAAGGTACCCAGTCCCATCTGCCACACCGAAGCCGCCAAGCTAAGCGGGTACCTAGGCTTTCTCACATCTCCGGAATTGTTCTATGTTCGGAACCATGGGCCTGTGCCCCAGGTCCGTGATGAGGATATCCCAGACTGGCAGATTAGTATAGAAGGGTCAGTGGGTTTGAAATCATGCTGGAAGGCTTTGGGGCCCATGAACTGATTGATGAGCTAGGTTGGTTGAGAAGCCATTAGTCCTGAACTTCCGCGAAGTCCTTCAGAAGTATGACCAAATCACCGCACCAATCACGCTCGTCTGTGCAGGCAACAGACGTAAAGAGCAGAACACAGTCCGGAAGTCGAAGGGTTTCTCATGGGGCGCGGCTGGTTTATCGACGGCGCTATTCACAGGACCTATGATGGCGGATATTCTGCGCAGTGCGAAGCCGCTTCGACGAGCAAAGTATGTCTGTATGGAGGGTGCTGATAAGCTGGTGAGACCTCCCCATATCAAGATGAGGATGTCAGGAACAATCCCCAGACTAAGACTGACACATCCAATAGCCGAATGGATTTTACGGAACTTCAGTCAAATTGAACTGGGCCATGGATCCAAATCGAGGAATCATGTTGGCTCATAAGATGAATGGCGAAGACCTTCGACCAGATCATGGTCGACCCTTGAGGGCAGTGGTGCCTGGCCAAATTGGAGGTCGGAGCGTGAAGTGGCTGAAGAAGCTGATTTTGACTGATGCCCCAAGTGATAACTGGTATCATATCAATGATAACCGAGTCCTCCCGTATGTCTCACATCAACCAATCGTGCAGTAACTTGTACTGACAGTGCCAGGACAATGGTGACGCCGGAGATGTCCGCCCTGGACCGCAAGTGGTGGACCGACGAGCGATATGCCATTTATGAACTCAACGTGAACGCGGTGGCTGTGTACCCACAACATGAAGAAGAGATCAATTTATCCTCAGCTGGACCCACATATACAGTCAAAGGATATGCATACGCCGGCGGTGGCCGGAGGATAACAAAAGTTGAGATTTCTCTAGATAGAGGCAAATGTATTTATACCCCCCAACCCAAGTATGGAAGGTTGCTGACATTTCTGTTCTTCTAGCATGGCGTCTCTCCGAGATCGAATATGCAGAAGATAAATACCGCGACTTTGATGGCGACCTGTTCGGCGGCAAGGTAGACATGTGGTGGAGGGAAGCATCTTTCTGCTGGTCTTTCTGGTCGTTGGAAGTCCCAGTGGCAGACCTAGAGACAAGCGATGCAATCCTAGTCCGTGCAGTGGATGAGGCATTGAGCGCTATGCCGCGTGACATGTACTGGTCTGTCTTGGGCATGATGAATAACCCATGGTTCAGAGTGGCAATCACGAAACAGGGAAATACATTGAAATTCGAGCATCCTACACATCCAGCCAAAGCAGGAGGGTGGATGGAAAGAGTCAAGAAGACTGGCGGTGACTTGCTCAATGGGAACTGGGGTGAACGGGTTGAAGGCGAGGAGCCCGTTGAACCGGAGCCTGTGAAGGAAATAAACATGAGGAAAGATGGTGTGAACAGACAAATCGACTTGCAAGAGTTGAAAGCCAATAGCAGCAGCGAGAAGCCCTGGTTTGTTGTGAATGGCGAAGTGTATGATGGTACAGGCTTCCTCGAAGGCCACCCCGGAGGAGCGATCAGTATTACATCTTCTGCTGGTCTGGATGTATCAGTGGACTTCCTTGCAATCCGTGAGTCACAAACCAAACCCCCTCACATTATTGCACCGCTAACTCTCTTCCAGACAGCGAAACTGCCAAGGCAATGATGCCGGATTACCATATCGGCACATTAGACAAGGCATCTCTCGAAGCGCTGAAGGACGATTTAGCCGCGGGTTCCGATGAGCCACGCGCGGTCTTCCTTCAGTCGCGAACATGGACAAAAGCCACTCTCACAGAGAAGAGGGATGTCTCCTGGGATACACGAATATTCGTGTTCGACCTCGAAAATGAGAAGCAGACTCTCGGCCTACCGATCGGCCAGCATCTGATGATCAAAGTACAAGATCCATCCAACAACGAAGCAGTCATCAGATCCTATACGCCAATGTCAGACACAAACCTGATAGGCAAGATGGAGTTACTCGTGAAGGTCTATTTTCCAACAGAAAGCATTCCAGGAGGAAGAATGACCATGGCTCTGGACAAGCTTCCCCTAGGCTCCGAGATCGACTGCAAGGGCCCGACAGGCCGGTTTGAATACCTCGGTAACGGCCGGGTTTCTATCAGCGGCAAAGAGCGCCAGCTCCGTTCCTTCAAAATGATCTGTGGAGGAACGGGAATCACACCAGTCTTCCAGGTTTTGCGGGCTGTTATGCAAGACACGCAAGATCCCACGAAGTGTGTTGTGCTGGACGGAAACAGGCAGGAGGAAGATATCTTGTGCCGTTCTGACCTTGATGCTTACGTGGAGACTGATGGTCGGAAATGTACTGTCGTGCATACGTTGACTAAAGGGTCTGATGCCTGGACTGGTCGTCGGGGCCGCATTTCTGAGGACCTCCTCGCGGAGTATGCAGCTCCGGAAGAGCAGAGTATGGTTCTGGTCTGTGGACCTGGGCCTATGGAGAAGTCTGCTCGCAAAATTCTCCTTGCGCAAGGTTGGGCTGAGTCGGATCTTCACTTCTTCTAGGCTTGGTGCGGGCAGCGATTATGTCTAATTTGAATATTAGAGTATGAAATTTTTGTTGAGTTTGGGTTGTACAATAATAAGGGACATGAGGTAGAAACACTCGAACCGGAGGAGTATAGAGATATTGGGATTTCATTTGCATAGAAACGGAGTCAATTTTGGAGGAATTTCGTTAGTTATGAATCATAACATGTCCATGCAGTAAACAGAGTGGCAAGGGTTCCAGCCGAGATCCAGTAGGTTGTTCTTTACACATTTTGAACGTGTAGCAACTGTTTCCTTCGATCAATAGTAGTTCTTCACGTCTAATCTCACCCGTAGATGCTCAAAGACACTGGTTGGGTCTGTCCGCGAATAGAAGAATTCCCCTGATTTAGTCATTGATTTCGAAGTGGCTTTTCCAGACTCCAGGCTGCGAAGGTAGTTGACAAATGCGGAGATCTGTTTTCTAAAAGACTGATAGAGGTGTAGAACAGCACCTTCACTTTCGTTGCGCATCCCGATTCCATCTGCTCTTGACAGAAGACTGAAGGCGAGGACAGTGCCGAAAATGGATTCAAGCAGTTTGGCCGCCTGGGCATGACGTTTGCTGAGGAATAACGCGAACAGCATCTGGTCAAGGATGTCCTCGTGATAATCGCGAAGTCGTGGTACCGAGTGCGCCGCTTCAATCGTACCGTCGATATCGCCACGATTGATGCAAAGCTCGATCTTGGTGAGTGTGTCTTGGAAGCGCTGCCAGATGGATCCAATGCCAATGTGGAAACAGTAATCACTGACTGCGAGGACAAAGTGCTGGGCATCCACTCTAAACTTCCAGTATACATCGCGTGTGTCTCCTGATAGAGATCCTCGGGCAGTAGAATCCCAAATAAGTCCTTTGACGGCAGAAACCATGCGGATTAACCGAAGTAAATGCTTGAAGAGACGATCATACTTATTCAAAGAGCGAACGGTGATGAGGGATTCAAGGACTTCTGGTGGCGTGTATTGCAGACGAAGGAAGTCCAAAGCCTCTATTGCATTCGGATTTTTACATCCTTCGACTTCTTCGTCTGTCAATTCTCGAATTCCGAAGCTCAAGCCACCAGGCAGCTCGTTATCCTTTTGAATGTGAGTTTTGTCGTCATCCTCTGGGTCTGTGCTGCCAAAGTAACAATCTCCCAGCAGGCCAATCAACACGAGTCGCAACTCTGAACTAGCTGGCGGCCATGTGTCACGACTGCCGAGGCGTAAACCGGTGTCAACACCACTACGCACTTTCCCAGCCTTTCGCTCTCCGCTTTCCATTTCCGGGTCGAATAGGGAATGAGAAAGGCGGGCGACAAATGAGCCCTCTCCTAGCAACTGGAAGCGCCATTGCATGTTCAGATGATGTCGAAGTCGATGCTCCTTGAAGAGAAGATGTAGGCAAGAGTAGTCGACGAGAAGTGCCTGTGAAGAAAGAATGGGCGCAAGAGATAGATGGAGGCCATATGTTAATTCAGGCCCGAGGTAGCTTCCTTCATTGGTATTTTGGGTTCCAAATCCCCGGGCTTGATCCAGCAGTTGCTTAAAATCATCCTTTGAAAGAGCCTTTTGGTCTGTGACAGGCCCTGGGGCATTTTTCTCATCATCGATGTCGAAGAGTTCAAAGGCTGCCGTTGTAACTTCTGTGTCGGTGATTTGATCGACACCATGGGCGACAACGTCTGATGGTGAATCCTGCAAGCCTGGATCACCCATATGATATTTTTTGATCTCAGCGCGGATGCTTGACTCGTATTCCTGCGCTTTTGTTTGAATTTGCTCAATATCAGCCCAAGTAGTCGCACAATGCAGATGCGGACTACCAGTTCGCGAGAGAATATCGCGCTTTGCGATGGGATGACGAGGATGGGATCGTTTCAAGAGCTGAAGACTTCGCCCACTCTCAAAGATGGAACGGGCTTGGTCTGCCGGGATGAAAGACGGCATGTGTTCCGCTTGATAGATGTGATCGATTCGTGCTGGCCCAGTCTTGAACTTGCCAACGTCATGAGTTACCAATTTGACGAAAGTTTTGCCGCTTGCCATAGATTCTTTTAGAGTTGCATCTTCGGGTCTAAGCCCAATCCAAGTCTCAATGAATTTGAACCATGGCCGTGTCACTCGAATCACAATCTCATGCACAAGGTTCTCCATCCAGTCAAACTTCTGGGCAAAGAATGCTGCACGTTCCGTGACAATTGACATGACTTGCGCATCCGAGACAGCCCTTTGTGCAGCACCAACAATAGCTGCCAAGGCACCTATCAAGTCCCCGCAGCGGTGAAACAGTGCCTTTATCTGTAGGAGTGAAGCAATATTTCTCGAATGATCGGAGATCTGTTCTTCAAGGTTGAAGATTATTATTGCGACCGTGCTGCTTAATGTGAACAAGGCAGGGAGTTCTTTGCATTTCGCTGGCGGGTCTTGTGCAAACAACCGCATGCGCTGCATATTGATACCACATTGGACCACATATTCAATCACATTTTCCAATGCCAATGAGCTAATACCAGAGACCCTGATGTCCTTCAAATATCTTTGAAATTGGTTGGTGTGTTGATCGTAGCGAAAGAATGCAGAGCTCCAGCCAAGCCCGAGACGAAGCAATGATCGAATGAACACATCTGTTCGAACCATTCGTTGTGGTGCACCCTCTCTGTTTGCAGTGTTTTGCCGTTCCAAAACTGCATCAAAGCCCTTTGCCCCAGATTCACTGAAGTAAACAGACACAGGCTCTTGGAAAGACCTATGTTGATACCTCTCCCATGATTTCTGCGGGGTTATTTGACCGGGGTCTTCCTGGAGTAAATCCAGTGACCATATATCGTTGTCATCGCCCGAAATATCTCTTAGTGAATCACATGTGGCATCAGACTCGCCGTCTATGGAGGGATTGATGATCGAGTCGGTAGATGATTCGGGCTTTTCCAAGTCGGTTGGAAAGAGGTCCAGTTTCCATACAGGATCAAACTTATCTGTAGACTGTGGGTATATCTCAAAGCAGGACGTAGCATCATCTATAAGAAAAGAGTGTTATTGAAGGTTCTAGGAAATATGCGGTTAACACTCACCACTTAGAGTAGTGTTCCATGGTAATGATCCCAATGGCTGTAGAGCTTCTATGCTGAATTTCGAGAGTCTCCACAGACTTTCACTGGAGAAAGGATCCAGCTCATCACAATCCATAGTGAGAACATGCTCAGATGAGATGTTTGACGCGTGAAAGTTCCCAGGTTGGTCCCGCGACGGAGATGCCTATCGCCGTGCACAGACCCCTGATAACAGAAAGTGCCCTCGCCCAGCTCGAAGCTCGTCACCTCTCCTCTCCAATCCAATTCCTACTTCCTGTGGTCCTCGGATATTCGACCTAAGTCACAATGCCTCCAAAAAAGAAGTCCAAGCGCGCACACTCGCCTACGCCCCAAGATGATACCATGGCGGAGTCGAGCGCAAACACCCCGTCAAGCGACAGCGCCGACAAGACAGACACAGACTACAACCTCATCACAGATCCCTGGACAGATGAGCAGGAAACTGCGTTGCTAAAAGCGATCATAAAATGGAAGCCAGTCGGTGAGTTCAATTCCCACCTCTGTTGAGTCGACAACGCAGCTAACCGTCTGGCCCCATAGGCCTACACAAACACTTTCGGATGCTCGCAATCTCAGATTACTTAAAGAGCCAAGGATACGCACCGTCCACGGCAGAGCATATGCGGATTCCAGGGATCTGGAAGAAGCTAGGCTCGTTATACAACTTGGAAGCGCTTGACGAGCGGGTAAGCGGTGATCAAAGATTGTCCGCGCCGGTTCATTTTGCTGATCAGAGATACCTTTACAGGAAGACTCAGTGATCACGGATGTCAACGAAGACGATGAAGGATCGAGCGAGATGTATTGCACATTTGAACTCCCGTATGACGAGTACGGCGATATGATGTTTGAAAGGCGACTTGCGATGGAAGAGTCATTGTCGCCCGTCACTAGTCGTACCAGTCGCGCAGGCGGATCACGACGAGGAAGCACAGTCGCAGATACAGATGGTAAGGAGTGACATGATTCATAACCTTGCCGACAACCCATAAACTGACCTCTTTCCCACCATAGAACCACGGTCTTCTCCTGCTCCATCTCGAGGTCGCATGCCCCGTCCCTCCACGCGCGGAACACGCTCAACTCGGCTGCAGGTGGAAATAGGCCCGGGGAGTCAAGGCAAGGTGTCTGACGAAGGGGGTGATTCGGCAGAAGACACTGGTGCGAATGATGAGGATGACGAGGAAGGCGAGGAGGGCTCTGAGAGTGACGAAGATGAGGGCGAGGAGGAGAAAGGTGGTTCGCGGAGCACCAGAGCACAGACATCTCGATCCAAAGCCAAAGATAAGAGGCCTTCAGCTGGCACTGCGACGCGCAGGACTGCCCGACGGCGTTAACGTGGCTAAATTTTCGATATGGGCTATAAACCTTGATACCTACGGAGTTTGAGGGATGGCGTTCTCTTTTTTTTAAGTGATGTGTATGACTATGCAGGCATCTTGTACCTTATTGCTACAGTAGCAGAACTGATCAATCTACAATACAGATCTACCAAAATATGACTAAAAAGGCCTCGAGGTTGTTTGAGAATCAGGCGCCTCCAGGTAACCAAAAGTAGGTATATTTCGATCGCTATAGGTCTAATGTCGTTCGAAGGGTACAAAGGGAATAGATCAAGGGGGTCATAGTACAAGGAGTCCTAGCAGCGCTTGCTTTACAGGCGCTTGATGATAGCCCCAGCGTACTCGTGGGTCTTGGCCTTGCCGCCAAGATCACCGGTGATAGTCTAAAAATCATGGAGTTAGTGATGAGCGGTAACTGTAGAAAATAAGTGTAAATGCTCACCTTGCCCTCGGCGAGGGTATCGAAGATAGCCTTCTGGATGCGGTTAGCGTGGTCGTGGAGACCCATGTGCTGCAGCATCATGACACTGCTAAGAAGCATAGCAGTGGGGTTGGCAAGACCCTTGCCGGCGATATCGGGGGCGGAGCCGTGGACGGCCTCGAAGATGGAGCACTCGTCACCAATGTTACCGGAGGGGGTGAGACCAAGACCACCGATCAGACCAGCGCACATGTCGGACAGAATGTCACCGTACAGGTTGGGCATAACGAGGACCTTGTCGTTGTAGGGGGTAGGGTCGGTGACGATACGCAGGCATGAGTTGTCCAGCAGCTCAGCGTCGAACTCGATATCGGGGAATTCCTTGGCGATCTCGCGGGCAGTGTTGAGGAACAGACCGTCGGACATCTTCATGATGGTGGCCTTGTGGACAACGCGGACCTTCTTCTTGTTGATGGACTGCGCGTACTGGAAGGCGAAACGGAGGACACGCTCGGAAGCCTCGCGGGTGATGAGCTTGATGCTCTGCACGACACCGTCAACGACAACGTGCTCAATGCCGGAGTATTCACCCTCGGTGTTCTCACGGATGAGAACAGTGTCGACGTTGTCGTAGGGGGTCTTGTAGCCGGCAATGGAGCGGCAAGGACGCAGGTTGGCGAACAGGTTGAAAGTACGACGGAGAGTCAGGTTCAGGGAGACGTGACCCTTGCCAATGGGGGTCTGGAAAATCGAAGTTTAGTATCGCAGTCCAGATGCGAGAAATCCATGGGCAATTTGAAGCTGGAACATACAGCGAGAGGACCCTTCAGGGCGACGTAGTTGCGGCGCACACTGGCAATAGCATCGTCGGGAATGGCGGTCTTGCCATCCTTCAGGATGGGGGTGACATCAACGGACTCCCACTTGATGGGGGTCTATTATTGACTTAGTATTTTCATCGCGTTGAAGAGTTTAACATGCCGGGAGAAATCAGTACCTTGGCGGCCTCGAAGATATCCTTGATGGACTGAGAGATCTCAGGACCAATACCGTCACCCTCAATCAGAGTAACAGTGTACTTGCCCTATTTCAACAAAGCAGATCTATTAGCATTGTCGTAATTATATACGGGGTGGTGTTCTGGCGATTTGTGGTTGATGTGCGCTGGCGCGGCTGGCGCCGGCATAGATGAAAAAACGGGTTCGGTGGAAGAAAAAAACGTACATCAGGACCCTTCTGACCCTTGAACTTGGCAACAGCCTCCTGCGCAGGGCTGGCGTAGAAGCGAACCTAATTAAAATATTGAAAATTAGTCAATTGAGCTTTGATTGTTAACGACTTTGTTGTCCTTGAGGGGGTTGTGTACCTGCGCGATAGGAGCAGCAAATCGGGGGGCCACGCGGGACGGGCGCATGCACTGGCGAGCGACAGAGAAGTTCCGGGCAGCAATCATCTTGAAAGATCCCTTCAATTACTTTGGGGAAGATAATAAGTGGTGAGGGGGTAAGAGGGAAGAAGGAGAAAGGAAGAAAGAATCAAATCTCTCGGCGCCGCACCGATCCGACCGGGACTCAGACCGCATTGGTTTCATTTCCCCCACGGCCCGAGTCCACTCTTTTAGGTGTCCACTCTTGACGACACATGACTACAGCTCAACTTTTGATTAGGGTTCTGTTATCAGATCTTGATCCCCTGCAGAAAGATCCCTGATTCTATCTTATATTTCAATTCGTCCTGGCCCCTGCGCTTCATCATGGCTGACCTCGACGTCGCAAGCCATTACAACCTACCCTCCGAGTTCCCCGAGGAATGGCCAGCATCTTTAGACGCGGCCGATGAGCCAGAAGAACAGCAAGTTCAGCGAACAGACTCCCGTCCACGCAAGTCCAGATACATAGCTCTTGAACGCAGTACCAGTGATTGGAGAAGCAACTTTGGTTCACGAAGAGGGAAGGAGGGTAGGGAAACTGCCCGGGAAGACGAGCCCGATCCATTGGGTACAAGCGACAGTGTTCTCCGGATCCTCAAGCAGCGAGGTGTGCCCTTGGAGGAAGATGGCAAATCACGATTCCTGCTGTCATCGACATCATTCTCACCCGCACTATTCCTATCACAGGCGCATCATTCAGACTCTATTGAATCACTGATGGGCGGCCTGGATAATCTGTCGCATTCCATCGATCAGAAGTCGGCGTCGCTGAAAGTACTGGTGGAAGCCAATTTTGAGCGTTTCGTCCGCGCCAAGGCAACTATCGATAGCGTCTATACCGAGATGAGGAACCAGGGCGTGGAAAAACAAACAGCGCCGGGTCTGAGTCCTCGCAGGTCAGGACATTTCCGGAGCTATTCGGGTCAGCAACGGAGTGTATCTCCAGCCCCGATAGCTCCCAAGAAGACCGCTCTTGTTAAGGAAAGTGAGTTCGGCATGAAGGGTATTAGAGGTCCTTTGGTCGAGGCTTCTGTCAAGGCCGAAGAGGTGTGGGGACCGGCTCTTGGAGGACGGGACCGAGAGAAGGTACTAAAGTCGGTTGTGGAGACTATGGAGAAACACCGCGATGTCTATGAAATTGGGAGCCTCTTATCCAAGTCCATTCAGCAACGTGACTACGATGCTGTGTTTGAGCAGTATACCAAAGCAAGGACACTCGCCAATCGAGCGAAAAATATCGCAGAACAGGCATCATCCAGTTCCCGCCGGCAACTAAACGACTCCGAGACACACACCATTCTGGCCATGGGTCGGATGTGGATGGACGTTGACCAGCAAATTCACGACTTTAAGCGCGATCTCTGGAGACGTCTTGCCGACGCTCCCACCATGTCAACTACCAGCACCGCTTTAGGGCCTGTGGAAGAACACATGGAGTTGATCGGGGCCTTGCTGGAATTGGGTGTCGAGGACAACCCTATCTGGAAATGGCTCCAGAGTCGTTATGAATTCCTGAAAACAAAGATCACCGGATTCTGTGACCGATGCAAGGTTGAAATTGAAATTTTAAGAAGAAGACTTGCTTGTGGAGAGAGACCAACACCACAAGCTACAGCATCCTATCTCCGCCTGGCACCTCGTGATGGAGCGGTAGAAATTCCAGGGAGACTAGACACGGATCAAGTCATTGAGTTGTGGGAATGCATACAAACGTTCCTAACCCGTCTTCTGTCCTCGCAAAGTGGCTTGCTTGGTGATGTATTGGATTTCTGGGAAGTCGCACAATCATTCATTGATGGCAGTCGACAACGGCTTTTGCCTACTGGGTTTGAAGGAGAGAGTCGCAAGCATCACCATCTTTCTGACGACAATATTCAGGAGTTAGAGAAGGGTATTGACGTATTGGTCAATATTATTCGAGAGAACGTCGTGGCTCTCTTCACGGAACCCCCAACCGAAGATATCTCCCTACTCTTCTCGCCAATTCCGGCAAGTCCATCAACCCCAGAGTCGAGGGGTATTACTCCGACAGAGTCCCGCTTCAAGCTGGATCCGAGGAACCTACCATATCCTCCCCCAAAGCTTGGAGAGCACTGGGAGGCTTTCGCATTCTGGCCACCATTTTCCAATTCTCTCAGTGGAGTGCACTATCTGAGTAAATTCCTCATCACCGTAGGCACCGCGGCGAGCGAAATGGCAGCCCTGCAGCCGATTGGCGGCTCTGGAAAAACCCATGATCTCCTCAAAACCCTTGTCAGCGTTTCCCGGGAACGATGTGCACGTGTGGCGTGTGCTGCCTGGAGTAAAGATGCAGAGATCTGCAAAATGTTGGAAGATTGGACACGCGATTCAGAGAAGCGTGATTTGACTAAGATGCCCGGGTTCTTTGTGGCTTATGAGAGTGCTATCCTTGGGGGCATGCAAAAGATCCTTTACATTTCGGAAGCTATGGCAAAGCCAGGTTCCGTGGATGTTGTCACTCAACCGCCTGCGAAGCTACTTCAAATGGTCCGCTCTCAGTTTGTATCGAGTGTTTACAAATCGTTAAGCGGGCTGGTTGAAAACGCAGAGCGCCTGACAACAGTAGATGAGGAAAATGAATGGATTATTGCTCGACCAGCAATGACAAGCCAAGCGACTGACGCTGGTTTGTCGGTTCTCTCAGCTGATTCGGTCGATTCTTGGAATCGGGTAAGTGTCGGTCCGGTTCGATGTGATACCTGCATAACTAACCACAACACAGAATGTTCGAATCCTTCTCACACTTTCAAATCTCAAGGCTCTACAGGCCGACCATGTCCCACAGCTTATCTCGAACTTTGAGACATCTTTCTCAGTCAAGCTGACGGAAGAGGCCAAGACCGTCCGGGACGTGCTGAGCCAGATTGAAGACAGGCTATTCCAATCATATATCACCCCAATTACTGTCTTATTACACAAAACAATCACCGCCGGCATTGCATCTCCAGATTGGGAGCCGTCTGTTGACAGGCCGGAGCAAGTTCGCCCGTATGTCTACAACGCCATGTTGACCATGGTGCTTGTCCATACAGAGATATCCACAACTATTCCGTCTACTGTGTCATCAGGTGCTAATCGCGCTGCGTCAAGTTCACCATCCTCGCTACTGTCCACTGTGTTGACACATCTCCTTTCTCAAATTTCTTCGTCACTGCTTGATGCCTTCCGTGCTCGGCCCTCTTTCTCACTCCCAGCTTTGATGCAAGCTACCCTGGACACCGAGTTCATTGCACAGACTCTTACCTCGTACATAACCGAGGAGGCATCGAATGTGCAAAGCCAGATCTACGTCGAGCTAGATTGTCGTACCACAAACGAAGCTCGCACCAAACTGAAGGCCGAACTAGGAGAAATGCGTGTTATCCTCAAACGGCTCAGAGATCGGACGAAGGGCGAGTTTGCTTGTTTCAAAAAGCCGAGAAACGGAGGTGCAAATGGCGGAGGGAACAATAAGTCTTCCGCTGCCGCGACATAAGTTTAGCAAGATAGTGCCATTGAAGGACCAAGAATCGTAATATTGAATGCTTTGAATTTTTTTTCATAACCGGGTATCATGAAAACATAGTCCACACCATGTGTAGTTCTTGCCTTTCTCTAATTCTTACCAACCATCCGCTGCACGCGACTAAGCAGCGCATTGCTCTCTCTGCCTAATCTCCTCTTCCCAAACTGATCCGGCCGCTTCGCGCGCAGCAGTTTCTCACGCTCGTTTTGTTTCGCCTCGCGGTCCTTCTGTCGTGCTTCCTCCGCTTGCCTCCGCTTCTCTGCAAACTCCATCTCCCTTGTGAATGCAGAAGGCTTTGGTCTGCGCTCCCTCTGTTTGCCATCGCCTCGTGGGCGCCGTTCTGGTCTAGGTGCAGGTGCCGGCTCGGCCTCGGGCTCATTCAACATGGCTATGCGATCCGGGTGGAGTTCCGGAGTCTTTGCCTCTTCGATAGTCTTGTCCTCATCCTTGCCAGTATGGGTTTCATCTGCCTCGGCGGTATCGTACACGGATTTCCTAGGCGCGATGGCGAGTTCTGCGGCTTTGATCTTGGCATAGGCCTTCTTCACTTTCGCTTTGTGAATCAAGTCATTTTTGATCTTTTGGGCTGTTGTTAATTATTTGATTAGTCTCGTTTTCAAGGTATGGCTTTGGGGCATGCTCACTCTTGCGACGATATGTGCCATCTGGGAGGTTTGCGGGTCCAACGCTAAAACCCTTGCGCTTCTTGACCTCGGGCTCGCCCTTTGATGATGGAGCGGCATCGCCATCGTGGGTACGTTTTGGTGCCATGTTGATATTCAAACAAAACAAATGTGTTTTGTCTTGTGTGTTGAAATCGAAAGACTTTCGGAGAAGAAAAAAAAAGTGGCGATCTCCGCACGGAACATCGGTCTCGGCCACTAGCAGTGAAGTATGAACTTTTTAAATAGTATACTACATTCTTATTTCTTCGATTTTAGTACTAGAAGAATGAAATAGAGAACTCACTATATGACATACAGTATCTATGTCTACAATATACATGACAGTATATGTGACATTATTCACTGATTCTATTGTCATTCCAGCCGGCACATTCTATGCCTTTCGTTTCGCCATTTCTTCCCAACATCTCTTAATTTTTAGGCATCGGGCCTTGATATTATTGAGACCCAAAGAATTCAAATATAGAACAATATAGGGCTACCTCGTCACCTAACGGTGCAACACAACGTCACTGGTCCATCACATGACGTTCTCAGTCCGGATCTCCGAGATCGACGGGTGTCCACCTCCCAACTGAATGCTACTCCCTCTTCCCTATTCAACATTTTGAGGCAGACTGGGCATTTATACCTTAAGAAAACTAAAGCCAAGCCCATGGAGTGACATGCTATCTTATATATAAGCGCTGCCCTCCTCACCAATCAGTAGAACTATTGACGGCATATACCCGAGTCATCGTGGTACACCGCATCGAACTTTCCCCCACCGCGGCACAGCTTGGCTCTGGTTTCAAAAGCTGATAAGTGGGTGGCCTCCTGAAATGTCATCTTTAGCGTCTCAGGCCTTGTAGTCTGCCCTTATCACGCCACCATGCCCCTATTTCGAGATCCGGATCGGCGGCGTCATTATCTACGGTCACCCGAGCATGACCATGAACAGCCAACCACAGGGTCCTCGCAGCCCGAGCTAAATGATCTCAATCACTGTGAAATAGCTGCTCCAGAAATGGCGACCAACTCTATGCATCCAACGGCGTTGAATCCGCCCAAGGCGTGGGCAAATGATCGGGAGGAACTCATACATCGTATCAAAGAATCTTCGCCTTGGAGACTTCAACACATGGTATGTGAATTTTTTCGTGGATATCTGACTCTTTTTCAAACCTCTGCTTGCTGTGATGTCCGGTTTCTTTAATCCGGTTTTGTTCTCTTTGTCTTTTCTTTCATAGTCCCACACATCTTGTCAAGTATACATAAGCTAACGTGCCAATAGTCCCCGGATAGGGAAAGCAATGATTTATTTGTTTCTCGAATCTCACGGGGGCAGTCACAACCAGCAGTAAGAGAGCATGGAGACCGCTCTCTTAACCAAGAACATCACATAATCGCGACAGAGGAACTGGGATCGCCGGCCGATATCCAAAGACCTCGATCAGCGTTACACTCGGGTGACTTCAATGAAGGAGCCACACATCCCCATGACTCACACTCTCCTCGATCTCCTTTGAAGGAGCAGACTTCGGTCTCTTCCTTTGCTGATCTAAGGTCCTCCCCCACTACTCCTTGGTTCGGAGCACCGGCCTTGCCACCCGATTTGCGAAAGACAAGCACATCGAATGAACATTATCAGTCCAATGTCATCGTGAATGCTCGTGCTCGTGCACCGTCGGTGGGCTCATTCTCATCAAGTTATGTTCTGAAAGCTCCTACCAGTCCTCTGGTATACCAAGCAAATAACACCGACTTGGACGTTTCGGGGCCTTTGGAGAGAGCAAACCGTCGCCGTACTTTGCCGCCGGAGACTTTTGGGAATCTACAATTCTCTCCGCCAAGCGATGAAATTTCCCACCTGGGTAGTCCATCTCCGGGACGGCAGCAAGATATATTTACCAATCAAACGCCTTTGCCTCGCCGGTCATTGACTTCGGCATATAGTCTTCAACTCGCACCATCCCCCGGGGGACAGATCCCACCATCGCGAGTAAGAAGGCCGTCTTTTATCTCTGACATCTCGTCAAAATCCCACGCGCCGATGGTGGGGTCTTACGAGGAGTCGATATTGTGCGGGAGAATGTCAATGAATCCTTCCAAGCCGCTGGATTTCATGGCTCAGATCGGTGTCCTAGGCAAGGGAAAATGCAAAGGCCATCTCAAATGTCCGCCACATATCACAGTGCCATTTCCGGCTGTTTTCTACAGCTATCCGACCTCGGGATGCGGCCGCTCAATCTCAGACGACAACCCGAGTCCCTATGTGGGAACAATTGACCTGGAAAATGCCCTTCCGAAAGAGAATCCCAATCCGAATCGACGTCGTAGGCGACATCCAAGTCCTAGGGGACCTCATGAAGGCATTGCCGCCACAGAAGGACCAAGCGATATTCGCACGCCTGGTGCTGAGTCACCACGTCTCCGAGAAAAGAAGAATCGCAGGTCAGAATCGCCTAAATGTCCCCCAGGAGGGTCTTACCGGATTCCGCAACAAGGTCAACTACAAATCATAATCAAGAACCCGCACAAGACTGCGGTCAAGCTTTTCCTAGTTCCATACGATCTCACTGATATGGAACCTGGTACAAAGACCTTTATTCGGCAACGCAGCTATTCGGCAGGTCCGATCATCGATATGCCGCTCAGTGCACGGAAGAATCTTGGGACAGATCGCCCGGAAGCTTCCTTGAATCCCACACAAGATCCTCAGGACAAACCCACTTTGCGATACCTCATTCATCTGCACATCTGTTGTCCCGCGCGCGGTCGTTTTTACCTACATCCGTCTATTCGCGTGGTGTTTGCAAACCGCGTCCCGGATGGCAAGGAGAAACTACGCAATGAGATACAAATTCCTGAGCCTCGGTACACTCCGTACAAGCCCGCTTCCATCTCGAGTACTGCGAGCGCAAATACCAGCCTGGGAATTGAACAAACTTCCCGCGGACTAACTGTGGACCAGGGAGCAATCCCTCACCTTCGCCCACATGTGTCGTCTCCCAGCCAGTTCCCCTCGCAGCTAGACGTGCGAGGTTCCTTGAATGTTGCAGGTGGCCCTGAAAATACTCCTTCCTCGCATAGGGTGTCTCCGTACAACAAGCTCACCAAGGACAACGAGGATTACGGACGTCATCCCTTTATCTCGAATCCAAGCAGTCCAGAACCAGGCGAAAGCCTACTCTCCAAGAGACTCCGAGGCTTGGATGTGCGCAGGCAGGAGATCACAGTAGATGAACAGCATCCACGCAAACTAGGCTTCTATGATCGACCATCTCCCACCCACAACCACCATCCCCGCTAAACGAACCCAATGCAATACCTTCCAAACCCTCCTCCTCGTCATTCAGTATGAAAATAGTACCACCTATCTCCCATATGTATCTTGACCTTGGCTTGACCTATTTCCTGACTACACCCTCAAAGAACAGCACAGAACAGCATGACAATAGGCGCACTGGTTTGCAGCCGACCACTGTTTATACTAACCCACATAATAGCGCCGAGTATTTTAATTCATCTTGATTCACGTCTAAGCGATGTTTGTAATTCTTTTCTTTGGCATTTGGACGTCCAGTTGATCTGCTTTCGTTGCCTTCTTTGTGTATTGCCTTCTTTGTGTATTGGGGAGCTCAGGCGCATGGGTCGTTGACTATACCCCATTTCTATATTTACTTTTGGTACCTTCTCTCGCCGTGTTGGCTTGATGTTTACAATAAGTTTGTCTGTTGGTTATGTAGTTCAATTTGGCGAATTTTGAAATCTGTTATATATATTTCGCTACGTGAACTGTGTTCTGCGCGATTTTGATTTTCGTGGCTACAACAATGTACATGAACAGTGGATATATATTTAAAGCTTTTCTGATTTATAAAAAGACAGAAGGCAAGACTTGGTGAGATGTATAAGAATAGGAGTTCCTGCAATTTATATCTACAGAGCGCTAGATACAGCAACTAAATTATCCAACATGACAAGTGCTAAGCCACCCAAGAAGAAGACTATGTGATCTCGACCCGGCTGGCATGATGTATTACAATTCCTTCGAGTCCAAGAGAATAACCTCTCTCAGTCCTCTTCAACCAACAAGCTTGGCTTAACCAGCATGCTCCACGATCTCGCTAACCAGAATGCCGTTCTTGATGTAGCTCTTGAACTGCTCGGGCAGAGGGCACTCCTTGGTATCTTCATCGGTGCCCTCCGGCGGCGGAAGGTTGATGTTAATAGCGGAGCACTTGCTAGTAAAGACCTCAGTGTTGAGGCTCTGCTGGCCAAGGTAAACGGTAGCACCATCAACCTGGTCCATCAGCAGAGTGGGGACCGTGCCGTCAATCTGCACAGCGAACTTGGGGCATTTGATGATGTCAAGACTGCTGACGAGAGAATCGACAATGAGAGAGAGGCCAGAGCAGTTATCGATGGCAATAGCGTTAGCCTTGTTGGAGACCTTGATGATGGTTTTGTTGCAGCGGCTAATGAGGATGGACTGGTTCTGCTGAGCGACGATCTCGACGATCTCGCCAGGAGCATCAAAGTTCTCGATGAGCCACTTGCTGCCCTCGAGTTCCTTGCGGGGCGGCTTGCGCGCGCGCATGTTTTCGGGCTTGGGCTTCTTGTTAGGTGCGGGCGACTTGCCCCGCACGGCGCTGGAACCTTCGGACTCCGAGACGGTTGATCCGGCACGCAGGCTGGGGTTCTTGTGTGTCATCTGCGATTTATCGACCTTGCGGAGGCTGGATGTGATACCCTCGCCCTGGTTGAGCTGGTCGAAGACAGCGCCCATGTCTGCTGCTGGTGCTCCGGGGGCCTGAGCGGGGGGAATACCAGGAGGCGGAGGTGGGGGAGGAGCACCGCCACCGGGGACATTGAGGGATGGGACCGGGGGAGGAGGAGGGGGAGGGGGAGGAGGGGCACCGTCGCTGACAGGAGTAGGTCCGCCCTTGGCCTGCTTCAAAGCTTCCAAGGCATCAATGCCAGATGCATTGTTCCATGTGAGACCTTGGGGGAAGTGTTTCTTGAGGTACTCTGCAAGAGCCTTGAAGTTTTGATAGTAGGCCTTGATGTATTCGACATGTGTCTTGTCCCTGTCAAATTGTCAACACGGGGATTCCTTCAAAACATCATTAACAGAAGTGCTCACTTGTCCTTGTACTCCTTCAACACCTTATTTCCGTAGTACTCAATGCCACCGATCATGTCCGTGACAAACTCCGCAGGCTTGCTTTCAAAGAACCAAGCGAGCGCAACAATACCCTCCGCAACAGCGCTCAGGTGGTTGAATAGCGGCGATGCTCTGTTTGATTCGCGAATGTTGTTAATGCTATCGGATGCTTTGTGCAGATCTGTCATTAACTCCGGAGGCTGAGTATCGGGCTTCTTGGCCTTTGTCACAACGAAAAGATAGGTGCGTTCAGCTTGGAAGGCTTGAAGGACGGCTTTGGACTATAGATCCAGTCAGCAATTACTCGCGGCAGACCAATTTCCCAGAATCTTTTTGTAAACATACCTGCTCAGCAACCAGACCGCCAATCTTCTGTCCCAGGTTGACAAAGTTCTGAACATCTCCCTTGATCAACGCATCGAAGTCCTGGATCTGCGGCGGAACCGGGGCCGCCACAGGGGTTGCGGGCGGAGGAGGGGAGGGCTTAGGGGGTTCTGGAATAGCGGGCAGGGAGGACGCAGGGGACCCGGACAAGGACTTTGGCGCGTTAGGGTCATCGTATGACATCGCCATATCCTCCAAGCGTGAGGTCGCTGCCTCGAGCCTGTAGATAAGTCCAATGTCAGTCAAGTGTGCCAGATGTAGTTGCCAAACAGCTCAGCAGGGATTAAACCTAAAGCAAAACGCCATAGGTCAGATGCTGCTAGCACCAAGGATACATACCGCTTGATGAGGGTGGTGAAATTATGCATATGGCCGCCGGACGCCATGATAGGCAACACGTTGCTCCAACGGTGGAAGCGGAAAGGTAAAAGGGGTGATTTGAGTGGGTTGAAGGGATTATCGAAAAGCAAAATCCCTTGCTATTCAGTAAAATTTGGCTACTCAAGTTCCGAAGACAATGGGATGATAGGGAGTGGAAAGAAGAAGGCCGGAGCTCCTGAGGCAGATGACGGCTCTATACGTGGTATGGTACGTTACAGCTGGATCCGCAGGCGGGAATGACGTTGCGGGGTATATTTGGTAATTATATTACCATCATCCGATCCACCGTAATGAGATAGTCAAAACTCCCAACACTTGAATGTTCGGTTCTTTGTCTCTCTGAACAACATCCTTTATATCTATATATAGCTTTAGCTGCAAATATGGTGGCCCAAGATCAGCCCATTGAGGTCGAGTTCTGCACCTTGGGGATGTTTATAATTGGTATGGTTTACTTCGTTCCTCAAAAGTGGGATGTAGACTCACAAGTTGTTATTCAGATGATATCGACTTCGGCGGTTCAAGACCCGGTGTCAAGAATATCCTCGGTGGCGCAGCCTCATTTGCAGTCGTGGGCGCCCGTTTGGTCTCGGGGTCGAAGTATGCACGATCTGTGAGCTGGATCGTGGATGTTGGCTCCGATTTCCCCTCTGAGACGCTTGATGTAATCAAATCATGGAACACATCCTGCGTTTTTAGAGAGGACCCTAGCCGGCTGACAACGAGAGCCTGGAACGGTTATCATCCCGATGAGAAACGAGGTAAGTTTCTGGTGATATCGCGTGAAAGAACGGACGCAGTGACTGACTCCGACAGACTTCAAATACTTGACTCCGAAATTAAGACTCGAGCCTGAAATGTTGTCCGACTCACAGGTGTGGTCCAAGACATTCCATATGGTCTGCTCTGCATCTCGTTGTATGTCTATAGTGCATGATATTCTTCAGCGACGAGATGAATTGCGAAAGGCAGGGAAAGCGCCGTCTGCCGCGCATGCTTCTAAGCGCCCTATCTTCGTCTGGGAGCCAGTCCCTGATCTCTGTACCCCCGAAGAACAGGAAAAGTTCTTCGCCGCAAATAAAGTCGTGGATGTGGTGAGTCCTAACCACATGGAGCTCGGTATGATGTTTGATCATCCTGGTTGGACGGAGAAGAGCCAAGAAGGCCGGCAGCTAGTCCAAAGGATTACAGACTCCGGCATTGGTCCCGATGGAAACGGCATGCTGGTTATTAGGGCAGGAAAGGATGGTAGCTACGCCTACTCAAATTTCGCCAAGATTTGGCTTCCCGCATATCATCAACCTGATGCCGAAGGTGCTACGCCTGTGATCGACCCCACGGGTGCGGGCAACTCTTTCCTTGGTGCTCTAGCCCAGGGAATGGTGACTGCAGGCCGAGAACCATTTCAGGTTATTGACTCTGTTCTATCAAACTCCGAAACTTGGAAGAAAGCTCTTGAGTCTTGGGGTAATTACCAACATCATCCTATGGCGCTCATTTGCGCAACCGTCGCAGCTGGCTTTGTGGTCGAGCAAATCGGTGTGCCGCAGATCGATCCCGATGGAAACGGAGAGGAATTGTGGAATGGGACTGAATTCACGGAACGAGTCCGCCTGTACACGCAGCGATTATTGAGGACACTTGAAGAGTCTCCTCAGAGACATACATTGGTCAATTGACCAATGGCCGGATGAGGAACGCCCTTTTATTGTCGTACAGCACACAAGTGATCAAATAGTAGAAAAACACGAAAAGAAAAGGTCCGTCCTGCTGAAAATCCTCCTACAACCGCCGTCCAGTATCCTGGACCTTCTTCATGACTCGTTCTTCGCGGCTAGTTTCTGCTCGTGTTCGCGAATTTGCTTGCTCCAGCTATAAATTAAGAAACGTAAGGGTCAGCATAAGGTATACCGAGTGACATAAGAGTTCGGGTAACGGACTATCGGCTGGGGAAGAAGCGGCCGGGCTCGGGCATCTTGTCGCGGTATTCCCGCTCAGCACTGATGCTGAAGGCGACAGCAGCGACGCCAATGACAAAAGCGCCCATGATCGCAGTGTTGACCCTCCAGTTGGCTGGCTGGGCGTACCAACCACCAGCGGGGGACCAGACTTCCTTGGGGTACCTGCCAGATCAAATCCATTAGCTCCTGGCGAGGTCATGAAAAACGGGAGTACGTACGGGATCTTTCCACCTCCACCCATTGTGACGAAGATGCAATTGAAGGGTTTGTTGAGTAGATAAAGCGAGCGTAGGGCTAGTAGTTCTTGAAGGTGGAAGCCGAAAGGGCCGTCTCGGTCGCAGGTCTGATGCCAAGGCGCTAATACCACATTAGGTTTAGCGCAACCTCACACGACTTGGCCATCCCGTGACTGCCGCGACAATTTCTCTTCTCTCTCGTTGATGGTATGCTAATTGATTGCGTCGCGATTCTCCCTCCCGTCCATTGTATAATCTTTTTACGACCCTCAGAATACCCCAATCGCCCAAATGAAGAGACTGCAACTCCAAAGATGGAGCAGTTCAGTCCTTTCGCCGCGGGCTCGGACTGTTAACCGCCTGCATCAACACATCTACGGGCAACGGTGTCAATCGACCGCTCCCCCGGTCCAAGCCCGTGATGACCAGACCACCGCGATTTTCGAGGAACCACCAGCTTTGGATGAGCAATTGGCTCAAATTGTCAAGGACTCTCACACCCGCCACTCGCAACTCCAATATCCCTCTCCCCCAGTCGAAGCAGCTCGACAATCTGCAAAACTCGCCGCTCTCCACGCTCGACTCTACCTACCCTCCAGATTACCTATCGAGACACTTGCACGGACACTAGTCGATGCATCAGCAGACCCGAACCCGAATTTCAACAATGCCTCGCTGGCCACTCTCGGTCACGACCTCCTTTCCTACTACGCAACCGAGCACCTTATTTGCACTTACCCTCGTCTGCCCTTGACCGTGATTTTCGCTGCCATGTATGCCTACGCTGGACCTAAGACTCTTGCCGCGATGGCACGAGAATGGGGTGTTGACTTGGCCGCGTTGCCCGGTGGTGAGGTTGATCCCGGTCTGTTGCAGTTCCAGAGGCTCGAGCCTGGCGCTGAAATTCCCTCGGGCCCGACTCACCCGACAGCACGCCCATATGAAGCACAGAAGAACTGGAGGAAAACGGTCACTTCTAAGATTTTCTATGATGATGAATTCGGTGACCCGCTCAAGGGACTCAAGCCCTCTGCCGCCGGTGTCACCACCGAGCAAGCAAGCGCCGAGTTCGTCCGAGCTGTTATGGGCGCCATCTACCTACACGCTGGCCGCGCCGCTGCCAAGCGATTCTTCGAGCAACACTTCCTTTCACGACACCTCAACATCTCAGAATTGTTCAACTTCCAGGCGCCAGCCCGTGATTTGACCCGGTTGTGCGCTCGCGAGAGCTTCGAGCGTCCAGTCGCCAAGGTCATCAGTGAGACTGGTCGTAAGAGCAGACACCCCGTCTTCGTGGTCGGTATCTTCTCTGGCCAGGATAAGCTTGGGGAGGGCGCTGGCGCCAGTCTGATGGAGGGCCGCGAGCGTGCTGCCGTTGCCGCGCTTAAGGGTTGGTACCTCTACAGCCCTCTTTCTGTACGCGTTCCCAGTGCGATGGAGGAGCCATCAGCCTTACCGTGGAAGCCGGTCCACGTTGACCTGGGCGAGGTCATTGTTTAAGATATTTGGTGCAATGGGATGCCTTGGTTCAAGGCACGGTAACATATTATTTCATGTCTGTTTTTTTTGTCATCTCGCTTTTCTTTTTCCGGTGTGCTATTCTTTCGCATGGGAAGCTGGCCGGCGGTAAAAAGAGTCATCTATCCTGTCTCCTGCATGACTGGATCCTGTACATTATGGGAATTCCAATCCCTTCGATTCACCTGGTGTCTTTTTCTTCGAAATTTCCCTTGCTGTTTTCTTTTCTGATTTACTCTCCAGTTAGATATCGGGCAAAACTAGGCATGTCATGGCCTTTGTTTTGGCCCTGCTATTCCAATATAGAAGCTCTCAGACATCTACTGAATGCATACAAAATCAATGTTAATGGAAGCTTTCTAGTCTTTGGATCCTGCTAGTTGTATATCTCTAGTTGACCACGTGAACCTACCAATGTCTATTCATCTGGACTTTACATCCACCCCATTATTCCCGGTTAAGAATCTCATCCTCCCATTTCCCACTACTTCTCCCAACACCCACCGTAGGATTATCCAGATACTGTCCGTATTCTTCCCACAAGTCCCCAACCCCAACCCCGAAAAGACCCTTCCAGAACCCGATACCCTCTTCACCAACATACCCAACTCTCAAAAGCCGATCATTCAACATCCCCACAGCACCCCTCCCAACCCTAACATCCTCAATCCACGCCAAAAAATACGCCGTATGCTGATACCCCTCATCCCACTTCGGCGGCCGTTCCGCAGCAGACACAGGCCGTTTCCAATGCGGCGGCTCTAGCCCAGCCTTGAGTCTCACAAAGTCCGCTATTCCCTCGATTAGTCCGCCTGGCGGACCCGGTATATCCTCATCACTGTTTTCGAGGCCCGGCGGCGCGGTGTGCTGATAACAATGCACGAGCTCGTGCGTCAGAACCCCGACTAGCTCATGGAGCGGATCGGCTTTCGCTGAGGGCCCGGATGTACAGTGCTGGATGTACGGGAGGGAGACATGGATTTCCTTGTGTGCATCGTCGAGCTCGGTGCCTGTTGTGTAGGCTACGCCGCTGTAATCGCGGAGGAAGACGGTTACAGATCTTGTTGGTGGGATGCTAGGTGTGAAGGTGGGCCGCTGGGGGTTCTCGGACTTTGGGGATGAAGTGTATAGGTATTTGATGATGTTTGCTAGGGCTTTGTCGAGGGTTGATGCGACGTCTGGGATGAGGGTGAGGAAGGCGGTTGAGGCTGGATGGCGTAGTTCTTGTACGTGTAGGCGGAGCTTGGGTTGGGGGATTTGGGAGGTGAGATCGGATTCTATGGTTGTTTGCTTTTCTTCTTTGCTCGGGGTCTGCGGTGCCTGCTTGGGGATGTTGGGGATTGCTGAGGGATGAGGTGCTGGGGATGTCGTCATGGTGTGTGGGTTGACGGTGATTAAGGATATCTGTTAACGTCCGACTCTCTTTCCAAGGTCTGAAGTGTATGAAGGTCAAGGTTAGCGGGGTTGGAGCACGGGTGCTGACTTTGCCCTAAAAAACTTATCCCAAACCCTATAAGGGTCCATGGTCATCTTTAGGAATACACTCAAATGCTTTTTTTTACCTATACATATTACTGTATATACCTTGTCGGTGATCCTTAACAGGCGATATGCTCCACTTTGACGATCTCGTGGGGAGCTAGGACGCTTTGATTCACATTGATTGGAGTGAAAGCGATGTATGGAGTAAGATCTAATCGATTGCATGTATATTGAGCATTATATATTGGGTTTTAATATGGTTGGACAATGCAGTGAACATGTTTCAGTGCTTATTTGTTAATATGGTTTGAATTACTATTTTGATACCATGTTTTTTTTTTTTAGAACATAGCCAAAAAGGCTGATTGAAAATCTGTCTACTCATTTGTCTAAACATTGCCATTGAGATGTAAACATGACGATGTTGGTTGCCCACTGCGACGCGTGAACCCCAAGTTAATACATGTGTAAACAAACCATGTTGGGCTCTATCCTTCCAAGGTTCGGGCATCTCACATGTAAGTGTAGATCCAAGGATGGGAAAAGACAGGTATAAAACTAAGTACTATATTAGGAATAGTAATTCCAAAACCTACCTAGGTAAAGTATTCCAAGGACAACCCCTTTAATATCCTTTATTCTTTTTACTATCCCTCTATATCCCTCGCGCTTATCGTCACGCGCTTATCGCCCCTTGTTTTCCCTCTGTCCGCTTTTCAACATCCCACCATATCAAGATCAACTTTGCGCTCTATTTGTCGCTACTTCATCGCATTCTGTATGTTACGATCCTCCAAATCCGAAGCCTCCACGGTGCTCCTCGTTCCTCTACTCCCGACACCCCATACCTTTTGCGACTCCATCCTATAACCATTTTATGATTTCACTGCCTGCACACATCCATGTCATATTTTCTTTATCACAATCGATCTGCTTTTTCTGACCTATTACTCTCGTGCGCTGGTGGAATCTGCTGCTAACTCTCATCTTGGCTAGTGACAAATCGAAATTCGAGTCTGTGCTCCTATCCGCTATTAGCCTTGTCGCGTTTTGATTCCCCCGGATCGACCATTACATACATCATCCTTCTGTCCATCCCCTTCGTCTGACCCGAGTTGAACTCAATCTCTCGGTGTTGACAATGGAGGCGAAGGCAGCAGAACTACTGGCGGCCTTCAAGAACCCCAACCTGTCCGTCGATTCCAAGATCGCCTACCTCTCTAGTGTCAAGTCCGATATCAAACAGAAAAATGTCCCCGAGGGAGCCATTCGCCCCATTTTCGAAACACTACGCCTCGCCGTCAGCTCCCAACACTACTCTGTTCTCGGCGCGGGGTTCTCCACACTCGGCCACCTCTTGAAGCGCCTTGCAATCCAAGATCAGGAGCAATGGATTGTTCATCAGGCGCAGAGCTTGTATCCTATTCTTTTGGAGCGTCTCAATGACCCGAAAGAACGTATAAGAGCCCAGGCTGCATCAATATTCACCGAACTGTGGCCATTTGCAGGCAATGAAGTCGAATACCATGTTCTGGAAGTTGCAATGGCTGGGAAAAATCATCGGGCGAAGGAAATGAGCATGCTTTGGTTGGCAAATGTAGGCTTATCCGTGGATGCACCTTGCAAGGCTTGTCTCAGATACTAATCTCGACCTACAGATGACGAAGCACCATGGTTTGTTGTTCCGCCAATATGTTCCTTCTCTAGTTTCGTGCTTAGAGGACGCCGACAGCGCCGTTAGAGATACGGCTAAGTTGGTTGTGATCGATCTGTTCCGGTGAGTGAAACTTTCCCCCTTAACCGTTATATGCATTGCCCCTAACCAAACCCAGAACTGGCCCCGCAAGAGCAAAGTCGGACCTGCAAAAACAAATGGCGGCACGCGGTGTGAGGAAATCTATCGCGAATGCTATCCTGTCGGGAATTGGCTTAGGGTCCATTGAACCCGAGACTGCATCCTCTACGCGCCCAATCTCTCGGGCTGAACGCTCAATTTCAGTGATGTCCTCACGTTCACATGCTATGGAACAGACTGATGATGGTGAGTATTTTGATTATATCGATATCCGTGGAGACTACCCTCGGTGTACTAACTTGTTTATAGAAATGGAGCCTGTGAAGCCCCGCCCGGCTTCTAGAGCCAATCGTGAGAGACCGATGGCCTCCTCCGCACCTACAGAACAACCAATTGTCAGCCGACCTCGCACACCGGCCCCGACACCAGCACCCCAGGAGCCGTTGCCAGAAGATGATGGTCTGGAACCGTTCGATGTTGCCTCGGCAAGGGATGTCGATGATCTTGTGCGCGATATGCTCCCCTGGTTCGAGGGAAGAGAATCCGAGGACAATTGGTCAAAGCGTGAAAAGAATGTGATTCTTTTCCGCAGACTGACTCGAGGCAACGCGCCACACGATTTCTCGCAGACATATATCAATGCAGTAAAGACACTCCTTGACGGTATATTGAAGGTTGTCAACTCTCTACGAACCACAATGTCTAGCAACGGCAGTCTTTTGATCCAAGATATTGCCCGAACATGTGGTGCTAGACTCGACCCAATGGTGGAGATTATCATGCAGAACCTGTTGAAGCTTTGCTCGGCGTTGAAAAAGATTGCCGCGCAAAACGGAAATGCCACTGTTGAAGTTGTCATTCGAAATGTTTCATTTAGTGTTCGCCTCCTGCAGCACGTCTCTTTCGCAACCCAGGATAAGAATGTTGCAGTGCGGCTGTTCGCGACTGGGTGGCTAAAAGCTTTGATTATTCGCCAGGCTCATCATAAAAGCGCAGTTGAACACGGTGGTGGCCTTGATCTCATCGAGAAGTCGATTACGAAAGGATTGGGAGATGCCAACCCTGGTGTGCGCGAAGCAACACGGGGCACGTTCTGGACGTTCTACAGTGTGTGGCCGGACCGAGCCAATATGATAGCAGACACCCTCGACCCAAAATCGCGAAACTTGCTGGAAAAGGATTCATCGAACCCCAACCCCCCTTCAAAAGGTGCTCCTGCATTACCTGCAAAGAGCCCCGCCAAGAGTCGTTCCGCTTTACAAGAAGCTATTGCTGCTCGGAAGAAGGCCCAGATGCCTTCTCGACCTGAGTCCGCTCAGCCAACCTTTGCCGAGGCGAAGCCATCTGTTCCTGCCTCCAAGTCCACCCGGAGTGTACCCACTGGGGCCCCTCTCTCGTCTCTGTCTTCTGCGCCTATGAGACCCGCCATGAAGCCTCGACGGCCAGAACTGAGTCGTCCTGCAACTGCAGACCCATATGCTCGTCGCCCTGAGTCACGAGCCCAGTCTAGTAGTACCCAATCTACCCGACAAGCGACTACTTCCCCCCGGGCTATGAGATCCAAGCCCTCAACACCTACATCAAAGGTCCCCCTAACAGCGCCTCGCACTCGCCCACCTGAGTCGGCACAATCTGCCTCAACGAAGGGCAGGCCGAAGAAACTTGATTTGTCCAAGTCCAAGTCTCACAATGATCTCATGGCTGCGAGTCGTGCTCGCAGTGACTCGAACGAAAGCCTTAACAACCTGCCACCTGCAAGATCCCCCCGTCACGGAAATTACCTCACTCCGTCCGAGGACCGGCATTCCCCCGCATCTATCATGTTGGAAAGTCCCCCGCTTAACGCATCACAGCCTCTTCTGTACTCGGCACCGCATGGTCCCCACGCGGACTCGGTTCCTATTGAAGAGCCGAAACCAATGATAGAAGAACCGGAACCAATGATACTGGATGAACCTGTCGTTGCTGTACCTTCACCGTACATCCCCGAACCTGATATTCCAATGTCTCCCGCTCTTGTGTCTCCTGTTCGCCAGCATTCGGATCTGGCCTTTGGTTCTGGACCTGCATCTGCTGTCAAACCCCAGCCAGAGTCAATGGTGATCTACGAAGATCCCACCACGCCCACCGCGGACACACATGAGACTCCTGACTACGCCACGTCGGTGGAAAGGTTCTCCCCTTCAAAGTCGTCCCCTAGCCGTCCTGATCAACCTGAACATGGCGAAGCAGAAATCCACCCCATCTCTGATGATATTTCAGCCTCGGTGGTCGCTTCAGCTAGGAAGCCTACACCTGATTTGGCCCCTAGACAGGACTCTGGTATGAACTTTGAAGTTCGAACTCCATCTCCAACACGCCGGGCACCGCTTCAACCAAGTCCGTCGCCCACGAGGGGCCGTGTCCACCCAGCGGCTTCTAATATCATGGACATTGAGCCCGTGCTTCCCCAAGAGCCTCATGTGGGAACTAACGGGACCGATAACAATAATGAGAATGCGACCCCACGCCTGACCAAGGCTGTGGACTTGCCCGCGGTCCCGCGGTCTGCAGTGAAGCCGAGTGCCCTCGAAGAAGTGACAGCAAACGAACCTACCCCACGTTCTCCAGAAGTGAGACAAAGATTAGTTGAATCACTGTCTCAATCAACACTTTCCCAGTCGACCTTGTCCCAATCAACAATGTCTGACGATTCCACAAGACGTACTCGAAAGTGGGTTGATCGTCACCGCAGCCCTAGCCCACGTTCGAAGGACCCTGTTAATGCCAAGGAAATGATCCGTAAAGGCCTCGCTCGCATTCTCTCAAAAACCATGGAGCCCTCGGGATACCGGAAGCTACAGGGACTTATCCAATACCACGGCGACGAGATTGTACCCCAAACTCAGGAGTACAATGCGTTGCTGGAAGCTCTATTTGCAGAACTGGAAGCGACCCCTTCCAACCGCAAGGATCATGACGTGAAGACCCAAGTTTTGGCCACTATCCGTTCCATGCTCCTACGGACCCGTGAGCACTTCCACCCGTATGACACTCGCGCCATGGCAGCCATCATCCGGGCCCGTCGCCACTACGAGTCCACTTCTCACTTTGTGAGTTGCCTAGAGGAGGTAGCAGACAAACTGGTATTTTTGACCTTGCCGCAGACCGCGATTGTCGGTGTTCTGCAGGGACTGGATCTCGGAGCGGACGCAGAAAACGATGAGACCTACAGATCCACCATCATGGGCTTGAGTACTATCCAACAGTCACTATCGCGTCCCGGTATCGATATCGACGACGAGCTTCTGGCTCGCATTGGTGCCGTCGTGATGCAGCAGCTCGGACACCCCCGCCCAGGTGTCAGGAAGAATGCCACCGAGCTCTGCACATTCCTGAACATCACCTTCGGATCCGAGAGAGTGCAAAAAGTCACACAGCCTCCTCGTGAAGGATCCCTTAACCTTCTTACCTACTTCATGGCCCGACGGACTCAGTAATTGTTTTTGTTTTTGTTTTTGCTCAGGTCTACCTGCGTATATGTTTAATACATCTGTGTAGCGTGGTGGCGTGTCGGGCCTTAGGCTTTCCGGTGTACATAGGTTCTTGTTCCATATTTATTTTGAAAAAATTCATGTTTGTATTTTTATTTCTTTTCTGATGTACAACTCCTATCGATATTCCCGGCAGTCGTTGAACTATAGCGTGAAATGGCATGAATACTAGTATCGCGTGCTGGGAACTCTCACTCGTGATTCCATTGCGTCAAGCTTGCGAAACGGCACCAGAAGGTATTTACAAAAGCTACAGTCAACTTGTGATGTGAAGCCTGAGGAAATCATGATTCTGATAGTCAGTGGAATCACGATTAGCACAGCCTACAGGGGAGGTGCGAGCTTGATACTTGGTAGTGAGAGATAGTTTGACAGTGCGTATGATACAGTTAAATCACAACAACATCAGAATTACTGACTATGTACGAACAGACACAAAGCATGGCAACATTAAAATCTCAAAGAAGCAGAGAAGCATATTCGATTTCCTCATCCTCCGCCCTCAAAAACAGATGCGCACGGCCGAGAAAGCTGAAACAGGCGAATCTACTGCACAGTCCACTTGCCAGAATAAGCTTGGTCGACGTCGAGACGACCTGCCTGGGTGGCATCCCAGTTACCTGCTTCGAAGCTGATAGCGGTATTTCCAACTTTATAACCACTGATTGTGAGCCCCATACTAGCACCATCGGACGAGCTTCCGAGTGCCACCTTTTGGTTGTCATGGTTGGCATCGGTGAAACCAACGATGGCGCTGGTACCAAGCTGTGGAACTGGTGAGAACTCCTCGATCCACGCATTTTCGATCTTGAAATTCTCAATATTGGACAACATGTTAAGACTGATCAATCCAGGTGAGATGCCCTCGGAGCGGATATTTGACACGGTGAAATTTGAGATCGTGGTGGTCACATCTGCCGTGTTGGTGGCATCTGTATTGACATAGCTAGAAGAGGACCCAATAATTGCGCGCGGGGCATACCCGAGGAACGAGTAGTATCGACTATGGATAATGTCCAAGTGATCGATGTGGATGTTTTTGAGAGCTCGGGGATACCAGCCCAACTGGATGATCGGCGCATTGTTGGTCTTCCAAACAATCACCCGTTCAGCCAGAACACCGGAGTAATAGGCTTTGATACCATCATCACCCGTATGGTAAAAGACATCGCGCAGGTGGCCATTGGTGTACATTTGGAGACCATCCGTCTGGCCATAGAAGCTACCAACCTGCTTGTAATCGGAAACATCGACGCTGAAGCCATTTGGAGGCGTGCTGTCGTTATCGCCGTAGAAGTCCATGACATTGAACGGGGCTGCGTTGGTGGTGATCCCATTCATGGTCCAAGTCTGTCCCGATGAGACGCCGTTTCCTCGCCACATCTTGAGAGATGTCTGGTCCGACTTCGAGTTACGATAACCATCGGCTGTATTGGCCTGGTAGACGTACTGTTCGCCCGACAGGACGCCGAATCCAGTTGCCTTGAGGGGGGATTGACTGTTGTTGTATTCAATAGCTCCTTTCACATAAGAGCCAGGTGCCAAGTAGACCCATGACACCGAGGAGCTCAGCACTGCTCTGTTTTTACCGGTGAACCAGTAAACCCCGGGACCGAAAGAGACGATGGACTTGTCGACATTCTCTAGGCTCTCTACCAGCCCTGGCTTGACCTCATAAATGTCGTCCTTCTTGGATGGGACCATGTCATTGCTCGGAAACGGACTGGCAAAAATTAGAAGCGCGTTGAGTGGCTCTCGTCCCACGATTGGCATTGTATCAGTATAAGTGTCAACATAGTTCGGCGCAGCATTGTTCACGTCCTGAACGTAGTGGGACTGGGAGGCAAGTTCCCGCGTCCGATACTCGATGATATCGTCAGCGAACTCCACGGAAAATCGGACACCGTTCGTCTCAGGGGTGTAGGGCACCCTGATCAAGGCAGCATTTTCAGAGGTCGTGACCGTAAACTTGCGATTGGTTGGGCGGATAGTAACGTCGTCGGGTGACACTGCCTTCCCATCTAACCGGGTCACTTTGACGACGACGTCACTTGCGTACAGAAACTGGGTCCAGCCCATGGTCACACCAATATCTGCTTCAACCGCGATCTGGTCGTCATCGTTGCAGATGTCCGGCTTATCAGGATAGCAAAGCTTTCCTTTTCCACTCCGGGGGATGGTCTCGTAGACAAAAGAGTCATAGAACGTCCCATCGTCGTCAGTGGAAACTTGAACCGAGTATTTATGCGACTGGCGCACACTTTCATCAGCTACTGGAGAATTGGTGTTGATAACTCCAGTAGTGTGCCACCAGGTTTGAAGGTCCTCACCACTGGCAGTGATAGCTGGGATGTTGGTTGCCCGCTTGTGAAGTGTATGATAGGGAACAGCCAGCGCAGTCGCCTGGAAAAAGATGCTAGTCAGAGCGACGAGACCAATTCGATGAATGATCTGCATTGCGAGGAAGATGAATTTCAGCACACCTGGTCGAGCTATAGCCGGTTTCTCTCTGGGGGTAATGAAGTATATGAAAGATCAAATGATTGGATCGAATTGATATCGGTCTGAGGTTAAAACAGAAACACGAGGACCTTGGTATTCTGGTATTCTGGTTGATAGAAATGGAATGGGAAATATGCCTTTATACCCCGAGGAACATTACAGGAGGATTGATGGCAAAGTATATTTTCACACTATTCCCACTTCCTATAATTCTACACTTGTATTCTAATCCACTTGAGCTCCCCCCCCAGATAGTCATAGGGAACCGAAATACGTCCGATGTTTTCAGCTGTCTAGGCCCCCTTTAGGGCGTTTGGCGATGTCAAGATAAAACCAAGGCCGTTTCACCTTATCCCACCGCACTGTCTCCATAGTACCATTGGCTGCAACTGTATTCCTAAAAAGTACAGACCCGCACAATCTTCACAAATTAATTGCTCACCTATTACAGAACTAGCCATCTGTTTGGGGAAATGTTACAAAAGGGGGTACTAAGCCGCTATTTAGTATCCGGAGGGCCGAAAATATTGTTAATCAAATCCCGATATATTAATTTGAAGATTCTAAAATCTCCATATTGAAAAATATTACCCTCGCCGTAATTGTTCACTAAACGAAACCCTAATCACTAGGGCCCGAAGAAGGCCCGTTGTAACGCATTGACTCCAGGCTAAGCCGACAACCGTTTAATGGGAACGTGAACCCAAAGCCGCATATTTATCGAATTTTGTTGCGCAAGGAAGATGACAAATTGAGGTCGGTCTATTAGGCTGAATGTGGTCATTGAACTTCCTGATGCCTTGGAAGGTCTGGAATCAGCATTCTAGTTTCAGGGTATCGAACTCCTCTTTTTACTAGTCTGTGATCAAAGCCACCCGCATTCAAGGCATAGACTAAATAAGGATAATGCCGGTCTTGGCTAATTTAGTTCCATTGACATAGAGCGGATAGCCGAGCTTATAGTCCAATAGGGGCATCTCCGAAGGGCTGATATAAAGAAGGATTAGCCATTTGCGGGGTTACTCTCTCTTTGAACTAGTTTAATAAGCCTTAGAATATAAATCTTAATCTCTCCAACTACTCGGACTCATTTCGGCCAAAATGATTGCCTCCCAGAAACGCACCTCGGCGTGCGATAATTGCCGCCGACGGAAAGTCCGGTGCAATCGTGAGCAGCCTTGCGGGAAATGCCAAGAGGTGTCTTTGAACTGCCGCTATACCTCCGTAGCCCGGCGAAAAGGTCCCAAGGGCCGCTCAGCACCTGTGTTAAGCGCGCTGTTGTCAAGCACATCTTCTCCATTAGAATCAACCCTCTCAGCGAATAGCGCCAATGATGCCAATCTCTTCCCCGCATCCTTCCTTGAAGACCAGCCGATACTATCATTGCCAGAATATCGAGACTTTAACATTATCGGCCTCCATGAGATTGCAACGCCTGGAGTCCGGCAGAGGATGTCCACTGTATTATTACAGGCTCATGTCAAGATTTTCCTGGAGCATCTGTTCCCGATCATGCCAGTACTCGACGCTAATTCAATAACGCTTGACTCCCTACATCCGGAAACATTATCACCAAGACGATATGCCCTCCTCCTCGCGCTCTGTGCGGCCACTCATCTGCAATTGAACCTCGATGAATCTGACGGGAGCACATTCGAGGAGGCCTCGCCGTCTGGTCAAAGCCTAATCGATCAAGCCCTACGAGCGCTCCAAGAATTCGACCCCCTTGACATGCCTCACATTGATTCGGTGCTAACCTCTTTTTTTCTTTTTTCGGCCTACGGAAACCTCGACAAGCATCACCATGCATGGCATTACCTGAGCCAAAGTATCTCCTTCGCCCATCTCCTAAATCTGCACCAAGAGGAATCCTACTTGGTTCCAGATCCAGAAGCAGCCGAGCTGCGAAGAAGGATCTACTGGCTTCTCTTCATTACAGAGAGGCAAGCGCCACCCAGCTATATATCCTATTGTGTATCCAAGCCTGCTAACTTCGTTGGGTAGAGCGTACGCCTTACAGCGTAAGATGCCAATCACCCTCAGGCAGTCCATCCAGAAGCCATCCGTCTTCACGTCCGACTCCCCGGCGCTAGCCTATGGATTCGTGAATTTGATCTCTGTCTTTGAAGAAATCCCCGCTAGCCTTTACGACTGGAACATATCTGCCGGCTCCAACGGTGACCGCGCGGCGCTTTTCGCTGTTTATCATTCCGTTGCCCTTTCGACCCCATTGTTATCCGAATATAACGAAACGCAGAAAGTGGACTTGATGGTGACACGACAATGGCTTCAAATACGCCTGTGGAATATTTTAAATGATCAGCTTACCAAGACCTGCGATGAGGTATCCGTCGTTCCGTTGGACCTTCCAGCAACGGCGGCAAGATCTGTGATGGCCCTTATGTCAACCGTGTCACGAAAATCCGCCAACGCCCATGGAATAGGCATTGTAAGTACTGTCCTGATGAAATATGATCAATACTTATAATTCCTACAGGAGCAAAAACTGTATGACATTGGAGAGGCAGTCTGCGTGCTGGCACATAAATTACTTCCCAACAATACTGGCGGCGGCGGAAAACTATACATGGACGCACAAAACGTCCTATGCGGACTCATTGATAGACTGTCGGATATTCGTGGATCACAGTCGCACCTCTTGGCTCCCCTTCTCCAACAGTCCCACGATATTCTTGGTCTTGGTTCTCTGCCGCCACAACTGGGATTCCCTTCTCACTTGGCCCCTGATCTAACTACCAAAGTTAGTTGTTGGGAAATTGGCCCTGATGATGACGGCTCCCTGCAACCTTACACGGAAGCCTGTTGAGGAAAAACTCCTTGGTATGATCATATTGGGGTAAATTGAAGTATTTAGGTGGTGGTCATTATCTTCGGTCATGTCTTGGTTCTGACTTTGGTTCTCGTATGCGTTTTTCGATCATCACTGAAAAATGGGCGATCAACCTTTTATATGAACGGAAAGCCGTTAAAAAAGTCAAAAAATATGAAAGTGGATTCGTCTCAACAATATAATTCGGACTAAATCTAATTTCTATATCATTTTTTACCTTGCTTTATTGTTTGAGATTAAAGGCCCCTGGCGAGAGCTACGTGATGGTGCATCTCGTACGAGCCTTCTTCGGAACTATCCTGTGCCTCTAAGAGCTCGCTAAGAACTGGCTCTTGGTTCAAAAGCTCACAGAAACGGTAAGTAATTACATACACAATACGTGGGTTCATGCGAGAAAATTCTTCAAACCCCTTGTAATTCTGTTCTAGACGGACTGCTTGTTTTGGATTGGATCCAGGCCTTGTTTTCCAGTCAATATACAGGCTTCAAAAACACGACCATCTTCGGACCACCTCTATTGACAAGGTGGGAATCTATGGAATGATCAGACTAGAAATTTCAAGCCCGAAAAGGCGAAATTCTCGCAAAATTCAAATTCCATCAACGGCTAACCATAAAAATGCCTCGAATGGTGCCAATTTAATCACAATATCCAACACAGATCTCGTTTCTTGGGGATAGTTGGACAGGAGCGTCTTGCCTGACCAAAATCTCTCCCTGGTTGCCTCGGGGACCGACCATGATATCTCGCTGGCTCGGAAATTAATCACGACGAGCGCACAGCCGGTCTCGGATGTACGAGTGTAAGCAAACACGTCCGGATGCTCAGGAGAGATGAGGTCAAACGATCCGTAGACCAAGATTTCAGGGATACTCTTTCTCAGACGCAAAACATTCGACCAGTAGTAATAGACGCTCTCCTCGTCGTCCACCTGGAGCGCCGCATTCCATACTGTGTAATCATCGTGCACAGAAATCCAAGGTTTGACAGCGGAGAAGCCAGCATGAGTGGACGCATCCCACTGCATGGGAGTCCGACCATTGTCTCTCGACTTCATCCGATATTCGGTAAGATTGGTAGAATGCAAAGCATTGTCGTCCGGTTGGGTGCGTGTATTTCTAAAAAAGATCCGTTAGTGGTTTCTTGAACCGTTAGGAAAAACGGAAATGCTTACTCGTGCCAATGGTTCAGTGTTTCTATATCTCGGTACTCCTCAATCCCCCATGTACGTGGCACATTGGGCATACCGAGCTCCTGACCCTGGTAGATAAAAACAGTGCCACTTTGAAAGCCCATGAAAGTGGCTAGCATCTTAGCGGACCGAGTGCGGTCTTCAAGTTTGTCAGACGCGAACCGGGAGACTGTCCGTGGCTGGTCATGATTCTCGAGGTACAAAGCATTCCATCCATTATTCTGGTGCATGGATGTTTGCCATTTCGACACAATCGCTTTAAGGTCCTGCATTTCCCAATTGCCGCAGGTAAACTTGCCTCCTGTCCCGTGGTCCAGTTGAACACTCCAGATAAGTTAGCCAATGCAGTCGAATGGATTGTCCCTTGGAATACTAACATCTCAAAGTGGAAAATCATATTCAACTCGCCTCGGTCGTATCCCACTGCGTTCAAGATTTCTTGTACATCACTGACCTCTGGCATTTCCCCGACGGAAAACGCGTCGTATTCTTTCAGAATGCTTCCAATTTCTCGCAAGTAGTTATGCAGCTTCGGACCGCAGGCATAGAACTTTGCGCCACTTTGCCACTTTGAGGCCGGGTCGGTAATCGGTGCATCTGGAAAGGACGGGTCCTTGCTGATGAAGTTGATAACATCCATTCGGAATCCATCCACCCCCTTGTCTAGCCAGTGCCGAATAATCTTGTATACAGCGCTTCGAACCTGAGGATTCTCCCAATTCAGGTCAGGTTGCTCCTTTGCAAAAAGATGCAGGTAGTATTCTCCCGAAGCCTCGTCATACTCCCACGCGCTACCTAAATTGATGTCAGTCACTCGGAAACTGTTATGCCATTAGAAAGGACGTTGTCTAATCACCCCCAAAATAAGATACCCAGTTGTTTGGCGGCTGAGGTTTGCCATCTACCCCAAACATTGGCTTTCTCCAGATATACCAATCACGATAAGGGCTGTTTATTGAAGAACGGGCATTGCGAAACCATTGATGCTGAGTTATTTTAAGTCATCCATTATCCACAGTTTGGATGAACTAGTACTAACCTGGTCGGATGTGTGGTTCACAACAAGGTCCATCACAAGTTTCATTTTCCGCTCATGCAGTCTGTGAATCAACTCCTCCACATCCTCAACGGTACCATACGGTGGATGAATGCCGTAATAGTCCGAGATGTCATAGCCCATGTCGATCTGGGGTGATTCAAACACCGGATTGAGCCAGACAATATCCACGCCAAGTTTGTGGATGTAGTCCAATTTGGAGATGATCCCAGGAATATCACCAATGCCATCGCCATTGCTATCCTTGAAGGAAGCTGGGTATATTTGATAAACTGACGACTCCTTCCACCAAGCCTTAACGGACGGTCGTCCTCCGGCCACGTTTTTGTCTAAGATGGCATCAGTGGAACCCATTGTGCGGTAAACAAATATTGCTGAGAGATGATATTGATAGAATTCTGGGCAAGGGCTGATGCGAAAATAAATCTTTTATAATGACCTGCGGGCGAACGGGCTAATTCTAGGGCCCACTCCGTAGTAGCGCCGACGAGAGCCCGTTTTAAAAAGCAACGAGTTCGGGGGCATTTTCGCAGGAGACTCCCATTATGCCGGTTGGACCTTTCCCCACAATTGATTTAACGTATTATCATGGTTTGGTTGCCCGCTCAGATGGCTAAACAGACTCAGTGGGTTTGGGCTGGTGAGTAGTGGGCTGGGGATACCCGTACATTCGACTTCGCAGTCAAGAAAATATCCATTTGCCTGTTGCTCTTCATCCCTTCAGGCTCGTGGCTTATTGTATCATAGACCTACTATGTAGTACAATATCCTTGTGTTTTACTGTGTGTAATACGCTAAACATATGTTAAAATGCATCAATATGGTTATTGATTATTTACTTTCATCTATTGAAAACATAAAATTTTGTTGGATGATCCCATCTCGCATGTTGATCGCTAGCAGACTGAGCGATTGTTTGCTAGACTATCTATCAGGGTATAAATACCCTGCTTTCTCATAGAGTAAATTGCCAAGACTTCTTCATTTTCTCTCTCCCCCAGTAGCCACACAAATCTCATACATCAAACATGACATATCTATCATCCACTACAGCCGAGATGCTACATACGTCCTCCTTGCTATCTTCATTTCCCTTCCGTGGTCCCGGCTTCAGCAGCTTCATCGTGGAAAAGGTCGACTTTCGTAGATGCAAACTTCCGCGCGGGCACATGTTGTTCGAACAAAGCATCCATCTCAGCATACGTACGACCTCGAGGTTCCGGTAGGCGGAAGAATGCCCACACGAAACAAAGCAGACACAATCCACCCCAGAAAAACCCAGCCTTGCCTCTCCAGTTCCATGCATCCACATTCAGCATATACGGGATCACCACCCCGTTGAATATGCTAAAGCAGTTGTATAAATTGCGGGCGAGAACGACGGTCTTGATGCGAAGTCGGATAGTAGGAATCTCGGATACTAGCGAATAGCAAACTGGCCCTGCCGAGGAATCATAGATGAACGTGTAGACCAAGAGCATGGAGCCGGTCGCCCAGGAAGTAGCCGGTGTTGCGGGAGCAATGGCGATAAAACCAATTATCAAGAGAATGACACAAAGAGTGGCCAGGCTGTAAACATATAGGGTTCGTCGGCCAAAATAGGACATCAGAACCCAAGAGAATATGGTACCAATGAAGCCGATTCCGTACTGCGCTAAGGACATGTTGAACGACTGAGAGACGGCCAACCCAGCGCGCTGGTAAAAAACAGTCGAGTACGCCATCAAACCGGCCCCGCAGAGATTCTGTGCTGCCCAGATCAGACAGGATATCTCGGTCCGGCGGAGGTTGATACCACGGAAGCAATCCAAGTAGCTTGTACCTTCATTGATCTGCTTCTCAATCTCGTCGGTGTGGATCATCATCGCGACGGTCTCCTCTGCATTGAAATCAGGATTTCCTTTGGACGTCAACCTCTTAAGAGCCTTGACTGCATCCTCAGGTCGCCCCTTCCGGACTAGCCACCATGGGCTCTCTGGAGCTAACACAACCCCGATGAATATCGGAACAGGCCAAATCCATTGAATGGCGAATGGGATGCGATAAGCCCATTGGCCTTCTTGGGATGCTAGGCCCTTTAAGACCCCCGAGGCAATCAGTTGGCCCACCACCCAGCAGAGATTGACGTAAGTCGTGAGGTAGGCACGAAGAGCAACAGGGCAGACTTCGGAGGCATAGGTGACGGATAGGGTCTGATAGACCCCAAGAGGAATACCCATCAGAATCTCCCCAACTAGTAACGTCTGGACGTTAGGAGCAAAAAAGAGGATAAAGATAAAGGCGGTAGTGGCAATGAGAGATCCCATCATAGTTTTGCGGTACCCGAATCGTTCGGAGATGATACCGTTGGCAAACAAGCCCAGAATTTGGCCACAGTTCATAGCATTGGATAACCCTGCCTGCCATTGTGCCGAAAGCCCTTGGGAGCCATCTGAGAGTGTATGTCCATATTTTTTGTTGAAGGCGGGAAACCCGTAGAAGGACCCCAGGAGGACGACATCGTAGCCTTCCATCACAATCGCCGTCGAGATCAGGACGGACCACCCGACTGCCTTGGGGTACAGTTTTAGACCTTCCCAAAGTGACATGTGGTGTTCTTTGTCGGTGGCAGCCTTGGCCGCCTGGACCAACTCATCAGAATCGATGTCCAGTGGTGATTTGCCATCAGATTTCTCCACATGATGGACAATCGATTTGGAAGCCATCTCGTTGATTGAAGTAGAGAGTGGTCGTAAAATGCGTTGTGGTGATCAGTAATGGCAGTGGATTGGAGACATATCCCACGAGGTGGATGAGTCGTGAGCAAAGAGCTAACTACCTACTCTATATATCTTCTCTCAGAAATGATCCTTCTATGCAGGGCAGCGGAGCTTCGTCGGCATCAATTTGCATTTTCTTAAAGGGGTAAGAGTTTTTGCCCTGGGTCTGTGGTCGTTAGCTTCCCGTGCCGAAGAAAGGCCGTTCGTATCCAACAGTGGCGGCTCGGGCTGAGAAGGTTCGAATAGCCGGTCATGTCGACCCCTTGTAGTAAGAGAGACAATATCAAGTGACGAATGCCGGAGACTGGAAAACAAGGGAAAATTCGACCGAAAATTTAACGGAGATTTCGCTCCTACTAGTGGCTCAGGCCGCCAAGAGTCAAAAACGAGGTCATCCAGCATTGCAAGGGGGAAATGTACAAGCCAAGGATCGGCTCTTCTGCGGACCTAACGAACTTGAACGGTTGTGATAACCTTTTCCAACATGCGAATTCTGCAATAAAAAGGAATAGAGCAAAAGTGGGACATGTCATGGAACTTTGGTGAAGCTAACATTACCCCGGCCTGCTCTGCTAGACTGCAGGAAATCCGGGGTCCCCGGAAAAGCGGCTGGTCCCGTGGAATCCCTGAAATGGATCTCGTAGAACACGAAGAATTTGCTGAGGTAAGGAGCTCATATTTGAGAATCTAATATTAGTTATTATTTCTGATTATCAAGCAAGTGACTTCCTTACTTCCAAGGCGATTAAAAAGTGACTTCGTCAGTTACTAAGAGGATGGTTGGCGAACGAGTCTCAAATCGAAGTCGAAAACATTTCTATACAACATTTGTTTTTGCGAGAGGTCATAGGCCAATAGCAGGAGCCCGATGTTCTCATCCCTCTTTTATCCATCTTTATCTAAATTTGATCCGAGTCGGTTCAAGTGGACAAAAAGAGTCAAAATTCAAGGATTGATTCACAGTACTGGACTCAGTCCTTCCCTGTAAGAGCTGGAAACAGTACCCTGTTCTTTCTATGACCAATCATATGTAGGCTCAAGCTAGCATGAGATACAAAGAGTCTCTTTGTGCTCATTCTTACACTTGGTTTACTTGCTCAGTGTAAAGAGGCAAAAGCCTTGGGTACAAAGGGATTATGCTATGGCGCACCGAGTTTGCAAGATACAAAGACAACAAAGAGAATCTTTGAGATCAAATATAGTATCGTGACTCGAAAAACCAAGTTGCATAGCCCCTCGTGGCTATATAAATGGTTATATCTGCCTTGAAAATGATATTTCATCAACATTACCTTTGAGTATCCAGCTCACCTCACTAGCAGACCAGCTTGCAATCATGAAGTTCCCGAAAATCAGCCGATTCAAAGAGCAGTCTGAACACTTCACACCCGAGGCAGTTGAGCGCTTCCCAATCGAGGCAGCAGAAGCCTTTGAGCCCCAGGACGAGTTCATCCGTCGAATCTACCGCACCGGCTCTCCCCCAGGTACTCTCGTTTGCTCATTCCCCGAGCCTGCACCAGCGACAAGTCTTAACCAGTTCCGTTTCCAGCTCTACCGCGAGAATGGGGTTTGGCCCGGTCTTACCGGTTACCTCGACAAGTATGTGAACCTTACACACCTGGTCTGGAGCATGTGTGCTATGCTTGCCGATAGCAATATCGATCCAGATTGGACAAATACATTTGAGATATGGCGCACGGAGTGGAGACAGTTCAACAAGAGTTTTGAAATTCATGGAAATACTACGCGCACTTTGGATGTTCCCCCCTCACCAGTGGATGTTATCTGGATTCGGAAGCCTAACAGCCTTAAATATGTGCAAATTTCTCTTAGTGAATACAAGGAGAAATACGATGATCACGACATTCTGCACGCTCTCTGGAAGTGGATGCTGCATGATGTGCCAGCTGAAGCTATTGTTGAAGGGACTTATCTCATTAAGCTTGGGTATGAGCCTTGGTTCCCTAAGGACTAGAGATTTAGGATGTGCTTCAGTAGAGTTGAGATAGACCGAATAAATGTCAATTATGTCCTGATTTGAAACGTGAAGTGTATACATAGACTTGTTGTAATAGTAGAATATAGTAGAGACATGGAGTAGTAGAGATTATTTACTGGGTCTTGTCAGGGCTTCGCACGGAATCTGGTTCCCGAGGGTTTGATACATTAATGCCCTAATATGAGGGGTCCACGGGAGTTTGAGCAAGAGACCTTCTCATTCCTTCTGGTAGCCCTGATATTCTGTTGAAATGACAGTAGCGCTTCGGGGTTTGATCTCCGGGTGTGTCATTACTGAAGTTCAATGAGCTGTCTATGCGCTCCACAACACCGAGGCAAACCTCGTCTCCTTCCATCTGTTACAACCCAATAAAAATTTTTATTGCATTCATCCACTGCACAAGTAATATTCGTCATGTCTAACTTGCCCAAGGTTCGTTGGGGTATCATTGGTGATTCTGAATCCATCCCCGAGTCATGTATGGTAAGCTAACGCCTTCCATAAGCTACCGGCATGATATCCTCATGGTTCGTGCAGGATCTGGTCCTCAACTGGGCCGAAGCCAAAGTAGAGCATGTTGTACAAGCTATTGGCACTTCAGACGTTGAAAAAGGCCAAGATTTTGCGAGAAAATACTGCCCGAACCAAAGCCCAACGGTCTATACGTCCTACGAAGAAGTGTATCGCAATGCAGACGTGGATATTGTATATATCGGAACCCCTCACGCCTTTCACTATCGCAATTGCATGGAGGCGATTTCTGCAGGGAAGAATGTCTTGTGCGAGAAATCCTTCACACTGAATGCCAAACAATCGAAGGAGATATTCAATGCCGCTCGCGAAAAGAATGTATATGTGGCAGAAGCAATGTGGCTCCGACATCGACCACTTTTCGTCGAACTGCAGCGATTGCTCCACGAAGAGAAGATCATTGGGGAGGTCTTCCGGGTGTTCTCAGATTTTGCGTCTGGTGTTGATATTGCTTCACTTCCACCCACATCCCGATACCGCAATCTCGCATTGGGGGCAGGGTCATTGCTAGATATTGGGGTGTACTCGCTTACTTGGGTGAGAATGGCGCTGGGTGGAGATAAACCTGATCAAGCAGAGATGCCGCGGATTATGGCCGCGCAAACACATGAAGAAGGCGTTGAAGTGACCACCAGTGCGATTCTGCAATATCCCTCGGCTGGAAAGCAGGGTATTGTTACTTCGACGACCAAAGCTCTCAGTGCTCCTGGTGAAGTCTTTGCTGTTATACACGGGACCGATGGGTATGTTGAGGTAGAAGGTAGAACTCCATCTGCGCCGGAATCCTTTACTGTGTGGAAGAAGCAGGAAGGGAATCCCGATCGTGCGTGTTTCCCGAGGGAGATGTGTCAAGGGAAGAAATATGAGTTTCCGACTCTGGGGCGTGGCTTCGTCCATGAGGCTGAACAGACGGCACTTGATATCCTCGAAGGCCGGAAGGAGAGCAAGATTATGCCGTGGGCTGAGACATTGTATATCATGAATATCATGGATGAGATCCGTCGGCAGGGTAACACAATATATCCCGGAGAGAGATGAGTCTCTTGATCGGTCTCTTTCTCGTATCAGCTCTATTGCTTGTTCTTCGTCACAAAACCCACGCGGACCTATGCGAAATTGACTCTAGTGGTAATCTACCACAACTGACACAAATATATTTAGATTCCATGCTGTACGTAGAATGGTAGGCGCTTTTGTGTATTAAATAGCGGTGAGCGTTTAGTTACCCTACTCTTCTTTACATCATCTCCTACTTACTTCATTTGCTCCCTCTTACCACCCTTCAAAAATGAGGACTTATGTGGTTTACAGACATGATGATGCAATCAATGACTTCTTCAAATCGAACACCACAGTCACGAGACAACAATGCGATGACTTTGCTATTGCTCGCGCTGGCGATGTGTCTACTCCTTTATAGGTGCAAGGAGTGTGCAGCTATACCGTAACAGCTGGGCCTAATAAGTCCAAGCTGTTCCAATTTCGAGAGGCGGATTCTACCATTGATATGCGCAATATCAGTCTCGCCAAGGCAGTTCATTCCGAGTTTGTTGCTAGCTGCACGTACCTCGGGGCCTTGGGCGATTCACGGCCACTCCATATCTACGAGATGGAGACCCTTCCTAGGACTGCTCACATTATGGCGCAATTCCACCAGACGACATGTCCCGGCAGGGTAATACCATCAAGGACCTTGCTAGGTATGTCTAGAGAATCTGAGGCCTCATCTGCAAGAGATTGCTGACATTGTAGGACAGGTTCTTTGCACAGTCATGGAATTATGATCAACGGCCATGCTCAGACGACACCGATATCTTGATTAGGGATTTTGAATACAATTTTGACGTTCTTGCTCAAGACCTGCCGTCCCGCTTTACACCAAACCTAGAGAGGGTTCACAAGGAGCTCCCATCCCTCTTCTCAAGCGCGCTCCCTTTTGTTCTTAGCCATAGGGACCTTAACGTGATGAATATCCTCGCCAATCCTAAAACTGGTAATATCACAGGTATTGTGGACTGGGCGGAATCAAGAATTCTCCCGTTCGGCTTCGCGCTATATGGGCTTAAGAATCTTTTAGGGTGGATGGATTCCACGGGGAGGCACTACTACGATCACCACCGCGAACTCGAGATCCTCTTCTGGAAAACCTTTCGGGGGGAGCTAACAATTTCTCCGATTTTCATGTGGATTTGATCAGCGCTGCGAGAAAGACCGGGCTTTTCTATCATTATGGACTTGTTTTTGACGTACAAGGTGCGGTGCAAAGTGTGCGGGAGGAGCAGCCGGACGGTTCCCTTGAATATCTCAATGCTTTCTGTACAGCTGGTGAGTGGGATCCTGTTTTGTGAGATAGGTTATTATGCGTTACAAGGCAGACAGAAGCACGCCTCAGGACAGGATTACGCACATGGCTTAAGGAAAGAGGATGTAGGCCAGATACTAGCCTGGTACACTGATGGGGAATGAAGAACTGTTCCCTTCTGGTAGAGGAATGTAGTGAATGTCAGCAACATCAAAAATGGAAAGTGCGATAAACATCTATACCGGAAGCTCCTTCCTTGTCATTGTTACTTTCCCCTTGATTTGTGTTCTTAAATACCTCAAATCCCTTGACCACGGACTTGCCATCTCTCTCTAACTCCTCTCCAAAATCCTTGGAGCCACGGTGTGGCTTCACTCAAGAGGTGCCCACCTCTTGCAATAAGGAAAACACCACGCGGGTTACACGAATCATCGAACCCACGATAAATTGCTGGTCCAAAAGACACCGCATTCTTCATCAACGGACAGATTGAGCTTGGGTATACAACAGGAGTGCAAGGGAGATTTCAAGAGAAAGTCGACCAGTGGCTACCATGAACCGACGACCTTGAAAACACAAACCTAGACACCACGCGTGTGATGGCATCGAGATGGCATCCAGGTCAACAAACCCCACCGTTCAGACAATACAAAGAGTACGAATGTCGACGAGGTAACAATGATCTGGTTGACGACATACATATAGCTGATGGGTCATCTCACTATTCCTTACGATGAGAAACCGGGACGCCAATCACCAGCTCTATGGAGATACAGGGTGGTGGACTCTGCAAGTGAGGCAGATATTGGGATGTATGTTGATATTTTAGACTACGGAATGACTGTTAACTTGGTGCTAACAAAAGGAACAGGAAGTCAATTACGCGGCAGTGGGCCGTTAAGCACAAATTGATACCCGACCTGCAAAATCTGCTGCCCAGTATATGAGCAGTGGATCAAAGAGCGAAGTTATGTCGAAGCGTCATCTACGACGCCTGTCGACATAACCGTGCCTGTGTCTTCTGCGACAACTGTTAATCCCACCATGCATACGTCTCCTACGACGAGTGATGGAATTGTTCCCGATCAGGCTGATCACGACGGAAATATTGACATGATGAAAGCCGGTCTCTTCGCGGAAGAGGACGTCCAAGTCAATACTAACCAAAGAATGATTGGCAAGGCACGGGGTCTCAGTATCCTTGAGAGATTTATCTCGTCGAGCGAGAGACAGAAAGCGTGCTTGAGGCTGATTCCAGGGGCCCACGGGAACCTGCATGACGCTGTTGTTGGGCGGGACTGACCTGATTTTTCCTGTCCCCGCAGTTTCTGAACGCTGCCGCGCAGTTCCTGAAGGACCCGTAACAACTGGTAGCACGTCCTGGTTAAGTCAGAGGTCCTTCTAGTAGGGCCTACCATCCAGTTACTGGATTATCTGGTGTCCCCTAAGCACTGGGTTACCAGTGGCAAGGGGGAACGTTCAGATCATCACGCTCCCTACTACGTCACTGTTCAACTCACTGCCAAGCCAAGAGCAGCCCCTAAATTTTTTTTCTGGCTGCGTCAAACGCAGCATTGCTCCCCTGAGCACCGCATTATACCCACGCTACGAGGGCAGCTCTTGTGTGCGCGCCATCATACGATCGCCACACACTCGCGCCAGGAACGTCTCTTCCATCACGTGACCAAGTGGCTTCGCTCTTCCCCTCCCTAAGCTCTCACAATCATTGTGTGAGGGTGACGTCCGATTAAGGACCTTGGCGTCAATGCTGCCAAGCTTCCTGCGGCCCCTGCGAGTTCCGCGAGTTCCATAGACGTAGCATTGGTATACTCCGGCGTCCGTACAGACGCAGTATATAGCATACAGTTACTCCCAGTCTAATACAAACCATGCGATCCCTTCTGAATCACATCTGATTATAGCTGATATGTGGATAGTATAGGAAGAGCCTGGTGCCTCGGCTACCCATCGCTCGGGGTGGAGAAGCTGGGGCAGGGGGACGGGAGGTACGTGGCGTACGGGGAGTGATTCCTTTTGCTGGAGGTAGATGTTGGATACGAATTGTGCTCGGGGATGAAGGGGGTTGATATACTGGATCTGTTGAGTGGGTTGTTTAGTTTAGCTCGTTGAACAAATGAGTGACAACAAGGTTGTTCAATGCTTCTTCTTCCGCACTTGGGCTAGTGAACTCCGACTAAAAATGAACAATACCAGACTTTGGCTAATATTCAAACCAGGAGATTGTAGTCCTTGAACATCCTCTTCTTCCTACATTCTAGTAGTATACAAATTCAGGACTCGGCTCAACAACCTCTTTTGACGTGAATGTAGCACGGCGACATCTTGTCTCGATCTCCGCCACACCAGGCCCAAGGAATGTACGAAGATTCGCAATTTCCATATCAACCTGTCCCCACATCACAGGCCTCTCCGCGGCATCAATGTCACCCGGTGGCGGGTGGCAAGCAGCACTGATCGCCGCACTACAGTTCATTGCAATCGGCATGGCGGCCGATTTGAACTTCCGAAACATCAAAATGAGAAAGCCCACAACCATAAGAAGCCAGGGTACAACCATAACTCTCAGACCAACAGACGATGCACCCACACCGTGTAAGGATCGAGTGCGTTGCAGATTACCCTGAGCATCTCGGGGGATAATTTGCACGAATGACAAGGCCTCGGAGGCAAGCCAATGGGAAAGAGTAGATAACACGATAAATGGCACACTGTACCGGTATGGGACAGAGAGGTAGTATGTCGAGCGCTGTTGTCCAGCGGGAAATGAGACTCGAAGAGGCTTGCGTTCGACGCCGAAATTGTTGTATTCGGCGGCAAGAAGCATTCGAGTGAGAGTATTATTGTAGACCGCGTAAATTATTGAGATTACAGCTTGTGGGACATTCACTGCCAACACTGTCGCAATAAATCCCAGGTATCCCAGTGGGTAGAACTGAGTATGGTACAGCGAAGTGAGTGTCTGTTCCCAAGATGACATTCCATCCGCATTCAGATCTGCTCCTTGGGTACTGCCGAACATAGATGTATTATAACCCAAGGCGAGACCAGCCATGGCAAGGAGGGCTATTTTGAAGAACAGAAGGAAAGCGAAGAGTCGGCTTGGTAAGGCAGCTGACCATCGCTGGCGGACTGTGCAGACCCTTTTTGGCTGCGGAGGCGGGCTCTGTCCCAAGCGGAATGGCATGGCGCGGGAGAATATAGATACCCAGGGGTAATCATTGAAAGAATGCAATGCTTTTGGTTGTCCTTTATTGACTCGAGCCATGAGGCAATTGTTAGCTGTGTAAGGATCAGGGCATGTGAGAAAAGACTTGAGGGCATCGCCAACTGTCAAAAAGATCTCGGAGCGGCGCTCGAGAGCAGTGACGAGCATGCATATTAGCTTCAATACGATACAACCCATGACCACCAAGCCAATGGGCAGACTGCATCCAAGTTCACAAGTCGGCGTGACCGGTCGACTGAAGCAAGTATGGACCTGAAACTCGTCGATGTAACTAATCGGTGGCGCGATTGTATAGTTACCTTTGTATTCGTCAATCGCACAACTCAATTGACTGCCCCTGTAGGAACTGCTAGTGGAGATACCACCGGAGTCCAGTGCAACCTGACATGACCACGCCGTTAGGTTTGACGAAAGATCTGGGGTCAAAAGGACAACTGTGGACCTGGCTGTTTGATAAGCGCCACTATAGGCTTTCATGCAAGTGTCATTGCTCAATTTCTCGAGCTTACCCGATATGAGATCATCATATAGGCTGCTCGCGCTCGTGCCAACAACGTCGTGGAAGTTAGAAGGCACGTCAAAACCAGACATATCTGTGTGGTTATTCCCAAAGGCTATCGGCGCAGCAACGATTCCAAAGTCATTGGCGTTGATCGATACGTATATGAAGGAGTTATATCTGAAGACATCGTATTAGTCCGATATCTCCCAACGGTCGCAGCAATAAACACACATCATCTGGACTGGCAGCGAGGTCCCAATAATCAACACCCATAGCATCTTGCGCCACAGAGGCGCGTACCAGACGTTCGTAAAACTGGAGGAACCAATCGATACCCACACCCGTTGAGCGTGGGCGGTATCGATTCTTGCGCGCGACGGTGCTGCCAAAACTTGGTTACAGTAGCTGCTTGTGGCGGTCAAAGTCAAAACAATGATATTGACAAGAATATGAAGGCCGGTCGCGATTTGGTTTGCTTGGTGGCATGTGCCTTCATAGATAACGGCGGACGAGGAACCCCATCCATAGCCACCAGAAGTGGCTTTTGCGGCCAGTTTGACTGTGAGAATAACATGGGCGACTAGGGCCAGTGCCACTCCCAATGCGCAAAGTAGTAACCCAGTAATCCATCTTTTCTTGATCCGGGGCAGTGGTGGGGGTGATGGAGAATACTTTGAATCCTTGTCTACCGCTGCTTCGTATTCCGTGGTATCGCGCTCTTTGACGAGTTGGTATGGCTTTTGATCCACGGTGAAAGGCTGTCTGCAATGGGAAGCGGTTCGTTAGTGGCGATTGCAACAGAAACTTGGCAATTTGATCTAGGCTCACTTGGAAAGTCGCAATGTGTTAAGTGGGATAGGCTCTTCCCCGTTAATCAAATGTTCCTCCTGGGAGACATGGAGGAGAGCTGTCGAGGAATCACTATCTCGCAAGCTGGTCATTTCATAGGATCCCGAGCACCAAGGAGAAATACCGAATTAGAAGCATAACTTGCTTTTTACTGTTAAATCGCAGTTTGTGATGACCCCCAGCTGTGGGGGCCAAACAAGCCTCATTCTGGGCCAGTGGCTGATCCTCGGCCTGACTGTGTGGCTTAGCAAGTCATTGATGCACTGACCTCTCAATACCCGTGGACTCTCAGGTCCATTCACAGTCAATTAGGGTTCTGAGGACTCGTTCTGATTGGTCTTTATGTCCCCACTTTATACCCCATAGTCTATTGAAGGTGCGCCCTGGAAAGGCTTGATTATTATTAGGCCATTTACTGACATCCTGAGACCTTGAGGACATAGCCATAGGGTTCTCACTATCTTAGAGTTCCCAATATACGGGAAAGATTATGATGAATGCTAGTGAGGAGGGTATACCGGAAGTATAGTGCAAGATCTCTTGTTTCTAGAACTATGGAATAAAGTGAGAATGATATATCCCAAACCAGATACAGAAGACTGGGAATCCAAGGGAAAATTGGATCATAACGGTCAACGGAGATTGCGTATGTAGTCAATCATGGCCTGCATATTTAGGCCCATTGAGAATGATTTTGGCGCTGTAGTCTACAATGCATACTTCAGGACTCTACATAGTACGTGACTTTGTTTCTCGCTAGTTTGATGTATGCAAAGGACAACTTGACTTGGCGATATTGATATCCAGTGTTAGGCCTGCACATCAATCGCCCTGATTCACCAAGTGCCGATATGTAAGCACAAGTGAGTGAGCAGACAAAAATTGGTCTTGCAACGACGCCATCGTTGCGACGGTATAATTGGGGATAATTAAGATGGAGTCATCGCTATATTACCCAAGGAAGTCCAGCGCATTTTGTCGTACGTCCTTGCGAGAATCATTTGTAGAAATGTAACTATGTGGTATTAAGACCGCAACGATAGAACGTTTGATATACAATGCTAGATCTGACGTGGTACTGGAGAAAGCTAGGTAGTGAATTCTAGACTAAGCAGCAACCTCGCTATCATATGATTCGGCGATTTCACTATGTACTTATTAAATAGCCCTCGATGGGATGTTTTACAAGTAGGGTAGGGCCATCGGTATGAATCCTCGACTTCTCATGTGCCCTTCTTTTATAATGTCATTAGAAGTAGGGGAAATAGCAGGAAAAAAACTCATTGGCATCTACATAGAAAATCCGATCACGGAAACCCTTCCTGATTCTTGTCCCAGAGCAAGTAAATCTCCATTGATCTTGGAACAGTGGGGTCGAAACTCAACAGGAAGCCAAAGAACCCTCTTGCCATTCAATCTTATCCATTGTCTCTGCTCAATACATATACCCATATTTGCATGAAGCTGAGGAAATGTAGCATTATCATGCCTGTCTTCAATTTCAAATGTACCCAAATCGGTGTGGACATGTAAACTGTCGTGGGAAAATTCGATTGTAGTGACGCTATCTTCCAACTTCCAAGTTTGGGTCAGCGCGCCCGTCGCCGCGTCCCAGACGCGGACTGTCCGGTCATAAGAGCCGGACGCTAGCCGGCGGCCGTCGGGCGAGAAGGCCACCGATAACACCAAATTCAAGTGGCCCTCAAGGGTCTGCGTGAGCGCGCCCGTCGCCGCGTCCCAGACGCGGACTGTCCGATCATAAGAGCCGGACGCTAGCCGGCGGCCGTCGGGCGAGAAGGCTACCGACGCCACGGCATCCGTATGGCCTTCAAGCGTCTGAGTGAGCGCACCCCATCTTTCTTCAACTCGTGGTAACTGGCATATCCATTTCGGAATGTCTTCTTTAAACATTTCACGGAATATTGCCGTTCGGGGGGCAAATATAAGTCCTGCACAATAAACCTGAAGTGGCGCTAGATCAACTATTTGTCGGTTTTTAAGAATAAAGCGCCTTGCATCTCGAAGGAAATCACATTTTGGAGCCCTCGTTGCCCTAAAGCTGTTAGTTCAAGCCACGTATGAATACGTTCGCAACTTACCGAAATGGCCGTTTGGAGCTGATCAAGAATACCTAGTATTTCCGACGTAAAGCGCAATAGGCTGAGTGCTTCTACCCAGTGCAAAAAATGCGTCTTAAGAAACAAGAAACTATCGTCTATTATTCTGGCCAAATCCGAGCATTGTACCAGATGATGTACCCAGTATCGACAGGCGTATCGCAGTTCCGCATGTATGGTGTTCCGGATCGAATATTGGCTGATCTCATTGTATTCTGTTCCCTCGCTTGGAAGATTGGAGATATTTTTCTTCAGGTTATTCTGCATGATCCGAAGGCATCCTGCTGCAAGACGTTGGTTTGCATCTTTCGAATTGATCCAAAATTTGGTATTGTTTTCGGTTTCACCTAAAAAGAAATCTCGAAATGATAGATGGAGAAGCCTAACGGGTTCGTCGGAATTGTTTGGTACTGTGAGGACGGAGTGAAGCTGGTTTAATCGACGTTTGACATCGTCTGACTCTCTTCCCACTAGCTGGCTAAGGGAATTGATCGAGAGCGGGGTGGCCAAAATGATTATTACCCCGACTATCTCCTTGAAATCATTGAGTAATTGCTGTGACTCCGTTTTATCCTGGCCAGTGAGGAGTTGGTTTAGGACAGGAATATATGTGCTGTGCATTTTTGATACGTAGGTTGATTCATCTTTCAGTATCGCTGCAAGTCGCTTTCGAGGGTCCCAATTCGGATCACTAATGAAACGGCATAAGGTAACGGCCGCAATGAATAAAGGGACGGCCCTATCAACCAGTTCCCTAGTAGCTTCTTTTCCGGGCCAGTCTGGTGGAAATGAGCTCCTCTGTTTGAGGCGTAGTAATTGATCCTCAAAATATAAGGATATATCATGCTCTATCACTGGCTTTGCCATCTCATGGAGGACCAAATCCTGATGGTCATCGGTGATCTTATTAAACCCCAGCTTAATTGGCAACTCGGGTCTGCTTGTTAATAAAAGCCGAAGTTGCACGGAAGTCGATTTTTGAACTTGTGGCAAGAGCCGGAGAATGATCTCTATGTCATCTTCCAAATCACATTCATCCAGAGCATCAATCACGATTACTCTGCTTATTGTCCCTTGTTGAGGTTCAATTTGAAGTAGTGGATTGAGTAGAAGCTTTTCAAATTGTTCTCTTAGCACTTTCTGTGAAATATCAGGATCCTCGTCAATTGCTTTTTGAACTTGAGGTAGCATTTGAGGTATTCCGAGGACTAGTTGCTCGGTCAATGTTGGAAAAAGCTTTTTTGCTGGTCCTCGATCTTCTTCGCCTCTCTTGAAGAAGAAACTCGCCCCGAGAAGCTGTTGCTGTTTAAGGCGGTTTGCAACTGTTCGGGATATTGTTGATTTCCCGGTCCCCGCCATACCGTTCAACCAGAATATGCATTTTCCGTGCGGCGATTTTGCCCACGCGTCGATTTCTTGAAGTAGATCAATTCGGGTTCCGTGGAGACATTCACTGTGTTGATTATCGTAGGAGTCGTGCGTTGCTCCTTTTGCTGTCTGTAGCTTGCTAAGGTCTATCTTTTGATGGATCGAGTTGGTAGATATCCTAAGTCAATGTTAGAGTCGGCCGTTGATACTCAAACGTAAGACATCGGAGTATGGTTAGGGACTTACATTTGATCAACCTGCAAGGACAAACTGAATGTTGTTTTGTACGACTCAAGCTCCATGATAGCATCATCTACCTCCGACCGTGTCAGCGGCCATTTGAAGGCCCGAAGTCCCAATTTGCTTATTGCCTTTTGCCCCGGTTTCAGATCGATCTTTTCTTTCAAATTTGCAAGTGTTGAAGAGCATTTTGCAATATTGTAGACCAGATCGTGCGTAGTAGTAAGTTTGTTGCCGTTGGATTGACCCGTCAAGTCATCGAGAGATTGAAGAACTCGAGCAAGGGTGGCGGTCTTCTCTTGGATGCGCTGAATATCCTGCGTCGCGTTCTTGACATTTTTCAGATATTTTCCACATACTTTGACGATACTTTCGGTTAACTGGACAACTGCGATAACACTCGCTGCGCCCGAGAGACCATCCATGATCAACACACCTTCCACCCCATATATAATATGAAAGATAAAACGTAATAGCAGTGGACGTCGCAAATGACAAAAAAAACACAGCTCCTGCGCCTCAAAGAGGGGTAGGCGTCTAAGTGAGGCTAAAAGGAAGGATCTTGATTGGCGCTTACCCGATCCAATGACTCGCGTGACAGTTACAGAGGGCCCAGGGGTTTCTGCCCAACTGGAAACTTAACTGAAAAGGTTGTATTGTATGATGGGGTCGCCGGTGTTCTACCTGATGACTCTGGGGCCGAGGCTGAACTGGGGTAGTGACTACGTTAGCTTATTCAGCGTTCGCGCGGTTGTGCAAGCATTCTTCTGAAGTGTGTGCGGCCTTGCGCCGGTGGAAAGTGCATAATTATTCTGGCTTGGCGAACTTGTTGTCGCCTAGCTGGCTGAAAGTGGCGCTTGTGTCGCAAAGGGCGTTGTCGAAAGGATGATTGGAGTGACTAGAAAGATGTCGACTCTCTAGAAAAACAAAGTCATAAGAGGAGCGCCGTTGATGTAAGGTTTGAGAGACACGTGAACGCTAGCGCGAAGTCACGACAAAAGATGGCGAGACTTGCAAGTCTACTTGGTAGTTGAGGGATTCTTGGGAACTGGCTGAGCCTGTTTTCCGGTAAAGGTCTTGAAAATGCCAGGATCCCAAGCATTTAGAGCACTTGGGTGCGGTGGACCACGTAGCGAAGTTGGTTTCGCCGGCGAGGATTGATAGGGGCTCTGAGGGCCTTGGCTCTGCAAAGCTAGAGGTGTTGTTAGAGGAAGACATATTGAGACTGATATGACCGCGCAGGTAGCGGATGATAGGGTAGACTGTGTGCAGAGGTATGTGCCGCGCGGATAGTGGATGATGAGGTGGAATGCATCAAATGGAGAGGTACATGACCGCCTTGGGAAGCAGATTGTGGGTTTTAAACGTGGGGCGGGTAGTTGAGGCCGTTCGTAGGTTGGTGACTGATGATGGCGTCGAGGTTGACGATGGCACCTCAAATAGAGAAGGGCTGGGAGGATGACGATAACGGGCAGGGAAGGGAGGCTCCCGGTCAAACCTATCAGAGAGAGAGGCCTGGTTGACTTCTGGTGCATGGTGAAAATCTGAGATGAGATGAATCATTGAGAAAGCTAAAGGTCAGACTATAACCTTTGGCACGAACTATTGGCCACGACAACTCAGTTGAGAGTGGTACCTACTAGTAGTATTAAGATATTGAGATGTCGTGAGAAAATTGTTACCAGAGCAAGTAGAAAAATCAGAAGGTGGCTTGTAGATATATTTGGGACTTCTTCCTAGTCGACGTTAGACATAATCCAGGCTCTGTGGTTTTCCAGGAGAGTTCCACAGGTGGTTTACTAGTGTAACATTCGTCATGATGTTCATTATTCAAGGGAACACCCCACAAGATGAAGGTACGGAGTATTCACCTAAAGGTTAAGAAAGCAAGTTAAAGCCGCCTGGTAGATTGTCCAGGAGGTAGGCTCTAGAGAACCCTCTCCACACGGAAGCAAAATAGAAAAGAGACAGGGAAAGCAAGCGAGGCACAGATGCTTGATATGTTTACCACAGGCCTGGATAGGCGATGCTACTACAGTTTGCTTATTTGAAACATACTGAAACTTAGAAAGGAACATATCCATCGTTGAACTATGATGTTCAAACATGAGGCAAGTAGGAGAAGCTCTGATTACTGTATAGGGAACAGAATTTCCATGCTGTTAGATCGGCTGAACCGTTCCCAGCCAGTTGACGTATTTGTAGCGCGAATCCAGTATCCTCCAGACCCATCCTTCGTGACGACAGCCACCGGTACTATGTTGAGTTTCAATGTGTTTACAATCATAGGATTGACAAATAAAACTGACGCTTTTTGCCTGTTAGGAATGGCTCCGGAGAAATCAAGACCTGCATAGTCAAAAGTTGTCCAGTGAGACACGACAGCTAAGCCTAGATTTCCAGTCCCACGCAGGGCTAACGAGAGGGTCTTTGATGAATGATCTTCTGAGAATCGAAGGCTCTGTTGGACTGATCCTGAGGATGTATATTGCAGTGTCGTGAGGCGTATATCCCGCGCAATCTCACCAACTGATGCCCTTTTCAGCTGCTGAACAGAGAAGTTACACCGAAGGGCCCCAACACTACAACGGATATAGTAAGTTCCAGCCTTCGGGGGCGCAAGAAACCGGCGAAAGTTGATAACCCCAAAGTAGTCCACTGGATTAGGAGACGTCGCTGCTGGTTGATGGGAATAGACACATTTAAGATACCATGCAGCGATAACATCATTCCGTGTGAGTTGAATCTCACGGGAACCATCTTTCAGTTCTTCCTGTGATTTGATCCGTAATTCATCGACCCATGCGCCTGGAATGTAGATAAACTTGGTTTTGAAATCCTCACGGAATCCAAACTTCACAGCAAGGACTGTCAGCAGCACGCGCCACACAATTATTGCTAGCTTAAATATTCCACTGTCCCAGTTCTGCGTGTGCATCTGGTGGTGGAAATTAGATTCCGTTTCGGTGCGCTCATTTTTGGCTTTCATCAGATCAGACATTCGGACATCCCCGACGTCGGGTGGTAGAGCAAACAAAGGGATTGGCTTATTAGAAAGTAGATCACAAGATGCTCTGATCACTTCCCAGCAATCATTGCCGTCACAAATATGGTGCGCGATTCCAAAGCAGAGCAAAGTAGCATCTTGAAGGAGAGTAACGCGAAGGCGGAAACTGTTTGTGGAGCTGGGGGAGACATCGTATATGAATTTCTCTTCAACTTCGGGTAGTTCCGAGATTTTCATAATGGTTGGCTCATTGCTATGTTGTTTGTCATGAATTGGAAGATACACGGTCAGGGCTTGGTCAATAGTCCTGCTGGTGTAATCGACAGTCGAGCCACAGGTGAAAGACCATGGTTTTGCCTAAAAAAGGATATAAGCAGGCCGTAGTAGTGGTAAAATGGACTCACGTCTTTGATTAAATCCCCGCCAAGTATTGGCCATAACCCAACCAACTCGGTGACTTTCCCCTTCAAAATAGCTGAATCGAGTACGGCGTCGATAATCAAGCCCGCATAAATGGTACTGTGACTTCCTAAAGAGCTGACACTCTTGCAGGTATATTTCGAGCCCAAACTCGGACCTTCCATTTCCACGTTTTGAGGAGAGGTGAGAGAGGTGGAAGAAGGATGGGATCTCTTCCTTTATTGGGAAAGCGCAGTACATATACTCCCGAGATCATGACATCCCTAGACACTAACCCCCTCGTAGGTGTTCGGTAGTGCACCGCATATTAATCGGAGTAAATATAAATAATCTCCCAGAGATTTGAGTGCGAAATTATGCGAGATTTGCCTATCTTGGCAGAGAGAGCTACGTAGTACGGAGTAACAGCACTTCTCTTGATTTCCCTTTCTTGTCTTCATCCACCGTTACTCCGCCAATTGTCTTCTATATTGGTACTACTATACTTATTTCGGATGAAAAGGGCTTGGTTAAACAGAAATACCTTACTCAATGATTAACAATCAAATTCTCATGGGAATTTTGAGGCTGTGTGCTTCAACCCGTGCGCTGAGTAGACTCTAGATAAGCAGGGCAGAGACACTCGTGGATATCCGCATCCAGCATTCATCCACATGTACGCTAGTGATAAATATTGCATTCATTTCAAGCGAATACAATGAATCCAACAGGTGCGTCAGCTGGCTAACTTCTCTCTTGTATATTGGTATTACTATGCGCTGATTCAGGCTACGTCTCCAGACCTTTTCTCAGCTGAGCTGGCACGTTAGGATATGATATGTCGACATTGTACTAAAGTACTTTGCCGAAGTGCGAGGGCAAACCATGAGTGTCTCAACTCTCGAAACAGACAGAATCAATATATGTGTTGTGTTTGTGTACCTTTTGGATGAAGTTACTATACAAAAGGTATCATATTGTTATAACTTGCTAGCCCTGGAGGTGTCGATGGTACGAAGTATAACTCGAAGCGGGTTGCATGGCATTGTGGAGACATTGAACCCACTAAAATGATTATGAGCCAATCAGCGATTTCGAACCCACGACGTCAGGGTTCCACTCACGTGACCTTCACGCCGTACCAATAAAACACTGAAAAAGGACCCGCACCGTTCTACCTTAAATAAAGGCCTCGAAGGGGAAAAAGAAATAGGAAGCTTCTGTTTTAATTGAGCATGTCATTCTTAGTGCAGGGGCCATGCTAATCTTCTCTGTATATTTTCAATTGACCATAGGCCCCGAAGGGCCAAAATCTGATCCTTAAAGCTCAATATAACCGCGACAACGCGGGAGTTGAACGGCGATGGCACGTGACCTTCGAAACTGGAAGGCACGGAGTAAACAGTGCAGTGATGTATAAAAATAGACCCGCACGCTGCGACCTCAATTGAGCTTGCATAAAGAAAAGAAAAATGGGTAGCTTCTCTTTGATTGAGCGTGTCATCCTTAGTGCAGGGGCCATGCTAATCTTCTCTGTATAGTTTCAGTTGATCATATGCCCCGAAGGGCAAAATGTATAATAGACTTGGAGTTCGATATAACCCCTGTTTGGGGCAGAATAATACCGCCCTCCTGTTTGGGAAGGGGTGACAGAACATGGTCACGTGGTGCATGGCTCACCGCCTATCAATTTGGTCAACCGTTGCTTCCCAATGTTCTTGGAAGGAGAACATGGGCGAACCGCGAGGTCGATGCGCATGTGGATTATCCAAAATGACATGCTTCATGTTATATATAGTTATACATGGTAAGGTCTCGAATAGCAATATCTACTATGTCTCGTTTGAATCACTCTATCACAAATACTACAGATCTGTCAATTGAAGACGATGTTCATTACTGTAACGTTCCAGACACGGCGTGGCGTACATGAGCATCCCAGAAGAGTAAATGAACCTGCAGATATGAGATTTAGCACGCCTCCGAGACCGATCGTCGGATTTTCCTGTTAGGGCTGATCTGCTCGGCCAACCTGCCTCAATCATCAGCTCGGGGGGCATTATTCCGATCTCCCCCAGGATCTCGGGGAAGAGGCCGGGATAACTGACGCTAGGCGACTCCACGTGGACATTTGCCTCCCACCTACTCCACGTTTCCTAACTGCCCCTCGCTCGGAGACACGCCGTGGAGCCCGGCTCAGTTGCCTATAGCAGGATTATCCGGCAAAATGGAAATTGAGGGGAAGACAGAGGGTATAAGAACTGCCAACAAGGGTCCACAATTGAGGTAGAAACTATACTTTCGCTTAGCTGCCTGAACAATACTGCCATAACGCCTTTCGAGTTGGCAATTGAGGAAATCCATTGAACCGTCTTCATGATGGCAACAACATTAACCGGTGGGAACCCACATATCATCCAACTGCCCAAGACACCATCCGACGTACCATCCGACCCACAAAATGTTGCCCAGCAATGGCTCTCAGCCCTCGAAGTCCAGCTCTCGCCTTCAGAGAGCTTGAACATCAAGGAGCTGTTCCACGATGAGTCCTGGTGGCGCGACATGCTGGCGCTGGATTGGGACATGCGCACCGTACACACAGCCACCGAGATTCAGAACTTCCTCTCTAAGCAACAGGCCAAGGCACAACTGTCCAAGTTCAAACTCCAGGATACGGGCAAGTTTCAGCCACGTTTGGAACAGGTCGTCGACGGGTTGACCTGGGTTTCTTCTATGTTCTTCTTCGAGACTGCCTTTGGTACCGGAACAGGCATGCTGCGTCTGACCCAGGCCGAGGATGGAGTCTGGAAGGCTTACGCTATGTATACGGCGTTACAGGAGCTCGGCTCGGCTCAAGAACCCCTTGGGAAGCGTCGGGCTGTCGGGACGACAGAGTCCATGCCTGGTGGCCTAGCCGGGGGCACATGGATCGAGCGCAGGAATCGGCAGAAGGAGTTCTTGGATGAGGAGCCCGCTACTTTGGTTGTCGGGGCTGGTAAGGAATCCCTTCGTTGAAAGACGATTATCCATGATTCGGATGCTAACTAGGCAACAGGTCAAGCTGGATTGAATATGGGTGCCCGCTTGCAGAACCTCGGCGTATCGTGCTTGATTGTCGACAAGAGCGAGCGTGTTGGAGACAATTGGCGTAACCGGTACCGGGTACGTCACACTAGAGGAACTTGATCTATCCTATGGAAAGAAATACTGATCTTTCACGCAGACGCTTGTCACGCACGATCCAGCCGAGTACACACACATGGCCTATCTACCCTTCCCGCAAAACTGGCCACAGTTTACGCCGAAAGACAAGCTTGGTGACTGGTTTGAGGCATACGCTAGCATCATGGAGTTGAACATCTGGATGCAGACCTCAGTCGTCTCAGCAGAGTACGACGAAGCTGCAGGCCAGTGGACGGTTGTTCTCGCTCGCGGCGATGGGTCTCAACGCACCGTCCGGCCTCGTCACGTTGTGTGGTGTACAGGACACTCAGGCGAGGCGAAGATCCCCTCCTTCCCAGGACAAGAATCTTTCCAGGGCAATGTGTACCATGGCAGCCAGCACCGCGATGCGTCGGAAAGCGATGTTCGTGGCAAGAAAGTTGTCGTCGTTGGGACTGGTAACAGCGGCCATGATATCGCGCAGAACTTTTATGAGAACGGTGCAGATGTTACTCTGCTGCAGCGCAGTGGGACATATGTTATAACTGCCGAGAAGGGTGTCTTCATGATGCACAGTGGAATGCATGAGGATGGCGGGTGCGTTTTCAAAGTCTTTCCTATCTCTTTCTTATGCCCCCATCCCTCTGGTTCCCATCATACTAATACCATCCGTGTAGTCCACCAACTGAACAATGTGATATCGTCTCCGAGAGTCTCCCCTGGCCTGTTCAATTCGCTCTGGGTGCACATATGACGAAGGACATTGCCGAGGCCGAAAAGGAAACGCTTGACGGACTCCGTCGGGCCGGCTTCGAGCTTGATTTCGGAATAGATGGGGCTGGTATTACCCGCGCATACTTCACCCGCGGCGGAGGTTATTATATCGACGTTGGATGCAGTCAGCTTATCATCGATGGCAAGATAAAAGTCAAACATAACCCGGGCGGTATCAACGGCTTTGGGAATCGTGAGCTGCTTTTGGCGAACGGTGATTCCCTGCCAGCGGATGTTGTTGTCCTCGCCACCGGATACGATAATATGCGTACGACAGTCAGGAAAGTCTTGGGTGATAAGATTGCGGACCAGTGTTCCGACGTTTGGGATCTGGATGCAGAAGGAGAGCTCCAAGCTGTAAGCTGCCATTTACTCAGGTGATCCTTTTGAAACACATGCTAATTATATTATTCAGATGTGGCGCCCCAGTGGTCATCCTGGATTCTGGTACTTCGGTGGAAACCTCGCCTTGTGCCGGGTCTACTCTAAGTTTTTGGCACTTCAGATCAAGGCTGTCGAGGGTGGGATATCAACCGGGTTACGGCAGTAAATGGAAAGAGGAACTTCGTTCGAACATACTTTTGCAGTTGTATAAATTGTATTGTATGTGTCAATTTATGCGTTCGCTTATGAGATACATGTAGTCTTCAGATTTGATCAGGAATCCATAATGGAAGGCGATCATTGAATGCATCATGAATGACATCGAAGTCCCGACCGTTACAAAGACCGACTACATAACCGAGCGAGGACTTCCACGTTCGATCTTTTCTCCCTAGCCTTGCCAAAGCACTACCTTTCTCCTATCTCCCTATCACCATTGTTGCAGGTGACTCGAGCTCCGTACAGATTTCCTCGGATATCGATGACAGCTGAGTCAGTCAGGCAAGTGATATGAGCGGGAGTTATTCCACCAACGCAACCGGTGTCCAAATTGAATGTTGATTTGGTAAACCTATTCGGAAAATGCTCATGGTCAAGTCTTGTGGGGCGTCTACGCCACCCGTTCCCCGGTCTCTTCGGGGATTTGGCTTTAAGTTGTGGATATGTAGACTTTACTTGCTTATATTGCGCTTGATGGTTGAAGTGTATACATGAACAATGCTGATCACAGAAAGTCATTTACCGCATAAATAGAGCCAAGAAATCGGGCCTCAGCGACAAAAGACCCACACCCAAAGAACCAAACACAAAGCCAGAAGCTGCTGCTGTCCTTGAAATGAAGCAGCCGCACTAAGATGGGGATTGTATCTGGGCAGACTACAGTAATTCGACCCGAGGTCCATTTCCGGATTGTCTCTTGTCTGACAAAGAGAAAAATTACCCTGCAACCAGCGACTCCCCTCATTATCAAGAACGCCTGGCTCAGGTAGGTTTTTGAAAAATCGATCAGGAATCTCGCACCACTGGGCATTTTGAGATTCCGTTTTGACGGGATTGGGCGAGCAGCATGTTGTCAGGGATTTGGTTTGATTTTTGCCGGCATTTCCATCTTCGATATAGTACATGCACAAGTTGGTTGAGGCTTGCGTTGCGCTTGGCAGCGTGGGGAGAGTTTGGGCTCTCGGTGGACCAGACATCTTTTCTAATGTAATGTCAGTTATTTGGGATCACTAACTGGGCTGTCGGTATTCATACCGTTACTTTGTCAAGGTTTCTATGATATTCTACTCTTCCGTATGTTGTAGTGGAGTTTGTGAAATTCGTAAAATACTGGGGAATCCCAGGGCGTCAGCAAATGCGTTTTGCTCAGGGGTTTTACCTTGGCATAGTTGAGGGTTATAGCGGCAGGATTCAGCTCACCCGCTAGCCCCCAATCTCACCCGTGATAGCAGTCAAAGGCCGGACGCCTGACTTTCATTGTTGGCGCCTGAATTATTTCTCAAGAGACATCCGATCTGAGCTTGAGTGCGAGATGCACCATACCCCAAGCGGCGTGTCATACCACAATAGCCTCTCAGCTTCTAGCTCCTCCTGTTATGTATCTCCCGTGAATGCATCATGAATGAATGATTGTATTTCCGGAAATGGCTGTGCGCCATAGAAAAGCTTGGTTAACTCCCAGTATTCAGGATAGAAGCCAGCGCATTCCCAGTCCATAATCCCAGATAGGCGCCCGTGATCAATGATAATATTCCTGGGATGCAGGTCCGTGTGGCTGAACACAGACCGATACGGACGCGCGTGGACGGCCGTAATGTTTTCCTTTGTCTCGTTGAGCACGTATCTGTGGACGAGAAAGGAGTTGAAATCATAAATTTGGTTGAACGGACCACATACGCCGGAGGGGAAACGATAATCAGATAGCGGGCCGCCATGACTATCACCGAAGCGGTATGAGGTCTGATTTGGAATAGAACGTAGTTGCGATAAGACACTTTTCAGGTCTTTCGACAATCGCTTGCGCTCCGAGTATGAGAGTCGGTGAAAAACCACATCCAGCGTTTGTCCAGACACGGCCGTCATGATAAGAACGCGGTGTATGCCCTGGTAGTCATCAACCCAAAGGGGCGCCGGGGTCGAAGTATACCATTCCACGAGCCTGAGTGTCTCTCCTTCATTAGGGGTACGAGTGCATCCTTTTGCATACAGTCCGAACGGTAACCGGTGCACAAGGCCGGTAAAATAGCGCGGGTATAGATGACTGCCTAGCTTCAAGAGCGCGCCATAACATTGGACACGTATAAAGTGAGGCACGGCACGCCAGACTGAGCGTAAAACTTTCTGGGTCGCATTGTTCAATTGGACTATTCCAAGTAACCAACTAGCACACGCCGATAAAGAGTGCTAAGAAACGGAGATTTGTACCGTACACAACGGAGGCGAAGGCCAGCCCTCGGCGATTTGTTCTTCGACATGAAATAGATGCATGGAAGCTGCAATGCGATAATGAGTTCGTAACAAGAATGGATATGGAAGAGCCTGGTTGGTGTCTTGGCTCTCCATGATGAACATTTGCATTGTTGAGTTCCAGTGGCTGCCATCGCTAAGGAATAGCCAGCCACAAGGCTCAGGCGACATTCTGGCCACAAAATACTGACGCCGAGTCAGTCGGACGTGCTGCAGACAGGTTAAGATCAAGAAGTACTGACATAAACTTCGCTGGCGGTTTTGATTCTGGTCTCGGTTTCATCATTCCACTGGTCCGGGGTATTGGTCGCTGGAAATACTCGGATATGTCCATTTCGAAAAGCCGAATGTACACTAGGAAAGAGTAAGAATAGATTTTTGAGCTGATATTCCGGTGTGTCAGTCTGCAAAATGGTCTGAAGCTCGAATGTTTTCGCTGGGGTTAAAAATGCCTGCAGAAGAGGATAAAGAGAACCCTGTAAGAGTTTGCCAATTTGGCTAGATTCTAATTCTCGTACTTTGATTAAAGCTGCCCAATAGATGCTTTCCCGCGGGTCCATGTCACTTTCATCGAAAAGGCTCGGTGGGATGACCCAGGCATGATCAAACCGCACCGATATGCTGGGGTCCGATGGCTTCTGGTCCAGCATAAAACAGTGTGAGTTATCTCAAGCTTCAACGAGTATGCATGCTTGAGACGAGACCAATTCTCGTTTGGCCACTAATTTTATGGTTAGCGGAGACACGACAGTCATCGGGGACGCTCACTTCGGCTGACACGTCGTAACCAGTCGCTTCCAGTCAATTTTTAACTCATGCAGTGCCTGCTCTGTTGAACAATCCTGGCGATTATGAATCCTTTCCCAGATATAGTAAGCAGCATGCTCCGGGTCGACAGCCTCGTCCAGAAAAGCTCTCCAGGTCGAGTGTTCAGTGGGTGTGAGCCGGGTGGATTCAATGAGCCGGAGAGTTGTGTGGTACTTCGCTGATGCCATTTTCAGTAAAGGAGGGGTGTATCTGGATCCGTCAATATATTTGTAATTTACTCTTCTCTGTTGTTAATCTGACGGGGATGGGGTTGAGAGTCAATGATTGGGGAAATGTAAACCTCAGGCAGCAAGGTAGCAAGGCCTTGTTTGTATATGAGTCAGGCCTCTCTCTTTCCACCTTGGCAACTCTCCATAGAGCTATATAGAGCTCTATGGTAGGCAGATGCGCATTTGCATTCTGTGGGCTTCTTGCTTCCACACTGTAGAGACATAACGCGTCCATTAATTTCTCATCATTCGACTTTAATGGGTTGGTGTTAGCAGCTATATTATTGTGACGGTTCACTTTAGTGAAGCTTCTTACAAAAGCTACCTCTTTATGTACCCCACTAGTCTGGCCTTAAATCCTTTTCCTCAGTGGATCCTTGAAGCTGAAATATCGAAATCGCTTGAAAATATCGGGTGAGAGGTACTCAGCAGTTTCAACAGTACTATACATAATAACATAATAACCTTGAAATTTGATGTGGGTAGAACTCTTTAACGGACTGGAGGATCAAGATGATCAATTCTCAAAAGCCAAAATATGGGTACGATGGGTCCGCTCAGGCACCAAATTTCCCTTTTCAGGATAAAGATGGGATGGAAGGGAAGATGGGAATAACCTCAGAGAAGTCGGGCATTAGGTTTGAGGCAAACACGGGGTTGGAATAGCTTCAAATGCTGTGAAAGGAGTGGAGAGGAAAACCAAAAAAGTAAATGGTGATGGGGGGGGGGGGGGGGGGGGGGCGTGAGGCAGGTGGGAATAGCTTCAACGATGAGCCATAAGAAGTAAGACAGGAATCACCTCAGAAAGGCAGGTGTGAATAGCTTCACAAAGCCAAGAGGCACGAGCAATTATGGTGATAGGTGCAATGGAGGTAAACACATAGCGTAAGCCCTTGGAATAGCTTCAGCAGTGACGAGATACGGTAGGGATGACCTCAAAAGATATTTGAAAAAGGTGGACCTCGGGACTCCGAATAGCTTCATGATCACCTTATTCGGCTGAATAGGATCCAGCCAATCAGATCACTAGAAATAGCAAAAAAAGTCTCTGTTATCATGAACAACAAAGACAGGTCTCATAACCCCCAAGCCCCGTTGGCTCAACGGTATTGGCCGGGCGCTTTCAACAAGTACCCCGCTGGTTGGAAGGGCACACCGTGCGTATCATCCCCTTTGTTCGAGCCAGGGCGTTGTCATAGGTTCGGAATTCATGGCAGCGCTAACAACATCTATGGGCTTCCCTTACCAACAGGTCAAGACAGGCGGCCTTCTCCGCAGTCTTAACACAAACGGGGGTGGGATGGAGGCGGGCACCTTTTTTTTTCTTTCATTAAATAAAAGTTTTAGACATATTCTTCTGTTGGACCTGCAGCATCTCAAAATATACTGACTCAAACTACGTGTATAGCATTGATGTGGAATGGAAATGTTGTCAACTTTCCACTTTACATGGACCCACTTCCCCAGATTTTGTCTTTCCTGGGGTTCCGTTCTACTTTGAAGCTTCAATATGAGAGCATTGCGTCTATGTTTATTATTGGTAGATAGCCTTAGTCGCCCGATTATGATTGCAAGCTAATTTCTTCACAATAATCTTCGACATGCTTAGTGCATCTTTCTGCTCTAGTCGCTCTGGCCTCGCTCTAAGTTTTGGAAATCGGATAACGCCCTTATGGACTATGATACTACCTTTACTACCTTTGTCTCAGTGCACCAGGAACCCAGTAAGCCTATTTATCTCTCCACTTCTCCGTGTACCAATACTGATACCCAAGTCCCAACCGTTACCGCAATCGAAGACAAGAGTGTAACCGCAAGCCATGCCTCCCGCTCCGCTAGGACGAACGACACCGCCCATCTAGTCACCAACGGAGACTCTCTAAAGAATTCCACATCGACATACTCAAAGCCAGCTACTCGACCAACCTCGACTGGGCAAGTTTCTACGGCTTCGACGCCATCAACGTGGTATGTCATCACACACACTTCCGACCCAGTACTAATTAGCACCCTTCAAGGCCAATGCACCAACCGCCACACTCAATCACAACATATATTACGCTTTCGGAACAATCGAGTCACACAATGTTCTCAGCGAGTCGAAGAGTCGGCCTGTCTATCTCTCCGACGCTCGGGGTCTTGGGTTGGCTGGATTGCTGGACAGTGTAGTTATATCTAGCGCTACGCGACTTACGGATGCATTTCTGAATGGATCTCCAGCCCTGGAAGAGCTTGGTGTCTTGGCTCTCCACAAACATCATTGAGTCCCAGTGGCCGCCGTAATAAAAAGCCGACCACAAGGCCCACCTGGGCAGGCAACAGTCTGGCCAAGTCAGAAACTATCGAGCATCATTGGAAAGAGCAAACAGGTCAGGTGACCACTCATTAATCTTCCCCATGGCAACCTTGTGGTCCACCTAGTATTCCCTCGAATTAATTTGTGATCTAACATTCTCTTTTGGGGCCTTGTCAGAGCTTCTTTTTGTGCTTGAAATGAGTCGCAGTTTGTGAAAAGTTTGAATTTCATCTTTCCTTGAGGCGTTGTTGTTGACCTTCCTAAAGGAGAAGAGCTAACCGGGCACGTGACCGGCGCGTTCGGTAACCGGCTAACATATCCCCATCAGGCAGTTGACAGGCATTAGGACTAAGCCACAGTCTACGATCGATACACATCGGCAGATCTGTGCCAACTGGAACCCGATCTTTGCTTCTGTTGCCAGAGGCCTTGGTTGGCTAGCGCTCTGTTGTTGGAATCGCGTGAAGAAGCGGCAATCATGAGCGAAAGAGGGTCGGAAATCGTTTACCGAGCGGAAAATGTCCCGATTCGCTTTTTCAAAGCATGTCGATGGTGCAGAAGACAAAAGATGCGATGTGATGCGCGTAGTCAAGTCCCTTGCTTCCGCTGTCGCTCTACCGGCCGGGACTGCATCTTGGACCCCATTGATGATGGGCGACGGCGAAGTGATCGTCGGCGGAAAACAACAACCCCCGCAAGGTGACAATTTGAAATATCGATCTTTCATATGAGGGTAGCGAGCTAATATTCTGCCAAAGAAACCATACTGCTTCGCCGCTGGATCCAAGAACCGGATACCACACTCCGGTATCGAGAGATCAGGGGTTCTCACCCGCCACCGTACAAGATGGTGGTTTCGATACGTCAATTGACTCTTTGCCCAGCTCTGCTGGATTAAACAGCCTTCAGCGGTCCTATGCGTCTGATGCGAATGGACCGGAGTCTCAACAGCTCAGCCCTAATGAAATGATCGCGCCGGCATCAGCGGTACACTCTATGTCTGTGAATTTGCTAGGCACTAATGATGTGAGTCATTGTCAAAACACTTACACAGCTTGCATAGATCTAACATAGCAAGATCTTTATGGAAAATTCAACCAAGGGTGACCCCAGAGGAGATGTCGTTGCCAGAGGAATCGTTAGTGAGGAGCTTGCTCGTGTCATGTATGAGAGGTATGGAACTAATACTCGACTGGAATCGCAGTTTATTATAATCAAATCTAACTTTGCTACAGGTTTACGGGCGGATCAAAGAACTTTCTTCCTCTTTTTGATCCGATTAGAGACACATTCGACTCTGTCCGTTCAAGATCCTTGTTTTGCTTTACGGTGATTATCTATCTGGCTAGTCGTGCAGTGACGGATTTGCGCGGAGACACGCATATGCAGCGTGTTCTACAAGATGAAGCACAGCGCTTGGCCGAAGACAGCTTCTTCGAGCGGCCCACTAAACTGGAAACAGTCCAAGGAATGATTCTCCTGGCTGCCTACTCCGAGAAGACGTGGTTCTCTATTGCTCTCATTCTTCGCACTGCCTTAGATTCGGGACTGGAGAAGTCTTTGGACACTTTGCTGTCCCAAGAAAATGTACCCCGAAGTTCGCTCTCGGCTTCCATGGCTGAACGTGAATTGGTGTGGCAGACAAGAACTTGGTTAATCAGTTTCACATTGGAGTTGGACGTCGCATCTGGTACCGGACGAAAATCACGCATCGCCGAGGTCGACGTGGTAAAACTGCGCAGATTCCTTGATTATCCACTCTCCCTGCCCTGTGATATGCGGACTGTGTGTATCATTGAACTTCATCAACTCCGAGGTAAAGCGAACAAAACTGCAGGTGCGATTTGTGTGTCATATTACTAACATGTAGTAGGTAATTCTCGCATGATTATTGACAACACTTCAACTATTGGTGACATTGTGTCCACAGAACTACCGGCCATTATGACAAGATTACAAAATTGGTGGATGACGTGGGACGAAATCCATGAAAGTAGGCTGTCTTTTCTTGCCTTGAATGAACCCACGATCTGGATCAATTACTGACTTGGACAATCCATGAAGACAACGGTTTCCATATAGGAGCCTTCCAGCGCAGCAGCCTCAAGCTCATGCTTCACTACGCCAGGATTTTTGTTTTCTGTGCATCCCTAGCACGGATTCAAAAATTACAACCAACATACACAGATTCAAGCTCTGAAATCCTGGATCAGAATGTGATGAACCTGTGGCAGTCCCTTGTCACAACCATCATGGACCAATTAGGCTTTTTGATCAACGAGCCATCCTATCGCTGTCAATTACCGTGGGCGCCAACGTATCCAGCTCTTACAATCGCCTTCGTCAGTAAGTTGATCATTTCCTCAATTAGCTACATACCTTGCTAATACAGATTTAGCAACATTCGCCCTTCGGATCGCCAGATGGCGTCCAAATCTGATCAATCAAAGTCTCCTACTTGAAAGAGCAGAAAAAATCTGCGACTTCCTCAAACAACCCCCATATCCCGATATCCACCGGACTGTCTCCATCTTCGTGAACTATGCACGCGCCTTGATTGCGAGTCAGCGTCCGCAGAGCAATCATAGTACAGATGTACCTATCATGTCTGATCAAAGTGATGGCCCACCCTTCGAAGGACCTGATAATCCCATGATTAACGGCCCGCCTCCATCGGGGGTGGGTCCCCTCGACGATCTCCGCTACAGAACCGGCCCGATTCAGGGCGATAAAGATTCAAATCTGGTCTCAATGCCAAGTAGTGACCCATCTGCAGTGGCCAAAGCGCCCGTATCTCGGCTATCCGGCACGATGGAGGCACCCAACTGGACTGTTTCAAACTCCATTGCAGATTCTTTTGGTTTGTTTGAGGAGGGGCAGAACGATATCTTCGATTTCCTGCCTATGATGCCATCGATGCCACAGTAACAATAACATTCCTAATACACCTTATTGAAGTCAAGATCACTCTAATCCAACTGTCTAAACTGAGTAAATCGCACAAAAACCAAGAAGTTCTAGCCTTGTAGATCAACGTTGATACTTCAGCGAGCAAATTGGGCCGCAACGCGCAAGGCAGTATGTTTTCTTTATTCACATGTGTTTTGTCACAGCCTAGATGCATCTCCACCTAAAAAAAAATGCATTCATAGCAATCAATTTGTGCATCGGGGACAGCCATCCATGTCCGGATCCAGCCCGGCGCCGTGAGTGGATTGCCCTAATTCCCGGTCCCGTACCGGCCCCGGTTCCGCGTGCAAAAACTTCGAAGTATACCAGTCTCTCATTGGCTTGTTACCTACTCCAACGTAGTAGATAGAGGCATTATGCATGACCAACAGGTTCTAGCCAGAGTGAGTCAAGGAATCGACAAGATTTTCCTCTCTGGGTCGGCCGGTTGCGATGGGAAAATCTTTTGGTATAGCATATATAACGCTTCGGTCCTCATCTACCAGAGCTTTTAAGTATCAGAACTAAAAAAAAATTAAAGAATACTTCCAATCTTCCTTTTTGTTCTAGCTTACCCCACATATTTGATGGTGCAATATGGCGTCAGAAACGAAACAATCTTTAACGGCTCAGATAACCGCCATTCTTTCTTCAGGTGCGATTAAGCTCTGATATTCTTCGGATCTACTCTAACATGCACTAGATAAGGATGAATGTTCTGACAAGAGATCCCTTGCTTCAACCGAGAAAAATCAAAGATCAAATGGAGATTACCAAATAGTCGAACTATCTCAGGATGAACTACTTGTCGAGTTTCAGCAGAACTCACCAAAAAACCCACCAAACTGGGCCTTTGTACGCATATATATATATACCATGAAGATACAGTCACTAATAACTAAATAGAAGAAAAAGCTGTACAATGCGGTTGTGGCGCTATTTGTTGTCCTCAATAGCGGCATATCAACCGCACTCCCTAGCAATGCAGTCCCCACTATCATGCAGGAGTTCCACCAGTCCGGAGACCAGCAAAAGGTCTTACCAACAGCCTTATTCCTCGTTGGGTTTGTGTTTGGGCCTCTACTATTTAGTCCATTGAGTGAGACGATTGGACGGAAACCCGTTCTCGTCTGCTCGTTCGCTGTTTTTGTCCTCGCTACGCTTGGCTGTGCTCTAGCGCCAAATTGGTCCTCTTTTCTCGTCTTTCGGACTATTTGTGGTCTGGTAGGAGCTGCTCCTCAGACGGTTGTTGGTGGTATATATGCGGACTTGTTTTTCGATCTGCGAACTCGTGGTCGGGCGATGGCAATGTATATGTCGGTATGTGATCATTCCCCATGGTTGGAATGGTTGGATAGTACTGATACATCTTCCAGGCTTGCAGTTTTGGTCCCATTCTAGGGCCGATTATCTCTGGATGCTCGGTTAAATATGGTTGGAGATGGCCTTTTAGGATCGACCTGATTCTGACGGGTATTACCTGGTTGGCTCTGCTCTTCACGTCTGGTATGATTATATCACTTAGTCCAACTGTGTCATCAAGTAATCTCATATCAACATAGAAACATTCGGCCCGGCACTCTTGAAGCAACAAGCTGCCAAATTGAGAAAGGAGTCGGGATCAAATCGATATTTCTCACGTCAGGAGCTTAACCTGGACTCGAGATTTACTCCAATGGAGATTATCACTCGTCCTATCACCATGCTCTTCTTCGAGCCTATCATCACCTCAACATCCATCTACATTGGCCTCGCATACAGTCTGGTCTTCTTCTATTTTCAGGCTTACCCAATCATCTTTGGAGGTAATGAATCCTCCACCTGGAATTCCTATCCACAATACTAACAGATTAACAGGTGTCTACGGTTTCAGCGTGCAAGAAACTTCCTTCGCACTCATCCCAAGTACGTCCACCTCTTCCCATCTATATCCCCAACCACTAACCCATCACAGTTGGCGTCGGCGCCGCATCTTCCGGATTATTCGCCCTCTACTACGACGTAATCTACGAAAAAGCCAAAAAGCTCAACAAACCCTGGACCACCAATCCAGAGTTCCACCGACTCCCATTATCCTGCATGGCCGGCCCCTGTCTAACAATAAGCATGTTCTGGCTCGCCTGGTCAGCAAGATCATCCATGCACTGGGCCGCACCCGCGATGTCAGGGTTCGTCTTCGGATTCGGATTCCAGATCATCTTCATTTCGCTTCTTACCTACGTCACCGACGCATACAAAATCTATTCCGCCAGCGCACTGGCGGCTTCTGTCATTGTGCGCAGTATTGCTGGTGCGCTTTTCCCGTTGGCTGCTGAGCCGCTCTATGAATCTTTCGGGGTTGCTTGGGCGACTTCCCTCATTGCGTTTATTAGTTTGGCTTGCATTCCTATCCCTTTTGCTTTGATGAGATGGGGTCCTTGGATTCGGGAGCGAAGTCCTTTCTGTCAGAGGTTGATCTTGGAGGAGAAACTCAGGGCTAGTGGAGCGAGTACGCCTGCGCAGGTATAGAATGTTGCTTTTTGCTTAGATTTTGGGATTTTGGTTTTATTGGCCAGGAAATGAGTGGGAAGAAGTAATGATTTGATACCTAATTTATAATGAATTTTATGATTCAATTTCTATATAAACAACATATAAGTGCTTATAGTGGTACAATGTATACTCTATATATTGTACTCTCTTAATATTTCCCCCTTTTACAAATCGCATGATCCAAGGGGCCAATATACTAATCAGACTAAAATAAAAGAAACTACTTCGAAGCCAAACCGCATCGAGATCTAGCATCTAATGACCTGCGCGCTAAATTGAAACTTCACCAACCAGAACGCCTAGTTGCCTGGTGGCTTTAAAATCATTTCGCCTCCACTTTCAAAATCTCGAGTCTTGAATTTCTGTTCTTGATTTATTTCATTCGCAATGTATTCACATATTGATTCTGCAGGCACTGCGGTCACTATCGCTCATTTCAAGGCACAAAGCTTGCCAGTTGGTGCGCGACCCATGTCCCCGCGTCTAATATTAGTACTAAACAAGCGCCGATCAAGTCGATCGCATTCTTGAGCCTCAAACTATCGCCCATTTCCTTGAATTCGCGTTCGGTGAGGAGCCCCTACCAAATGGCAAACAACCCGGCATCGAGCGCCTGTCTGTAGAGGAAGCCTCCTTCCTCCAACCGGACCAAAATTTCCCCCCGGACTCCAATGGCGAATCCATGATGGCCAGTGTCATGTCCCGGATTGGATCTAAACGAGATTCCAACCGTCTCTGCCTGGTCGGAAAGAATATCCAATTCCTCAAGTCTCGTCTATGGGAGGGTGTCATCCCCCTGAGCGAGCAGTTATGGCAGGAAAAAGGCCTCGATCGCCCAGAATATTTCGATTTCGCTTGTCAGCATTTAACAGCCGTGGTCGCCGTATTCCAGTATCTGAATGAGCCAACCGTGCGATTATATCTTCGCGACACGTTCAATTACATCTACGACCATTGGACTGCGCTCGATACTGTTCTCAACAAGCTCAGAGAGGAGCAAGGTAAAAAGCGCGTTAGTGTCGCGGCTCTATGGACATGTTACATGGCTGCTCATTTCGAGATGATGACCGAACGCGCCCATAGATGGGTTACCGTGCATGTGAATACACTGCGCGCTCCATTGATGCGAGCGCTTTTGGAGTATCGGCGACCTGGGGGAGAAACCCTCGGTGATGAGCCTGATGCGATACAGTGGAAGATTGGCGATTCGCTGCACATGCTGACTGAAATAATGGGCAATGCTGATTTTACCATCATGATCCCCATGAACGGTTATAAGGGGTACTTTGCGGATCCCCCGCGGGCGGGTCCGGCGGCACTTCATGCGGCAAATCTGCTGGCGAGAAGTAAAGCATATCATGAGCGGTTGAAGCTGCTTACTCGGGAGGCGCTTTCCCGTAATGCGGCTGAGTTCAGAGGATTAAATCCTACCTCCGGACAGATGTACCATTCGACATCTCTGAGCCAGATTCAAGGACAGAACAAGTTGAGGAAAGAGGTGCGTGGTGCACCTCTTGAACCTGTTCCGCGTGAGCCTTGGATTGCTGCTACCGCTTCAAATATAGAATTTGAAAAGAAGAAGGGAAAAGAGGAAAAGTACGGGTTGGCTGTGTATCGGTTGACTTATGGGCAGACGGAGTCTGAATGGACGGAATTCGTTCGCAAGGTGGAAGCTCATGTCTCGGATTGGGGTAAAGGTCAAACAGGAAGCAGTTCTATCAAGGAGCATTTAAAGCTCCGCTGGCTGGATGGAAAGGGATTGGGTATTGCAGAGGGCGATGTCGATGCAGCAAAGGAGTGGGTGTCTTTTTCCCTATCGCGCATTCCCTCTCTCATTTTGAAATTAACAAATGTAATCAGACACTTCAAAACCATCAAAGAAGGCAACGACGACTGGTCAAGGTTGGAAGGCGGTGCTTTCCTCGTCATCGACTCCGCATCCTTCGCCTCATACACCACCAATTCCTACAGTCCCGCAAACTCCCAGCTCAACCCCGGCGACTTCACCGGCTTCCTTCTCGCCATCGACGCAACCTTCGACCCGAAGAAAGGCATTGAACGACCCGACGAGTCACCAGGCTACAACGGCCAGATGCGAATTCTCGGAAGTCTCGTGTGGAGCGATCTCTATTCCCTACATGCAGCACAGACATTCCTGGTCGAAGACTACTGGCCATTGGCAAGCGAGCACCCGAACATGGTATACGTCGGCCCAACAGTCCCATGGCAGCGATTCATCTGGCAGAATCACAGTGAAATGCGCTGGAATCTCATTCGAGCGGTGATAGACCATTTAAAGCGCAACCCGGAAATGCCACCAATGCCACCAGCCCAAACCCGTGCTACACCTTCAACTGCGACTACAGCTGCATCTACAGCCGCGCAACCAACCCCTTCTATACCCTCATCGACACCACCCGCAGAAAGAGATCCCCTCAACGCAGCACTCCGCGCATACATGCTCACCGAGTTTCAGCGCTACTTGCGCCATGAGGGTCAACCGCGGCAGGCAGCAATGGTCGATGAATTACTCCGTCTTCAGCCAGGTGAGGAGCCGGATGGAGCACGGCTGCGACAGTTGGTGGATGATGAGGATGAGCGACAGGAGCAGCGGAGGCGAGATGGGTTGGGTGAAGATGAGGAGACTTCGGAGGAGTATCACCCGGATTGTCCGTTGCAGTAATGAGAGTATGGTTTGGGCTAGGTTTATTTAATTGTGGATATTTCTCATAATAGAACGAGATTGATTAGCTCGCTAGTTGATGAGAAACTCTTACAGAAATCACATGTGTCAAATTGAACGAAGTCATTTTCATAGATTGCAGACTAACTAGAATCATGAGGCATCACTAGCACTAACATCAAATTTCAAGGACAGGAACCTTTGGAAGACATCCTAAATCCAACCCCAAGCCCCAATACAAATTCCACTAACCCCATCGAACCTCCTCCGGAATAACTCTCTTGCTAGGACGCTTCGCAACCTTATGCCAACCAACCTGACAAACCTCCTCAAGCAAGTCCCTTCCACAACAAGTATAGGAGAACTTCTCCGGCCAAGCCTCACGACATTCCTCATTGTCAACATCAACCCCAGCGATAATCTCATCCCTGAAGAATTCTTCGTCGATCATGTCGGGGCCTTTCCATCCATTAGTTACGTTCCTGAAACACCATATACCGACAGATCTGTTCGTGGTCATACGTACCAACATGATATCTGCAACTTGTCGCTGAGTTTTTAGTGACATCGAACTTTTTCAGACAATAGAGACATGTTTCGAAACGGGATGTCATTGGGATACTAGCCGTAGGCTCGGTGGACTCTTCTTTGGCGGACTGGCCAGATGCAACGGGAGCAGTGGGAACTGGCTCGGATTTCGCATCGTCCTTTGCTGCTAGTAGCCATTTTGAGGCAATTTTACGACCCTCTGGGCTGTGTTTGATGATGTCTCGTAGAAGATCTACCAGGCGGAAGATGGATTCCTTGGTGATTGCTTTCAGTAGGAGGGCTGTGATATCGGGTTTTTCATTGGGAGAAGGCATGATGGCGGTCGGTGAATGAGGAGAGAATGAAAGTGAAATTTATGTTGAGGTTCCTTTTATGTGCTGGATGTCTGAGACATCGCGTTGCGTTCTGTGGTTACGACAAACACAATTGATTGAATGAGCGGTGGAGGGTGTGGTGAAAGGAATCCCAAAATGTAAATTATTATGAAGATACCTGCTTTGCAAACGGAAGAATAGAAACAGAGGCCCGATATTTAAAATCAGGTAGCCTTATGAGCAAGGCATATATGCAAGTAATGAACTGGTCTATGTGGTTCACACTATATGATTTCCACCAGCTCCAATATGTACACACACATGGACTATGAACCGATACTCAGATGCCAGTGTATACAACACATCATCAACCCAAGAGAGAAAGACTCTGAGCCAGGTTATTCCAATCGGAAAAGTCGACAAAGTTTGGATCCCAACAATCGATATCGAAGCCCGTCTCAGGTCGAGAATCCCCAGTCCCAGTCCCAGTTCCATCAGTACAGACAGGACGATTTTCCTGAACGATTTGCTGACTCTGCTCATCGTGTGTCTGACGGATAAGCCGTGCTTTATCCCGCAACTGTACAATAATCGGCCACCTAGGTCCCGGGTCCGGCCAAGAGGGGCTATCGGTCAAAGCGAACTGCGCATCGATAGCGCGCCAGGCTCGTTCGATATGTGGGCCGGTGGGATACACACATAGACTCCAGAGGATGAAGGTGAGGAGGTGATACTGAATGAAAGTCATCATCAGCCAGCGGAAGCCGCGCAGTAATTCGTTACTGTGTAGCTCGATGTCGATTTCCATTCCATGGCAGGCTTGTGCTAGAGTCTCTTGGACAAGGTTGTAGTCGAGTGAAGAGGCGGCCGGGCCCTGTGACTGTAGCTGTTTCTGTCGAATATATACTTCAAACTTTGTGAGGAGCAGCCACCCGAGGAGGAAGCCAAAGCGTTGAATCGGGATGTCTGGGTCGCTGTGTTGGAGGTATTTATCCTGTATTGAGCGTTTGAATTCGGCGATGAGACGTTCTGGATCAGCTGCTCCCACTAAGCTTCGAACTAAAGCGGGCCGGCCCCGGTTGATTTCTATTACGATTAGAGAGAATGTCATCTCTGTCCATCGGCTCTGCGATACAGCTGGAGCGATATTCATCTGTGATATGTTCTGATCGTCGATATTGAGAGGGATTTCAGTGTCGCCGTGGTCGTTTTCTGGGACTTTGAGCCCATGGTCTTCTGCTACTCTGGCATCGGCAGATTGGATATGCCACCAGGTTCGTCGACGGAGCTCACATTCAATTATTGGGAGTTTGAAGTATTTTCCGTCCCGCTGGAGACCGATGGATTGCGCAGCTCGGATAGTTACGCCGTGTAATGTCCAGCCAGATCGGCCGCTGTTGCTAAATCGAAAGCATGCCTAGAGAGCAATCATGTGTCAGTGGTACCAAGCAAGGAAATACTAAGAGGAAACATTCTCTCACCTGATATATTACCATCGCTTGTAACGAAGTCAGAGTTGGAGCATCCAAAAACTCGGAGTGATACAAAGACAACTCCAACCCTTGCTGATACCGCCGCAGGTCGGCGAGCAAGACTTCATTCTGGGTATCCTCTGAAAGCAAGGTTGTTACAGCCGCAAAACAAATCGCATAGAGCAAAGCACGTACATCAGCACGCGCACTTTCAGGTCTGTTAATCGCAGCAAAGATGCTCGATTGCGCAGTTGGAACATGAATAACCTTAATCAAAGGATCTACACGGCTAATAAATGTCTCCCAGAGCGAAACTGCCTGCCAACGACTCGGAAATAGATCCCGTGGGTCAATCTGGCCCTGGAGCGGGTTCGAGAAAAGACCATCTGCCTTCAACACCGGTGCTCGTCGCGGACTGCTCGCACTAATGGGCGATCCAATTGCAAACTTTATATCCGGCTCTTTGTCCAGCAACCGCGAGAGAAGAGGCTCGTTGATATACCGGCCGTCTTTACCTAGAAACCCCTGGTCTGCTGCAGGCGGGTTGCTTGGGGGCTTGTGGTCGGATCGGTCATTCGGCGCCGGGCCTGTGCTTGGGTTTTGGTTTTGACCGTGCAGACTAGTCGGCCGTTCGTTGATCATCGCCGCGATGGACTGTTCAAGCTTCTCCAACTGTGCCGCAAGGTCGGTGCTTTTCTTCGAGGGTTGACGTTTGACTCGGCTCGGACCTGGATATTGGCAGGGTATGTTCTTTCGCACACATTTGCTGCATGGTGAGGCCTTGTCGCACTTGATCTTGTGCGCGTGGCAGCGTAGACATGATCGCTCTACGTTGTACCGGCGTTGGTTGTTCATCTTGTCTTGGCGCTATGGGAAGCTGCGCAGATTTGGGATGTCTTGGTAATAAGAATTAAGGAGAATTTCTTTATCAGATCCTCGTGGCTTCTGCAATGTGGCGATCGAGTCTCGAGCTTGACTGTTCGGCGCTCGGTCATTCGTGAATGGCCGATCCGATGGGGGCGAAACCTTATTTCAGGCAACTGGCAAGAGTTTTCAGGGCTTCTAAATCAATTACTTATGCGAACGAAATAACCTCCAGCTCTTTGTATTGATCAATTTTATTCAACTTTTGTGTTCACATATTATCCGAAGAGCCAAAATCCTGCCTTCATACGTTGGGCAAGTAACAAAAATACGCCAATGGGCCTTGATCCGAGTATCATGAAAACAGATGCTAAATTCAAACGCTAATTTTAAAAAAAAAGCCTCTAGACCATCCCAAGAGACATCAAGAGACGCCAATTTCCCAAAGCAGAACCAAAAAGCAGGTTGTGAGATTATGAAATAAGAAGATCGCGGACACTCATGCCCTTCCTCCTTTGAATCTCAGGCACAGCTGAAGTCTCTTCCACAGAAATTGACAGCGCCGTACTCCCAGAGAAAGTCTCACTAATCGAATCAGCAGTCCCTCTCCGATCCTGAGTCAACATAAGCAAGGCAGCCGAAGCCTCGTGATCCACACCCTGAAACTCATGCATCTTCTCGTTCGAGGCCCATATCGGGCCCAACGCCGGGCTAGGAAGAATAGATGACGCATCCTGTGGGATCTGTGCTGAGGGGACTTGAGTGCGCGGGGAGAAAGACGGGGACGTATCAGGGAATTCTGTGGAAGCAGCTTGCAACTCCGGTGATGCAGAGGTGGAGTATGAGGAATAAGTAGAAGAACTATCTCTCCGCATGGGCTCAGCGCCTGTTTCTGCGATGAACTCGGGGGATGTAGGTGAGGGTGGTGCAGCAGGGGTGTGGGTTGATCCTCCAGTCTTCATGTCGTGGATACATTTCTCTAGGTAATTGACATAATCAATGCTTGCCTTGTTGGGAGAATTAGTATATTGGAAATTCCCGAAAGAGCATGTGATCGTACCTGAAGAATGGCGAGTTTATGCATTTCTTGCCCCGTGCATGCTGGAATCATGTCCTTCAATGTTCCAAACTCCTCATTCATCTTGGACCGTCGTCGACGCTCAATTAAACTGTGTGCGGTCTTGCGGGCGATTTTGCGTCCTGCAGCGCTAGTTGCACTGGGTTGTTTTCTCTTGGAGGTCGATGTTGGGTTGGGCATTGGGTCTTCGGGATTCTGTGAATCCTTGCCATTGTCCCTTGTCTTTTGCGATTTTGCGGGCGATTTTGGTTTCATCTGGATGATCTTGCGAGTTCTGGTTGGTGGCGGGGGCAAATCAAAATCCTCAAGTGGGCGTTTGACAGACGCACTTGACCGTCCGCTATTACTCGTACGGCCTGAGAGGTCTGGAGAGGTCGGTGATGGTGGGACATAGGAAGGATCTGATCGGGAAGATCTCCGACTGGCAGTGCTTAATGCCGCGGGGGGTAATGTGAAGGCATCCCCGTCGGGCTTGTCTTTGATAATGAAGCCGCCTGACATGGCTGGGGTTGGAAGTCGTGACATTGTAAAAAAGGGAAAGTAATGGAAATGATAGCTGTAGAGTCTACGGCAAGGGGTCCAGACTATATAACCGTGAACGTCCACCATATAGATACTGTCGCGTGCTTGTGCCCACGAGTCATAATGAGCGATTTTAATTGGTCGAGCGGAGACTCGTGCCTCAGGGAACGATGGGCATTTGCTGGACTAATAAGTGGGGCCCGGCGAGCTTATTGGCAGGTACTAGGTACTTACGTTAAATTGGGGATAAAGGGGGAAAGGGGTTAACCCCAATGTACCTGGTACATATTACATCAATTGAGGTAGCCCAGCACGTGCATCAATTGGACAGTCCTCCCCCGATTATCTTTATACTTTCCCAAAGGTTGAATGTGCACTTTACGACTTTTATATTCCTATTGGCTGGGAAACTGTGTCTTTCTCCACGGTGAGAGTCTCCTTAGGTTTACAGCATTCGTGTACAGTAGACCTTCTGGCACGTGCTTTCATCTTCGGCCCCGGGGCTTTGTCGCAGGGAGAGCAAGTTTCAGTTACATTTGATCTTACCTCTCCTACACAAGCGCATCCTTGTATGTACATTGCTCTAAGGCCACTTGCTCCCTAGAAACTATCATTTCCATTTTTACTGTTCTGGTTTGCATCTATAGGTGCCAATTAACGAGAAACTGCAATACACTCAATGCACTTTTCTATAAAATAACAGTATCCTTCATATCACATGGCCCATAACATTCAATCGCTTTTATCTATACATTTCCTTATCCAACTCCAATTACTTGAAATTCTCAGGGTCGCACTTGTCCGTACATTGCAAGTAAACAGACCAACTAAAAACATTCTATTAGCTCAATTCAGAAATAGAAAAACCATATTTCCAAAGGAGAAACAGCAAAACTCACCAAAACTTATCATCATCCGGTACAGCAATCGAGCAAGTCTGAGACTGCAAAGAACACAGCTCATGGCACCGATTGACATTCACACGATTACCATGAGCCGTTCCCGTTGACAGGGGAGCTTTGCCCCGTGTACCCGTTGTAGTCGCATTGTGGGAACTAGTGGCATTGGTAGGGACACGGACAGAGAGGCGGGCACCGTGGTAGGCCCCGGAGAGATGGGGCATTGCGGTAACGGTACTAGTCAGGGCAGCGCAGACGGTGAATAAGGTTGTGAGCTGCATGGTGGGAGAAGAACAAGAATAAACTTTGAAAGGTGGATGTTCGTTGAGGGATCTGATGCTGGGATTCAAGCTGAGAGCAGTTCTTAGTTGCGATTGCTATGAGAGTTTATCCTGGACCAACCCGTCTTATATAGAAGAACCTTGACGGCTTCCATAATCTGGTGGCTGGCTGTCAATCCCAAGCCGCCTGGGAAAGGCCTCCTAGATGATGCGGTGTTGCATACTGGTGAGTTTGATAGGACTATAGTAGTAAGTGCCACGGTCGATCTCCAGGTTACAGCATTCCACATTCCTATGGAGGAGACACCCGCCTCGTCTCACAATTTGATAATTGGCATCATGTGTTGAACAAGGCCAAATCCCTTGATGATATAGCTGTTTGGGTGTTGTGAATTCCATGGGCGATCGATTGCGGTTCTTCGCGGGTGGTGCATAAGGGCATGTTTTGCGCGCCTCGGTGTGGTTCATGTCAACACTTCGCACATTCTGCGCATTCCAGCGGGAGACGATATCCGGACATTAACCCAATCATACTCCAGGGAAGGAAATAGAGAAGAAGCTTGACGTCACACTTGACTTTATCTCGCGTTGTAGTGATTAGGGTTTATGGCTTGATATGACAGGAGTACGGACCACCCCCCATGAATGGCATTGCTGAAGGGTTGACCACAGCAGACAATGTTCGAGATTTCTCGGAGGATATTCTCAGTCCAAAAAGAGAAAGCATATTTCAGTCTCTATTGAAATCAACAACTATGTGCGTCTATACCCACCAGATGTGTTCCCTTTATCTATCAAACAGAGATTACTTGAATAGCCTGTCAATTATAACCTTCCCAAAGTTATCCTCCACGGGTGAGCCGTCCATCCGCCAGATGCGATTTCCAGCACGACCACTAAGCCAGAGACCATGGTCATTGGAGCTCTCCTCTTCACCCTCGATGCGGTGACGGTTGCGGCGGTCGACAACGCACATACCGCGAGTCCACTGGCCCAAGGTGTCGATTCGGATATCCTCAGGCGAGTTCTTCGAGTAAACCCACTTCGGGTCATCGGATGTCAAAGCATACCAGACGCAAACAGGGTCGTGCAGACTCAGCTTAGCATCGTCGCCAACGTGTCCAGGGTGCAGACGCTCCAAGGTCCTGAAGGTGTGTCCCATAAAGGCATCTACCCACTCGGCGAGCGGGGAGCCGGCAGCCAGGAGAGGTGTGATAGCCTCTCGGAACTCGCCGCGTGATAGGTTGTGGCGGAGGGTGATGTCCAGCGGGAAAAGACGAAGAGTCAGTTGCCGGCTGAGGCTTTTGGGGTACGGTGGGAGACGGTCGCTCTTTGTGGGTGGGATTGTTGTGTGGGGGTTGGGCGAAGTGAGTGCGAAAATACGCGCGGCTGCCACTGCGTCTGCGTAGGCGTTGAACTCGCCCGTTGGTGTCACCTATTGATAATATCAGCCAAACTGTCTGGGTATTTCTTGGGTCTGGAAAAGGTTTGGCTCACATTTCCTGGCTCGTTGATAGCACCGCCCATCACGACTACCTCTTTCACGCGGAGGAATGTCTCTGGGTCTTCTGCTGCAGCCAAAGCCAGATTAGTGAGCGGACCCACTGCTACCAGAGTCACCGAATCTGGCTCATTATCACGAAGCGCGCGGAGAATCTCCTTGTGTGCTGGAAGCTTGGATGGGGTGAATGCGTGGTCGTCAGGGCCTGAGCAGTCCTCAGCAGGCTCAATTCCCCCGCCCTCCATGGTTTTAGCGAAAAGGTGTACCCATGCCTTATTAGCGGTGAGATGTGGGTGCTATTAAGAAGTCAGCTTAGTTTACTTGTTTGTAGGCCACGGGGCTTCACATACCGTTGCGTGGATACCACCAAGTCCGTCCGTTCCATCTACAGCGATATCAGTAAGCGGTGTCCGTAGTATGGTAGAGCAATACGTACGGAAGTAGTCCGCAAGCATTTTCTGGCTTTCGAGGGGTTCCTCTGCACCGACAGCCAATATGGGACGGAAAGCTCTCAAGCTGCCAAAGCCTTCGGGTTTGCCGTTCTCGCGGCGCCACTGCATCTCCCGCTCGAGGATATGGAACATTGACACTGCATTGCGGAGACAGCTGTATATTGGGTCAGACAGTGGAACCCCTTCCAAATAAAATGATCTCTTACCTCTCTATCTCGATGTTACCGAATGTCAATGAGATGAGGAGAACCTCTACCTCCTCCGGGGTGGCGGACAGAGCCAGCAAGAGGGCGAGGACATCGTCAATACCCTACGATATGAGTCAATCCTGAAGCTAAGGCAATGGAATTTGAACGAACCGGATCGGTGTCAATGATAATCTTCTTTGCCATGGTGAATGTTGATGGAAGACAGAAGTGGGAGCTTATCGATGTTATCGGCTGCGGGGGTTTCGTCTGGCTATAAACCCCTCGTAGGCAAATATGAACACTTTCAAGTATATTAAAGAATCCACTATTGAAATAATATTTACAATGTTGCAGTCCGATTCTAAGCGATTGGAATATGGTATATATTCAGAACAAAAAATTTACTAGTCCAAGCTTGGGACTACAATCCCGGTGACCGACGGCCCCCCGGACTGCCAACCCAACAACCCCCGGGGCCGGCCGTTATCAACCCGAGCCTCATGCCCCACCAGATGGCAGATTCAAGGGGAGAAATCTCTATTATTTAGTAACAAGATATGCTGTGTGGGACTTTTGGATGAAAATGATCAGGGAATTGTTACTGGAACGTGCGCCTTGAGCCAGTTATCCGATAGGGATCGCCAAGCCGTAGGAGTATTTGCAAGCCCTCGAACACGTGGAAATTAACAGGGGTACATGCAGCTTGCAGCGCCACAGATATCTCGACAGCCTGGCGGGTATCACCTTGTCTGTGGACATGGAGCAGAAGAGCACCTGCATTCGGTGCGCGGGCATGCTAAGTAGGCGGCATATCCTGCAGTCGTTTTGTATCAGTGCCGAGTTCTTTGATTAAGCTCTCCGCTACCGGCCCCAGATTATCGGTGATCTCCGCCAATGCGTTGTAATTTGATCCGTCGAGAGAGATAACCGCCCGCACGGTGTGGATACTAATTCCTGCCTTTTCCAGGTATCATTTGTCAGTTCCCAGCAGCGTAATAACGTGTGCACCAGAACTGTGTCCCATCAGAATGATTCGCTGGGGATCAATGTCTAATCTGGTCGCATTTCTGACCAGGTAACCCAGCGAGTCGGCCACTTCCTGCACCTGCTCTTCCACCGTCACAGATGGGATGAGTGTATAGTTGACGGTGGCAAAGGCATAGCCCTTGCCGGTCAAATGATCAACTTTGAATCCAATCGAGTCCAAATATGTCCCTGATCCCCAACTCCCACCATGAACAAAGACAACAATCGGGGCGTTGGGGGGTATGGGCTTCCAGAAGCAGAGATACTGGACATCCTCCTTTCCATATGTCACGTCCACGCCACCGGTTGGATGGTCGGTGTTCATTGCTAAGAGAAGATCCTCGACCCTAGTCCCCGTGGTATCGTCTGTGGTTCTTTGGAAGATTCTCAGTCCAGTGGTCTCTTTCCCTCGAGCCGCTATAGCAATGGGAGTAAGGTCAGATGCGATTGACGGATCAACCTCAGGGTTTGTGGCCTGAGCTGGCTATAAGCCCTGTGTTTTGATTCATGGTCACTGCCTCTGTTGCCTCTAGGGAATATTATTGTGACTTGGGCCTAATAATGGTTTTAAAAGGAGCAGCAAGGTAGTTGGGAAAGGTTATTTATAATTTTAGAAAGACTTTCGGCGTTTTATACGTTCGAATTATTAACAAAGATTTGTTGGACGCGAAGGACCTTGAAGCATATGCATTAGTATTTTGTGATCAGATGTCGTTCAAATATGCCCCTCAATCACATGCACTTTGTGGACTTTTTTATATCTGCCTAACTCCACGTCCTAGTAGACATATTAGATTCTTCGGATGATATTGCTACAAGGGTTTAATGATTACATATTGGAATTTCTTGGATATATTTATTACAATCGAGACCAATAGAGGGACTGTTAGCATCAGTCACAATAGCTTCGTAAATATTGGTAGTCAACTACAAAGCAACCTTTCATATACTCCACAGCGTGAGCAGACTTGAAAAGATAGTGGAAAGGAGGATAAACATGAGAATAAAGGAGAAAACAAGGAGTACGGTACGGAGTATACATACATATGTAGCTAATAGGAGACAAAAGAGCAAGAAACCAGTCGGTTATGTCGAAGACATACTCCGTATTCAGATTGCGCTTTCAGGAGTGCATGACCAGCGAACCAATCCCAAGCTCTCCTTTCAAGGTACCGCTGCAGGTCTCGGGGACTGGCCAAGACTGAGTATGCTTCACCCGCGTCATTTACACTCAGATCACCAATTGAACCAGGTCATCCGTAATGAATAACTCTTTTCCTCGTGGTGCCTGTAAGGGGTAAAAAGAAACTTGGAAGAGAGAGATCCCCTGCCGGATCGGCAATCTTCAAGCATCCCGGGTTGCCGGGAAAATCGATTTATCCATCAAATAAACGCTCAGGTCCTTTTTATGACCTAGAACACACTAGTAAGATATAAATTGATTGAGAAAGCGGAGAGAAGACAGGCGGAGACGTGGCCTGTTCACTCTGAAAGTTATCTGTTGACTACTTAGCTTTTGCGATTAGACTGTTCCCCAGGTACGGAGTATAATACCATATATGACAGCTTGCAGTCAGTGCTCACCTAGGATCTTCATACCGTTTAGGCGCATTCTTCATTCTTACCTAGATGATAGATATAGCACAGGTCATGATACCTATGTAATATAGAACATAAAAGAACAAAGATGCCAAGTAGAAAAGGTACAGAATATGTGCAATAACTCCAAAAGCCAAGGGCTTGGTAAGTTACCATTACGGTCACAGTACAAGTGGATCTGCCACGGTTGCCCTTTCCTCTCTACTCCCTCTCTTCCTCCTTTCTCACCTTCTGCTCTCACTTCTTTTCTCTTGTTTATCCCTGCTCCTTTTGCGCCATTGCGCTAATTCTATTGTTCCTATCCGCGACATCACCACCCCGCGCACTCCGGTCAATTGACCGCCTTGGAATCACGTCTCGAAGACCTCAACTAGTTAAAGCTTCTGTAGCTGAGCGCAATTGTCCCAGCTTTCAGTGCGCGTGCGCAATTGTCCTACCATCTCATTCGGCAACTTTGATCCCGCCTCCCCTCTCCAACACCCATCCTTCACCTACATAGTTTTCAATCGGACAGTAAGTTCCAGGCTTGCAACCACCTTTTCAACGTTGACGGTACTGACTTATGAGTGCACAGCTCCATGACCATGAACCCTTACATTAGCTGGGCGATCTTGCTCGTCGTGGCAGGTGGCCTCGGCTGGTACTACACCAATGGCACAACCCCCAAGGCCAACGTGATTCGAGCTGCTGTGGAGAAAACCGAGGCCACTGTAGCACCCAAGAAGTCGAAGCGCAAGTCTAAGCCTGCACCCGAACCGGCTGCCGCCAAGAAGTCCGAGGTTCAGACCGTCGTGTCGCCCCCCACCACCGAGGACGAGAAGGCGGACGAGGAAATCGACCGCAAGGAGATGGCCCGCCGCATGGCCGGCCTCAAGACCAACGCCCCTGCTCAGCCCGCCCCCGCCAAGCCCGCTCCCACAAAGAGCCAGAAGAAGAACAAGAAGAAGGCTACCCAGCTCGAGACCAGCGATACCCGTGCCTCCTCGACCACTGGCGCCGAGGCTGATGACGATCTGTCTCCTGCCGCCTCTCCCCCCGTGAACGCCACTGTCCCCTCTGCCGGATATGTTTCCGACATGCTGGAGGCCCCCGCCCCCGGTGCGTCTGTGCTCCGCGTTACTGGCAATGTTGAGAACCAGCCCAAGAAGCAGAAGGTTCAGTCTTTCAAGGAGGTGGAGAGCAAGAAGCAGCGCCAGCAGCGTCTCAAGAACGAGGCCCGCAAGCAGCAAGTTCAGGAGGCCGAGATTGAGCGCAAGAAGCTGCTTGAGAAGCAGTTGCACACCGCTCGCGAGGCTGAGCGCCGCGAGGCTGCCCGCTCAACCGCGCCCGCTGCCAGCGCTTGGCAGACCAAGGAGACTGCCCCAGTGAAGACCAACGCAGTCAATGGATCTCGCCCCGCTCCCGCCGTCCCTGCCACTTCCTCTCAGACTCTCCTGGACACCTTCGAGTCTCCTGCTGTCCCTGCCCCTACCAAGTGGGCCCAGAACCTTCCCTCCGAGGAGGAGCAGATGCGCCTCTTGGGAGCTGCCAAGGGCGATGACGAGTGGACCACCGTCTCCAAGAAGCAGATCAAGAAGAAGGGCGGCAAAACTGACGAGAGTGTCAGCGAGACCAGTGCCTCGGAGAACCAGTCCACTACTGTCGCTCCTGCCCCTGTTGAGCCTCGCGTCACAGTGACCCCAACCTACCTCCCTGACATCCTACGCTCTCGTGAGAAGGGTCACCCCCTGGACTCTGACTGGGCTGCGTGAACAATTTATTCTATCTTGAAGTCTTTTCTCTCTCTGATTCTCTCCGATGTCTTCATCTTGAACTGTATTTATTACCCTTTTTTGTTTTGTTTTTTGTTTTTTTTTTGGCGTTCTGGGGGTGTCACATCATTCGAGCACTCTCCCTCCCCTTAACTACAATAGGGGCCTGGGAGATTGCCACAACGCATTAGGAGCGGAATTGGTAGATTCCCCTTGCAAGTTGTGCAAGGAGGAAGAACTGCACTGCGGAAACAAAAGCAGAATTGCGGGAATGGATTTGATGCTGTGTTTGTGAAAGTACTTTTTTTTTCTTTGTTCTGGCAAAATCTGTATTGCAATGAAATAACCAATCTAAAACAAAATAAACAAGAATGTAGTCTAATTCTTTATATCTCAAATACTACAACATTGTATATAGATCATCATGGGAGTCTGTGTCGTCACGATTCCAAAAGCGGTTTAGCGGCCAGTTCCGGTTATCGTGGCCTGAAGTTGCTTTGTATACAACTCCTTGGTATTTGCTCCTGTGTGACTTCTTCTTCCCCAACCTGTGACTCAACTCCAACTTCTTCTTCTCAATCTCTTTTTTTTTTTGTTTCCTTCTTCCGCCATGGCCCAAATTCGTGGCACTGCGGGCTACAACCTCGGCCACCAGAACCCGTTTGGCGGGCCCGGTAGCGCAAATGCCACCAGCGACCCAAGTCCGCTAGACGCAATCCGCGAGCAGACAAGCAAGATTGAGGACTGGCTAGATACCTTGGCTGATCCAGTGAAGCCGTATGTTTCAGTTCCACTCTTTGTCTCAATCTTCTTCGTCTTCCACCTGTGTTGTGGTCCGAGTCGCGAGAGAGCTTAAAACAAGGGATTCGAAGCATGAACTAACACCCTTTTCTTTCGCTCTCTAGCTATCTTCCCGCCATCGGCCGATTCCTGATCGTAGTGACCTTCATCGAAGACTCGCTGCGCATGCTCACACAATGGAACGATCAGCTCCTCTACCTCCGTGATTTCCGGAAGAGTAAGATACCCTTGCTCCTGGACCCTGATCTGCGCAGGGTCGAGGGTCCCACACTACCTCTATGACAATATCTAACGAGCTTTTCTTGGTGGTTTTAGTTCCTTGGGGAATTACACACATGTTCCTTATCATTAATGTCATCGCTATGGCCGTCTGTTCGACTCTGGTCATTGCCCGCAAACGTACCGAAGTCGCCGTCGCTGGATTGCTTGCCGTCGTCATCACGCAGGGTCTTGGATACGGTCTTATCTTCGACTTGAACTTCTTCCTTCGCAATCTGAGTGTTGTGGGTGGTCTGCTTATGGTCCTGTCCGATTCGTGGGTGCGCAAGAAGTTCGTTCCTGCCGGTCTGCCCCAGCTCGATGAGAAGGACCGCAAGATGTACGTCCAGTTTGCTGGTCGTGTGTTGCTGATCTTCCTTTTCATCGGGTTCGTGTTCTCCGGGGATTGGAGCTTCTGGCGCATTCTCGTCAGCTTGTTCGGTCTTGTCGCTTGCGTCATGGTCATTGTTGGCTTCAAGGCCAAGTGGAGCGCCATTATTCTTGTGGTCCTGCTGAGCTTGTTCAACGTGTTTGTGAACAACTTCTGGACGGTATGTTTACTGGACAATTCATTGTATCTTTGGTTACTGATAACCCTGTCTAGCTGCATGCCCACCACCCCCAAAAGGACTTCGCCAAGTACGACTTCTTCCAAATTCTGTCGATTGTGTATGTTCCCTCTCCCCAATAGTGAAACATGCTCAACGCTAATAACTTCTACAGTGGTGGTTTGGTCCTACTCGTCAACATGGGCCCCGGCCAATTGAGCATGGACGAGAAGAAGAAGGTCTACTAGAGTAGAAGGAAATCGAAACGCGATTCTCCTTCTCTCTATATATCTCCCGGCACCTGCATCCATCTAGCAAGCACAACGAAGAGGGACAGAAATTAACAAAGGGCGGCCTGGCTGGTGCTCCGCGGGCTCCGAGCATTTGAATACGGGCCTCCTTGGACCCTTGACTAGTTTACAGGGGCTATGCGTTGCCGGGTTGGGCGTTGTTTTTGCATTTGGGATAATTTTGAAACGCCGAGGAGATCCAACGATCTACTCTTTCTTGCGTCTTTCTTTTTGAGCTAAACTTTTGCGTCCTGGTCTCTTGTTTCATCGAGATCAAAAAGACATGTCCTCTGCATATGATGTTTTTGATGTGCATTTGAATTGCATTTATCACGAAGACGAGTTGATCGAAAATTTAACGCTGAATGCGTCGCATATCTGCATGTCTCTTTGGCTCTCATGCAATAATAGTAACCTACCATGGCTTTAACGGGAGATGGCACCTATAATTACTGTGCCAACCTCGAAAGCTACTCTATATATCCTCCTTTTTGACTATTGTGTATATCCCCTGTCTCCCATTGTAGAATGTTACTTGATGAAGAAGTATTAACTGTTTTCCCGGGCTGTTTTATGTCCTGCTGTAACTATAGAAGATCTATTAGCTTAAATCTGCATGTCAACGCCCTAGTCATTTTCTACCAATTCTTTGTTAATATATATTGAAACCACACTACACCATGATTGGGAATATGCTAGGTATCTTACTTATAATTTCAGATATGTTGCAGCGTATACGTATTGAGTCCTACGACTTGGACGGCGGGTGTCCAAATATATATCTTGAAAAATCAGGCAGATGTAGATGAAGGACAACAGCTTCTGTAATGACCAATGAGTTGAAAGCAGCATTTAATCTATTTCCATTTCACAATACTCATCTAAACTGATATCCAAAAAGAGAAAAACATCCATTGTTGGTCGAACGCTATGTACTGGCAACCCAAGCAGAGGGAGGGAGTGATTATGGTACAAGAAAGAAATAATATCTAGGGATTGAAGGAGAGCAGAAGAATAGAAAAAAGAAGTCTGGAGGGCCACAAAAAAATGCTGAAAACAAACAGGAGACAAGGAAAAGGAATGGTAAAATGATAGGAAGGAGTGCTATCATGGTGAGGTCGCATGTTCTCTTGCCGTTGGATTGAAGCAACGGAGGAACTGTAGGCGATGTAAGGCATTTCGCTTTTATATACTGGACCAGCCAGGTACATGCCTATATGGGAACTCAGGTCCCGACAACGAGAGGATGTTTGCGTCGAGAGATCAAGTATCACATCGGCAGACGCGGAAATAGGGACTCGGAGAACCGAGGAGAAATAAATGATAATAAGCAAATGCTGACTGGTCTTGATGCTTCAAACGCCGTATAGCTGAAACCTGAGAAAGATGGATAGAAGGAAGATGAGGGTTTTCGAGTGTTGTAGAGTGTTCGAAAGGCTTTTAGATGTCCATGCTCCAACGCCATGGGCGGATGGGCTGGAATTCACCTAGCCCGATCTCATTGTGGTTATCATCATTGATCTCCAAGTGTAGCATGTGGATCTTCTTGTTGTCCCGGTGCACTGTGGAGAGAGTCTTCGAGATGTTGGGGCGGTAGATCCTGTCACCGTCATCTGTGGCTTTCGATTGAGGGCGGGAGGCCGGAGTTTCGGGGTATTTCCAGGAAAGAGTTTGAGAGAGATCCGAGTTAGAGGTGGTGGTGGAGAACATAGAGTCAGTTCGAGAGTGTAATTCTGGGTCTGGGCCGTCAGGTTCGATACGAAGTCGAGTCAGCGATGGCCGCCGAGGTCGATGGTTCTGAGTGGTTTCATTGGCAGCGCCGTCACCAGACTCGCTGATTCTTTCAGGCTCCTCCTTGATCACGTTCTTGGGGGCCCAGGATACGGTGCCAAGTCCTGAGGCAGTAGCAAGAGTCGGCGAAGTGACGTCTGCTTTACCAGCCATGACTCGGGCACTTGGCGGCGGCTGGAGCATCCATCTGGTATCGGCACGGCTACACGGTCCACTGACAATGGGCGGGTGGAGGTCGTTCACGGGCGGCACGCGGGGAATGTAGTACTTGGAGGTTTCGTTCGGGTCTGCATGACCACGTCCAGAGAATCCAATGGACGATCCACGGACTTCTTGTTGTCCCCAAAGAGGTTCATCTTCCCGTTGGTATCGCATCGACTTCCACTTCTCGCCGAGCGGATGCATCAGGCCACCACTCTTGTCTTTCTTGAATTGCGAACTCTGGTCGGTATTCCAGCTGTCCGTTCGTTGAACATTGCGGTGACCCCGACGGGCTGGGGGACCAGGACCTAGGGATATTTCCTCTCGCCACCCTACATTGGTACTGAAAGGGGTTGGTTGTGCGAATGGACGGGGTTGGTCGGTGACGACTTCGGTGTTGCGTCGCTCCTTCTCCTTCTCCCGTTGGACCCGGGCAGCATCCTTTCTACGTTTCCGACGATCGACATTTTCGGCGCAGGGGGTGCAACTGGCATAGTAGAAGACTGCGGACTGGGCGCCCCGAAAGAGCCACATGGCTGCGGGGGGGGATGTGGGGGGATATCGGTTGGTTTATTGGGCTGGACTGGCTAAGGGTTGTAAACTGTCGTTCAAGATGGGCTATCAGCCCGGGAAATCTGTTTGAATTGACCCGATATTCGCTTGTTGTGTTGTAGTGATACTATCGGACACATGAAGGGCTGAGCGGATAGGGGGAAAAACTGCGGGAATGGGCGGGATAGAGGTAAGACGTTGGAATTGGAGATCGCCCAGCGATCTTTAGACAAAGAGAGGGTAAAAATAGTTGGAAGAGAGGAAAAGTAAGAAAAGGGTGAGAAGTTGAGATGGCAATTAGGGGAGGTCTGAGGGGGCGTCGGTAGTTTCTGCCTTGATGTTTCGGCTTTAGTTTTTCGATTTTTTTTTACTGTTTGCGGCCTAAACTGGGTACATATATGCAAAATATATAAATGTAGTATTCACCGGTATTCACCGACTTCTTTTAAATCTTTAACTTATAGTCAGTTTGTACACCTCATCAGTAGCCTCCTAACTTGCTGCGCCAAGGCTCAACAGGGGGGGCCTAAGAGGTCGGTGATACCGTAGTACAGTTACAACCAGTTGAACTACCATGTACTCTTATATGTATGTAACATGACTGCCTAGTTATCTATATATGGCACTCTTTGTCTTGAGATCTTTTTCTTTCTTCTCTACGTCGTACTCCGTACACCGTTGTACATCTTAGCCTTGGCATTTTCCCGCGTGGAGTCATGAAGGAATGTGGCTGCAAACGGTAGGAAATTACTCCTTTTTCAAAAAGGAATGTGAGAAAATTATGGTAATTCACGTCCATATCGAACCATACTGATGTAAAATCACATTCCTCTGGATCGAATACGTAGGGGGCTCCCGACATCTCATACTCGGGATCCTGGAATCAAATCCAGCCCCTGTAAATTCACTGTCTTTGTGCCCATTGTCTGTGCTCTTGGCCCCCGCAAAGTCATTCGAGGGGCAAGAATGCCGAGTTGATGGCAAATCCCCATGTGCAGACCTTTCATGTAACTTGTCGTGGCCATTGCATCATTGCATCATTGCACATCAAAGATGTCAATCATGGGAGATCGGTGTTCGCAATGGAAAATAATCAAAACATGGCGGACATCCAACCCCCAGCGTATCTTCGCATCGTTGTAGGGCCAAGGGCCAAGCCCGCAACGGCGGATCCAAGAGTAAAAGGGCCTCGCAACGCTGGAAAACTCCAGCATTCATCGGCGTGCTGAATCGTTGTATTGCATGCAAATGGGTTCCCCAAAACGCCTGAAAAATGACAATGGAAAATAGCACCGTGCAACCCCAGCTCATGCATTCTTCGTGTCTCGGATTACCTCGCCTTTCACCTTGGTCCAGTCGATGTCTCCGTCCATTTTTTCGTCTATTTCACCACATACCACGACATTGTCGCCGCGGATTAGGTACAGCCCATGCTCAATTTCAGTAGAGGGCTCGTCGTCGTCTGGGGTGCGGATGATGCGTTCAACGGTATTAGCGAGGACAAGATTGGTCGTTTGGTCGGTGGACAAAAGATCGCCGATGAGTGTGCGGCCGTCAACTGTGAGGATGAGGACTTTTTCTGTTTGGTCGAGGTTGATCAGTACTTAGTCTACGTAGGAGATATGGCATGGATAAGCATTTCAGCTAACTGCAAAAACTCACTATTGACGTAAAAGTGGAGAGACATGTTGGATGGGAGAGCGGCGGTTTAACAAGTTGCAAGGGTATCTCAATTTTGTGGTTAATCGGGTACAGGTAGATGCACTGTTGAGTCGGGATGAAGCTGTGTCTCGAGCTCGGTAGTCCTATCACTAGGCTTGGAGTAGCTCTCTTGCTTTGCGTGAGCAGGAGAGGGTTCGTGGATCTTCGTTCACTTCAGAGCTCCGTCACTTCGCGCAAAAAGTGTTCGCCGAGGTAAAGAGCCGAAGTGGTCGTGGTTGGTCGTAGCGCGGCAATGCTAACTTTATCAAGCTCGTCGAGAGAAAATCAAAGCTGTGGAAGCTCCGTTCAATGTCCGAGGCCAATTCAATGTGAGGTGATGGTAATGGCGCGGAGCGGGTTTGTGCTGTTTGTCGAATCTCAAGTGAAGATTGCGAGAACTCTCCTAGATGATAACTATAAATTTCTGGAAAGACGCGAGGCGGTGAGCTCGACTGATAGCGAAGATATTGGTGGCAGCGCGTGACTTGAGTGCTTCATGGTCGTTTTCTACGATGGATGATTGACATCCCCGTTTCGATCACGTGCGGGAAGCTTATGGGAGAGGTGGATACCACATCATTTTATACTGTTTAAGGACAGGAGATGAACAAGTTTTATAAGTTAAAAAAGGATCAGGTCTTGTTGTACAAACTGCGCTACAGTGACAATGGTCTACATAGATGACTCTAGTAAGGATTTATGTATAGCAATTCACTATGTGTGCACGATATCGCCCGCAATTTCCCATGCACTCGAATCAGCCTCGCAAAGCACTCAGATCCAAAGGAACACTGCTGCCCCTTCCAGCACGATATCGGCGCTCTCCACCAATAAATTGCCGTGGCTTGGGGAGCAGTCCCTCGCTTTGGAATTTGAATCGCACATCTTCTATTCGGACTGGGCCACGTCCATGTGTTGCAGGGCTTCGTGAGCTTGGTGCAGGCGATCCACCATTGGAAAGTGTATAAGCACTAGGGTCTAGCGCTGCAAAGGGTTCATGGGAGACGGGGCGAGAGGAAACAGGGGATGGTCGAGATGGCGGCTCGCTTGGCGGAGCTACAGGAAGTGAAGTTGGAGGGGGTGGGGGTGGAGCACCTGGGGCAGCTGATGGGGGTGGCGGGGGAGGTGCCGAAGGCGAAGAATGTCCCAGGGCGGAACGGGCAGCTTGTGCAGCAATTGATGGCGGAGCTACTGATGGCGGAGGGGGTGGTGTCGATCTGGAAGCAGCCGGCGGGGGAGGAGGTGCCCGAGCCGCGGGGGCTGATGGGGGAGGTGGTGGGGGTCCGGACGGTTTTCTCGATGTAGGCGGTGGTGGAAGCTTGCCCGGTGCTGGAGGTGGGGGAGGCGCGCGTGGAGGCGGTGCTTCAGGTGCCTTTGTAGCTGGCGCTGGAACTGTAGATGAGGATCGTGCAGCAGGTCTCGGGGGAGGCTTCTTCAAGCCGGCAACCAAAGGATTGACCGGTGGTGCATGCGGTGAATCGGTCGATGAAGGCCGGGGAGGTGGCCTGGCTCCAGGAGGCCTGGGAGCTGTTGGAGGCTTGGGAGCTGGCGCAGCAGGTGGTCGACGTGCACCTTCGGACTCGGAGATATATGGCGAGTCTCGACTGGCACCTGTATCGACACCTCCCCGACTGCGTAACTTGGGAATCCCACCAGCGAATATACCCCCTAATTGAGGTGGCATTGCACTGGCTGCACCATCTGTCCCAGAAACTCCTTCGCTGTTGCTTCGTAATCGATTTGCGGCTGGGCCGGATGGTACAGGCGGTGCAAGCCCGCTTGGAGGCGGCCTCGCGCCAGGGACAGGTGGCGCACCCGCGATAGGAGGAGCTGATGAGACGCCCCCTGAGCCTGCGACTATAGGTGCTGATCGATCATTGGTAACAGCTTTCTTCAGCCGGGCGCCCTTGTGGATATCAGAGAGAAGTGCGCCCTATCTATAAGTTAGCTACCGAATTCCTTGAGTAACAAGCTGCTTGCGTCAATGAGGCTTAGGCATCCCATAAACATACCCGGTCTTTAACCTGCGCTTTAGGAGGTCTGCCTGGGAGGCCACCTGGAGGGGGCGGCGGGGGAGGACCGCCCAAACCTCCCGGCGGCGGCGGCGGGGGAGGAGGTGGTGGTGGCATAGTTGAGGATCAGATAATGATATTATCAGGCAGAAAGCTGCATATAATTCAGAAAATAGTCAGGTCGGGGATATGTGTTTCTTCAATGAAAGGAACATGGAGTTGTTAGGCAGAGAAGTAAGAAGACGTCAGGGTGCGAGTACGGGGAAGTGGACAGCGCCGGGGCGAAGTCTCCGCCTGGACTCTCCCATCGAAAAAAATACAGCTGCCTTACAACGTCACTCACCACCAAAGCCATGAAGAGAGTTGTTCTAACAGCCAATAGAGGCTCCCGGCCACAGGGCTCGATCTGTCAATTATGTCAATTCTCGACTTCAGCGCCCCGTCGTGGTCTCCCTATCGCGCGTTTACCCAGCACTCGACCTGCCTCCAATATCCGTTTACAGCCCCCAAAACGAACCGATAGATTGGTATTGGGCTCTCCTTTGCTTATTTCCCGACGATATGCATCCGCTACAACCACGAAAATAAGCTCAGAGGATGCAATCAAAGAAATTGCGCGGGATGCATCTGCCGTACATCAATCGAACGCGGTGGCCTCCAATGAAGTGGTAGTAAAATTGCTACAAAGATGCCAGCGGGTCGCCGAGTCCCTTGTCTCGCGAGAACGGGATCAAAGCGAGGGACCGTCAAAGGGCGAGAGCAGCGCGATCTCTTCTTTGCTGGACCTGGAGGAGAAGCAAACTGCCGCAAAGAACAAAGGCAAATCACAGTCCTCACAGCACCCGGACCCACGACTGGCAGATTCAGTCTCAGATATTGCCATTGCACTTTTGAAGGACGAAAAGGTCTTCATTTCGCCTGAAGCTCTGGCCTCCTGCACCGAGACCCTGACTATGCTACGACGGGCCGAGCACTTCCCCGAGATCTTCCACCTTTACGCCTACAAGCCCGTCCCAGAGGAAGGCAGCTCTCCAGTGAAGTTACTGAAGCCCAATCCCAAGAGTATCAACAGCGCCGTTCCGGCGGAGTTGGCTAACAAGGCTCTTGGGATCGCCATTGCACAGAAAAACCTCTCGCTCGTGCTAGCCATCATCGACAACACTTTCTGCGCCCCCGCTTTCCACCGCGCGAAGATCTTCAAGAAAGCCGGTGTCCCTCTAGTTGGTCTTGCAGCTGCCCCGGCTGCTTGCTATGCTCTTGCATCGTGGGCCGCAACATTCCAGAACACAATGGATCCGAACGTAGCGACTGGTATTGCGTTCGCCGCTACGCTGGCTTATGTCGGCGGTACATCCTCCATGGGTATCTTGGCTATTACCACGGCTAACGATCAGATGGAGCGTGTGGTCTGGATTCCTGGCATCCCTCTACGGCAACGGTGGTTGCGCGAGGAAGAGCGCGCTGCCATGGATAGAGTTGCTTGCGCATGGGGTTTTAAGGATCCTTATATGAGAGGCGAGGAGGTTGGCGAAGAGTGGGCAAGTCTTCGTGAGTTCATTGGTATGCGGGGCATGATTCTGGATAAGACCGAATTGATGCAAGGCATGGAGTAACTTGATTCCCTGCATGTGTATTATCAGTCTCTTGTTTCACACATAATGAGCCATGTAAAATATACAACTCGTTCAAGCTTTAGAAAACATCTACATTATACAGGTAAGATTACGATATTGAGATAACAAATTGAGACCGATCATGAGCTTCATATTTTTTTCAGTCGTAAGACTACATAAACCCAGTTCTCAGGCCCAAACTAGAATACACCGGCGCAGTTAAGCGACAGATAATCTAGTAGACACGGTGGGGAGGAGACATGGAAGCCTTGATGACAAGACTGCCAACGTTCTGCCAGCCCTTCTTGAGGAGGGAGACGAGGTAGTTGATGGCGAGCATGAGGTTGGCAACGAGGGCCTCCTTCTCCATCTCGACGTTACCGATGGCAACACCGAGGCACAGAACCTTCTTGAGCTGGAACTTGATGGTGGACTTGACGTCGGTGACCTTGGCGGCCATGTCCTCAGCGTGGGAAACGGGGGTAGGGAACTTTCCGGCCTTGGAGAGACCGGGACCGAGGAGACGGGGAATCTGCTTGATCAGACCCTCGGAAGCAAGGAAGGCATCGTACTTGCGAGCAAGCTTCTTGATGAGCTTCTTGTTCTTGTTGAGCTTCTTGAGATCGTCAACGGACATGGCATCGATGCTGTGGTGCTTAGCACGGTCAAGATCGTGCTGGTCACCAAGAATACTGTAGATTTCATCTGTTAGCTTCTGTGTTCAATTGACATGCAGATATCCTTCGCGGCTGAGCATCGTGGACGGATGTAAAATTTTGCGCGGGGCGGATTGTCGAGGGGAAACGCACCAGATGGCCATGTTGGGGCGGGGGACGGTGGGCAGCTTGATGGTGCCAGAGAAACGCTTATCACGCTGGGGATCGTAGTTCTTCAGGCCGATCTGAAGCTCAACGGTCTCGTTGAAGTTACGCTTCTTCTCATTGAGAGAGTAGTTGAGAAGGTTCTCGACATTCTGGCGCACTCCGGCTGTAAGAGACAAGAGCAGTTAGTGGTATGATCATCTAGGTGAGAGCATGAGGTGAAACGAACCGACTGTGATCTTGGACATGATTGCTACAGTCTTCCAAAAGAAGTTGAAATTCTTATGGTATGGCTCTGCGCTGAATGCTTGAGAAAAGAAAATGTCGAGGGCCGTGAATTTCTCCGCTTGTGGGTGTGGACTAGCGCTAGTCTAGATTAGGATTAGCGGTGCCCTAGATTTTCTTGCTGACTTATTTTATGGCCTGAGGCATTAACATGAAACAATCCTCCTAAATCTTAGAAAGACGTACATACATACGCTGTATGATTGAGGATAATGTTTATGGTTGCTTGAGATTATTCTTGGTTAGATCAATCTCATCAAGGCTGTCAAAAAGAACCTAGTAGCGCAACATTTCGCAGCGTCATCACGTTAACAGATCAATACGTCCACAGATACTTCACAATACCAATCATCGCATGAAACAACTGCCAGCTCGGTTTGAATCACAATATCGGTAGCCCTGCGACCTCTCATTATTGCTCGGCCGCCTCAACATTGCTGCTGCTTCGAGTATCAGCCGAGCCTTGGCCTATTACGCTTTTCCCGCTACTACATTGGGCAAAATGCTTGTCCACACTCTCAGCAGGAATGATCTCAAACATTAGATGAAACCTGGTGCTTGCAAGTTAATGGAGCATCGATCATGATTGTTCAGACACGCACGAAACGAAAAGTCGACGATGAGATCTGGACTGATACCAAGTTGGTGATTTCCCTTAGAAATAAGTATCAAAGTGATAACTAATAACTATAGACAGCAAAGCGCTTATGTCTCAGAGTTGAAAGCTACCTCGATTTATGTAGGTTCATTGCAGGATGTAAAATATCAAAGCATCGACCAGATCGCCCCGCCATATGGCCGACCCGCTTATATTGTATCGATCATTACTTTATTGTATATTCTATGGCATTGTTTATGAAAGTAAATTTATCATTCCATTAATAGTATTGTGTGGAGATGGTCAGAACTTTGATGTCATGTGTCCTTGCATTATTTTGCCTGGGCATATCTCCGATCTACTCAGCCACGAGCACGAGTCCATATTAGCCAGGTGCATAATAGTCCAGCTGAGCTGAATACAGTCATTTTCACAAGGCGCCCAATATTGCATTAATCATTTGATTCATGTATACTCACCTAGAAAGATCTTCAAGACTCATCATTACCACCTTCTGACCACGGCACAATATATATCGAACAGTCCCGATAACCGACAAATACACAAGCTTTTCCCAAGTAGACGGGCATATAACACCGCAACACCACAAGATGGTCACATAGCGATATATTTTAGGACATATTCCGACAGGGTGAAACGAACTCGACATGGTCTGCGGGGGTTGCAGATGATCGCAGCGCTTAAACGTGACCGGCGGCACCTGGGCGTCAGCCTCAGATGACTGGTCACCCTCTGCCCGCTGCCTTCAATTTAATCGAGGCCCCGGAGATTATTTGAACTTGACTTTCTGCTTATTTTCCCGTATACTCTGGGGGTTACGTTTGGTTATAAGGTTGTTTGTTTAGTTGCTTGACACCCGATACCCCCTCCTGACTTGACGGTTGATCGTTCGATTATTGGCTATTGATTTTGTGGCTTATTTACAAGACTTTCCCTCCAAATCCAGTGTCTGGCAAAGTGTGCTTTGCTTCATCATGTCCTATACAACAGACTCGCACGAGTCAACCGCGCCTCACGATTACTACTCAAGTCTTGACGATGATGGCTCACTTGTGGGAAAATTTGAGAGTATCGATGATAAGACGCAGTTTTACACTGCTATGCGCCGCCTTGAGGATCCTCTGACCCAAAATTTTGTGCTTGATTTCGGGAACGAAGAGGCATGGTGTGCATCTGATCTGGGCACCGACGAACTGAAACAATTGCTGAGCAAGCCGGTAAGCCTTTTTCTCACATTCAACTAGATTGATTGTTGCATCTATCCAATATTCAAGATCTGACATGGTACAGAGAGACAAGTGTTTCGGTACACGTTGGATGCAAGAACTACGTTCTCAAATTTAGTTGAGTGTATACTGATATCGCATAGTAATATATGGGCACCAGAGGAGCAGAAGGAAAGCATAAGGGTAGGATTTTCAACTTCATTCGCATATGAGCAGTAATGACTGACTATGCATTTCTAGGCGATTACCAAACACTATGGGGTGTCTGAACGACTACAGAGCATGATGTGCACGGAGCCAGCGCATCCTACACCCAAGCCTACACCTACACCAGTACCAACCAAAAGGTCTTCGCAAGCGCCCAGCATTGCGCCCTCGTTCGTACACGAAGTGGATGACCCGGAGAATGCACTCAAGCATCTCGCCGATCCGAATAAATCCCGCGAGTCGGCGTCATTCAAGAATCTCACCTTTTCACAAGTCACAGATCAAATCTGGCACTTCTCTTCTGTGGATCATGGCCCTCGATGTAAGTATACCACATCAAACTTGAGTCGGCATAAATATTAAACGATCCATCAGATACATGTATCGGATATAATACGTTGTTTGTGATTCCCACACTATCACAGCCAAATGGCAAAGATCTCCCGGATGGAAAACGGCTTTGGACCTGGCTGATCCAGTGCGATGATGGTATGAGCTGCAGGGCAACACCCCATTTCCCGGGTCTGGAGTACAGCCGCTGACTTTGCAGGCACGATAATCTCAATCCAAGAGAACCCGTTCCCAAGACGAAAGGCAGTGCCGATAGAAGAAGCCAAGCCAGTATTGGATATCGTGCGCAGGAACATCCGATTTATTTTCGCCGGCGTCTCCAGACAGCACTTTGCCATGTCCGAGAGCGAGTCGCTAATCACCATCCGGGTGCGACATTTCAGTGACCTCGGACCGGATCAAGCCAATATCAAGCAGGAGGATGGACCGAGTTTGCTCTTCTACTATATCTTCGATGACTGGGTGTCGAGTTATGGACTTATCGCAAAGCGAGAACACAAATATGGTGTTGCCTTGGAGGAATTGGTTAGTATCATCCTTGTGGTACGTTTGATGTGTTTTGATGATGGCTAACTCCGCACAGAGAGGGCAAATGCTCGATCGTCCGATAGTGGATTTGGTGAATGAGTTGCACTGGCTGGGTCGGCGACTCGCAGTTCTCAAACGATTGTATCAGAGTTATGAGCTTATCATGCGGCGACTATTGCAACGACAACGGATGCTCCGTGACGAGGCGCGTTCGGCCCAACCAGCCCCTCTAACGTATGGAGCCACGTTTGGCGATATGGAGTATGTAGATATGCGGCAGTCGAGCGTTGTGAGCAATACCGGTTATCATAACCCCAATGAGAAATCGGTCGGGGTGCAGCTGAGCTCGACGGCTGTGGCGCGCTTCGAACGGTTGGTTGATCGTATCAATTTGTATTGTCTGAGCGAGATTGAGAACTGTCTCAATGAGAAAGAGTCCTTGACGTTCCTGGTGGGTATCCCGGTCTTTCTTCGGAGAACATCGCTGACGTGGCCTAGAATTTCAACTTGATTGCACTCAAGGACTCGCAGGCTGTTGAGAAGCTCACTCGGATCACTATCCTGTTAGCGAAGGCGACGATTTTGTTCTTGCCGGTTAGCTTGATGAGTGCATACTTCTCGACGGAACTGATTGGCGTGAAGAATGGGTATACCAAGACGGATTATTGGGTCAGTTTCGCTGTTATCTTTATCGCATCCATCTTGCTCTTGACCGTTTTCGGTTATGCTAGCGATACCATGGAAGGTAAGACAATTTATCGGTCCATGATACGAACGTTCTTCAGAAATTCTCGAGAGAAAATGTCACGACGTCGACAATAAGAGAAATTGCCAATGGGGGAAATGTGGACCAAAGAGCAAAAAGGGTTCCAGAGGACGATAAGTGTCGAGCCTATCAGACATTGTGGGACCTGGGTCTAAGCCTGGGGGGCGACCTGTGGTATTTCACTTACGGGACCAACACGGTGTCCTCTTCCACCAAATACACATATGTATACTTTCTTATAGTTCATATAGGCAGAACTATTCTAGTCAGGCCATATATACTTGATAGAATTTGTAGAATCATAAGTTTTCTTTTCTAATCTCTCAGCCTCATTTTCTTAACGGTGTTGCGTGCTCTTCAGTAAACAGCTGACGAAGACTACCCACCGCCAACGGTCAGCGTATTTCTGCGTATTCAAAACGAAACCAAATTTCCCCTTCTGACTTCTCTCATATTCCCCTGAACTTGCATCTCATTACTTTCTTAAACCAACTTATACCTTTTTCTGCCGGTAAGTGGTTGATCCGGTTTCTTAACTGGTTGGACTTGCCCCCCCCTGGATCTCTGACCGACAAGTCCACAACACGTTTTCCAACCCCTCCGCTTTTCCCCTTTCACCATCCCCTCGATATCTCTCTGACCTATCCACCCTTCCCAGGATCCGAGGGTTATCTCGCTACCGACAATATGGGTATTACTTTCTCGCGGTTGTTTGACCGACTATGGGGTCGCAAGGAGATGCGCATCCTGATGGTCGGTCTTGATGCCGCTGGTAAGACCACCATCCTGTACAAGCTGAAGCTCGGTGAAATCGTCACCACCATTCCCACGATTGGTTAGTCCGCCTCCCCGAACTCCATCTATCGGCGACACCGTGATGCGCTCTTCGCAATTTCATAAGCCGTGATGTTATCTCCGGAAACTGACTCCTGCAGGATTCAACGTCGAGACTGTCGAATACAAGAACATTCAGTTCACCGTGTGGGATGTCGGTGGTCAGGATAAGATTCGTCCTCTGTGGCGCCACTACTTCCAGAACACCCAGGGTATCATCTTCGTGGTTGACAGCAACGATCGCGATCGTATCGTTGAGGCCCGTGAGGAGTTGCAGCGCATGTTGAACGAGGATGAGCTCCGCGATGCTATGCTCCTGGTGTTCGCCAACAAGCAGGATCTGCCCGTAAGAACCCTTTTGGATCGAGAATGGTATTTACTAGGAAATGGCATGCTGACCTCCCCCGCTTTTGTCTAGAACGCCATGAGCCCCGCCGAGATCACGCAGCAGCTTGGTCTTCAGAGCCTTACCCGTCGTGCTTGGGTAAGTGATACATCCTTGAATGTATTTTACAGGTTCACTAACCGATCTAGTTCATCCAATCTACCTGCGCCACCACTGGTGACGGTCTGTACGAAGGTCTGGAGTGGCTCGCCGATGCGCTCCGGAAAACCAACCGCGATTAAGGTCTATAATGCGAATTCGAATCGGACGTGTAGCTGGGTGAAGGAGAATACCGAAATCTGCAAATGATGGATTGATGATGACGATGGCGGGGAGTTCTTTGGCCACACATGACATTGATCTCTGCAAGGAAAGGGGTTCTGCAACTGGTTCGCTACTTCTTTTGTTCTCTCTTCAAACGGCTCTTTTTCCTCTACGCTATGCTATTAGCCTCATTTGTTTTTCTTCTCTTTGGCATCGCCACTCCCAAAATTGCTTCTCTGCCTTGGAACCCCCAGAGATCTGTATCACTCAATTGTAAAATCTCAGAATCTCAAATTGGGAAAGGAGAGAGAGAATAAGAAAGGAACAAATGAGCAGAAATTCGAACTTTCTATCCGTTTTCTATCTATTTTCCTACTGTTTTCATATGGACTGTTTTCCTATGGCCGCATTAGGAGACCTGTAGGGCTGAGTCGGGTTGAGTAGATTTCAGTCCGGGCTGGTCATCACGTGACTATATACACTATTTTGGCAGCCATTCCAAGGTGGTTTTAGTTTTGGTTAAGCCAATTAAGATCATTTTGCCAACTGTTCCTTTGAACGAACAAGAAAGAAATTCAATAGATAAGCTGTTCTAAGGTGCCATAAGGCATGTAAAGTGTAACCTCTCAGAGCATGTGACAATTACATCTACATAGTGTAGTGGGGAGTGTGCAAATAGTGTTTCTCTATTAGAAACTAGCAAATTATAAACAAAATAAAAACAAAAACAAACAAAGGGTATCGAGGAAACAGATTGCCTTGTAGACCAGCAGAACTTGCAGGTAGATCTCCGACAAAGACTCCACAAAGGCATAGTTACCAGTTTTCGCATGCTATTCTTCACATGGGACATGACATAACTTCCCAGCTCCCTATGCATGATAGGTTTTTCCTCTTCGTCAAGGTCTCCATATGTATCTTCTAGCGCACTTCCATTGCAGACGACTTCCATATACAGTGAGCAATCCTCATGGTTGGTACCGATGCACACGAGAAAGCCTCCGAGCTTGAGGAGCATGGCGTTCAAGATCATTCGACACATCCGGCCATTGCCGTCGAGGAAAGGATGAATGTTGACAAAGATATGGGTGTATTTGGAGGCAATGGCAACAGGATCAATTGTGCTTTTGCTTAGGGCTTGCTTGAGATCGGACTCAAGCTCACAGATCATTGCCTTCATCTTGGAAGGCACGACACTGTGGTGGGGAAATTGATGGAACCCGGCACTGACCTCTTCCTTTCTGTACATGCCACTGTACTCCTGCCATGGTGTACCTGCCGTGTTGATTTGATATGTCAGAATTTTGTGTGTTTGCAGGATAATTTCCTCGCTGAGATCTTGGTCATTATTGCACAGCTGACCAATGATGTAGTGGGCAGCCTTGGCATGTTGTATAATCTCATAGCGGCTGCGCAAAACTGCAGAGGTGTTTGAGGGGAGGTTCTCCCGTAGGAGCTTCTTTTTCAATTCCAAGAACTCTTCGTCGGTCTCACCGATGTCGTCCGGAAGGTCATCTCCACGAAAGATTGCAATGCATAATTTGAGCGTGATGTTCAAACCATTGCCAGCTCGTTCAATAACATTGGACCCATAAACCATACTAGCCAAACAGTGGAGAATATGGTCCTCGAAAGCAGCCTCTTGACCCGCGGTGAGCTTCTTGTCAAGAATCCCGGCCAGTTGGTTTGACAGCAGAATAATTTCCGGAAAGATGGTGTCAGGGTCGAAGTCGTTGCAGCCAATCTTATAGTGATAGGCGTCGTCCATAGAAACTGTAAATTGTGCCTTTTTGCCATTGATGCTTTGTGGCGTAATTGTTCCGTGACCAATGTGAAGAGTCGATTGCATGTATTTGCGAAGATTTTTTGCAAGGTTAATCTTGGTAGATGGGTGTTTCTTTTGAGAGGCAGAGATAGGCGTTTCAATCGGAAGTCCTTCAAAAACTTCGAAGAGACTAGCCCGTTTGTGTTTGTTTGGTGAAGTCATATTGATTTTGGCAAACGAAGTGAAAGAAAAGTGAGGTGAAGTTCTGCACAAAAGCAGTCGAGATCTTATCAAGATCTGAGCAGAAAGGAATAGCTTGACTCATTGAGGACAAAGTGTTGAAGGCAAGTAGGAAGAATAAGATGTTCAAGAACGGGATGGTAGATTAATCACGATAGTTGAAAGAAGACAAAAAGAGATAGTAGATTAATTAGGGTGTTTGTAAGAAGAAAAAAAGAATTGAGAAGTGAGAAGTGAGGGTGGAAGTATAAGTCTGGTCAACATGTGCAGGTAAACGGGCAAACAGTTCCATAGATTGATGTTCCAAATTAGGCCTAGTAATTTTTCGGCCTCTACCCGCTTCTAAATAGGCCTGTACCTCCCCGAGTACGAAAATGGAGATACTAATAGGTACATGGGAAGTGCTAGTATTTACGCTAGGCACCAGAGTATAGGCACCAGCGTCGCAAAATACGCCTTAAGGCCTAGATAAAAAGGTATCCATTTTGACAACGGTTGCGATCTTTGCAAAGCTCTCAAATCCCAATGCCGGTCCTGCTTATTTCACAATTGTTTCTTGTCAGAAGGGACTATGATGAAGTGCATGGTACAAAGTGAGATTGATTGAATGGTTGCAGAAGCTAAGTTCTATTCTGATATCTCCACACGCAAGTTAATAAGTAACTCTGATTTCATATTTGAGCCTACACTATCTACTCGAGGGAGTGAAGAATATGGTTCTGTCAAGTTTTTAGTCTAGCACTCAGCACTTAGCTTTAACAACCACTCAATCAATCTCACTTTGTACCATGCACTTCATCATAGTCGTAGCTTCGTATTTGTAGAAAAATCAACTCTTCTTCTCTCCTCTCCTCGCTCTATCAATAGTAAAGCGGATCTCGACTCGGCGCAGAGCAGCAACTATCCATGGATGATTGCTTAGATTGCATCGAATAGATTTGGTTGGAGAAGCTGGGCGATGATGAGCAGAAAGTATGAACACAGTCAAAATAAGGTTGTGACCAAAGCTTAACCTTCCAAGAATAGTCACCTATGCTCTTTCAGGTCTTTTTAATGGTCTTCTTGGTGGTCTTCTCAGATATTGATATTAGCAAGACGCTGGCTAGCTATGGCGTTGACTCGCTCACCTGGGCATCGCCGTCGAGTTACGTAACATACTGGTCTTAAAGGTCGCTGCCGACGTTTCTATCTTCATAGGCCATGTAAGCACTACCTATGTATGGATATATCCATGGATGATACACTAGACAAGGGATCTCAGGAAATTGCGTCTTCGCGTAGGCGCTGGAATTGATGTCCCGCGAGCTTAAGTGCGACAAAGTTGACGCCGAAAATACCCCGTGGATGGAATACAGTGGCGTCTATCGATCACACGAAGTTATGCGGGCCTGCATGCATTCCTCCATCCCTCCCTCGTGCCATCCAGAATGAAGTCCATGTTCCGATTCTCAACTCGATGTTGCTGAAGTTTGGGACATTCATTGTATTCCAAGGGGCAGATGGACCTGACCAGTCAATCTATGAGGCAATCGCCGTCAATGGAGGAGCGCTGAAAGATTTGTATGGAGACGCCGAGGAAGAGGAAAAGCCCAAGTTGTACACCCAAGTTGTACAAAGAACTAGCCCGTTACGTTCTGGCTCATGCGAAGAAGGGTATGGACGATTTGATCAGTGCCGTGCAATGAATTTTACATAGGGAATGGACATATTGCAAAGCCCGATATAAACCTATAAAAAGCCTAGTAGAAAAAATAAATTAAGAAAAAAAAACAAGAATCTCCGCTAGGGCTTGGACCAAGTCCATTTGAGGATGCAACTGCGTAATCCCTTTCTTGGACAACGCCAACAGTCTTGGCACCAAAATACCGGCACTTTGGCCTTGTTTATCCTTTGTTTTGCATGTTATTATTGTCTTTTTAGGCTGTTTTTGATATTCGGACAGTTGTATTCTCTGTTTACCTCTTTTATTTTACCTCTATTAAGTGACACAAGCCTAAGCGCCCCCCCCATTGCCTGGCCGACGATCAACACACAGTCGCGTGCCTCTCCCTCCCTCCAACAACCACCCCTGATTTGGGCAATATTGGATCGATTTTCTTCATTTCACTTTATTAGATAGATGGGCGATTGAGTGATTTCGGACCACAGTCATTCAATGTTGATATCTTGTCTGACATCATGACCGTCCAGGCGAGGAGGCACTCCGCAGCGTATAAGCCTCCATCACCTTATAATTCACGAGATACAGACGTCGAAAAACAACCTACCACCGGCCGTCACACATACCACCACCACCAAAGCGATGACCCCGATTCCGATGACGAGTCGCTGGACGATAATAATGTCGCGGAATCCTACCCGCCGCCCCTCGTAGCTGGCGGCAGTCTTCGCCGCCCCCAAGCTAGCGTCGGCTTTCGTGTGCCCCAACGGATCATGCGCTGGCTCTGCTTCGCCCTTTTCGCTACCCTCGTCCTCTTCATCTTCACCCTCTTCCGATTTACACTCTCCAGCTCCGCTTCAACAGTCGCAGTCGATCTGCCCAAAGTCGGCGGCACACCGAAGCCACCACAATGGGAGAGCTTCCCGTTCCTCAATCGCTATCAGGGCGGTATCTCTTCCTTGGTTCCACGTCCTGATAATGTCCCCGAATACCCCGGTGATGGCTCCGAGGACATGGGTATGGGGACGGAACAAAGCGACGAGAAGAAGGAGCAGGAGCAGGACGCCAAGAAGGTGTCTAAGAGGGATTTGGCCCCAAACATGTTGAGCAATGTGTTCAACCCTTACCCTGACTACCACTCGCCGGAATACATCGGGAAACACGGCGAAAAGCGCGAGTGCTTCCTCAATGCCGAGAACACGCTACGGGTTCCGTCTCTCCAAAGCTACCCCGGAGTTCCAAAGGGCTTCCCGGACCCAGCGCTAGGCTCGAATACAATGTTGGGTATTCGCGACGACATGTGCTTCGATCGATTTGGCCGATTGGGCCCATACGGGCTGGGATACGGGGTCAAGAAGGGCGGCACAGGCGCGGGCATGGACGGTCATCGTGACGGTGCCGACCGTGTGTGGGAGGATGTCCCGCCAGTGGATTTCCGACAGGTGGATTGGGCTGCTGCGCAACACCGCTGTCACGCGGCCAACCGCCATCGCTTCAATGAGCTGCCGGAGCCGCGTCTCAATCGCTTTGTTTCTATGCCAATGGGTATTCCCAAGGTGAACATCCCACCACCTGCGGAAGATACCCGCAAGGAACCGCCCACGATTGGATCTGAGCGCCTTCCGCGGACTGCAGTGGTTATCCGCACATGGCACGACTTCAACTATACTCCGGAGGACATTATGTATATGCGCTCTGTCATTTCAGAGCTCTCGCTGATGTCCGGTGGCGAGTATACTATTCACTTCTTGGTCCATGTCAAGGATACCAACCTGCAGATCTGGTCTGATGACGAGACATACCAGCGTGTGCTTGATGAGGCGCTGCCAGAGGAGTTCCGCGGCATGGGAACTCTCTGGTCTGAGCCGCAGATGGCCCTGATGTATCCGGGATTGGAGGAGACCATGACTCGTGGTTTGCCAATCCACGGTGTCTACCGCAGCACGTACATGCCCATGCAGTACTTTGCTTTCCAGCATCCTGAGTACGATTACTTCTGGAACTGGGAGATGGATGCACGTTACACGGGTCACTGGTACCACCTCTTCGACAAGGTCGGCGAATGGGCGAAAAAGCAGCCGCGAAAGGGTCTCTGGGAACGTAACGCTCGCTTCTATGTCCCCTCAGTCCACGGCTCATGGGAAGACTTCCGACAGATGGTCCGCGTGCAGACCGAGAGTGGTACCAACTCGGCCAACAACATGTGGAGCGCCGTCAAGGGTGCGGGAGGCAGCGCGCGGAGCTCAATGCACCAGCAGGGCGACAAGTCCATCTGGGGCCCCGAGCGCCCCGACGAACGGGACATCTTCGAGGTCGAGGGTGAGGGAATCCCACCCACAAGCATGGATAAGGACCAGTACCAATGGGGCGTGGGTGAGGACGCCGACTTGGTCGTTTTCAATCCGCTCTACGACCCCGAGGGCACAACCTGGCTACTGCGCGATGATGTGACAGGCTACAACAAGGAGAAGGGTATGCCACCACGACGCACGGCAATCATCACCGCTTCGCGAATCTCCCGTAAACTGCTCACCACCATGCACCGCGAATGCAGTCTCAAGCGTCACAGCATGTTCTCGGAGATGTGGCCCGCGACCACCGCGCTGCACCACGGCTTCAAGGCTGTGTTCGTCCCGCACGCCGTCTACCTCGACCGCCGCTGGCCCACCCGTTATCTAGAATCAGTGTTCAATGCCGGTCGCAATGGAGCTTCTGGTGGCGCTCGTACGTCCATCTTCGGTGATCGTGAACACAATTTCCGCGGTACGACCTGGTTCTACTCTGCGGGCTTCTCGCCGAACCTCTGGCGCCGCTGGCTTGGTCTCCGTGTCGACAATGACGGCGGTGAGCAGCAGGAGCTGGCTGGCGAGGGCCGCATGTGTCTTCCTCCTATGCTATTGCATCCCGTCAAAGAAGTCAATATGATTATTGACGAGGGAGAGAAAGCAGAGGACCGCTGAAGAGAGCTATGAGTTCTCTCGGAATTGCTGCAACACGCATGCAAATCATTTGGACTTTCCTTCTACCTCTCTGCCATCTCCAGGATTCATGTACGCTTTGGGGTAGATGCTTATTTGTCATTGGTTCTCATAATTACTATATAATGCCCCCCTTCATTCCCCGGTGGCATAGTGTCCCCACGTTTTGGATTCCCGTTTCTTTCGCGAAAAAGGCGTTCCCATGGCCTGGATGGCCTGGCATTATGGCTCACGATGCATGGATTTTCCCTTCTAGTCTAGTCAAATAGAGGTTCGCTAGAGTGTGATCGTTTGCTTTGACTTGGGCCGGAGACTTCCAGCCTAAGAGGGCTATTTTGGTTATAAAAGTGTCCCTTGCACATAATTCCTTTTGGTTTTATTGTTGGTTCTATATTGTAGAACATGAAAATGCCGCTAAAAATACAAAAAATGCCATAAAAAATGCAACCCAACTCAACTATCCGGAAACAAAACCTCACTCAATTCCCAATCCCCTTCACCATTAGGAACACCCCCATCCCAACTCCCCCGTCCTTTGTTAGGCGAAACAACCTCGGGAAAATCCTGAATCAACGCCAACGGACTATTCGCCACAAACTCAGCAGGTATAAAACAAATACTACACTCATACTCCCCATCCCCATCAACCGAATATTCAAGACAAGTCCTACAAACCCGATGTCCACACTTCGTAAGCAAAACTTCAACAGTCTCCCCATCCTGCACACAAGTATGACAAAAATGCGTCGGGAATCTAATTATCGGCTCCTGAACCATGCGACGCTCAATCTCGGACGCAAGTTCCTTTCCCTTTTCGACGCGCGCACGCAGAAGTCCCGCTTTCATGCGGAGGGCGTCCATGGTGGTTTCATTGTAGGGGTTGTTGTTTGCATGTTTTGATGGGTTTGGGTTTGGGGAGGGTTTGTGCAGGATTGGGACTGGTTCGAGGAAGATTAGGGGGCGGAATCGGTCGGATAAGGCGCGGTCTTGCATGCATTTTTGTTCGAGGAGGCAGCGACGCTGGATTTGGTGGTTTAGTTGGTGTGTGTAGATTATTGTGAGGGTTTGCCAGGCGCGCCATTCGGAGATTGGGTCGAGGGGAGTGACGGTTGGGGGGGGACGGGGTGGTTTTGCTGGGTGACATTGTATTGGATGTGTTGTTTGGGATTTGATCAATGCATATGAGGATTCATGTAGTTGAGGTGTGTGGCGAAGATGTAGATTGAAGTATGTGGTATGTGTTCTTCACAGCCCTAACTTGGGTTTGGTTGGAATTGTAGATTTGATTGAAATGAGGCTGTTGAGATCTTTATATTCTTGGAGAGATAGGTAGTCGAGGATATGTTGAAATAAGGAAATAGGAATATATAAATGTTGAGATGTTTGAATCAGTAGAGAATCCAATGTTCCAGACAATCAACAGAAGATATCCACCCCCGGACCAAACTAAGCCTCGATCTACATGTAGTGATTGGCTAGATCATGGTTCTTTGCCTTATCCAAAGAGATCAAGAGTCCTATTCTCTGATTAAAGCCCCATTCTCGGTTACTATACCATGGATGTGCTGTACCATATCGGGGACCCCGGAAATCTGTTTTATTGTTGAAGGGAATGGGGGAAGCCTTGGTAGAGATAGATTAGAGATAAATTAGAGGTAGATCGAAACCGAAGAAAGTGTGAAAAGGTTCTAGATGGCTGGGAGACCAATATTCGCCATTGCAATCTCATTCTGATAGGTGACGATTACATTGGGTCTAGAACCTCACTGTGGATATTCCCTAGTTCACTTCTATCTAGATCACAATTTATCTTACAATTAAAGATTTGACAGCCCTATTCTAAGCTTTTGATCCACTATGGTCTATTGTGCTGCCGCCCTATATTCCTAATCTCCCATCCGTCCGTGGCTCATCCCCGGACACTCAAATATCTCATATCGGGTCTATCAATCTCTTACGTAGTAATAGGAATTCCCTTTGCTTCTTACACCAATATTATCATCCAAATCATCCTCAACACATTCCCAGGACAAGATGGAAACTCCCTTGAAATGAAAAGTGTACAGATATTCGACTCCAGAACCCAAATCAATGCCCTTGGCGGATATCACATACTCCCCAGGAATAGTCTCCCCATCGATTTCCTCTCCGCGGAGAGGCGTCAACTCCCAAACTTGGGTAAGTTGATCAGCTGACAGCTTATCGGTCAAGCCCGATGACCAGATCTCAATTCGGGAAGTGGCAATATCAAATCCCGCTTCTGCTAAACGCATGAACCGGGTATTGTCTTGTATAGGCTGTTCCCGCCCGGTCGAGTCCACATATGTCTCCACAAAGACATACTCCCTGTCATACACCGGGCTAGTGGGGTACCGCGGGTAAAAAGCTAGAGTCCCAGATGTTTCGCGTCTGGTACCACCTGCTGTTTGCTTGGAAAACTTCCAAGTCCCATGCAGAGCCCGAAATATAGCCAACGCTGCGGCCTTCTGTGCTACCTCGTGATTGGGGACAAGAGCGTCGCGCAAAGCACTCAGTGTCCTCTCCACCTCAGTGTCTGTTGGAATATCGCCATAGAGATACCTCGCTGGAACAGCAGGTCCAGACCTGTTGTCGCCTGTTTGCAATCCCGAACGACTAATATCCAGATCCATGGCAAACGACTCCATCAATCCGACATAGTCGGCCATGGGGAACTGACCACGGGCTAGATCCGGGTGTGCCAATCTGAGACTGCGAAGGCTTTGCTTCTGGTCATCTGTTTCGCAGATCGCACTGTTGTTCTCCCCACTCCATAGTTTTCCGAGGAACCGCGCTTGCATCTCCATCACGCCCCAGTACGGGCCGCGGTAGAAGCCGACGAATCCGACATCGGGGATTTCAGAGCGGACGGTGCCTCCCTTGTCGAGAATCAACGGCGAGAAGGGATCTGTCTTGGAGTATTCAAGGGTCGCCAACACTTCATCCGGTAGCAAGGAAAGGGACTTGTATGGTGTGAATCCAGTGGCCATGATTATCGCTGCCACATTCTCTATCGTCTTGGTGGCACCATCGGGCCCTTCGTACTGAACTGAAGCTTGTTTAGTATCCGGATCAGAATGTATAGAAGTCACCCGGCCCATCGATGTTTGAATCGCTCCACATCGGACGAACTCGGCGTAATCATTGCCTATGGCGACCCATGGTGGCTGGGGTCTGGACTGTTCGGGGTCAAGCGGTATGTGCATGTGCGCGTATTTCTCATAGTCACTGCCAAGCAAGGAGTGGAAGTAACTGCTCATTTTGACCGCTCTTTCCTCTGGGATCGGACCCAAGGTGTATTCTATTGGACCCGGCGGTCGGCGGCCCAGGTCATACATGGCCAGGTCCAACGGTAAAAACGATGGACTCCCGTCGGGAGACTCGTGGGGGAGATAAGTCGGTAACGTCCAGAAGGGTCTTGAATGTACATGATGCACTTTCCTCTCTTGGGTATGTGGGATTCCGTTTGTGGAAAGTGCAGATGAGGATTGGTGGAGAGCCACGGCAGATGCAGCTTCGACGCCTGACATGCTGCCGCCAATGACAACAACCCGACCATTCGCATCTTTGTTATTAAAAAGCAGCTGCTCTCGTTCATGATGGAGCGAAGAGCTGTGGATGATTTGGCCTTGGAATTGGTCTAGACCAGGTATATTTGGAATATACTGCTGGGCAAAGTATCCGGATGCAATGACAATCAGGTCGAAGTCTTCCGAGGACACTCCATCATCCAGTAATTCTTCCGGATGAGTTTTCTCCGCACTGTATATGGCTGTGAGTCAACATCCAGCTCGAGTCCAGCAATACACGAGTAAATTCCAATATACCTCTTCTGAACCCACTGAACATTCCATTTCACATCACCACCCTCAACCTTCCGTATAATTCTTATCACTTTACACCCCAGCCTAAGCACATGGGTTGGAACATAGCGCTCTGCATAACAGGCCAAGTACTCTCCAACCTGTGTCGCCCGAGGGAAAACCGGAATATCCGAGTCGGGAATCACAGACTCCCAGGCAAGATCTGAAAAAGCAACCGTGAAGCGGCTGAGGTTGGTCCGCATTCGAGGGTCTAGTGTAACCGGGGGGCCATTGACCCGATTGGGCGAAGGATGGTTTGACCACAGACCCCCGACTTTGTTCTGGCTGTCGAAGATGATTGGAGAGAATGACCCGGGTGGGAAATTATGAAGCAGGGTTTTGGCTGTGACTAGACCTGAGGGACCGGCGCCTGTGGGTGTTAATGTAACTCGAATATACCTGTAGAACTGTGCCGGGGGGTTTCTCGACTCACCGATTATTGCTACTTTTTTGGACATCTTGGTAGGTTTCCAATATAGAACTTAAGGCGTTTGTTGACTTTCAATATAAAATTAATAGGCAGATTCGCTAGACTTACCCCGCTTATATCCACTTGGGAAACAGCTCGGGTCTCTTTCTATTTTTATATTTCCGAACGTACATGGGATATTTTGAATACGATGTATCTTATACAGCAATTACAAGTTACAATATAATAAACATGGACTTGGGTTAACCTCTGTTATACCCAACACTTTAATTAGACATTATACATCAAGGTACTTCATTATGTACATTCCAAAGTCCAAAAGGAGAATACTTTCAACACAGCAAATGATGTGAACGCCAAGCATAACCCCCAGCAACCAGGGCGTGGATTTCCCCCATGGAGCAATCACGGCCGATCAATCTCCCCCGAAGTTCACTTTAGTGCGAGCATTGACTTTCTCGTATTGGCCGGACATACTGAAGTGCGGGGGAAAGAAGTCGAGAAAAGTTCGAGAAAAGGCCTAACGCAACTCTGTCGCATTGACATTCACATCCTCGTCCTCGTGCCTCCCATATGGGTTTGTGTAATGGGTACATTCATCCCGAGACTTGGCGTAACCATTCAGTGACTTGGATCTCTGGCGAGTTTAGATTAGGTCGGTAGGCTTCGTTGCACTCTTGTTCTGTGACAAAAGTGTCGACGTTTCTCCGAGTCAAGGGGATTTTGTATTGGTTCTTTTTTCGGAGGAGTTCTTTTTCCGCGAAGGCGGATGGCGAGAGTTTGGATAGGGTGTTTCGAAGTCGTTTGATGCCACCGGGGACAGAGCGTGAAACTTGAGGGGGACCGAATGGATTGTCGGTTCTCCATGAATCTTGAGAGGTCTCGGGTTGGAGATGCTTCCGTGGAGACAGTGTTCGCGACATTGTGGGTTGGATATTCGCAGCATCAGAGGTGGTTTTAAGTGTTTTAGAAGAGAGGAATCGGATTTGATGAAGATTATAAAGTAATTGGCTGGGTATCCATATCTTGTATCTAATTCCGCGGACCCACGGGGTTGTACCCTTTTGTCGATTATCATTGGACCTTTTTAGTTCAACCCGCTATACTTCCCCCAACTTTTCATGGATCAGATTCTTACTGGGTGCATGTATAGAGCCTAGGCTGATCATTGCTGGGGCTCACCGGTTGGGATTCGAAGGATTTTCCACTTCACCAGTGGCCAAAAGCGAAAAAAAGAAGACTACGTCATACCGGGAAGGAGATGCCGATCGAGTCATGGCGGGTCTTGGCCTTCAACTGGCCAATAAATATCATTTTGACTAAAAGACTGTTCTTTGGGACGAATAAGAAAAAAGAAGTCAATAGATAAGCCATTTTAGGTTGCCATAAGGCGTGGAAAGTATATAAGCATGTGACAGTTATATCTATACATCTATCTCTGTATATTTGTATAGGAATCCAGGTTCAATTCCCTTTAATAAGTAAACCGGAAACTAGGATGATCATCCCCAGCATTCTCCAGCTCCTCTTTAGGCCAATGATACCGATGATCCCTCTTACCCTGCTCCCGCAGACGATTTTCACGGTATACATATCCAAAGAAGATCATACACGCCACACCACCAATCCAAATCATCCCTAGACTGACACCGAACCCAGTTGCATACGTTGGTGCTTCCGAATTAAAGAAAACATTACTAGCAACCAGACCGCCACAATTACCAAAGCCGATCTGCATAGCTGAGGCGATCGATTGCTTGTAGTGCCCAGCCATGTTGTTACTCACCCAACCCAACAAGATCGGCTGCGTCATATATCCTCCGCCTGTGATTGCGTATAGGGCGAAGTATCGGGCACCGACTGGCACCGACTCTTGACAGATGAGAATAACGTATCCAATGGTGGCGATGACACAGCCTGCCAATGTGAAGGCGAAGCGATGGCGGAGTCGGTCGCTGGCGAAGGCTGTGGCTAGTGCGATTGCTGTTGCGACGATATAGATTGGGATACTCATCACTTGGGCTCGGACGGATGTCCAGCCGAGTTGTCGGAGGATGGTCGGAGTGAAGAAGGAGGTTGCATAGCCTGTATTCACAATTCCAAAGTACATAATAGCACTAAAAGTGATTCATTGTCAGTGGAAAGGTTTGATGGAGTAAAGGCACAAAATCTTACCCAAGATAGATTTTGACATCTGAGAATGTGCGCTTGATTGCTGGCTTGTCGAATCGATTCATTTGCGCTTCACCGCGGTCTTCTGATAGACGTCGAAGCAACAAAGTACGCTCTTCGTCATTCAGGAAAGTAGACGTTTCCGGCCAATCGACGATGAGGAATTTGGCAGCAATTCCAGTGAATACTGTAAGTAGACCTTCGATGATGAAGATCCAGCGCCAGCCGCTGTATCCTCCGACACCATCCATCTGGGCTATTCCATAGGCGAGAAGCTAAGAGTGGTTCAGTATAGAATCAACTTTTTACTCATCACGGCAATACATACTCCACTGACTGCACCAGCCATAATACTAGCGCTGAAGAAAATATTGAATCGCCATTGCAACTCATGGCGCTTATAGTACATCGCAATCAAGTAGATGCAGCCTGCTAATGTTAGCACTAGTGTTACCAAGGGACAGGGCTATCCAACCTGGCATCAATCCAGCTTCAAACAAACCCAGCAAGAATCGACATGCAACGAGGGCCCCGAAGCTCTTTACGACACCTTGGCATGTTGTAACAATACCTAATATCATCAAGGTCAGTCCCAGTACCTTCATCTACATCGGTTGAAACATACCCCAACAGAACATAATCCCGCTCAACCACCAAGATGGTGATACCTTTTTCAAGAAAAGATTGCTAGGAACCTCGAAAAGAATATAGGGAATGAAAAAAATAAATAAGGCGATATTGTAATCATGTCCCGTCATGCCCAAGTCCTTTTCAAGACCCTGCAGTCGCGCATTACCGATATTAATACGATCAAGGAAAGCGAGTAGAAATAAGAACATGAGAATGGGAACGACATGGAGGTCGAGTTTTCTCAGAAGTCGTTTCTCTGCCGCTGGATCTATGTCTGGCATGGAAACCGTAGACTTGACATCCTCGACCATCTCATGGTGTATTTTTTCCGAGTCCATTGGGGATATTCCAAGTACTGATAGGCCTGAAATTGATACAAGCGGCCACCAGAATGATTCAAAGATATGATGGTGAACAAGCTCGTTTTAAATATATTTGGTGATATGTATCGTATAGTGTCGAGCTGGGGAAAATCCGGGGCCCCGCACTATGGCATTGTGTTGATTCATTCCGCATTCTTTGATCGCCGTCGGTATGTTGTTCCGCCCCCAGGGATGCCAAGCATGCACGGTTTGGCGCCTAGATTGGTGCCCATCTTGGTATATAGGCTTGGCTTGGGTTACACCGAGTATTTGGAATGGTTGTTGAGGGCTGTGCGCTTGCGAACCTCTTCACCGGGTTAGAGAGGTCTAGACCGAGCTCTTGATGTTGCATATATTCAACGGCCCTACTCCGAGAGCGGGGTATTCTTCTATCAGGATTTGAAGTATCGAAATGTCAAGTTATGGCTAGTGAAGCCGATCCTATTTATGGCGGAATGGTACCGGAATGATACCGCATGTTGCCGTGCAGGCTCCTCCGAATACGGACAGCTCAATGGTTGGAATAACCGATATAAGTATAGCCGAATATTGAATTCAAATGCTAACAGTTGACTAGAATATGAAATTATCATGTTATTATATGCTGTTGAACATCATGCTCCCACATTCTTGCGAATAGCTGGATCCAATGGGAACGTCTGCTTATCCTCTGGAAGATCATCGTAGACTATATCCCACCGGTCCTGGAGTTTCTCGGGTGTTTCCCATGCGTTTTCAGGGTCTCGCAGCCAAAGTCTCAACAAATGACGCCTAACACAACCACACCGTCAGCATCTTCATAAAGCGGAAGCACGTCCGAAAGAAAAGAACATACTCTTTACCAGGCTCGTCTCTAAACCAATTCCGCGCATGGAAAATGCTAAGGTTATTCACATATTGCACATCCCCTTTCTGGAAATCCAGAGCGGCTCTATGCTCTTCTGCCAAGAAGTGCAAAGCGTCCAGTGCCTCGGCTTGCGCTTCTGTGATAGGAGGAATATCCTTCGATCGGGGCTGAGCCCCAAATCCGGTGAAGTATCGTCTTGCGTACTGAATTACGATCCTGTCAGGGGTAGTAGCAGTGGCTGGTTGGTGGTATAGAAGTGGGCGGAGACTGTAGGGTCTGACCAGGTTACCGAAGCTAAACAGCGTTAGTTTGGAAATACGCTTCCTTGTCACTCGGTGATTCTTACCCATCCATTGGCCAATCCTCAGACAAGGTGTGAATAATATCGGGTCTTTCCTTGGCCAGAATGTTATACACATGCCAGCTGCTAGAAAGATAGCTTTCTCCTGCCTCTGCGGCTCGGTTCAGACAGAGGAGTGAGATGATATCGCCAGCATCAGTGTGAAAAACTTGCTTATCAGCCGTGTTCGAAGGCGCAGTGATAAGACCCTTGTCGACCTTGTCGGTGAGGTCTCTGATATGGGATAACATAGGTGAAGTGCCATCGGCCAGTCGGGCTTCTTGCTGACGTCCTCTAATATTACCGATGTGGGAAGATACACCAGCGTAGATAATGACGTTATCTTCCCGGGAGTAATCATCGATGCGCAAACCTCGGAGAACGACGAATCCTCGGCCGGTGTGGATCTCCTTTGAAAGATCCCGAAGAGCAGGCTGGAGGGTAGGTATAGGGAAGGTTGACTGATTGATATGTCCCAAGGGAAGGTTGAGAGCTGTTAGGTCAGCAATGTGACCTTAATACTGCGGTCATAATCACCCACCTTTGAAGCTCTTCAAAGCAGCGTCGAGTTCATCCAGCTGATCATCGTTCAACTGATAAATCCAGTCATCCCGCTTCTCAACATCCTTTCCTTCCCAGACCAGTGGTGATACCAACTTCTCCGGGAACCCTACAGGAACAGTAGACTGCAGGGTCTCAGTCTCCTTTCGACGACGGGTGCGCTCCTTGTACTTTTCATATTCAGGGTGATACTGAATATCGGGCTGAGTGGGTACCGTGATAGTCTGAACAGTGGACATATTTGCTATACAGAAGACTAGTGGTAAGACAGTAGATATCAGACTTGAAAGGTCGTTTAAATAGCACAGACTGATCTGCTTTGCGTGGTCCAAACCTGTGATCGCGCCATGTACTCTTACTCAGAATGTCACGACATCAACCCCGCAAAGCGCGACACTTGAATAGAGAGCCTTTGCAGTACTTCTGCAACTCGTGGATTACTAGATTAAATGGCATCAATCTTACATCGGCGCAATTGTCTGGGAATGGTATCTGATCCCATGTTCTTATTTAACTTGTTAGTATATGTTAACTGGATTGAAGTACAACGTGGCGGAGATTCAAGAGCCTAGTGCTTATACGACTTACTTTACAGATAATTCACGGGATGAGAATGCTTTACCCTTTGGTATTACAGCCGCAGCGTTTACAATGGGCATACAGGAGCATGCAGGACATGATGAGTGCAGTCAATCTCTTTCTAGTTCTATTCATCGTATGCACTAGATTCCCAGCGTTGGGAGATCATCTCAATATAAGGACCAATCCAAGTCAAATTCATTATCTATGATTCTAGTATGATCCAAAACATGACACCGTAAACTTACATAACTCCTAATTGGGCAAAATGAAATAAAACAAATGAGGAAACCTAAGCAGTGGCCTCGACGTGGCGGCTCTTTGCAGCCACATCGGCAGCTAGAGCAGCAAGGGAAGCGCTCTGTAGGATATTGAAGATGGAGACGTCGGCGGCAGCTTGCAGGACCAGCATATTGCGCAACTCGACGGCGATAAGCGAGTCAACGCCGTAACTGGCTGGCGTCTTGCTGATATCAATCTCGGCCACATCGATCATGAAAATGTCAGCCAACTTGGCAGCGATGGCAGTGCTAATGAGGCGGGCAGCGTCATCACGCGAGCCAACATCGGCTAGCTGTGCAGAGAGTGAAAGGCCGGCACCGGATTCTCCTTCACCTGCCGGTGCCGCACGCGACACCTTGGTTTGACGTTTCAGGTGCACGTATCGAGCATCTCGTCCAAGCTGTGAGCCACCGTGAGCGTCCCATTGCGGTCCTGACGCTGTATTAAGCCCGATAATGATCTGGCGGCGGCCGCCGAGGGGACGAGCCACAGCGGCGCCGAGCGCGCGCAGAACAGTGGCCTCGTCAAGCATGACATAGTCGCCAGACCTGCGCAGGCGCTCGGCCACCTTGGCAGTCTCAGCAACGTAGCCAACATCGGAAATAGGGCCCAGGTCGATAGAAACGCCTGGCAGTCCCTTGGACTGGCGCCAGTGCGCCATGGCATCCTCGTAGGTGCCACCAGCGGCGTAGTTAGTCTGTGAAGCGATGCCCAGCACGCCCGAGACAGATGATAGCATGACGAAGAAGTCCAGCGAGCCTGGTGCCGCGAACTCAGTGTGTAGGTTCCAGGTTCCGTCGACCTTGGGCCGAAGACCACTATGCCAGTCGGACAGCGTCATCTGCTCGAATATGGCGTCACGTAGCAGCATGGCACCCTGAATAATGCCGCGCACAGGCGGGAAGCCGTCGTCAGCACAGGCGCGCAGAGCTTTCACTAGCTCGCTAGCCAGCGAAATGTCACAGCTGACAGGTTTAACGCGGCAGCCTGCAGACTCGCGTAGCTCGCGCACGAACAGGGCGCCGTCGGTGTTTTGGTTTTCTGGCAAATCGATATTGCCAGCGCTACGCGACAGCAGAATCAAATTCTTGGCGCCGTGGGCTACCAACCAATGCGCGACGGAGCGGCCGATACCGCCAACACCGCCAACGATGAGGTATGAGGCATCGGGACTGAGTCGGACTCGGGCAGCGGCTGCGACGTGATTTGATCGCGGGACCACTGGAGCTTGATCATCTGGTCCGGCCGAGAGGACGACTTTACCGGTGTGTGCGCCGGTCTGTATAAACTTGAAGACGCCCTGGACGGTTTGTAGAGGGTGGACTGTGACGGGCTGGACCAGGTTGAGGGCCTGCTGTTCGATAAGCTTGGCGACCTCGGCGAGCACACGGTGGACATCGGCGCCGCGCCGTTGCACCAGCATTGGAATGTCCAGCGCCGTCATCGAGATACCGCGAGAGAAAGATGCCATCGCAAGCAGGCCGTTGGCTTCGATATCGCGTTTGCCGACTTCAACTAAATGGCCGAGAGGTGCAAGGGCATCAAGACTGGCCTGCAGCAGTGGGCCGGGCAGCGAGTTAAGTACGACATCGACACCGCGTCGGCTTGTGGCAGCTAGAACAGCGGGGCCAAACGAGGTATCGCGACTGCTGAAAATACGGTGACTGGGGATATCGTACTTGCTGCTGATGAAGTCGCGCTTCTCCGGAGACCCAGCGGTGGCGAAGATCTCTATTACCCCGAGATGCTTTGCTAACATGATAGCGGCCTGTCCAATAGCTCCAGCTGCAGCATGAATGAGCACAGACTGTCCCGGTGCAAGTCGGGCAGAATCAACGAGGCCGGTGTAAGCAATGGTGAAAGCTAGTGGCAGGGAGGCGGCGTCCTCAAAGCTAGTAATGTTGCTGGGTACTTTGACGATGCTACCATTCCAGGCAACGGTGACATTGCTACGGATAGAAGCGCTACCATCCCCAGGCAGGAGGGCCATGACACGATCGCCGACATTGTAGCCGCCCTTTGCCTGAGCCTCGCTGCCAACGCGGGAGACAACACCAGCGCACTCGAGACCCATGGCACGGTCTTTGAGCTGGCCCAACGCAGCCATGACATCGCGTGAGCTGAGGCCAAAGGCCCGCGGCGTGATCTCGACGTTTTCAGGTGCAAGACTCTTATCTGTGCGATCCTCATCGTCATCCACAAACGCCAACGTGTCCAGGTGCCCCGGGATACCGACCTGCAGCCGTAGTGGCCGGTTCGTTTGGAATAGGGGCTCCAAGGGGACACTGGCTGCTGCATCAAGGTCACCCCATGTTGCTGTGAGCGGGCCGGTGACCATATCGTTGTGTTCCTCATCCTTGTAGATACGCGGGACTAGTAGCACGCCGTTGCGCTGGGCATATTCGAACTCAGCCGGGCCGGTCTCGGTGGCCAGGACATCATCGACATGGCCAAAGCCCTCTTGGAGAACTTGCGCGATGACCGAGACGACGTCCTCAGTGGTTTGCTCGGCGTGTGGGTCCAGGTCCAGGTAGAGGTAGCGCCGGCCAACATATTCGTTCCGAAGGACGCGTAGGAATCCCTGGGCAAGTGCATGCTCTGGCTGCTCGCTGTCGACAGCGCCGCCGGTAGTGATCCAGAGTAGGCCACCACACTGCGTGATCATAGCGCGGAAGCCTTCAATACGCGCGGCATCAAGATCGGTCAGTATGGTCGGCTCATCGATTTCGCTGACAAAAATGCAGACCTTGGCTCCGTATGCGTCGAGGCTGCTTTCCTCTAGCACGAGATGTTCCACTGCAGTTTTAGTCAAATCTTGGATGCGCTGGGTCAGCAGATCGACCAGACCAGCTGGCGAAGGTGTCTTGTTACTAGTCACGACAGCAAAGCCGCCTGGGTTACTGGCGCGGCTCAGGTCTAGCTTTTGGTGCTCGGCAAGCGGCAGCGTGGACAAGATGGTGGTTGTGGCGTCGCCGATGGCAAGGTCAGCACCGCTGAAACCAGCTTCGCGAAGCACGCTGTCCCAGGAAGACGTCAAAAGGGGAGATGATTCGGTGGGAAGCAAGCCAAAGATAAACGAGAGATCAGCCTGAGTTTGATCCTGAGTCGTCTCTACCAGCAGTAGCGTGCCGCCGGGCTTCAAAAGGCTACGCATATGGGCCAGAGTGCCAGGTACATCTTTGGCCGTGCGCAGAGACTGGTAGAATACGATGATGTCGTAGCTCTCGGGCGTAAGTTTCTGTTTAGACGGGTCACTGTCGATGTCGAGCTCGCTGAACTCGAGCAGATCGGCCCAATCGGCCAGCTCAGCCTGGGCATCTTCCAAGACGTCTGCCGAGGGCTCGGTAATGTGCCAACTGGCAACCAGAGGGACCTTGGGCGTGCCAAGCGCTTCAAGAATACGCCGAGTGGCAGCAGCACCAGTGCCAGCGCCGACTTGCAGAACGCGGGCAGCCGGGTTCTTGTGGGCCACTTTACGCACCAGCGTCGACAGCTGTGTGAGCGACGGCGCCGAACGCACAGAGTGGGCATAGTACTTATGCAGCAGCCCGTCCTCGGTGATGGCCACTAGAGGGTTGCTCTCGCCGCGAAGGATAGGCCCGACTAGGGGGCCAAGACGGCTGATCAGCTCGCCGTCAACGCTCTGCGAGGCTACAGCGGCTAGGTGCTTTTCGCGCTCTTCCGGGCCATCTAGCGCCCATTTCTGGCTGTCGCCCTGGGCAACTAGTTGCGTGAGCCACGTATAATAATTGCCAAGGTACGACTGCTCGTCTTCCACATCTTCGGGGGTGAGCGACTTCAGCGCCTCCTGGGCGAAGTAGAACACCGCGCGGGAAAGATTTGTGATGGAGGCCTCAGAGACCCCAACAGTCAGCTCCAGCTCCTTCTTGAGCTGTGCTAGTGCCAGCGGCTGCTGTAGTGACAGGTCAGGTCCCCACTCGACCTTGCTGCATACCTCTTCCTCCCCCTTGTTAGCCGCGTCCTGACGCGCTGTGGCGCCGCTGCCGCGGCCCAGGAAGACACTAGCAAGGCCTTGGATCTCGAGAACCGTCGCGCCGGTCTGGCCATCGACAACGGTGACATCGGCCCTACCGCTCTGGGGGTCATCGTGTGAAAGTGACGTATCACAGCGCAAAGTGTGCCCGACTTCGCGACTGATGTTGCTCGAGACCCACATGGCCTGGATCGACCGCGGCAGCTTGGGGTCCTCAACCACCGAGCCGACACCAGGCAACGCCGAGAAAAACGACACCACCACGGCATCCAGCGTGATGGGGTGCAGCACGCTTTCTTGCGCCGCTGCCACCGGATCTGTGTCGGTCGCTGACTCGTATCGGATCGTGACGTCGCATACCGACCGAGGCTCCCGGCCATCCTGCACGATCTTAGTCGTGTTCTGGAATAGCGGGCCGTGATACACGCCGCGTGCCCGTAGGTTGGCAAACATGTCGCGTGGATCCTTGTGGCGCGTGTAGGCTGATAGAGGACGGAGGCCGGTCTGGTCGTTCTCTGGCGTTGTCTGCGCCGGGACTTTCTCTTCATCCAATTCCTCCTCCACGTCAACAGTGATCAGGCCCCGGGCGTGCAGAGTCCACCGGTTCTCGGGCGTGACTGTCGAAACCTCGAAGGTCCGCCAACCGCGCAGGCCCAGTTCCCGCTCAGGCACAGGCCGGAGCGTGGTGCGGATCTCAACCCCCTCGGCGCTGTCGGGGATCACGAGTGCCGCCATAAAGTCGACGTCACGCAAGCGGAAGCCTGAGATCTTGTTCTGATCGTCTTCGGCCTTGGCCAGCTGATTGGCGGCCTCAATAGCCAGGCACACATACCCGGAGCCCGGGTACACAATGCTGCCCTGCACCATATGGTCGCGGACCCAGGGCACCTCGGAGACGCGCAGATTGCGACGCCAGACAGACGTGGCCGGGTCGTTCCCGGCAACCGGCATCCCTAGCAGATCGTGGGGTGGCTGGCTGCGTGCACGGATGGCGCGGTTGACGCGTGACTCCTGCCAGTGCCGCATTGAATGGTTCCAGGGGTAGGTGGGCAGGTCAGTCAAGACGTGAGGGAGGTCCTCGTCGTAAAGATACGAGTGCTCGGATGATGACTTCGGGAAGTTGATCTCACTCAAAACGACCGGCATACCCTCGCGCAGTAGATTGATGGCTGCAGCGCGTATAGTGTTGCCAGCGTGCTCGTTGCGCACTAGACATCCCCAATAGGGTAGCTCGATGCCGTCGAACTCAACTAACGACATGATCTCGCGAATTGGTCCTCCTAGCGCCGTGTGCGGGCCAACCTCGAGCACCACGTCGATACTGCGGCCACTCGCATCGTCTGTCTCGCCAAGCACCATCTCCGTGAAGGCATCCACGAACAGCACCGGCTGCACCAGACTACCCACCCAGTGGTCAGGATCGGCGATCTCCTTGGCGTCAGTAATCCGACCGCCGGTGACAGCTGACGAAAATATGACCTTGAGTTCTTCTTCTTCTTCCTCTTCCCCGTTCAATTGCTTCGTGACCGTCCTCGCCATCTCCTTACGTAGGAGCTCGCGGTACGCGTCTGCCAGCGGGTCCATGTGGTGCGAGTGGTACGCCTGCTCGATCTTAAGCTTGCGCGCAAATACGCCATCTTCCTTGCACATCGCCTCGACGGCAATAACGGCATCGGCGTCACCAGAGACAGTGACGCTCTCCGGGCTATTCACACAGGCGATAACGACTTGGCCCACGTCGGCCACTCTGTCAAGGTACTCCTGTGCTTCCTCTGCGCCTAGACCCACGGCTGCCATGCCACCCTTGGGCCCTCCGGTCACTCGCAGCGACTCGTCTGCCGCCAGCACGGCGCGGTAGTAGGCCGTTGCCATGGCCTGGCGGAAGTTCAGCGCGCCGACCGTGTAAGCCGCCGCGATCTCGCCTGATGAGTGACTGGTGACAGCTGCGGGCGTGATACCCCATGATTTTAGCAGGCGCACTAGCGCAATTTGCACTGCCACACACACAGGGATGCTGATCGACGTCGAGTGCACTCTCGTAGTCTTGGGGTCGCGCTGCAGCTCCTCCAGCAGCGACCAGGTGGCGCCAATATTGCGTAGGTGCGTATCAGCTTCGGAAATGGACTGCTGGAACACCGGATATTCTGCCAACAACTCACGACCCATGGCATTCCACTGCGCACCCTGGCCGGTGAAGACCATGCCGATGCGCGGTTGGCTGGTGGGCACGCGGCTGGGTTTAAAGCGCGGTGAGTCGAACGCCTCAATGACAGCTTCGATGGGGCGGTCTGCACCTGCTTCTAGATGCACCTGGTGGGCTGCCACCCACGGGAAGATTGTGCGTCGCTCAGTCAGCGTGTAGCTGAGATCGCGCAGCAGCGCATCGGCAGCCTCAAAATTGAGAGACTTGTGCTTTTCTAAATAACTCTTCATGTCCGCCACCATACGCTGGCAGCCGCGCTCGTCGCGAGCGCTGAGAATCAACACTTTGCTTTCAGCCGTTTTGTCGGTGCTGTTGCTCTTGCCGTTTCCGTTTATATGACCATTGCCGTTCGAATGGCCGTTGCTAGTGCCATTTCCATTACTGGTGCTATAACCATTGAGTGGGAAAGACATAGTCGGCGTTAAAATCCATGGTTCCGCGCTCTCCATAATGACATGCGCGTTGCTACCGCCATAGCCAAAGTTGTTGACTGACAGGCGGTTCGGGCCGTCGACCAGGCTCTCAGGCCACGGCTCTAGTGCTGTTGCCACCTTGAGACGCCACTCGTCTAGCTTGACCTTTGGGTTGGGCGTCTCATAGTTTACGCTGGCGGGGATCAGGCCTTTTTCCAGGCACAAAACACCCTTGATTATGGCGGCCAAACCCGACGCCGCCTCGGTGTGGCCCACGTTGGTCTTGACTGAGCCGATGCGCAGGTAATGTGCCTCGTCACGGCCGCCGTCACCGTTTTCGTCAACGCCGCTGAACACGTTGGCCATGGCTCGTGCCTCAATCGGGTCGCCGGCCTGTGTGCCCGTGCCGTGCGCCTCAAAGTACTGTGTGCCGCGCGGATCAAGGCCGGCACGCCGGTAGCACTCGCGCATAAGTGTTTCCTGGGCGGGGCCCGACGGCGTCGTAATGGTCTCTGTTTTGCCATCCTGGTTAAGCGCTGTCTCACGGATGACGGCGCGGATAGGATCGTTGGCGGCCAGCGCGTCCGAAAGTCGTTTGATCACAACGGTGGCAACGCCCTCGCCACGGCCGTAGCCGTTGGCACGATTATCGAACGCGTACGATTTACCGTCCGGCGACAACATGCCGAGTGAGCCGATGGTCTTAAACGGGTCCGGGCCTATCATTAAATTGACGCCGGTCACCACGGACATATCGGCCTCGCGGTTACGCAGGGTCTGCACGGCCTGGTGCAATGCCACCAGCGTGGTCGAGCAGCCAGTCTCGAGCGTCATGCTGGCACCGCGGAAGTCAAAAACGTGTGAGATGCGGTTCGACGACATTGGGTTCCACGTGCCTATTGGCATGAACCGCGGCGGTTGGTCCTCATCGCGCGATAGACCCTCGTGGTATTCGTGTGTGAACACGCCAGCAAATACGGACGTCTGTGATCCAGCCACCTGCTGCAGCGTAAGGCCGGCTTAGTCGGACTTCAAGTTAGAGAAGATCCAAAAGAATTGTAGATGGGTAAGTAGTAGTTACTCACCATTTTCTAATGCCTCGAATGTCGACTCGAGCTGCATTCGGAATTGTGGATCAAGCGCCTGTGCTGTTTCTCCCGAGTAGTTGAAGAACGCAGCATCAAAACATGCTATATCGTCGTCAAGAAAGTGACCCCCCTTGACGTGTGTCTGTCCAGTTGTTAGCACTCAGACGTGCCTGTTGGTGTATCTTAGGTTGAATTACCGTGCTGACCCTCTCATTGTTAGGGTGATAGATTCCTTTTAGATTGAATCGGTCCTCTGGTATCTCACTCCAACCAGTCTGTCCTGAAACTAACAGATCCCAGAGCTTATCTGGGTCACTGGCACCACCAGAGAACTTGCAGCTCATGCCAATGATGGCAATGGGCTCACTAGCCCACTCGCTGTCATCGTCCATTTTTGTCTAAAGAAGTTCAGATGACTTGGACTTGGTCACTGATAATGTAAAAGCTCAGTTACTCTTGAATAGAGCTAATGGTTGCATCAAGTTTTAGAGCTGCAATGTGTGAAGATTGTGAAAGGTATATGTCTCCAAGTTCTATACCCAATTCGCTTTTATTCGTGCACCAATTGTATTGCACAGTGCCTTATATTTAATTGGGGTTATTTATTCTACTTTGAAGGCAACAATCTAGCAATACGGAGTTCAACTGATAGGTGAAGCTCCATTCTGAAATGATCAATTCCCCGATGCAGCCTCGGAAGAGGTTACCTCCAGAGCAATTAGTGATACGGGCTATAAAAAGTCCGTCGGGGAATTTAAAAAGTTGCTATCCTAAACCGGCATGGCCTGTAGACCTGGCTCGGACCTCTCATCTTTCAAGATTATAGACCCATGAGGGGGGCCAGAGCCAGGCCATTGGCTTGACTAGGTTGCAATCATGCACGGAGAATCTCTACGTGGGCGGAGAATTGATCGACCTGATTGCAATGAGACAGGCAGGCAGTCATTGTACGCAAATCTATAACTAACTAATTTATTTCATAATCACACAAGCTTCAAACAGCAGGGTTTAAATTTAAAGACATCTCGTGCACACAGCGTAACTAACATATAGTATAGAGTTGATCAGATCGATTGATCTACAGACTACTAGTAAACTATATACTCTAAATTCTGTAAATCTTTGCCTTAGCCAACGTATCTTACGTATTGCTTCCATACCGGGTCCTTCTTTAGCCCGTTGATATCTTCCTCGGGCATGCACAGCGTCAGAGGGATAAACGCTCCCTCGGCTTCGTTGATAATCAAACAGCCGGGGATCGGGGCGGCGGTTGGGCGGCGGAAGAAGCACGATCGGCCCAGCAGGGGGCCCCAAGAAGTCGGTAGCGGCGTCGCCTGACCGGTTGCCGTCACCATGAGGTCCGCCCGGGCGTCGTGGGTTCCACCATACAGCAGGGTGGACGTGTCAGGCTCACGGGCCATGAATGTGGCAAAACTGCGAATTGACCACGGCGTGTTAGCCTGGTTGAGTTCCCGGCGCAGTGCCTGAGCAATCTGTGGCAGTGGCAGCTTAGCCACCTGGTTCAATGGCAACCGAACCAGGGCGTGGCACACCATATGGCCCATATAGGTCAGAGGTACGCCCATAGCCATGCGCCCGTCAATAGCACGACCAAGCTTGGACGAGCGCTCTGGCGGTTGTCCGTTAGCCACGCGCACGGCGCAGAGGCGCTGCCATGCAAAGGCAGAGAAGATGTCGTTCTCGGAGACCATCAGCGAGCCTGGTTTGTTGCTAGATGGATCGTCTTTTACCGACTTGACGAGCCGAGCCAGAGCGTTGACCGGCATCTTGAAGTAGCACCACATCGGCGGGCTCGAGGGAGCCGCCCAGGTGTAGCCTGGCGGGCGCCGCAGGTGGCTGTAGCTCTTGACGGGCTCGCTGCGCGGAATGAGCGGGATCACGCGGCTGCGGTCGCGATTGGCCTGCTCCAAGTCGGCGGCTGGAATCTCCTTGCCGCTCATGACAAGAGCCAGCAGGTTCACAAACTGGTAAATTCCGCTGCCGTCGATGATGGTGTGGTGAGAGCTGAGGTTGAGGATTAGGCCACCACTCACAAAGTTGGCCTGCAAGGCGACCACAGGGTCGGGGCCCTCGAGGCCGCGGGGTTGCGGCAGCGCCGGCCAGGGCGTCAGGACTGATCCGTCCAGCATGTGGATTGGCACGCCGGCTGAGACGAGCTTGGCCATGGGTGCGATGAGATCGTCACAGTTTTTGACGCGGATTCGCTCCTCGGGCACGTCCGTGGGCCACGGCATCGCCTTCAAGATGCCACCAGGCCCTGACTCCCGGGCCACCTGCCACCCCAGCCAAGGGATCTCCGCCTTGAGTTTGTCAAAGGCGCCCTGAAGGGATGCGACGATGGCATCGCGGTCCACGTTGGCCGGCAGCTTGAACCCAAACAGCAACTGCGTATAAGCATTGAGGAGCGGAAACTGGGAGATAATGTCGCGGTGGAGCTCCGAGTCGGTTTCGGCGGTATCGCCTTTCATAAGGTGGTTTTCTACTGCGACAGACATGGCGAAGAACTTTGTTTGTAGTTGTATGTGAGCCAGGAAAGGTTCACCTGTGGGAGAAACCCGCAAATCGCCATTCTATCTTTCGGTCTCTGATTGTGGATGTTATACAATCTGCATACATCTTGGCTTTGTAAGTGGATACTGTTGCACTTTCGGACTTTCGGACTTTCTTATCAGCCCTAATTTCCATTCTCGCCTTCTCCGCATGTTGGATCGTAACCCCCGGCATTTGGGTCCATGCTGAAAGCTGTCAGATAGTGTCAGATCAATGCTTACATTCTTTCTGTACTAGAATAGCGCATGCTATATAAGGACATGGTCTATCAAACCTTCCCGCGAATTCGGACTGTAAGACGTTTGTTATCATTAGCTGCAGTAGTATATATTACTCGCCAGATATATTTTTGTCAACCTTGGAAGTGCCGGTTATCAAAGAGTGCAGTCAATTTAAAATGGCAGAACCTCAAGAGAACCCTGGAAAGAAGGAAAAGAAGTGGGGAGATGACCCATGGTACAATAAAACACTGCAAACCATCCAAACATGACAAAGCACATAGACTCCCCAGGGCCGGTTAACGCCGTCAATTTGAACCTTCCAAGTGGAAACAAAGATGTGAATTCGTACGTGATCACATGCATCTGTTTTGTTCGCTCTAGTGTAATTTTCTGTAATTTTGCATAATGTTGCGTAATTTTCAGAACATCGTGTATCCATTGGTTCAGTGTTTAGTCCGATGTGGATATATATATTGCTTATAACATTAAGAATTTGTGATTATTGATCTATAGAATCGGATTTGGTATGGGATTCAGCGGGCCTGGGAAATACAGTGGGGAATAAAAGTGGGCTGTTCGATACTGTACAAAGTACGGAGTACGTTGACATCCCTTTATCTGACTGCATACGTCTCTTACATCTATCTACCTTCGATTCTGGAACCCCCCAACCACTATATATCCTCCTTCGCTGTATAGAGCTGTATTCCCAACAACTAATCCCGGGGAATGGCCGTGGAGAGAATGGCTGGCCGATCGGCGCCTTATGGGCAAGCGTGTTTAAGCTGTTTCAAAACAAAATGCAAGTGTATTCCGCGCTCTGATGGCAATGGATGTGAAAGGTCAGTCTGGGCTGCGCTTTGGTGGCTGTTCCGTACTTGAGAACCCTAGCCTGTGGAAACTCGCTGACACGAACCGATGCCTTATATAGGTGTCACCGTCTCAAGCGCCCATGTCATCCTGCTGATGCGCTACGTCGTCGCAGCGATAAAAAGCAAAACTCATCAGACGCCCGTATCGCAAAACTCGAGGGCACACTCGGCCAGCTAGTCTCGATGCTCCAGACTGGCAACGTTCATGGCGACAGAGTTGATGTATGGTCGCAGCAGCAGCAGCAGCAGCAGCAATCACCAACGCAACAACACCAACAACAACAGCAGCCACCCCCTCCCATCGTTCCATATCCAGACATGGTCGCAGAACGGACCGAAGGGAGCACTATGGGGGACTCACGCTCCGCTTTTGACGACGATACCGATACCGACGCCGTCGGTGGCTCTGCTTCTTGGTGGGGGTTGTGCAATGCGAACGGGCTCAGCACCAACGGCATCCCTGTTGACACCCCTCCGTCCTCGACCGTGTCGGGCGCGTTTATGTCGCCCGCTGTATCTCCATCCTCTGTACCTCCATCCTCTGCATCGATGTCTGTTGACATCTTCTGCTCGCGTATGCTCCATCATTTCCCCTTCGTTCATTTACCTGCCTACCTCGCGGCCGAGAGACTACGACTAGACCGGCCATTCCTTTTTCGCGCCATTGTTTGCGTGACATCGGTGTCAGATAAGGAAAAGACGGCAAGCTCCATCGAGCTGAAGCGAGTGCTCTACGAGACGGCATTTCTTCAACGATCACTGCAGCATACCCAGGAACGACCACAACAACAAACAGTCGATCTGCTGCTAGGTCTCCTTGTCTACATTGCGTGGGGCTGGGAGCACCTGCGCAACCCTAACAGTTTGTCTCGACTTATGGCGATGGCCATATCGTTGGCCGGGGAGTTGCGTTTTCTGGACGAAGCCGTACCAGGAATATCGCGCACAATAAATCACCTTGAACCAAAAGGCGGTTTTGACAATGTGTATGGCAGTACGCCAGCAACTACGGCAATGACAGCACCGACAACGGGTGCTGGGGTGACGAATACCCAGCTCTACCTCGAGCGCCAGCGAGCCATTCTGGGCTGCTTTGTGCTTGGCTCGGCCGTCTCAGCCTACTTCTCCCAGGTTGAGGCGCCGCGGTGGATACATCAAATGGACGAGGGTCTTTCTGCCATTACTGCTAGCGCTAATAGTGCTAGCGCAGAATGTCCATCTGATGCTGCCCTGGCTATTCAAGTCCGCCTACAGCTGCTCGCCACGAAGGCCGCCCAGGTCCGGGAGCGTGCCCAACTCCCCGACCAACCCCCACCAGATACTCTTTCACCTCAATCTCTCTTGTACATCAAATCACTCATGGGGCAGCTACAAGAGCTCAGGGCATCTGTCCCTCCGGCATTCCAACAGCACTTTGGTAGGTGTCCAGCTCAATCCAGGGACTTTCTTTAGAATAAAATCAGCCATTGATTGCTAACTGATATATAGTGCTCCTCGCTCAGACATACTACACCGAGATGTGCATTATCGAGACCATCCACATCCAGGAGTCCACTCGCCCGCCACCGCCAACATGTGGGCCTACGCGCATCTCCTGCTTTTGGCAGTCAGCACTGGCGATCAAGTCGTGCACATCAACTTTTCTGACCCTCTCGCCATCTGGACTCCTTGGTGTTTCTTTCATCCAGTGGGCTCAGTTGGTACGGTGCGTGGCCACGCTCCACCAACTTAGCACCCTCCGGGAGCCTGGCTGGGATCCAGCCACTGTGCGAAAGCTGGTCGATCTGCCCGTTCTGCTATCAAGCACGGCAGACAAGCTGGAGCTCGCTGCTGCTGCTGAAGCTGGTCAGCAGCCGGCGTCGGCCGACGGTGTATTCATGCAATTGGCCCGCGGCTTACGCATGTTCCAGTCGTCGTATCATGATAGAGGACTTCTGAACCGACAGGCAGAGGCATATAGAGCAAAAGAAGCACGAGATACAGCAGGGACCAGAGCGGATATGGATATGGGTACAGTAGCGACTACGCAAGCAGATACAGATGCATCGGCATATACAGGATACTTGATGAGTCCCACATTATGGCTAGAGGAGTTTTTTGTTGACTATGAAGATCAGGCGATAGCTACTATGTAGAGGCTTGACATATTTTGGGTGTTAGCACATGTATATACCCATCACGAACACTATTACGCATGTACAATGATCTACATTACGATTTCATGGCCTCCGCAATATCATGAGACAGTCGTATGCTCTTCAAATGTTGAATACAACATAGTATTCTTATTAATGGGCAATTGTGTAGGCATAACTCATATTTGAGATTTACCTACGAAAATGAGCTTTTCAATAATGAACACGCAATTACCGTTTTGGGCTAGAATGGCCTGTAAAAAACGCGAGCTATTACCAAAGTACAGCTAGCTAGGTAACCAGGTACTGTAATCATTCCAATTCGTATGATTATAAATATGGTATGTTCGAGCTTAGGCCGGACATACCACTATAGTCCGTCGACAGGGGCAGGATTATGGACCGGATTTCAGATTCCGGTTCCGACTTGCAGCTACTAGCCCTAAATGGCTTCACTCACAATCACAGAAAGATTCCGGTCCCTGTCCTAAGCTCTAGCTCCCCTTTTAACATAATTTTATCAATTGTGTTATATAACTTACGATTGACGCTAAGCTAATCGTCTTTCCTTCCGAAAACTACCAAAACAGTTCTTGGCAGAGAGAGCAAGAGTCAGCTCCATCTCCATAACCATGACTATGACCGACTCCGATAAATCAGTTGACAAGAGCATGGTACTGTCAGATGAGACTGGCGATGTTGAGAAGTACGGCTCCGATAGCGTCGCCTCCAAAGACGAGGCCGCTGAAGATGAGAGCAATTTTCCCAGCGGTATAGCCTTATGGTCTATCCTAGGTCCTGTTACAATTGCCTACTTTCTCGTCTTCCTCGATATGTGTGTTGTGTCGACCGCAACGCCTGCCATCACACAGCGATTCAACTCTCTCGTTGACGTTGGCTGGTATGGTGGCGCATATCAGCTCGGTAGCTCTGCCCTCCAGCCGCTCACTGGAAAAATCTACAGTCACTTTAACATCAAGGTTGGTCATTTTGTGGTTGCTTAAGAGGTCAACATGAACATTCTAACGTTCGAAACAGTGGTCGTTCCTCGTGTTCTTCTTTATCTTCGAGCTCGGATCTGTCATCTGTGGAGCTGCCGTCTCGTCGCCCATGTTCATTGTTGGCAGAGCCATTGCCGGTGCTGGATCTTCGGGTATTGGAAACGGTGCCATGACAATTATCTCTGTTATACTTCCGCGCAGAAAGCAAGCCCAGTTTCTAGGCATGAACATGGGTATCGGCCAGCTAGGTATCGCCTTGGGTCCCATCCTTGGCGGTGCATTCACCCAGAATGTTACGTGGCGTTGGTGTAAGTGGTTTCTTCACTGAGCTCCCTAATCGCCATCATCTTGCTAATTTCTTTGTTTCTCCCACAGGCTTCTACATCAACCTTCCCATTGGCGGCGCTCTGGCCATTCTGCTCTTCCTCTTCAAGATCCCCGAGCCAACCACCAAACTACCCGCCAGAAAAGTCCTCGGCACGGCCATCAAGTCTCTGGATCTTCCAGGCTTTATGCTCATCAGTCCTGCCGCGGTCATGTTCTTGCTTGCTTTGCAGTACGGCGGTACCGTACACCCGTGGGGTAGCTCCGTTGTTATCGGCCTTCTGGTTGGCGCCGGTGTTACCTTCATCCTCTTCCTTGTCTGGGAATACCGCCAAGGAGACGGTGCAATGTTACCGTTTGCCATGATTAAAAAGCGCACTGTGTGGTCTGCTGCGGGTAACTTGTTCTTCCTTCTCGGTGCTATTTTGGTGGCCGAGTACTACCTCGCCATTTACTTCCAAACTGTGCTCCATAATAGTCCTATCATGAGTGGTGTGCATATGCTGCCAGCGACTCTATGCTTGGTCTTTTTCACTATGCTCTCGGGAATGATGAGTTCGTTACCCCCCTTTCTCCTTTGCAGAATCTATCAAACTAACCTTTCGCAGCCGAGATCTTAGGATACTACCTACCCTGGAACCTGGGAGGAAGCGCCTTGACCGCCATTGGCTATGGCCTGATGTCTCTGATTAAACCCAAGACTACATCCTCAAAGTGGCTTGGATACCAGGTCCTCTATGGTGTTGGCAGTGGTGCAATGACCTCAGCGGTAAGCTTGCGTTTCAATATCCCATCCCCTCTACCCTCAAAATTGAGTTTTCTAACGTTATCTTTGCCTGAAGCCCTATATCGCCATCCAAAATCTTGTCCCCCCTCCGCAAATCCCCATTGCCATGGCTATCATCATCTTCTGTCAAAATATGGGCGGTGCCGTCTTCCTCATTGTCGCCAATTCCATCTTCACAAACGGCCTACGCGCAGAGCTCCAGAAGCACATCGCCGAGATTGGCGTCAACCCGGACATCCTCATCAGTACCGGACTCAACTCAATCCGAAGCCTTGTTTCGGGTGATAAGCTTGCGCTTGCGCTCGAGTGCTATACCACGGCAATTAGCCATGTCATGTATCTCGGTATTGGAGTTAGTGTAGCCACGTTTGCCTTTGGTTGGGGCCTGGGCTGGGTTGATATCCGGAAGGTGAAGAAACTGCAGGCCATTCAAGCAGATGCTCCGGCCGCGAAGACCGAGGACGTGGAATCCACTGAAAAGCCGATCGCGGTATAAGATGGAATATGGAACATGGATGAAAGTTCCATTAACTATGTGAGCAGGTCACATAGCTATTTTGCATCGGCTTGTTGATGGAAGGTTCGGTGTTTTCCTTTTGTTCTGTTTGATTGTTTAGTTTGGCCTCGATCTTGTGAGGATAGCTGGATATTAGATGATGCTTTTGGTAGAAGCTGGTGATAGACTGTCGTCTAGAGAAGTGCTGTTGTTGTACATGTGGTGACAAAAGTCTGTCTACACATCGCAAGTCGCTAATAAAATCGCGATTTTCAGCACAGTTTTCTTAGTATGTCCTAATTTTAATATATTCAAAGATTATGATATAAAAGGCATACGAGGTTCTTCGTTACAATCTTTTCCTTCGAGTTTTAAATAGTAGAACAGCGATGAAGCTTTGGCTCCCTCTCTATAATTCAGTATTCATCAATTATCACGAGAGAGATATTACTGAGAAGGATGTGAAGTATATATAATACACAGTTATAAGTTGAATTAGGTTGTCATATAGACTTAGTGTGAGATTTCATGCCGAAAATCGGACTGTGGTGAACTACCCTAGATCCTAACAGAGTGCAGATCAAAAGATAAAATTTGTGGCAGATAGCTATATAGCCTCTAGGATGAGCAGATTGGCTGCCAACCATACATAAATCTAGTCTTTACAGTGACACAACAATCTTCTTTGCCGAAACACCCTGCATGTGAATTCCAAAAGCCTCCTGGATCTTTTCCAGTCCCTTGCCCACGACAATCGCCTCGGGTGATGGCACAAACTGCCCATTGGCGAGTGCCTCGGGGAGGTAGTTCTTGTAGATCTTGCTCGTAACAGAGTCGGGACCAGCCGCGTCCGGACCGAGCAGGATGAACTTGATCGCGACACTCGGGTCAAGGCTACCACCGCCAGGGCTGGCCGCCAGCAAGGGCAATAACCTTATTCGTAGAGGGGCCCTCGTGCTTGGCCAAGACGGCGGCCAGCAGGTCGATGGAGCCATCACCAATGGAGTAACCGCCGACAAGGGGGAGTCCCTTGACAGCAGCGCTGATATCATCGATCACAGTCTCACTCTTGTAGTCAAACACATGGCTAGCACCGAGATTTTTGACGTAATCGAAGTTCTTAGGCGACGCCGTCGACACAACCTCGTAGCCGGCGGACACGGCCAGCTGAATTGCGGTACTGCCAACAGCGGATGAGCCACCGGTGATAATGACAACACCCTTGTCGCTGCTGGACTGAGATGCGGGAACGGTGGGCAAGTCAAGGCCCAGGTATTCGGTGTCGAACAGGCCGTGAGAGGCTGTGAAGATGGCTAGCGGGATCACACTGGCCTGCTCAAAGGCGATGCTGTCCGGCAGCGGTGCGGCCAACCACTCGCGAATGACGGTGTACAGCTGGAAACCGCCCTCGAGGGAGGTGTTGAGGGAGATGGCAGCAGCCGCAGCCACAACGCGGTCGCCGACACTGAAGCGCTCTACGCCCTCCCCCACCTCGACAACGGTGCCTGCCACGTCCTCGCCCAGAATGAAGGGATAGCTGATATGGCCGAGCAAGGCTTCGCCGAGCAGCTGTTTGGCCCAATCGACGGAATTGATGCCCAGTGCACTGTTCTTCACGACGATCTGGTGAGGTCCGGGTGCTGTGTACGGCGCCGGGCCGATCTCAAGCGGGGTGACTTTGGAGCCGGATAGCCATGCGGCCTTGTTCTCTGGGGTTTGGGCCATTGTTGAAGTTTCTTGTATAGAGGGTGGGTGACTGCGTGTAATGTGAGCAAAAGGGATAGCAATTGGGGCTTAAGATAACACGAACAGGGAAGTCGTGCAGCTTGACTTTGATTAATTTAAAATTGCAGATACTGGTGATACATGTACCTTTCTCACATGGTATTGGTTATATGTTTATGGAACTACTAAATGCCTAGGCGCCCCATGAACAGACGGAGTTAAGATATTCAATCATTTAGGAATCCTTCATGGCGCCACAATGGCGACATCACGGAATTAATGGCTTTAGTTTCAGATAACGCCGTTTCAACAATCGGCATAGGAATATGAATACCGGTTGATTTCCTTGTTGAGTCTATTCGGACGAGGGCCGGACCGGATTCTGAGAATCCGGTCGGATTTCCCCTCGTAAGAAGCTATCTAGGCAAGATGTCAGCTTACTTGTGGAGAAGAGATTCTAACCTCATATGATTTTCATCTATTTTGATTCTGATGTATTGTTGGTTATACGGTCGCCAGGTTAACCGCAATCACGTCTTCAGACGCAGATGGGCAATTCCCGCCACAGGATGAATACAGCTTTACGAAAGGATCACTGAATCACTGTGGCGCTCGAGTTCAATACCTCCTAGTATGGTTAGCAGCTCGTAGACACGGGATCAAAAGATAGCCATGGACCCAATGAGATGGCAATACGAATTGTTGCAAGCGGTTACGGCTGCGGATGTGGCCCGAGGGCCGTTTGGTGGCTGCTGATTTTCCTCTGACTTTTGATGCAAACAGAATGCGATCCGTGCGCTTTGGCACAGGTTACTCGCGCTTTTCTCGGAAATGACAGAAACCAAGGCAGCGATACCATCCTTTTTGGCCACACTAGCATTGATATGATCCTTCAGGTCGGAACCCGCCGCAGCACGCCTAAACGAACTTTAAGTCTAGGCCCTGTGAGGTTAGAATAGACAGCGTCGGAGAATTTGAGACGAGAGGCTGCCATTGCAGCCAGGCGCCAAGAACGGGTGGGACTATGCTCGAAGGATGCGACTCCGTATACAGTGCAGGTACAGGATTCCTCATTGTGTGCCTTGATTTGATATTCTCAGAGGGGCTAGCGATAGGAGCGTACACTCTGGCATCTGGCTTGCGAGTAAGCTGTTCAATCTGGCGTTCCAATTCATTTTTGAAGGTATGTATGCACTTACTGTATCGACTTACCTATGTGGCGAAAATGCTTGAGTTTAACATGTTCAGCTGGGGAGAATCTCATGCAGATTCAGTACTTACGAGCGCATGTTCTTGCCTAGGTAGATTTTGGCCCCAAAGAGCTGTGATTATTCTGCAACCCCTGTCGAAAGTTACATGCCATTGGCTTCATTTCGATTGATTGGATATGAAATGTCTTGCAGACATAAGCACTAATAACCTAATAAGGTGCGGCAGCGATGAATAGTAGGTAGAAAAGGAAACAGAAACCCCAATCAATCTCTTTTATCTGACCCATTCAGCACAAAAAAGCGAAGGAAACGTCTGATTCCTCTCTTCGACGATCAGATACAGATCCAGATTCAGCCTATCAGGCCCTAATGCTGTGATTGGGATTAACAGCCAATGGTTAGAGTCTTACACGTGCCGATCATATCCACTTCATTGTATCTTTTTGAATCGGTAATCCGTCATGAATTCGAGAGGCTTCCGGCAACAAGCCGGGTTCGCGTGCGAAACTTGTCGAAAACGAAAAGCGAGATGTAATCGCGTCCGCCCACAATGCAGTCTCTGTGCAGAGATAGGGGTTGCGTGTGTGGTGATTGACCAAAGACCACAGCGTGGTCCCAAAAAGGGCCAGCTCGATGAAATGCGAATACGAATTGGTGAGTTGCCTTTTTCTTTTCTGTCCTTGGTTTAGGTATTATATGGGGATAAACATGCCCTACTTACCACTAGACTGGGTATATCACAAGACATTGTTAATGCTAGTTTGTTGTAGCGGAACTCGAATGGCAATTGGGCAAGCAATTGGGAAGTCACGACCCCAGTGTTGTGTCCAAAATGGCAACAGCAGATCATAGTGGCAGTACCACTGGAAGTACCACTCCAAGTATCCCTGTTCTCGACGATCACACCCATACCTCCCACCCATTGAACGGGTCAACACTTCAAACGGTAACACCTGCGAGATCGACGGCATCATCAATAATTTTCCCTATCTCCAAGTCAAACGATGCGCCAGTGACTACAAACGCAACTGCAACTGCAACAATTCCCACATTTCTGGCTGCGGAGCAAGGTACCAGCCTCCCTCCTTTGATGGACTGGCAGGATATTGAAATGGATGGCGGGATGCTGGCAGACATGGGAAATATGTTACAGTTCGATCTCGAGCCCGCCAGTCCAGTCCGGGTCCTCGGCGGTTTCAAGATGACGAATCTCGTCTTAGCTGACTTGTGCGTAAATCCCTGCATCCTTTTTACTTTTCCTTCGAATTCTTCTCCTGTGCGCTCGCATGTCATTGTCTCTTCATGTTATATGAGAAGAATGAAAAAAGGATTTCTCACTGACCTCTTCGTTTAATTTCAGAAATCAACTATATTTTGACCGTCTCCACGATGTCCTACCCATGATACATCGTCGACGGTACTTTAGCTGGGCAGATCAGGAGAAGCCCTCTCTTGCTCGGAGTTGTCTCCGGTCAGCTATGCATACTGTGGCAGCAGCCGTGTCGACACAATATCACAGCCTTGGTGACGCTCTTTACCAAGAGACATGTCAATTACTAGAATCCCAGTGCATGCGGACGTTAAGCGCCAGTGGTAGTTCTGACGGGTCGTGGCTCACATCAGCCAACAACTCCTGTCCTAGACCCAGTAGTGTCGGCGACAAGATCCCCATCGAGATGATTCAAGCCTGGCTTCTCCTGGCACATTATGATCTTTTACGTGTTGATGAGCACCAAGCCATGGTTACGGCGGGACGTGCATTCCGGCTCGTGCAGCTAGCACGTCTCTATGATGTCGATGAGGGCAGCAATGTTGAAGATATGCCCAATAACCCTGCTGGCTCTGAGGGTGACCAGTGCGAGGGAAATCTCTCATACATAGTAGCTGAGGAGAAGAGACGAACTTTCTGGCTTGCCTTTAGCTTTGATCGCTTTCTCTGCTCACGCAACGAGTGGCCCTTGACACTACAGGAAGACGCAGTCCGCACGCGTCTCCCCTCCTCTGAGGCAAGCTTTCAAAATAACCAGCCGACTCAGGTGTGCTTCTTATCTGAAGCGCTAGCTATGAGTGGTAGCGCCAATTTCTATGCCTCCACAATGATTCCTCTTTCGCCATTTGCAGAATGTGTTGTGCTGGCGGCACTGCATGGTCGGTGCATGACACATCGCCGCATGTCAATGCTGCGCACTGGGACAGCCGATGCACAAGAATTCTGGGCGAGGCACGACCAATTGACATTGGCTGTAGAGAAGCGGACTCAGATTCTCGCGCAAAGCCCATCGCTCAAAACAATCAACCGCAATCCCATTGTACTCTTCACTCACATGCTGGCCCATAAGTCAATCATCTATCTCAGCAGCACTCTCGAAATTGCGCTCTTGCAGCAACAGCAACAGCAACAACAAACTGGTGACCGCCAGCTTTTTGCCAGCTCATACAAGTGGCGTGCTGAGCGGGCAGCGATCGAAATAATGCGCCTTGCCGAGTCGGCCAGGTCGCTTGGTTGCTTCAGCATGCACCCCTTTATAGCTGGCCCACTTGCCTGTGCTGCCGACTTCTTTATCCGACGTGCACAGTATACCAATATCTCCAGGGCCTCGGGGAGTGCAGGGTGCCACAGCAGCAGTAGCAGCATCAACAGCAGCAACAGCAGTATCAGCGGCAATGATGGAGAGGTGGAGAGCTTGCTTTTCGTGCTTCGAAATCTAGGCTGTGTGAATAATCTAGCACAGGACCATCTCAGCACTCTCGAGGCTGAATATAATACATGGTGCGCTGGCGACAGGAGCAGTAACAAAATGAATATGATATGATTAGGCCCCTTCATGATCTCTGGTTCCAGTTTTTAGGGCCAGGGTCAGGATCCGGACTGTGACGACCTTTTTTACCTTTATATATAGTGATATATTTTGCGATACCTTGTATCTATCTCTATTTTTTGGTCTCTCTCCCATGTTTGGCTTTTTGGTCTCTTGGCTTCGAGTCACGCATAGCTAGATATAGAATGAAGTGAGAGAACGTTACGCTTGGCCTGGGTCATTATAGGAGGTCCCTCGTCCCTTTTGTACAAGTAGGACTATCTGTACCATCTGGCATAGGGGACCATACTTATATAATCCTGCTAAGAGTTACTCCATTTAGATAGATATTTTTGTAACATATATTTGATTTTACTATATACAAGAGTAGACGGCCTCGCATGGGGCCTGGTTGTGTCCTTTTAGTAGTCCTTTTAGTGGTTTTTTACAACTATAATGAGGACCTGCGGGATTGACGCCGAAAATGACAGCTTTGGAGCGCCAGCAACGGCTGCCTTTCCACCCGTAACTTTGGTCGTCCAGCCGCGCCCACTGCCTTGTAATATCACTATTCTGCACCCGCCCAGTACTTTTAGTCATCCTCCGGTCCTGATGTTGACGCTCGACTTACATAGTTGTTCCATCGTTTTCACTGGCGACCAAAACGACGCCGAAAATGGCTCCCCTTCAGCTAAATCTAAGTCTCCTCCCTTTTCATCCAGTTCATTTAAGCCCATATAAGATGCTTCGCCTTCCCTCCTTGCGGTGTCCTTACACCTCCCATTCTCTTCTTATCCTTGTTACTCACGTCTCAAGCCGACCTTAACGTTGTCGTTTCCCATACCACGAATTTTCCACCCTAATCTTTGTATCTGACCTCCTCTATGGCACCTACGCCTATACAATTCGCTTCAACTGATAAGCACTAATACTAGAACCCCTGGATCCTTTTTGACCCTGTAGGAATTAGTCTTAGCGCACACAGATAATACAATTCCGTTTCCCCTCTATACATTGTATCTTACCCGGTTGACAGGCCTTACACCTGAAACCAGTAAACCTTTACAAATATATTTACTACCCATAGAATGTTTAGAATATAAATCATAATATAGCAGAGTGTAGTGATAAGTAGCCATAGCATAGACCTACACATATATTTCTATATAGAGCATCAATATAATAGGGCCAGAGTAAATGGTCCTACTGATATAGTAGTAAAAAACAGTATTGTACTATGATATCTAAGCATTTTATCCATCCGTTTTGGGCCATTCTTCCCAAAATTATGCTATCGCAGCACCATATAGTAAGTGCTGCGAGGTGCTGCAGATAGTGGTGCGGCAGCACTTGTCAAGGCCTAGGTGCAGACTAGGCTTGTGCCATAGTCATCCAGACCAAGGCCATGTATGTGGAGCTGTAAGGTAAGGGTTGGTTGATCATTTGATTGGCGCCGTTTGTCGGAGTGCTATCTAGTGATCACTTTGTTTGATCTTGGATTTTGGTGAACTAGAAGCATCAGGTTTGCTGGCCTTGAGGACCTAATAGAGGTCAAAAAGTGGGTACTTGACAGATTTTTCTTTTATAATAGCCTCACTGCTTGGTATTATTAGGGCGAGCACACATTCTTTGCAACCATCTTGTCGGCATCGGGTACACCGAGAGCCGAGGATTGATGTATCCTAGCGTACTTTGCGACGATGGCACTAGTAACAAGCCGTTAAAGCTTTTCTTATGCGTCGCAGCATTCCTTTTATGATATCTAGTTTCTTTGATGTCGGTATTTGGGGGGGGAGATGACGGAGTGGGTATAAGTTGAGCAAGGTTCATAAAAGGCTTAGGTCTGGGGCCCGAAGAATGATCAACAGTGGGACCACCAAGGACCGAGTACATCAACGCTAACTTATTACTTACCGCGGTGACCAAGAGCCAATAAACAATGTAAGATCACATATACACCCCAATCATTTCACAACCACAAACATCTACTAGGGGTTCCAGAACCTAGTCCAATCGGGTTTGAAGAGCCACATATGACAAATCAAGATATTCTATAACTAACCAGAATTGTTCTAGTTAGGCATTCCAATTGAATTCATACCCTTGTTGGTTCATGGGTCTGCGGCATGTCCCTGACTCCGCTGAACTAAGATATGAGTTCGAAGGTTCCGATCCTGTTTCTTGAATCCCTCGAATCTCAATTAACTTGACCTGTCATAGGAATTAAGTGGAATGCCGTGGAATGGAGTTGAAACGGGAAGCTAATAATTGATCACTCGGAGACGTATAGTTGTCCGAGGTCCTGCTCAGGATATAGTTGGCATTGGGATATTAACACTGCGCTAGATGCGTCATATATATGAAAAAAAAAAGATGAAAAATTCCCAGTAGACCCCAGTAATTGTACGTGATTCTTCATGCTAGGTTTACGAGCGTGTAGACTTTCCTTCTGGTGTAAGGAAGGTAAACAGCTACGTAATTAGTGATTTGACGGAAGGCCGCCCTGGCCACTCGTCGCTAAGATATATCCAAGAACTAGTCAGTCATGAAATCAAAACAATAATTTGATTGATAGAATATAAAACTATCTGTGCTGAACATTCATACCATAGCGGGTATTCGAACCTCCATCTACTCCGTCTAACATTTGCACGCCAATCACAGAGGGGATTTTACCCAAGGCTGTTGTGAGGCTCTTCATTCGGCCCTTCTCCACACTCTTCACAATCCTAACAACTACTCCATGACCCTCGAGTTGATTGTTGAAGTCCACTGTCGCCCCTTTTTAGTCCCACTTCGTAGGTTTCTCTTTAAAACCCATCCTATATGTTGATTTCGAAGGTATAGTCATTATAACAGAACCAATCTTCAATTTCATTGTGAAGGCGTGATTTATGCTAGCTGGTTAATTCCCGGTCACGGCCCCGCTTCCATTTGCACAAAAAGTCCCATGTTGAACAAGGAATTCAAGTCTGGGAATATCTGCTCCATGCATGACGCATGATAATACTTGTTCGGTTCTATAGCTCGTGAGATCCTAGAGAGGCTATTATATGATGTCTATTATGGAAAGGAAGAACCAGCAGGTTTGATTTTACACCTTTTTTTATTTTGTCAACTTTTATTATCTGAATGAATCTGCTCTCCTAGCTGAGTTAATTTGCCAATTATAAAGGATCAACATCCACCAAGCCTGTCTAATAACGCTTGGTATCCCTCGATTTTGTATACCTTTCTTTCTAAACTGGGGTTTCAGCCCTACCGCCCGCTCGATTACTATAATTATATCAGTTTCATTGGCTTAGTTCTATATCTCGCCTTTTTATCCCAAATTCTGCTTGTTATGAACACCCCAAGATGAGGTGTTACTGAATCTAACGTGCCAAGATCCCTCGCTATCTTGTAAGCGTTGGTAATTTTAAAGAATATGCTCTCCGACGATCTCCATATTAATGAGGATACTGTGTAGGTTAACGTTACCTAAAGACGCTTTATCGGTTATAGTTGATTGGTTGGCTTTTTTCACCCCGGAGCAACGCCAACGATTTCAGTACCTACTAATGTTTCAACTTCTCTGATAATCTGCCATTCAGCTACTATAGTGGTAATAGGCATCGATCGACATGGCATAACCCTTCCTCCATTCCCCTTATAGAATTGTCTACCGCGTCCGTCTAGAAGATGAACAAAAAGATGCCTCCACTGGTAGATTGAAGGATAAGATATTTGTCTGGAACTGAAGCGAGTTTCTTGTGTGGAGTGCCCAAGCCCCGGTTTAATGTGTACGTACGCACGACCTATTTTAGTACTTTATGCAGATCTTGTGGGCCAGGGAAAACCGACGGAGTGGATACTAGAGGCAATTAGCTTCCAGGGAGTGAAAGAGTAACGAATATAAAATGTTAAGGCGATCTGACAGAAGTATGTCTGTACGAACTAGTATTGCTAATTCAGTGGTATGAAAGTCTCTGTATTTCTGTATACGCGCTCCTTGACATATCTCACATACCGTGTTGTTTGGACTCGGTATTTGATATGATCTTCAAGGCCCGAGCTAAAGGAATAAAAGTAAAAAAAAAAAAAGACGATGAGAGTAATTACAGCCGATAAACCCGATTGACTGATTAGATCGACCTTCTAAGGCTCTACTTCGGTCATTGCTATTAGGGGTTAAAAAGGGAAAAGAAAAAAGGAAAATTAAAAGATGAGACATAGATCATAGTCTCCAGGTACGTATACATCCTTCATGTTTAAGCTCTTTGATACCCGTAGACGGTTCTGAGGTTAGTCTCAGCACACGGGAGATTGTGCGGAGTGTCCCTTCAAAAGCTCCACTTCTCGGGTCTTAGAATCAACCTCGGGGTACTCGGGGATAACGTTCGGATATGTATATATATGTAACCTACACGGAGTAAGCGAGTAGCCCATCTATATCAGCGGGCGCGCCACCCGTGAACCCGCCTGCAATCGTCAGGAAATAAATCGAATTGATAGATGCAGTCACCAGCAAATTGTATATATTTTGTTATCTTCCAAAGCTCTGGTAGCAAGTAGGATCCTGTTATCTGAATTGGTTGAATCATAGCTCAACTTTGTATGCTTTGGTGGCATGGGAGTAATGAAATTACATATGTAGTTAGGGCCTGAAAGGGGGTGGGGAGTGCGGGTACTCCCTACAATCTATATCCCGCGTGGATTCGTAATATCAAGTGGCGCCGGTTATACTCTACTATGAGTATGGACTCGGTACCACAAACAAGGCAATGTAATATCGATGGCTCTGATTCCCTGTAATTGTCAGTTGAAACAGCAAATGTCCAGTGAAAAACAGTATAAAACGAGCAATCCTCCACCGAAAGAAAATCAGCCTTTGCATCAAAGATTTCTCAAGCCCAACGCGGTAGTCCATTGAACAGCTATCCCCTTGCTCGCTTTGATAAGCATCCAGTCGAAATCACTCTTTATCTGAGGTCACCATGCGGTGTTCCGGGGTTCTGACCTGGTTGACATTAGCCAGTGTTGGATTAGCACATTATGTGTCGCACTCAACACAAGGCCATGCGGGCAAGAAGCCAAACGTGAACGCCACATTGGGCACATTTTTGCACAACCGCTTAAGCCCCAACTACTCTCAACTGTACCTCGCCGAAGCCGACGGGTCTAATGCAAAGCTCCTTCTGGGTTCAAACACTGTCTACGATTTCCGGGCGAGCTGGTCCGTCGATGGAAAGTATGTGACTTTCACATCAGAGCGACGGGGCGATGGTCAAGCAGACATCTACCGCGTGGCTATTAATGGGTCAACTGGAGTGACGGCGGCTCCAGAGCAACTTGTGTCATCGGAGGGTGTCGATGACTCTGCCGTGACTTCCCCTGATGGCAAACTGCTGGCTTTCACGACTAGTCGATACAACCAGACTACCCATATTATGTTGATGGACCTGGCGACCCACCGTCAGAAGAACTTCACCCTAGTCAGTGATATCTCGGGTGCTGCCAACCCTACACAGCCCAATGGGTACTTCAAACCTACCTGGTCCCCCGATGGAGAGTGGCTTGTCTTCACATCAGATCGCAACACACCATGGCGAGGCCACAGCAATGGTGCGGGGTGGGAACATGTGCAGGAGCTGTCTATCTACGCTGCCCGTCCCGACGGCTCCGACTTCCACCTTGTGTCATCTCGCTCGAATTATACCCAAGGCTCACCTCAATTTTCCCCTGATGGGAAGCGCCTGGTTTTCTACGAGATGATGACCGATGATACGTATAAGAGTCGCCTGCAACCTGACCTGCTCGCTGGTGACTATCTTAACACGAGCATTGTCTCTGTCGATTTCCCCAGTGGGAAGAATCGCGTTGTGCACGCCACTGGGGAGGGAACCAGGATCAGCCCTTCATACGTTACCAAAGATGTAAGTGATATCATTCTGCCGCTCATGGGTTGGAATATACATTTTACTGACAGAAACATGCTCAACAGGTTATTGGTTTTGTTGTAAAAGAATCAGCGAACAACGGTATTCACTATGTGTCTTTATCGGGAAAGAATTATACCCAGTACCAAACCATTCCGATGCCAAGCATGACACCTGCACTGCGCTCCCCAGTATGGTCACCAAACGGAAAATATGTCATCTATGAGTTGCAGGGCCCTACGGGAGGCAGCACTTCAACTTCCAAGACGCAGTATTCCGAGCAATACAGTTTTGACCAACGCTGGGACTACCGTTACACCGATGTCTTCCCCCAGGCCGCACGCTCTGGCTGCCCTGCGATGGTAATGACTCAACAAATGGAAGGTGTTGCCAAGAACAACCTTGTGCGACTAGGAGCGGACGGTAGCGACCAGGTCACCTTATACGAGCCAAGCAAGGACACGATTAACCCTACCCTCGCCGCGTCGTACAACGCGCGTGCCTACCAGGGAAATTGGGGCCCTGAGGATGCGAACATCACTTTCGGCTATGGCTCATACTTTGCGGGTCGCGCGAGTAGTCCTGGCTTCATCTACAGCATCGGCGCCGATGGGAAGAACCTGAGGCTTCTTGCGGGTAACAACATCACCAACTATGGCTTCCCATCCTTTAGTAAAGATGGTTCCAAGGTGGTCTTCCGCACGTGGCCTGGTACTGCCGAAAACGGCACCGTTTTTGGCACGAAGGGACTGGCCATCGTCGATGTGGCTACGCTCAAGATGACACAGCTGACGACTGAATGGGACAATCTGCCGGCCTTCTCTCCCGATGGCAAGAAAATCCTATTCATGCGCCGCACCAACTGGGACAACGTTGGTGACAACTACGACATCTTCACCATGAGTTCGGACGGTACCAACCTCAACCAAGTCACAACATCTGTTGCTAGCGACGCTCACCCAGTTTGGAGCCATGACGGTCGCATCATGTACAACACCGCCATGTTCGGGTTCCAGCAGGAGGCGTCCCTGTACGATGACAGCATGCAGCCATATGCCGTTATCATGGTCATGAACGCTGATGGCAGTGAGAAGACCCCACTGACCAATAGCTTGTGGGAGGATGCCATGCCCTTGTACCTCCCCGCCCATACATTGGAGTCGACTTGTTCCAATTGAAGCTTTCTTATCACATAAGAGCCTCTCAATCCATGGAAATCGAGGGTGGATATCTATCTCATTGTACTATCTGTTCTGGCCGTTAAAGTGTTACAGGATATGAAATGTATACTGTATGTAACTAGAATGGAAAAGAGTTCATGGAATGCAAAGTGTACAATTGAAGAGTGTAATAGTCCCTGAAAGTCTAGAATACAGGCATAACAACCTTGTGTGCAAGGCGTCCTCGACTTACTATGATTCTAATAATAATAGAAGCTATGTTCAGGAGCGAAGCTTAGATGTTCCCGTGGTGTGCATCCAGATTCTGAAGGCGCTAGGGTGCTCCCTGTGTACCCCCATGTCTTCTTGCTCTATCAACTGAAGTATCTGAATGAGAATGTAGCCAGATGCTGGAAAACAAGAAAGAGGTCCTTCTTGAAGTCCCTTTTCCGAGCTTTAAACAAGAAATTGTGACATTCAAATAATTAATTGACACAAGAGATATAGAGTTGTGCTACAGAGTGAGTCTCCTATACCCTTGGCTTAAAGCGGCATTGAAGGTAGGTACGTGTCCGCCGTTCATAAGATAGATGTCTTTAAGATATTTTCTCCCATTTCTCGGCTTTATAAGTAGAGGGTAAAAAAAAGCAGAACATGCATACTTAGTGGAAGAGACTTTCCTATGTATAACCTTTGAAATAATACTAGATTAAGAAACTCGAACTGATTCCACGCTAGACTCCTGGGCCATAATCAAGCTGACATCCTTTTTAGGGCAAATACAAACAGGGTTAGACCCGCACTGACCTATAGTATGCTCGTGGGGTTTACCGGACTGTATATTTTCCGCGGACATTCTGCAGAATAAACATCCCATTGATGTCCGCCGTGCCAAGTAATGATTGCTCGAGTCCGCCTGGCCTGCCAAGAATGTTATAATCGGAGTATCATACCAGGCTACAATATCGACACTTGAATACATAAGTAGAGCGCCAACATTCTTCTACTCAAGCACACGATTTTGTTCACACCATTTCCCACTATACAAACTCCACAGCCAGTCACCATGCCTGCTACCCGACTACCTGTTAACCTCGCTGGTCCCCCATTGACGGATCGCGAGGCCATCGCTGATGCCTGCTACCGCACCACGGCCTCCATCGACCACGCCGACGAAGAGCTCTTCTGGTCAGCCGTGACTGATGACATATATGCCGAAGTCGCCGGCACAACTGTTACCAACGCCCAAGATCTCAAGACCAAAGTTTGGGACAATGTCATCAAGGTCGACACCATCCACTACCTCAGCAACATGCGCATCAGCATCGACACGCCGACAACGGCCCGCGTGACTTTCACTTCTCTTGCCCAGCACTGTCGTCATGGAAAAGGGTTTGAGCCAGGCCCCAACAAGTTCACCACTGGTGCCATCTACAACTGCGACGCTGTCAAAGTGGGTGACCTTTGGAGGTTCAAGTCGTGGAAGGCGAACCATGTCTGGGGTGATGGTGATCCATCTGTCATGGCGGTTTAGAGGAATTATTTGACTTCTGGGGATTAGGGTGAACTGCAAAAGAGAACTATGTGCATAGTGTGGTGTCTTTCTATTCAATATAATTCAGTCTACAGAGTCAAAAATATCATGAAAGAACTCACATTGCAACTTTGGCTGTTTTATGATACTCTCTGTCTCTTATATGAAGCGTCTACTCTACATATACAAGAGTTTTCTCCTCGGTCAACCTTTTTACGAAAGTAATAAGACAAACTATCTGGCCAGTTACCTAACTCATAAAATCGAGTTAAAACACTCCTTTGAATACTGTACTTAAATAACCAGCGAGTTTTATTGAAGTAAAATCCGAGTATACGGTCAAAATATAAGGAGTTGATAAAGAACCGAATGACAAAGCTAAGATCCATGGATACGCCAAGCTTTCCTGGGCCGTGGAAATATGTAGATCTGTGTGGAGATATCTAATAGAAGTGGAGCACGGGCCTGTTCCTAATTCAATTCACGTGTCTTCCAAGGTTGTCCTCATTTCTTTCTTCTCCCATTTCCAGGATAAGCACGTCGGCTATCCAGGGGTAAGCAGGCACGTTACACTCCGGTACGCTCCGGCGGTGTTTCATTGATGCGCTTTCCAATGAAATGTCGCTTACGCGATAGCGTTACAGACCTAACAACTCGTGGACTAGCTCCACAGCCACAGCTCACTTGTACCTTGCACAATTCATGATAACATCCGGTCCGAGTACTATCGGTCTTTACATGTTGAATCACCCGGAGTTACGTCTTAATGCCGGGATGGCCTGAGCAGAACCAGCAGGATGGCAGGCCTGCTATCAGACTTAGTCGGCCATTTTCCAATTCTCCGGACATAGGTGCCGGGGCAGCTATCAACTAATATAAGGGTCATACCAAGCTTTTATGCTGCTCAATCTTGCTTGCATCCTTATCTGCAAAGAGCTTTGTACCTCTATCCCTTTTCGTCCTCGCCCTCGTCCAATCATGTTGACTCGTCATTTGGCCTTGGCCATTGTGGCTCTTCGCATGGTAGCCTATGGCCATTACATTAGACACGATGCTTCCACGCTCGAAGAGCTGTATGAACCATGGGTATCACCCGCCACCGAAATTGCTTCTTCAACAGATGCCAATTTTTCCACCGTTGTTGGGCCACGATGGTCGGCTTGGGAAGCTCCGCATTGGTCTGGGGCAATTAAACCTGCAACAGAAAAAGATCTCCAGAAAGTGGTGAGTATCATTTTCTTGTATTTTGCCTTCATGATTAGTATATCAGAAAGACTTATGAAGCAACAGGTCCAAATCTCAGTGGCAAACAAGATTCCATTCATTGCAACCAATGGCGGCCATGGCCCGAAAGTCGGTCAAGGCCAGTTTACCGGCATCAACGTGAACCTCGCCAGCTTTAATACTGTCAGTATCGATACCACCAACAACTTGGTGACCCTTGGAGCTGGCGTCAAGCTGTGGGATGTCCAAAAGGGGTTGTACGATGTCGGCAAAGAAATACGTACGTGTCGTCTATTTAATCTCCACATAATATCCGTCAAAGCCCAATGTGTGAGAAAACGGCAGAGTGACTGACCTGCGATTGTCTAGAAACTGGCAATTCCATCTGCCCGGGTGCTATCGGTGTGACCATCGGTGCCGGCATTGGCATGATGACGGGCATGCACGGTCTGATGATTGACACACTTAAATCTGTCCGTGTTGTGACCGCAAAGGGCGACCTGGTAAAGGCCTCGGCGACAGAAAACAAGGATCTCTTCTGGGCAATTCGCGGAGCCGGCATCAACTTTGGCATTGTCACAGAAGCAACCTACGGAATCCACGACCAGACCAACGGCGGCAATCTGACGGCAGTTACTTTTGTCTACGCGCCGGCGTCTAATCGCTCACTCTGGGAGACTATGAAAACATTTGATGGCAACCAGCCAGCCAAGCTGTCGTTCCAAGCCGTCATCAAGTTTGACCGGACTTCCAACTCGGCGAATTTAATTCTGCAGCTCTGGTACTTTGGTCCTGTGACAGAGGCGCAGCCATACATTGACCAGTTTACCGCCGTGGGTCCGGTCGTCAAATCTGTGACATATCTTCCTCAAACCGACGTGTTCTATCAGTCACAGACGGCTGGAGTGTGTGACAGGGGAAATATAATCAGTGCGCACACCTTGGGCTTCAGCCGTACTGATGTCGCAAGCTATGAGGCTCACTTTGCGGATTTAACGGCCTTTTATAAGGCATATCCTGCGTTCCAGGGAGAATCTGTGCTCCAGTATTACAGCAACAAGGTTACTCTCCAGACACCGGCGTCTGAGACTGCCTTCCCCTGGCGTGATATCCAAGTGTGGTGGTGAGTGTTTCTGGCTCTCAAGAGTTTCTTCGCTGTCTATTCTCTTGTCATTCACTAATCCCATGATTTATTCTCTTTCTATAGGCTCACGCAAAACGAATACACCGACGCCTCGATCAGGCCTCAGGTTGATCAGTTTATGCGAGGACAACGCACAAACTTACAGACTACCAGCGGTTTCTCTACCCCTCATGTCTATTTGAACTATGCCTATGGAGATGAAGGCGCGGCCGCGTGGTATTCTGCAGCCAACTTGCCCAAACTTCGAAAACTGAAAGCCATCTGGGATCCCTCTCGTATATTTGGAAATGGGGCGTCTCTTTACTAAAGAGACATTTATACACCATACAAGTTATATCGTTGCTATGATAAAAGTATTTTAATTCTTTAGATTAATACATTATCTGAAATGGAACTATCTTCTGTCATTGACATTGTTTTAGCAAACAGCAAACGTAGACAATTTTTGGATCATTACTAGTTTACACATTGGACTGGGCTCCCAATTCTTCTCGCACCTCTGATTCTGGATGCACACTATAGTCATACATGAGTTGTCTGTGTACTCAGATGTTGTAATATTGGATCTATATTTTCACCCAAAAGAACAAAATGCACATTAAGCAGCCGCAGCTCTAATCTCTGTTACCATCTTTTCAACATCATAGTCCCATATAATTCGGGAAGCTCGTTCAAGCTTCAATTTACTCCTCTCAGCATCCCGCCCCGTCGGACCATATCGCCACTGGTACATTTGGCCCATCTCGCGCGAGCTGCGCACAACCCACTTTCCACGCTCCATCCTTGCTTGGCTATATGCCTCCAGTGCGTGTACAATAACCGATCTCTGGTCGTGGTTACCCGTACTACTGCTGCTGGCCTGCACCGTAGCCAAGGCCTCGCAAAGCACAAGAGCGTCTTCGACACCGATACAGGCACCGACACCCTGGAACGGGCTGCTAGCATGGGCAGCGTCACCGGCAAGACAGACGCGGCTGCGAGCATACGTTGGTGCCGGATTTTCATCCATGTCAAAGATCCCCCACTTGACCATGTTTTCTGGGAAGCACTTTGCGATGTCGACGAAGTGTGGGCCCCAGCCAACTACGAGACGCTCTAGCTCGTCGCGTGTGGCCGGCGCTGTCATTCTCTCGGGGTCGGGGAACTCTGATGATTCGTGGGCAAAGAAGGCGACATTCAGGAGCGTTGCGTTCATGACCTGCTGTGGATGTTAGCTGGGAATAAAATTGTCGAAGGGTGTGTTGGGCTAGACTGACAGGATACGACATCATGTTGGCATTGGGACCACAGTGCATACAGCCACTCATTGCCTTGGCCTTACCGAGAGCGGCGATTCCAGCGTCAATGGGCAGCATCGTGCGGTATGCAACCGTGTGGGTGTAGCTAGGATGAGTGGCCGGGTGATTAGCGCCGAGAAGCACCTCTCGGGTAGTTGAGTGGATGCCGTCGCATCCAAGCACAGCGTGTGCCTCTGCCGAGCTGCCATCTGCGAAATGGAGGACGACTTTATCATTCGTGTCGTTATCGTCGTAGCTCACAAGTTGCTTCCCGAACTTGGCCACACCATCGGGCAGCAGGGCGGCCATGCCTAGCAGGAAGTGTGAGCGCACGCAGCCCCAGAATGCGAGCTTGTTGCCTGGCATTTGGAAGAGCAGTGATTTCGATTCGTCCTCGGCCTCCTGCTTTGTCTGAGGGTGATAGGCATCCCAATAGCTCGTGCTTGCGTTGTCGGGGTCCGATTTCTGACTGATGCGGCTCAGCACGTCGTGGATGCCAGGGTCTAGGCGCCGCATACACTCCTGGGCCACGCCAGTGAAGGAGAATCCAGCGCCGATCTCGTGCCAGTTGGAGACGCGCTCGTAAATGGTCACTTTGATGCCTCGGTTTATTAGGCCGAGGGCTGTCATAACGCCGATGATGCCACCACCTACAATGGCTACCTCGAGAGAGGGCGTAGTGCTGTTGTTGCTTACCATGGTGTTCAGCCGGAGTCTGATAGCTTGCAAGACTGGAAGTTAAGCCAATTGGATATGTGACCAATTCTAGAAAAGGATACTACCACCTTGATAGTAGATACAAGTACAGTGATTAGCGTGTAGTTACTTGTTTTCATGCACATGCAGTCATGTCTATTGAAAGTAACACTATCCTTTTTGAAACATGGCCCCCAAGAATTCTGTATGTCAATAATAAAAATGACAATGAACATTATCCATGCTGACTGTGTCTAGAAGACCATTGCATCCAAGGCGGAGTTACTTTACTCCTACAGGGCGGATCTACAAAGGACCTAGGCCTGTACTATTTCTAATGCTGACAGCCATAGATGCGGACTTTCGGATAAAATATAGGAACGGACTGCTATTCAGACATGAAACTCCCGTGAAGCACGCCTATCTCTAAGTGGAATGCAAGTCCGTATGCAAAGTTGCCTATCTCCGATAGTAAATGAATTCAGGGCTATGGAATAATGTGTGAGGATTTAGGCATCCAAATGTAATATCTCCAGTATACAATCAAATCATACAAGTGATTCACAGAACTCGGGTTGACCAGAAATCTTTTTTCTTCACTTAGTGGTTGAGTACCTAGTCAGCTACACACATTACCTACACTACAATGACTACATCTTCTATTCCCTCTTCGGTGGGGGATGCACAAAAGGCTACGACCTTTGTGTTTGGGGGTCACATCGGCACACAGAGCAAAAAGTCACTGGAAAAGCCCATAAAGCAGCTTCTCAGCGGGCCCAACGCCAAATGGATACTGGAGGCCGTGGCCGGACTGCCACACTACTGGGCAGCCGTGGTGGAAAAGATCCCCGAGGCTGGCACAGTACCAGGTGCGGAGCAGTTAAGCGACTTCGACTCATGGTTGCGAAACGGCATCTCAGCGGGTGACCTGATCGCGCCTGAGACAGAGCTGCCCAGCGTCGCGGTTGGGCCTCTGATGGTAGCCATCCAGCTGGACCAGTACTGGCGGTATCTGGAGTTTCGGCTGGGTGAGGTCGCTGTCGAAGACCTCCAAGCGGAACTCGTTCGACAACAACAACAAAGCACCCCGCCGGTGGAAACGCTAGGCTTCTGCGCCGGCCTGATTGCCGCGGTAGCGGTGGCAAGCTCACACAACATGGACGAGTTCCAAAAATACGGTGCAGTGGCGGTGCGCATCGGCCTGCTGATGGCTGCGGTGGTGGACGCACGGGAGGCCCGGGATGAGGCCAAAGGCAAGGGCGGGTCGGTGTCGTTTGCGACGGCGTGGCGCAGCGGCAGCAAGCAAGGCGACGACATGACGAGAATCGTGTCCTCTCTGACACCAGACGCCTATATATCGGTGTTGTTTGACGAGGCGCGAGCAACAGTGACGACATCAGAGCGCCTAGCGCCGACGCTAGCGCGGAAACTGCGGGCCGCTGGCGTGAAGGCCGTTCCGCTGGCGATCAAGGGCCATCTGCACGCACCCGGGGTGGAGCGGAAGCGGGATGCGGATGCGCTAATTGAACTATGTCACTCTTATGGTGACCAGCTTCAGTTTCCGGCGACAGCGGCCCAGCTGGCCTTGCCGACATACAGCAACTCGGCCAATGGGGCCCATGTCTCAGCCGATGAGACAAATCTTACCGCAATGTTGCTACGAGCGATCTTGACGCAGCAGTTTAACTGGGCCGGGACAGTGTCGAAGCTGCTATCAGTTTCAGCGTCAACTCAGAAGGAGGTATCGCTAGTGGCGTTTGGACTAGATCGGTGCATTCCGCCAACAATTACGCGGCGGTTTGGGCCGAAGCAAGTCGTCTTCGAGGAGCTGGAGAGCCATCTTGAGAGCCGGAAGGTTCAAAGGGCCTCGATTATTGCAGCCACGGCTGCACCTACGGCCAACGGCACCAGCGCCGGCGTTTCAACAACTATCTCAGCAGACAAGGCTTTGCCTACATCAGTTGAGCGAGAAAGGGACACCGAGGAGGCCATTGCCATTGTGGGCATGTCCATCAACGTGTCCGGCGCCGAGGATTTGGAGGAGTTCGCAGCGATGCTGAAGACAGGCAAATCGCAGCACGAGGTGATCACACGGGAGCGGATGATGCACGATATGCTTTTCCGAGACGCGGCAGATGCGGATGGGAAGAAGTACTACGGCAACTTCGTGCGCGACGCGGATGCCTTCGACCACAAGTTCTTCAAGCGCAGCCCACGCGAGTCGCAGGCTATGGACCCTCAGTGCCGGCTATCGCTGCAGGCGGCGTACCAGGCGGTCGAGCAGTCAGGATATTTCACGGAGCCCAAAACGAAGAAAGAGGACCACATCGGCTGCTATCTAGGCGTGTGCGGCGTCGACTACGAGCAAAACATAGCCTCCCATGCACCGAGCGCATTCACGGCGACGGGCGGCCTGCGTAGTTTTATTACCGGCCGGATCGCGCACTTTTTTGGGTGGACGGGCCCGGCGATGACTTTTGATACGGCTTGTTCGTCGTCGACGGTAGCGATGCACACTGCCTGCCGTAACATTTTATCCGGCGAAGCGACTGCGGCGCTAGTCGGCGGCGTCAACGTCATGACCAACTTGCAATGGATACAGAACCTAAGCGCCGGCAGCTTCTTGAGCCCGACGGGACAGTGCAAGCCATTTGACGCCGACGCCGACGGCTACTGCCGAGCGGAGGGCGTCGCTTTCGTCTTCCTCAAGAAGCTATCAGACGCTGAGGCCGCCGGCAACACAGTTCTGGGAACGATCCGGGCAACGGCGGTGTATCAGAACCTCAACATCACGCCGCTATTCGTGCCCAATGTGCCGTCGCTGTCGACCCTGTTCAAGGACGTGATTCGCAAGGCTGGCGTCGACCCAGCTGAGATTTCAGTCGTCGAGGCCCACGGCACCGGCACGCCAGTCGGCGACCCGGCCGAGTATGAAAGTGTTAAGCTGGCGGTCGCCAGCCCCCTGCGCGACACCGCCGTGGCCATCGGCTCCGTAAAAGGTCATGTGGGCCACACAGAGGGCGCTTCCGGGGTGATCGCGCTAGTAAAATTGCTCATGATGATGCGCGACAACTTCATCCCGCCGCAGGCCAGCTTCACGCGCATGAACCCACACATCCACGCGTCGCCGGCCGACATGATAGAGGTAGTGACGGCGTTACGGCCGTGGCCGGCTGAGCGCAAGGTCGCGCTGCTCAACAACTATGGCGCCTGCGGGTCTAACGCCAGTCTCCTCTTGGCCTACTCAGCGCATAACCCGACCTCCGACAACCGCTTACTAGCCGAGTCGACGGCCCGCCAGCCCTTCTGGATCACAGGATTCGACGCTCGCAGC